AAAATATATATATTAAGTAGAAAGAGTATATTTAATTAATATAAAAACTACTTAAAAGTTTTTAAAATACTATAGTACTTAATTAATTTCAAGCTAAGTAGAAAGATATATAGAAGTATAATAAACTTAATTTATAAGTAATTAATTTTTAAATAATAATATCAAGTATAAAGCTAATTAATTAAAAAAAAAAATATAGAACTAGACTATAGTTATATTAATACTAAGGCTAGCTAGTAAAGAAAAAAAATAAAATTAATTATTATTAAAAAAAAAAGAGAGAGAGATAATATAACTATAAAGCTTAATATATACTTAACTTATACTTAACTTATACTTAATATAGTGCTTACTAAAATAAGTGCTCTAGCTTACTAAGTAACTTTTATTACAACTTATTGCTAGTTAAATTAATAACTTAATTATTAAAAGAAGAAGAGAGCAGAGAGAGAATAGTATTCTAAATACTATTACCTTTATAACTACTCTCTTCTTTACTATAGAGATAAGTTAAAGTCTTAGAGGTATAAAAGTAAATATATTAGCTATAAAGAGTTGCCTCTTTATAAAGCATATTAACTAGAGTATAAGTTAGTTTCTACTAGTTAGTATACTTATAGCGCAACTCTACCTACTCTGCCTGCTGCTTATATAGTATTTACTTAATATTCTAAGCTATAGTAGCTTAGCTCTAAAAAAAATTTACTAGTATTTACTAGTTAAAAGGCAGTATATACCTATAGTAGAAGGGCATTAATATACTAGTAAGTACTAGCACTTATAAATTAGCGCTAGCAGCTATATTACTAAAGAATAAATTAGCTAGTATATATAAAGAGTAGATAGAACTAGGAGCAATATAGGCCTACTTTAATAATATATTAAACTTTTTAGTTATAGAATTAAACTATATAAAGAATTTAGTATATATACTAAAGCTTTTACTTAACTTTTTGCGTATAGTAAATATAATATACCTACTAGTATTTATAATTTGCTATACCTTTTTCTATTAGTAGTATAGCTTAGAATTTAAAGCGTAGAGATGCGCCTTCTAGATATACTTCTTGCAGGTTTTATAGTACTACTTATAGCCTATAGTAGAGCTAGAGATATAACTAGCAAAGCTAGTATTAATAAGCTTGTGCTAATATAGCATATATATTCCTAAAACTTTCTCTCTATTAAAAAGGTTGTTATTATTAGAGTTGCCTTCTATAGCATACTTGCCTATATAGCAGGCGTTAGAGCGTTACAGTAGAGGCAGCAGAGGCAGGGGAGAGAGCGCGCTAGCAGCAGCCTTACTAAAACTAAATTAGCTGTATAGTATAAACTATATAGTACTTAGAGCAGTAGAGGCAAAATAAAGGCAAAACAGAAAGAGAAGCAGGCAGTAGTAGCAGCAATCTTTAGAGATAAAAAGTTTTTAGTTATACAAAAAAAGTATTAGTAATATATATTAAAAAGAAAATAATAAGAATAAGTAGTATAAAGTTGCTAAACTATTTATAAAGCAGAAGTATATTAAGTATATACTATATATAAAAAATATAAAGTAGAGATATATAGTTGCTAGAGAAATTAGCACTATATATCTACTCTTACTATATAGTAGTAATATAGATAAACCTACTAAAAGAAGGGTATATAATAGACTTAAGCTGTAGGCTTAAGTAGGTATAAAGCACTATATTAGTGCTTTATTAAATACGCTTTAAATGCATATTAAACTTATATATATATAATAAGCAGAAAAAAGAGAATAGAGAGCTTCTTCTTTCCCTCTTTTCTCTCCTTAAGTTTATAGTTAATACTAGTAATGCTTACACGCAGTAGCCTGTAAGGCTAGTCCTTAACAGTTTTTTATAGTAAGCAGTATCTGCTGCTAATACTTTATTATTAGCCTTAGTAGCAGCATTAAAGAGATTAAGCAGCTAGAATCTTTATTAAGCAGCTTATTAAATAGCTTCTTAGCTTTAGAGGCAAATAGGTTATTATGTAATTCTTTAAAAAAGCTACTAAAGCTAGTAAATTTAAGTATATAGTTGTTATCTATTAAAGAAGATAAAAGAGCAGTATTTTTGTAATAAAAAAAGAAGTTAAAATTATTAAATTTAATAATATTATATTATTGCAAAAAGTAGCTTTATTAGTAGCTATAGTATAAATTATTATTATAGAGTATTTTTATAATAATACTTACATTACTAAGTTAATATATATAAATTTATATAGCAGAGCGTAGCAGCTTAGAGGTATAACTAAATTAGAGTGCAACTAAATTAGGCTTAGCGCCTTGCAAATTTAAATTAGGCTTAGTGCCGCACGAATAGCGATTTTCTGCCGCACAAATAGCAGGACCCAGCTCTAGCTGCTCCACAAATCCGATGTAGCAGGAAGGGTTTGACAAAAGACAACGGGTAGCTTCCACCAATGAGAATTGTAGTACGGTCGGCAACCGTACAGGTAAAGCTGTTTCACCGCCCGGCAAAACGTAGACAACTTTTTTTTTTGTGCCTCTTGCGTCACATTTCTGCACCACTTTCATCTAGATAGCAAAATTCCTGTCGAGGGCTTTCGACTAAAGATTGAGAATTGAGACATGCCTTCTGAGGGGCCATTCGTCACTCCGTCTTAAGCCCCAATCCTGCCGTTCATTGCAAGGGGGCTTACCCTTTCAGCCCCCATATCGTTCGAATAATAGTTGAACAACGGATCTCTCGAGCGCCCGACACCGCAGACGATTCCAATTTGTTCACCCAATTTCTACAATTTGCCGAGCTCAGTCAGTTCTTCTGCAGCTAGTGCAATGGTCGACGCAGAAGCATCAGTTGCCAAAGGCATGTAAGCTCCAGCTCGACTTTGTCCATGGCCCCCATCCCTAACCGGGAGCCTGCCGGCTGGATGCGGTGTCGCTCCGCCTCCCCCGCCTCCCCTCTCGTCTGAATTGTGCTATTTTCATAACGCGTGGCTAGCCTCGCTTGTGATTGTATACCTTGCTGACCAAAGCGCCACGTTCTGTGCCATGCAGGCTCAAGGAAGCAGTTGAAGAAGACGAAGAAGGCAGCCGCTAAGAAGGCGAAGCGAAGCCGAAATGCCAAGGATTACAAAGATGCTGTATCCAAAGAGGAGCTCAAAGCTGCAAAGAAGGCCAGGAATATCGCGAACCGTCCCGTTCTCCAAGAAAAGAAACGGCACAGGCTACTCAAGCGATCCAAGCAGCTGGAAATTAAGGGGAACAAGCTACTTGCTGAGGCCAAGAAGGCTGCCGAGCAGTACAGACTGATGACACAAGCCAAAGAGGTAGGTTTGATATGTCGAGACATCCGCTCTTCATGTTGCATGCTGTGCCTTGTGTTGCATGGTGTTCCCGCATGCGACCACACACATCCCTCCTCAATGTGCCACAGCCTCGTGGCTCACGTATATTCTGTAGTTTGCTGACGCTCAAAAGAATCATGATGAAAACACCTCCACATCTGTGGAAAAAAATGGCGCAAAGTCCCCTGCTTCGTCCTCGTCGTCCTCGGACTCTGATGGTGTTGCCTCGGCCGAAGCCATTGCCCCTGGCGGCTTCATCATTGATACGAAGAAGCGCCGAAGAGAGAGCGGTACGTCTGGCATTCTGAAGCAGCTCTCTTCTGTGGACGACGAAGGGTCCAAATCTAAGAAGAGCAAAACTGCTCCAGCTGAGGCAAGCACGGACTCGGACGAACCAAGCGAAGCAAAGTCGAAGTCCGAGCCCGAGCCCGAGTCCGAGAATGTGCCCGAGCCGGAGTCTGAGCATGAGCTAGAGGTAATTGAAAAGGCTGAAATGCAGAAGGAAGAGAAGAAAGAAAAGAAGCACAAGAAGAAGGAGAAGAAGGAAAAGGGGAAGAAGAAAAAAGAGAAGGACATAAAAGAGAAGAAGGACAAGAAAGACGAGAAGGTGAAGAAGGTGAAAAAAGATGAAGAAAATCAGGTCGACCAGGAGGCAAAAATCAAGACGAAGGAGAAGAAAGCCAAACAAAACAAAGGAACAGAGACTGCCGCCGATAATACCGCCGAACAATGGAATGTCGGTGGCCTTGAAGGAGGGGCCGCCCGCCAGAGCAAATTCGCGAGGCTTCTTGGAGGAAAGAAGGGCGGAGATGCGTTGGGAATGACTACCAACACCAAGTCGGACTCGATCAAGGCAGAGGCCGAGATTCAACGCCAGTTTGAACAAGGCATGAAGGCCAAGTTTGACGGTACCAGCCAACGGCGTGGACTCGGGGCGTAAACCTCGATCCAAGTTTAAGTGTTTAGCCCTTTCTTGCTTTTGTGATTTGTGCCTGTATACATAGGACCTGATTAGGAGTTGTGACGACTCCGTTTATTTCGCTTAGATGAAATTTGGGGCACGGCGAACGACATCGGGCATCTGTTTTATTTAGCATTGGTCAAAAGTCAGCCAAAAGTCAGCCCAAATTCAAGTTGTATCCTAAATCATTGCCATTTCTTCTCACCGTGGCGTGTAAATCAGCACCTATGTCGGTAGCTAACTTATCCACTTTCATCGCTTGTTAATACAGTGGTTGTCATTGAGGTCGAGAGTATTCGCTCGGCAAAGGGTTTACGAAAAGACATGAGATGCCCACCCACCCATGTGTTCCACTCAACTTGCGTTGCAGACACCCAGCAGAAGCAAAAGGGCTTCAGTCTCTAGCACTGCATGGCATGTCGCCTCGCTCATGCATAGGCACTGCGTACAACAGTCCATCAATATAACTGACGTTAATGGCCCTGTGACCCAAGTGGCTATGGATACATTGTCTAGAATACAGCTCCGTGACCGTAAATCTCGCACCCTTATATATATATATACTCGCGCCCGGGCAGCCTATGTTTTCGCCATCATCTCCGACTCTCGCTCCGCCCGTCGTTCGACAGATCGTCTCTTGAACCGCACCTCTGCTCTGCGACGCTCACCGCCATCAATCTTCCTTCCGCGGCGCTGCTCCCACATGCCCTCTGTGACTTTGACCACGGCACCAGCCCCCTCGGGAAGCGGCGTGGCATACGGGCCGGCGATTGCCTTGAGTCCGCGAACTGTGTAGCCCGCCGGCCGGGGCAGTGTTGACGATTCTGACGGCGGCGCCTCGCCCGCGGACTCCTGCCTGTGTGGGATGTTGACGACCCATTTCGCGTCGCTGACCACCGAGGCTGGCGGCGTGGCTACCTTGAGGACAGCCTCGCCGTCCTTGACGAACTCGAAGTCGCCGCCGGGACCGAGGGCGCCTCTGCGGTATCGCTGCATCCATTGGAGGAGATATCGTCTGTTTCGCGGTGGTTCGATCCCCAGCTCTTTAAGTTCAGGAGAGGTGAGAGAGAAGAGAGAGTCCCAAGACGGGAATTTGGACGCGTGCTTGTTTAGGCCGCGCCCGATGAGCGTAAGGAAGGTAGACACATCGGGGACGAAAGGGCGGGGCTGGGGTATCGCGTGCGGAGGTCGCGTCTTGTGTAGATGTCTGATCTGGATGCCCGTGGACAGAGGTGTACTTGCGAGGGGGCGCAGAGATGCTCGGAGGCCGGGGGCCCTCATCTTGGCTGCGTGGGAATCAGCATTTCGGTCGAGTGGGAAGATTGCTGCTCAAGGGCGTGCCACAATTTCGTGCCGTACCTGCTTTGGTTTTTTCGTGTTTTAGGCGCAATTGGCCTAGACTGTCGCTCCGTTGTCCAGGTCAGGCCGGCACCGAAGCTCCTGCATAAGTGCCATCGCCGACTTGAAATTTGTTGGTTAGAATAGTTAGGTAAGCAAGGCTGGATAATTGGTTCCATTGTGGGGGCGGGCACACCAGCAGATCATTGGCGAGCGCACTACATCACGGTGGGGCCGGCGGCCAGGCTGATCGTCTCGGCCTGTCGACTTTACGGCCTCTACTGCCAATCTCGTTTCTTTCACTACCATCAACTCCCCGTCCGCCAGATACGTCGACTGAGCACATCGTCAAATAGGATGTCGCATTTAAAGCTTTCCAGATGACTTTTCCTGCGCAATTTTTAATGCAAAATGCCCAAGAAGACTTCGGCGCGACGGCCGTGTAAATCGCCAGCAGTGGCTAAAATCCGCGTCGGAGTGGAAGGTATGCGGATTTTTGGGAGCTTTGTGACGAATACTGCTGACTTTTCGAACCACAAGACCCTATCCCGTCCGCTGTGGTCGATTACATAGCAGCTCTACCCGCTTCGGTCGAAATCGAAGCCCTGAATAATGAGGAACCGTTCGCAAAGCGTCGAAAGATCACGGTTGAGCCGTATTCTCCGATTTGCGTGGCGAAAGCAAGATTGCGGTTTTCTCGGGCATACAGTGACGGGGATACTCCGCCCTTTGCTGCAAGTTGTGAGGACGCGGGCCGATACCTGAAATTCACATTGCGCCATGGACTTTTGTCAATGACATCGCGCCCCGCAGGCCCGCAGGGTTCATTCTCCATCTGCTTTTTACTGGACGGGGATGAGATTGGAGAGGAGGCCACTCGTATTCTTGGTATTGGAGGTGCAAATTCGAAGCGCGATAATCCTGGCGATATTTGGGTCGCAGTGGCAACGTCGATAATATTGCATGACAAGGTGGTGACCATCCAAGTTTCGCTCTCGTTGAACTGGAACGAGACGCCATCACCTTACTATCCGTTACCAAATTCAAACGATCGGAAGTTAACGAGGCAGCTCATCGACTCCATTTTCCCAGACAACAAGAACGAAGATCTCTCGGCATGGTCGCCTATGGACTTTTATGAAGCAGCGCATGTGCCCCCAAAGGATGACAAAGCCGCTGTAGGTATCGACATTCCCGGACTAGGGTCGGAATTATTTCCGTACCAAAAGAGAACGTTACAATGGCTTCTGGCAAGAGAGGGTGTGCGGTGGTCTCATGCAAAAGCTAGGCTAGAATCGACCCCAGTGGACGGTCGTTCACCCTCAATCGACAGTTTCCGCACCGTCAAGGATGCTGATGGAAGAAGCATATTTTTGAGTGACGTGTTTCAAACCATCACGAGAGATAAAAGCTTGTACGAACGCGCTGACAGATTCGTGAAAGGCGGCATTTTGGCGGAGGAAATGGGCCTTGGCAAGACCCTTGAGATTCTGGGACTCATCCTCCTCCATAGTCGTGCAGAAAGTCAAGCTCAGCAGATCGAACTTCAGATGAACGGCCTTGCCACTACTGGTGCTACATTGATTGTTACTCCCGATTCGCTGCGGCAACAGTGGATATCCGAGATGGAACGGCATGCGCCGAGCCTGCGGGTAAAGCACTATCAAGGGTGCAAGAAAATGAGAGATGGAGACGAAGAAGCAATCATTGACGAACTCTGTGGGTACGATGTTGTTATTACAACATATTCCGCACTCTCAGCTGAGCTGCATTTTGCATTTGAGCCTCCTGAGCGTTCCCGTAGATACGAGAGAGCATACCCCCGAACGACGTCTCCTCTCGTCAAGATAGCGTGGTGGCGGCTGTGTCTCGACGAGGCGCAGATGATTGAGAATGGATACAGCCAGGCCGCATCCGTTGCCCGTGTCTTGCCTCGCGTTAATGCATGGGGCATAACCGGCACTCCGGTCAAAGATGATGTAAAGGATCTGTTCGGCCTCCTGCTCTTTTTGAGGTATGAGCCATATTGCTCAGCAACACAGGTCTGGCAAGCTCTTACCACGAATCATAAATCCTTGTTTCGACAGATTTTCAACTCGATCTCATTGCGACACACCAAGACGCTAGTGCGAGACGAGATTCTGCTGCCCGCTCAAAAAAGATTTGTTATAAGCATACCTTTTACAGCCGTTGAAGAACAGCACTATCAGTCCTTATTTAAAGAAATGTCCGACGAATGCGGCCTCGAAACGGACGGGTCTCCCAAAACCGATGACTGGGACCCTGAGGATTACTATGATGCCATGAGACTTTGGCTCAACCGATTGCGCCAGACTACACTGCATCCCGAGGTTGGCATATATAATCGCCGCTTATTGGGTTATAACAAATCGCGACCAATGAGAACTGTCGATGAGGTGCTGGCAGCTATGCTGGAACAGAACGAAAATACGATTAGGGCAGAGGAACGAGCATACTTGTTAAGCCGCCTGGCTCGGGGCCAGATGTATGAAAATAGTCCGCGTGTGAAGGAAGCACTGGTGCTGTGGGAGGATGTGAGACAAGAGACCGAAAAACTTGTTTCAGATGCCAGAACGAGACTGAAGGACGCAATCCGAGAGCATGGCGGGGAAGCAGCAGTGAAAAAGGCTGAAGAAGAGGATCATGTTCGCGATTTGTCGAGCACGGATGACGACGAGCAAGACGAGCTGGGAGCCAGGGGTAAAATTGGCGAGTGTCGCAGGCGACTCCGTTCGGCCTTGGAATTGCATCACAAAGCCGTCTTTTTTTGCGCCAATGCCTACTTTCAAATCAGAGACAACAAAGAATTGACGGAACCGAACAGTGAAGAGTTTCAGAAGCTGAAAAAGCTTGAGGATGACGGGTACAATGCGGCGAAAGCATTGAGAAGAGAGATTCTTGGGGAAAGCAACCGCAAAGCAAGGCGTCTTATGAACAGTGTTGCTCGCAAAGCTAGGACTCGAACCTTCGTGGATATACCCGAGCTTGCTACAATCCCTGAAAGGGGAATCGAGAGCGGCCGCATTGTCGATGGCCTCGAATTACTATACGGCGAATTGAATGAGCAAGCAGATGTCATCGACAGATGGCGTGAGGAGGTCGTTCAGTTACTTCTCAAACCACTAGTTGACGAGGATGACGACGTCGAAACAACCGGAGAAGAGCTTGGCGAATCTGCCAAATTCCAGGACTTGCTCATGGTCTATGTCACCACCTTGCGAGCTGCTATCGCTGATCGTTCAGACGCAATCTCTGGTCAAACGAATGAATTGGCCAAGCATGAAACCGAAACTTCGCTTCGGCTAGCGAGGGCTGGGGAGGGCCCAGCGCCTGTGAAAATGAGTCAAATGCTTTGCCTGAGAGCAGAAATCAAGCCCAAGATGGCCAATTTATCTATGAGAGGCGCGGTAAGTGAGTTCCGTGGCTTGCAATCCCGGTTGTCCCGCGACACTGCTGCTTCAAGCCGTGAGGCCGTGGAGGCAAAGATTGCTTCGGACCAACTGAGGGCTACTCAAAGTCAGATTAACACTCAGAACAAAGTGGCAATGGCTCTGGAGTCAGAAATTGAAAGTTTCAAGGCGACAATGAATGCCAGACTGGAGTATTATCGTCAGCTGCAGGTAGTTTCGGATGCCGTGCTTCCCTTGGAAGGGGCCAAGGACGACAACGCGATCAACAAGTTGAAGCAGACAGAAGATGAGCTACGTCGAAAACTGTCCTCTGCCGAAGCGAAACACAGGTATCGTAAGTAACAATGCTGGCCATTGACGAGGATCAGGGGGGCGGCTCTAACTTGGTAATAGTTCTGAACCTGAAGGAGGCGGGAACCAAGTCGAACGAGCCGCGAATGTGCGTCATCTGCCAGATGCCTTTTGTCACTGGCGTCCTGACGGTTTGCGGGCATCAATTCTGCAAAGAATGCATGACCATGTGGTTCAAGGCGCATCACAACTGCCCCGTGTGCAAGAGGAGTCTGAAGCCCTCGAATCTGCACGACATCGCCATAAAGCCGCAGCAGTTGCAGGTTCACAGCGAGGGCATCAATGATCAAGGATGCGCGCCGCAGCGACGGGTCGCCAGTAACCCGCCGAAGAAGGCGGCAATCTACTCCGAGTTCAACGCGAACAAGTTGGCCGAGATTAAAAACGTGGAGCTCGACGGGCCATCATTCACATCCAAGGTTGACACCCTGGTGAGGCATCTTTTATGGCTGAGAGAATCCGACCCCGGTGCCAAGTCGATTGTGTTTTCTCAGTATGGATTTTCTTTTCCCTTTCCCCCTTCCACCCCTTGACACAGATCGATGCCTCGTACTGATGCATGCCAACATTCAGATATCGTGACTTTCTGCACATCCTGCGCAACGCGTTCAGGCGGTTCCGCATCGGCCACGCCTCCATCGACGACGTCAACGGCATTGCTAGTTTCAAAGAAGACCCCGCCACGGAAGTGTTCCTGCTTCATGCGCGCGCGCACTCGAGCGGCCTGAATCTCGTCAACGCGAGCCACGTCTTTCTGTACGAACCTCTGCTCAACACGGCGCTCGAGCTGCAGGCCATCGCGCGGGTAGATCGTATCGGGCAGCAACACGAGACAACCGTGTGGCTGTACCTGGTGTCTGGCACCGTCGAGGAGAGCATATACAATCTCTCTGTGCGGCGACGCATGGAGCACATGGGCCGTCGGGGGATCAGTGCAAAGGAGAGGGCGACGCCGGAACTCCTGGATGCGAACATTGAAGCGGCGAACACGCTCGAGCTGGAGCAGGCGGCTTTGTCCAAGCTCATGAGCAAGGACAAGTCGGCGGGTGAGATGGTCGATAAGGGCGATTTGTGGGAGTGCCTCTTTGGCCATGTTGGTACGGGGGACGGCGGTGGTCAGAGGGACTGCCGGCTGCAAGAGAAGGCTGTGATGAGCTATTTGGCCGGGGAGGCGGCGGCGCGGAGACGTGCGGCATGAATGTTTTTTGTATTTATTTTTAATGAGCGCGTAGATGATACCGATGAGGGACGAGAGACCATGCTTGACTAGGCCTTGCTTTGCTGGCTGGAGGGGAGTGGATATGAATGCCCAACATGGCTCGTTGAACTTTTTGGCATGAGCAGTGTTTTTTTTTTATTCTACTTCATTGTGGTGAAAAGAAAAGTAAATCCTGGCGCCGGACGTGAGATGTCACGACACAATTGCTTTTTGTTTATCCGATTCCCTTGCCGACCCGTGCCCCCAATCCTCGTCCCGTCTGCTAGTAGGACAGAAGGTCCATGTCTGCCCAGCAGTCTCGAGACATGTTCCGTATGCTATACAGGTGCTTGTTCTCGTACCGCCACGCGCCATGTCATTCGTACAGCGTGTGCACTTCCACTAGGGCCGCCACACTAGCCTCGTGTGGTAGGAACAAACAGAGTGGACAGAGATACACAGGGCTCGTTTCTGGTCCCGGCCAGAAGAGGCGTCTACTCGACAACCTTCTTCTTGGGGGTGGACTTGACGCGCTTCGCGACGGGGCGGTTGATGTGGTGGTCGGGGATCCAGCTCTCGTCGTAGGTCTTGCTGCCGGTGGCGAGGGCGGCGGACTCGGAGCCGGAGAGGGCGGCGTCGGGGTCGGCGGGCTTCTTGGCCCGCTTGCTGAGCCCGGCGGACGAGGCCTTGGCGCGCTTGGCTTGCGGGAAGAGGACCTCGACCCAGTTCTTGTAGACGAAGTAGAGGGTGCCGGCGAAGGCGGCGGACAGGACGAGATACAGGAAGATGCTGGGCGGGCGGGCGGAGGTTAGTCTGTATCCTGCGGCCTGGGTGGGCATTGACTCTTGAGTTGAGGGGTGGTTACATTTGAGGGTCGAGGAAGCTGGTGGGGGCCTCGACGATGGCGACGACGCCGTCGTGGGCCAGCACCTGGTGCACGTCGCCGTGGGCGTCGGCGATGACGGCGGCAAGCTGCAGCTTCACGTCCTGGGGCTGCATGTCGAGCGCGAAGGAGTAGGTGAAGCTGCGGGTCTCGCCGGCCTGGATGGCGTGGTTGTACTGCGTGACGGTCAGGTTGCGGACGATGCCGCGGTAGGCGGGCGTGCCCTCGGGGAGGGTCTGCGTGGTGGCCAGGACGCCGGCGAGGACGGAGACGTGAATCGGCGCATCTTCGTTGTTGGTGATTTCGACGAGGGCCTTGGTCGGGCGGCCGTTGACGAGGCGCACGCCGAGGATGTCGGCGTCGGGGAACGTGGTCTTGACGACGGCGGCGAGGTCGGGCTTCTTGGGGGTGCTGTCGTCGGCGTCGGGCGCAGCGGCGTCGGCCTGTGACGGTGGGAGAGTCGGACGTGAGTCAGTGTTCCTGCAATTGGTGATGGGTTGGTGTTTTATGGCTTTGTGGGTTTTTTTTTTCGGGGTTTTTATTTTCATACCGCGGCTGCGCCAAAGACCTGCAGAGCGAGCAGGGAGAGCAACGAGGAGAACAGCATGGCGGGCAGGCAGGTGGACGAGGCGACGACAAAGACGAAGGGCGAGCCGAGGAAGGACGGGAGCAGTAGGAAGTGAGCCGAGAGTGAAGGGTTCTCACGACTCTGGCGACTCAATTGCAGAATGGGGAGGTGAGGTCGAAATCAGGAGGTTGAAGGTTTGGGACGTCGACGAGGACCAGGTGAAGCTGACTGGCCATTGGTGGACGGCGCCAAGGTCTGCAAGGTGGCCTCTGTCGGTCGGCGAGGTGAGGAGGGTCAACTCGTGCCCAACCCTAACCCCAAGCTTACACGAAGACTGGGCGACGAATCTCTATACATGTCCGTATTGTAATATCGCACTTGCTGCCCCCTCGTATGCGGCTGACTAGGAAGTAGGATATGATGTTTCATACTGAAAACGATACTAGAACCTAGACTATTGATTCGTTCGCAAGTATTAATCAAGCCTTGCACGTTATAGTGCATCTACAGTCCCGAGGGGGACTGTCAGTTTGTCGTGTGTTGCTCCCGAGCGCACTGAACTGTCAACGGAACATGAGCAAACATGGCTGCTGCTGCTCAGAGAACTGGTTCAAGACTCAGCCTGCAGCGCTGGGAGTGGTTTCGCAACGCTGCGGCGCGCGGTACGCTGCTTACTTAGACGGGGCTCGCGATTTGTTTGCCGTATTGCTCTCTGCGGTATCATTGGACCGTCTCTTTTTGATCGAGATGAGGCTTTCAACTTCAAGACCGGGCCCGAATCTGCTCAGAACGAGCTCCGGTAGCAAGCCAGGTGTATGTCGGATCGTGTTTGTAGTGGGTGGTGGCAGGGCAAGAGCTGACATTGAACAGCCATCCAACATGTCGTGAAGTTCGCGTACCTGGGCCTTCTCGCCGTGACAATTTAAACCTGACCTTCCCCCAGCTCCTGCTCTTACTTTTGCCATCATTTCTGCCCGCAAAGACAAGAAGCCAATCAGTCGGACATCAAGCTGGAGACCTCGACTCCAACCAAGAACGCCAGTCACAATGCCTCGCCGTCGGAAAATGAACAAACCGCATGTTGTACCTCCAGAGTATTTAAACAATTGGGACTCACGCACTTGGTACTCACACATTGAATTCCCTCCTCCATTCCCGAGTAACTCTTCTACGGTGGAAGCGATTGCCACCTCTGTGAGCGTGGAACAGATCGGCACCAACCATACGGACCATGTTGCTTCGCCCTACGATGCCTCAGAACAGGGTGAGCACCTTCTGCTTTTACATAACTCTCGCCTTGGCGCGATCTGACGAAAGAAGCAGGGCAACGAATTACAGGACCGGAGGGCTTCACCGATATGACATCCAACGTCCCGGTGGTCACGATTCGTCCTCCCGCCGACGAGCCCCTACAGCGCCCACAAGATCATCCGCAGTCAAGAGTCCACCAAAGGACCCTCGCGTTAGTTGCCGATCATCCTGATGTACTTAATCGGATGTGTGTCCGGTGCCGCCAGGACCCAGAAGCCTTGGCTCTGGATCACAGGAAGCTTTACTTGGATTCGCGTGAAGTTACAGACCATCTTCTTGAACTAGCGGGACTGGAAGAGAAAAAGTGCGGCAACGAGTCAGACAGCCACATAAAGTGGCATGTCCTATATCGCCTTTCGAGTATTATCACTCTGATGGAACGCATGTCCGACTGCGACGTATTGTCCGACTGCGACGTGTACTCACCCCCTTCCGCATCGGAAGATCAAGATCCTGACTCGGATATGGCGAACACGTGCTTCGCTCAGACAAGGCTGTTGTTGATGGTGGAGGCAGAGTCCTGCATAGCATCTTTCTGGGACAAATTTGCAGCCCTGTGGGCAACGCATGAGACTCACTCCAGGATTCAGGCCAATCATTTCGTGGGATTGCTTGCCAAGCTGTCAGAGGTTATGGAACTTCTCAAAATCGAGTATGAACTCCACAAGGGCTCGGACTCCCGGAAACACTTTGAGCAGTGCTCAACGTGGGCTCAGGAGGCGCGGTTGTCAGGCAACCTCAACGTCCCAGAAGGCTCTTACCTCCCAGAAGACCCTTGCACCAGCCGACTGACTTGTGCGCTCGAGGGCACTGCCAACCCTTCACGTCTCTCATGGGCCTTCATCCCGCAAGGCGAGATCGACCTGCCTCCGCCTGGGGAATCCGAACCACTCCAAGGACTGGTCCCGGGAGTCCAGGTGTGGTATATGTTTCCAGAAAATTAGGATTCTGAGTGGGCACTCTTGCCATACCATGTGCGAATGGAGAAAATATCACCGGAAAAAAAAAGGACATCTAATAGGCCAACGGATAAGACGTTCACGATATATTACGGGTACGTCTTATCCAAGGAGCGAATTGCGTACTGAGATTGCCTGGAGTACAAGGATTATGGAGGATTTCATCCACTATATATAGGAGGACATAGTATGAAGAGAACAAATTGAAACCTTTTTTCCTCAGGTCATTCTGCACCGCTCCCAAGTGCTGTCAGCAAGCCGGGTTGACTGATTCTCGCGTCCCCAAGTCGTGCATCTGCTTCAGCGCAGGGAACGCGGCCGCCGATGCTGACCATGAGGCCGGAGTGCATCGATGTAAACCTGCATCTCATTCGCGTTGCAACCGTGGGTGGCTGCAGAGCGCGCCGTGTCGGTCCAGCCTCGCGGACATGCCAGGACCACGTTGTGGCTGGCTACCAGGGCGGATGGGCGTGTAGAGTGCCGGGTCAAAAATCGTCTTGCTAGGTCCCATTCTCTTCATCCGGCATCTCCTACGCAGCGGCCAGGTCGAAGAGGAGTGGTCATGGCCGTCCCACAGTGTGATGCCGTTGGAGAGGTTTTAAGGGGTTGCAGCGCGCCGCATCGTGCCGGCGACAGGAGAGTTCGGCGGACAACGAGGATACAACGGCCACTACACGCCGGTCAAAGCCCTCGCAGGCAAGTGCAGCAGCTACAAATGGAGTTGGCCACTGCAGGGAAAGGGCTGATGCAAGTGAAGATGTCTGCGTGGGATGAGCCAGTTGGCCGGATGAGGTTGACGAACAATCACGTGACGACGAGCAGCAACCCGCCCATGAATCAACCTGGACCATCCATCCATCCATCCATCCATCCATCCATATTTCGAGTGACTCAGTCGCGAAAGCGGCAGAAGCTTCTGCTCAGTCCACCACCAGTGCGAGGCGACTCAATGCCCGTAACGCTCGTACACTTCATCGCATGGTCGCGCGCAAACATGATCGAACCGGCGCTAATTGGCGGACCATGGCCAGGCAGCGGGTCACCCTTGGGTCGCTTACAAGTTACTATAGTCCATGGGAGCTTTAGGTCGGTTGTTGGCCAGAGTGTCTGTATTCTTCTTCCCTTTGCTTACAAGTTAGTTAGACTGCATTAGTCTTTTCCCTCCAACGACAAACTCCCTCATTAGCTTTGAACGCCGGCCATGGCGGTAAAACAAGCAGATGACTTGCGCATCGACATCGCCGCCTCGCCTGACATTGCAGAGGCTGAGATGGATTTTCGCGACACTTGATTTTTCCAATCGGGGGATTCCCATGGTACAGCTGCCATCACCTGCGTCAATCCTTGAACAATCTCCAGAAGCTGCTATCGTCACAAATTTGAACACCAGAATCTCGCTGTCAAGGCTGGTCACTCCTCCTACCCGAGAAAGTCATGAGGCCGTTTGAAACCGAGTGGGCTGTGTTCTTGAAGTATGCATTGCGGCGGGGTCCATAGGGCTTGCGTACTCCTTGTATAGATGCTGTCACGCACATCGGGAATGTACTCGGCATGTCGCTCCTCCCGTGTCTTGCGCGCAACGTGTAACAAGGCTCATTGACCGGAGAGGGGTCATGCCGGGATACAGAGATCAGACCAAGGCAGGTTGCAAGTCTTTGCAACTGGGGCCAAAATAGGATCCGTGTACCGACACTCTGCCATCCTCTACTCCGTAGGTACCCCGACAACGTTGACGATTCGTGCCGCCAATTGACCAATGTTGCACGGAACTTGCGGTCGAGCCTCAACCACACGACTAGCTGCAATTCACACAAAGGGTGCAGGCATCACGATACCCTCAGAGGCCGCCCGGACCCGGGAATCTAGGCAGAAAGGCCCAACATGTCTCTGCCCCTTGATGCCACAGTCATCTAGTCAGGTTACGCACACAGGCATCTTCTTGTGTATGCCATCATGAGTCTTTGTACCAAGCCCTAATCTCTATGGCCAGCTCTTGTCACACCATGCAAGCTCGGAGCAGCATGAAACGCCCGTCCACCTTCCTCGCTTTAATCAAGACACGCAGAAAGACGGCGGGAATATCCAAGATGCATCTCTTGGCTCTAGTTACTGCCGCAATGGCGGCGGCCATCTCTGTAACTGAGGCTACCGACCTTGATACCGGTGTTAGTGAATCGGCGATGATTAGTCCGGCCTTCCCTGGCGAGACCAGGTTTTCCTACATCGTAATGCTCATGCGGAGGCACTCAGGTCTTGCAACGGCAAAGCCATCTACTCCGGACCATCTAGTCTGTGATGACTGATGACTGATGGCGGACCGGCATCAAACTCCATGAGTCCATACGAGGTACAGTGACATTCAACGTCCCATGTGGGGAATTGCATAAAACTTCCCAGTGTTGGGCTTCTGCAGATGGCCCTAAACAACGCGAGCCGCGACGATCAATGTCCATCCTCGTCACACGATTACACGTGGGCGCAGGCGATGAGACCCAGGACGCGAGGCTCACTGCACAAGTACAAATCCTTGGTCATCTAGCCCAGCCAAAGGGACTTGAACTCCAACCCGCGATGCCGAGGCCGGCTCGAGATATTGTCGCCCCGAGCCCTGATGCCGCCGATGGCACTAGCACGAGTCCAAACGAGTAGCGAGAGGCATCCCCTCCAAGGCGGAAGAAGTTGCCGTTTTGAGCTGATCAGCAAGCCGAGGCCCGGCTGCGGAATGAGAAGCCAGACCTGACTCAAGCAAGTTGGGCAGCGTGAGGTTTCTCGATAAACGTGGCGCCCTACCCACGACGACCCGAATGTCGTGGGGGACTGTTGTCAAGAAACAAAGCCGACAAAGTCAAGCGTACCGCGTCGTATTCTTCACCACTACACTGCAACGGCCTTCAGTCGTCCGTGACTGAGTCTGTGGCAGCAGCGTCAAGCAACATGGCGACGACACTCTTCCTGCTTGCGACTCTGGGCTCCGCCTTCATCATGGCCGCCGGCACGGGTCAAAATCAGACTTTGCCCCCAAGGCCCAACTTCGTCTTTATAATGACGGATGATCAAGATGTGCGCATGAAGTCTTTGGATTACCAGGACGTTGTCAAAGAGCAGCTGATGAAAAAGGGCACGACATTCACAAAGCACTTCTGCACGGTTTCAGTCTGTTGTCCGTCGAGGGTCTCTCTGCTCACCGGAAAGGCCGCCCACAACACCAACGTTACCTCCTTGACTTGGGTACGATGATGAAGAATCCATCTCCGTCACTACGTCGTGCGCTAACAACGTAACTGACAGCCATACGGTATGTTCTGCAAGACAAACGGGACGCATTGTGCTTCATGTGTATGCCTCTCTGCGGAAATGCAGAGATTGAGAAGCCTTCACGGCTAATTGACAAGTATCCACGGTTGAGAAGCATTCACGGCTAACACGAGATGCACGACAGGCGGATACTTGAAGTTCACGGCGCAGGGACTCAACGACGCCTACTTGCCGGTGTGGCTTCAAAACCACGGCTACAACACGTACTACACTGGGAAGCTGATGAACGACCACAGCACCACGACGTATAACAAGACCTTTGCCAACGGATGGACCCGATCTGACTGTGCGTTGACGGGTGCCGGCTGCCCCGTACCCCGAATCCCTCGCTGACCCGTGTGTCCAAAGTCCTGCTTGATCCTCACACGTACAGCTACACGAATAGCGTCATGGCGCTGGACAAGGAGGAATACAGGAGCATCAAGGGGCTGTACTCGACCGACTTCATCGCCAACAGGTCTCTAGAGTTCCTCGGCAACGCCGTTGCGGCCGGGAAGCCCTTCTTCCTGGGCGTCGCGCCCGTCGGTCCCCATTCGTACGTCGATTCTGGCAGAGGCTTTTCGAATCCGGTTCCTGCAGAACGACACAAGAACCTGTTTCCCGGCGTCAGGGTTCCTCGCTCTGCAAACTTTAACCCAAGCAAGGTGCTCTTCCCACGCAAAGAATGCAGATTCTCCGCTCACGCCTTGGACGAGAGGGAAGCTAACAATCCGCCAAGCCCGGGGACGCGAGCTATCTCAAGACGCTTCCTCGGCTGAGCTCGACCCAAGTCAGCTACCTCGACGGCTTCTACCGCTCTCGATTGCAGGCGCTACAATCCATCGACGACATGGTTGGGCGCATCGTCGACGCGCTCGACAAGACCCCCAGCGTGCTCGCCAACACGTACATTATTTACACCAGCGACAACGGCTACCACCTCGGGCAGCACCGCCTGCCGCCCGGCAAGGCGTGCAACATCGAGGAGGACATCAACGTGCCCTTCATCGTGCGAGGCCCCGGCGTCGCGCAGGGCCAAGAGGTCTCTCTCCCGACGTCTCACACCGACATTGTCCCCACGCTGTTCCGTCTCGCACGCCTCCCCCTGCACGACGACTTTGACGGTGTTCCCATGCCCGTCACGCCCGACTCCCGGCGTCAGAAGGCGCATCGGCACCCCAACGAGCACGTCAACGTGGAATACTGGGGCGGCGGCAACCACGACGGCCAGGGCGTCTTTGAGGATTCCGCCAGGCTCATGCGCCAAAACACATACAAGACGCTCCGCCTCGTCGGCCGAGACCACGACCTGATGTACGCCGTCTGGTGTACGAACGAGCACCAGCTGTACGACATGAGGGACGATCCGTACCAGATGAAAAACTTGTACGGGACGAAGGGAAACACTTCTCGCTATTCCATACCTGCCCTGACGGCCCGTCTGGACACTCTGCTCCTCACGCTCAAGAATTGCAAAGGCAAGGTGTGCAGAGAGCCGTGGAGGACCCTCTTCCCCGGGCCTGACGACGCCGTTGTCTCCCTCGACCAGGCCATGGACGCCAAGTACGACGGCTTCTTTGCCAAGCAGGAAAAGGTGACGTTTTCGAAATGCGCGTATGGTCAGTTGCTCGAGTTCGAGGGAGCCCTGCGGCCGGCCATCTACAAGGACAGCCGGGCCTGATGTCGTCTGACGGCGGAGGGTGGGAGGACAAGGGCTCGTCGGAACGCGTTCATGTGGCGAGGAGCTAGAGCGTGGCGGGCTCACAGGTGCTGCGTACATGTGTCTTGGGCATTTCGAATCGGGTAGACGGAAGTTGGAACGGGGCTGCGTTGGCGTTCGTATGTGACGCAGGCTGGCTTGACACGCTGCCTTGATACACTTGGATGTAGCGCATGTGCAGTTCCAAAAAGGTGTAGTCCAAAACAATAGGCATCATGTCTGCTTGCCCTAGATCCCCTCTCTACAGTATATGCTATATGAGACGGAAACAAATGGAACTAAAGAGTCTGAAAATCCTTGTCATGATATTTAGTAACCCAGCTCAATCCCACTGCACTGCATGGGTAGCTCTCTCTAGCAAATCGAGCGTGTCGGAGTGACGGGACGATTACGGCCAACGAATGCCAGAAACGAATAACGAGGTATTAATGCCGGCATACGGAACGCTTCTTAAAGACTTGGCATGACGAGCGGTGTTCATGAAGAGTTTGTCCTTTGCTTCCACGGCACCAGTGGCTTGGTAGAAGTTGCAAACCAAGTGTTTTGAGGGAGTTCCGTTGAGAGTATGCATGATCCTCTCAATTCTGCCGAGTGTCCTACTGATTCTTCCGTCGGGATCGTGACCTTGATTTGGTACGCTTAGGTGGGAGCCAATCCCCCAATTCAGTCGACAGTTCATCTGCCGAGGTGTCGGAACAGTAGGAGGAGCGTGTTGCATGTGAGCCAAGATTCAGCACTGTTTCTTGGCTAGTGGCAAGAGTGTCTTCACCAGACGCATCATCATCCACGCCAAGAGCCAGTCCTCCTGCTGTCGACGGAACAAGGTGATTTCGTGCTGCCAATTGATTCGCTTGCCGAATCGCATAATCTCTGTGTTCTTTTGCCCAGTCTCTGGCATTGCGGAACGCTGCAGCCCCTTGACGAAATGTATCAGCATCGCCAGTGAGACCCCATGCTTTGATCTGCGTCATTGCGAATCCAGGCTTTTCTCCTGGTGTACGTGGTGGTATGGGATGGCTGGCGAACATCTTGAGCTGTCCCCCGTGGTATGTGGATGAGATTGTATATGCCTTGTTGTCATACTCCAACTCCGGCTGGCAATACGACTGCAGACTGTGCATACCTCTGGCTCCCAGGGCGCCGTTGTAACACGCCTGTCGGAATGCAACTGACAGATTCCCATCAGGGCCTTCTACCTCAAGGAAAAAGTTGGCCAGAATTGGAAGGTCGCTCTGAGACGAGGGAATTATTTTACCACTTTGTTCCTTGCGAACTTGGCGATTAAGCTGTTCCGGTCTTGCGCCATAATATAGGTCAGGTATGGCTGCCACAATTGTTCCGTCGGTCAGGTCGTCGAGGTTCGTGAATGCAATATCGCCTGCAATACACTTGGTATCTAGGACTGTCCCTTCAATTACAGGTATGACGTTTCTTGTAACCTCACGTTCCCCAAAGGCATGCGTGTCTGCTCTTCTAAACCTTCTAAAATCATCGTTAGAGAATCGAGATGGGGATAAAGATGGTCTAGGCCGAGCCATCGCCAGTAGTATATCGTCCATGTTGTCAGGCTCTGGCGGCAAGGCACCATCAGGGTATTCATAACCATCTGGAAATATATTGTGATCGGTGAGGTTTTGCTGAAATGCACGGTCATATGGACTAGTGCTCCTCGTGCTCGTAGTATTGGGGGTCGCGCTGGTCTTTGACGGAAATTGACTGGTTCTCTTCACGGGAGACTGAGTCCCTCTCTTTCGGCATTCGAGGCTCGACTGACTGGAACTGACATTTTCATGCAAACTTATTGGGATTTGACGCTGTGGTATTCTTAGCGGGGCCTGGCATTTGTCAGAGAGAGAGCCGTACCTACCCCTCTTAGATCTGAAAGGTCCGGACCACCTCGTCTTGCAAAACGATCGAGGGTTGGCGGAACGCGACGTGTGGGCGCAGTTTGAACGCAACTTGGAGAACTGGCAAGACTGTTCCGCCGATCGAGCTCCCGTACTGCGTTCTTGGTAAGAGGGATCTCTGACAGGCCGTCCCAGAATCTAGCAGGTAGAAGATGTGGATGATGGGCTTTCTGCTTCTTGAAAGGACGGCTGAGGTACTGCGCGTCGTCGACTGTTTCTTTTGAGTTTGAGGCAACACAACACTTGTGTCCTTGTGAAGAAGTGTCTCGCTGCTGCTGGCTTCGTAGCGCTGGCATCATCGAACGCTGGCCGCGCCAAACGGGAGGGTGCAGGAGCTCTCTTTGTATGCGTCGACGTCGGCATCTCGCCATCGGCGTGCTTTGAAGAGGTGAAGTCGAGACGAGGCCTGATTGGCGGGGGGCTGGGGTCACGGTGGCCAGGCGGTTGATGGAAACGCGCCTCGCAACTGCACTGCGACGATCAACCTCGCACTCGGCCAATCCCACACCCGATAGAGAGTGTACCAATCAAAAGGAATATTGGTAGGAAGCTGAATGTCACTCTGGCACCAGAGATCAGCTCCTTCGGGCTCATTGCAGCTTTGCAAATGCCATGGCAGGCACAATTTGGCGCGCGGGTGGCTGGGCTAGCCTCGCCAGACTTGGCTGTGACAGCCCATTGACTTGCCTGTCACCGCCCCCATTGACACTTTACTTGGCCGTGCCAGCAGCGAATGCACTGAAGTTGCTGGAAGTGGTTGCTACTGGCAGTGCAGAAGTGCGAGGTGCTGGCAGCGACCTCCTGGCGCCTCGCAGGCTACAGGCACCGATCGTAGCGACCATGATTCGTGATACCGAGAGACTCCAAGTTCGGCGAAAATGCGAACAATGCCGCGGCAGCTGGCTACATTCTCATGCACAAGTTGCCTGGCAAGTCACCGAGGTGGTCTTTGGCAACTCGGGAACAAAGGAGACCAGTCACGAGTCAGTTGGCCGACACATTTACCGAGCTTCACAAATACCCTTTTCCACTTCTTGGCTCTCTCGACAGTCCTGGCAAATCTCAAGTTGGCGCATGCGCTCGAGAATCGCTCACCAACTTTGTGAAATCCAACATGTGCACTACTGGACCTTTCGCTTCCCCAAGGGAATACTACACATCCTCCATCCAACTCATATTGGATGCGATGCTTCAAGATGAAATCTACTCGCAGCAGGCAGTAGACGCCTACCTAATCCACCGATTTCTCCCTGATTTGGTCCCACTCGTGTCGCCCTCGGGGCAGAACAACGCATCTCAAGCACGCAGATGACAAGGGAGACTATATTCTGGCAGATGAGCAGTTCAACATCACGGGCATTATCGACTGGATGGAATGGAGTCAATGGAAAACCGTTGCGCTGAATCGCTACAAGAACGATTCTGGATCGAAACTTGTCTTGTCTGAACACTAGGACTCCATAGAATCATGTGGACTGGCTGGTTGGTATTAGGAGCACTGGGCTAACGGATACTCTTGTGCCTTGGCAACTCTCCCAGTCTCTCGCACGTGGACCGTTTAACAAGGCTCCGGAGAGTGTTCATCCCGGCATACACAGATCAGACGGAGGCGAGTTGGCAGGTTTCGCAACCAAGGCCAAAATGGGATCGATGCGAACACCAACGATTCATCATCCACCGGGTACGCCTCGACAACGAGCTATGTCCCTCATCTGGCTGACGTTGGTCCTTGCAACGGGACTATTCGTGTTGCCAATCGACTAATGAGAACGGTATAAACCTAGCTTGCATGAGTGGTCGCAGGTTGCGCTGCCGCTGGGGTTAACAAATACTAGCGATTGGTGAAGATAAGCCGTAGCTGTGCGGGGGCGGCTGTATTTGAAGAAAGCAGTAGCTCTTATGTGCAAGGCCAGTGCCAGCGCCTCCTGTTTCTCACGCTGAGCCTCTATGTAGTACAGTAGGTGACTGTAATGCTACCGCACCATCTGTCAGCTTGCTATTCTCCAAAAACAGACACCACAGCCTCTATTTCTCGAAGCACACTCCTCTATGTACAGACATTAGAACCTCAGAGAAGAGCTTGATAGGTTTCTGAGCTCTACTGGCAGCTGTGGTCGCATGTGCCAGACACGGCTGACAATTTTATTTACAACTCTTACTCACAAAAGATAAGAGGCAGAAAAGAGCCAAGGCACCGCGTCGAAATTCAAACTCGCCCGACGAGACGGCCCGTCTAGACCCGCTTTTACGTCGCCGTCGACGTTGCGGGACTTTTATGTGGCCCAGACCGAACCGAACCGCAGCTTCCGATTCGCCGGAGCGAGCCATGTCAGTCGACGACATGTCACAATGCCGTGAACCCCGAAGGCGGTTCCTTCCTCATTGTCTGTCACGCCTCGAGTACCTTCCTCTAGCGCTGTGCCTGGAGATTTGGAAAAGTCTTGGCGGAAGGTGAAGGTGAACATCAGAGCAAGTGCTCTTCCTCTTTGCAACATTTGCATTTCCACGCGATTCCATCATTCACAATTTGCGGCGAGTCCCGAACCGACGAGGAGGAACTAAATGCCACGCGTCCATCTACTTGGGTATGTATTCTTCTTCCGTACCAACAAAATACGTCATTCAACTAACCAGGACATGTATCTTGCAGACACTCCAGGGCAGCCTCAGTTGGCTCTTGCCTCCACATGACTGCGACGCCCGGTAGAAAAGTGCAGTCCGCGACGTACACGACTCGACAGACGTCAAGCACTACAAATGATCCGCAATACTTCAAGTAACGGCCGCGCGCTGCCGCTACGATCAGCCAAGAGATCAGCCATCTGCAATGTCTTTTTCCGGATGCCGCGCTTACCGACTTGGCGGTATAGGCGCAGCCGTCTTCCTATATTCGTCTCCCGTTGCGAGCCATCGCTGGACAATTTTCCTCTAGACATTTAACATACAATCTGGTTCTGTTTGTCACACGATTGGTCGCACGTTTACACAAGGGCTGTGATGCCAAGACCTGGGGCAGAAGGCTGCTGCATGAATAGAAGTCTGTGGCCCGCAAGGACCTTTTATACTAAAGCGTTTCATATGCGAATTGAGCCAACGTGCTTCAAGCCCTCGGACGAGTCCTTGTCGCATAGCTGCTGGACAGGCCTCGGGACCCACGCTCAAAGCCGTCGATGTGCGTGCTCTCTTAAAGATCGTGTAGTTCAATTACAGCTGTTCAATAAGCGAGTCGAACGGAGCGAGATCGCCAGAGATTGCAATGCATACTAACAAAGCGGTTTCACGTACGGTCACTTCTTGGTGAACGTCACAGCGGGACACGCTGATGTTCAGATCAATGAGTGTCGATGACAGACAGTGCCGAGGTTGTCAAACTGATGACGGACTTCTCCCTTGGCTGCGGCGGCGGTTGAATGGGCTTGTCTTGGACTTGTTGCCTTTTCAATGGTCGAGACGAGAAAGCTTGAGCATTGAACGAGCGAGATGAGAAAAGTCAGTCTTGATAGACTGGCTTTTCGTCTTGCGTCGGCTGGCATGGGTCCTGGAAACGGTTCCAGGCTGGCCACCTCACTCGGGACATGAGACAGAGGTCTCTAACGGTCAATGGAAACCCGGAAATTCATTTGAAACCACAAAGGCGCTGTGGCCAGCAGGTTCGTCGTTTGAAAAGACACGATGTTGCAGCGCAACCCACAGGTCAGGCCATGAGCCAAGTCGTTCGTGGAGAAGAAGTTGGAGTCATCCACCCACCCTTGTACTGGAAATGAGAAAAGGCCAGACCAGCAGATGGGAACGACCTGCTTGCCTGCTGCAAAGCGACAATGCTACATGTGTACTTTTGGCTACGCCAACAGGCTCGAGCTTGAGAATGTCTTGTGTCCTGACAGCCTCCCTCCCATGTTGTCGAGGATGGCGTCGGTGCCTCCCGTCTCTTCCGCCAGGCCACCGTGTAATACGGCAGGTGAGCGTAGTGCTACCAAGCACCTATTGGTTTGCTCCGTGGGATCCTGCAAAAGAGGACACACACAGTATGCTCTATTTCTGGAGACACACTTCATGTGCAACCCCAGAAGGGCTCGACAGGATCCCGCCCAGGCTTTGCTAGCTGCCGTGGTCTGTGCCGGTCCTGGCAAGCTTGGTGCTTACGGAGTGCATGCATTTTGGATGTACAACCAGCCAAGATTTCAAAGCTGGTCGGTGCCAAGCGGCCACCATTGCTATTGCAGCTTTTGACCAGTGGAGGATCGTCTCCGTCCGCGCCACGTCTCATGGTTGCTGCCAGTACGGAGTAGCCAGAGAACCGCTTCTTCTTTCTGGTGTCATGCTCGACGTCATGTTGCAGAGGATGGGGACGGAGGAGGGAGGGGCGTCAAGGGGGGCATATATATATACACATATATATACCCGTCACCCGTCAAGAGGTTCCTTTCCCCCGTCCCCCCGTTTCATGTAGTTGCGGCTGGGTACGACACGCGTTGCCCGCAGCACCGGTTCCGTCGTGAGCATTCTCGTCAACGGGGTCTTCTCTCGTCAGTCAGTCGAGCTGTGCCGGCCGCCATCGACATGTCGTCTTCACGGCCAAAGATGTGCAGGGAGGGCGTGCTCGAGACGATGAAGTCGGCGAGTCTCGAGCCCCCCGATCTGGACCACCTGTTCGAGCACTGGCCGCGCGCTACGAGCCCCCATTACAGAATCCTCCGAGAGGAGGCAGACGCCTTTTTGACATGGTTGGGCCGCACCAGACGCATTGAACATGCTGGAGTTGGAATCTGTTCCCTGCCGGACGGGCTAACTCTCGCTCAGGGTCGTCCCGCCAGGGCGTAAGCGAGAGAGTTATCTGGCATCCGACTTTGCCTGGCTCTTTGCCTCGTGGTTTCCGTACGCGCCCCTAGAGGCGCTCAAGATCCTGACGTGTGCGAACATCTGGGTGAGTCCTCGCACGGCCACGACCCCCTAAAATGGCGACGACTGACCGTGACTCCTGGCCCCGGAAGCTTTTCCTCTGGGACGACGGTGAGCAGAGAACCCGGGGCGCCTCCCTGCCAAGCTCGACCATGCTGCCCTTTTTTAACTGCCTTTAGAAATCGACGCCGCCACCGGCTCGTTGTGGGATGCCTGGGACGCGGCGGAAGCGTTTCGCCAAGTCACCAAAGATTTCGTCCGCGCTTGTCTCGGCCTGGCTCGGGACACGGGCGATCCGTATGCCCTCGCGGACGACATTAGAATCTACAGCGGCGGCAAGGCTCTCGGGCGACTTGCAAAAATTTACGGCAACGGTGCGTCAAGCAGCCAGGGGGGGGGGGGCCAAACCGGCGCCAGTCGAGAAAAACATGCTCTGTCGCGAGATTGAGAGATACATCGACCACCAAGCAGTCGAGCAGAGAGTACGGCTGAGCGATTCAATCCAGACCATTGAGCAGTTCTGCAGTGTCCGCCCTGCCAGCTCGGGCGCCTCTCAAGAGATGTGCTACCTACCGTGCGTCCTGGCCACGCCCAACCCAAACCCAGAGACGACATTTCCAAGTGACACAGCCCGCTGACCCTGCGCTCTTCCGTCAGCCTCGCGTGCGGCTATCCAGTCCTGGAACTGCCAGGCAAGGTGTTGAACGACGCGGCTTTCCAGACGTGCTGGAGCCGCTGCGAAGAAATCGTCGCCTAGTCAGTACACACGAGTGCTCGTGTCCCCGCGGCTGCCCACGTCAAGAGGCCCTCTGCTGACTGCTTCAGTGTCAACGACGTCTGGTCGGTCCGGAGGGAGATTGTAAGTCGGCAGAAGGAATTGGTCGTCAATCTCGCTTCGTTTTCCGACACTGTTAACACGGCGTCGCGCAGGACGACAACGCCATTGACAGCCTTGTGCCCCTGTTCTACGCGCAGCAAGGGGACCTCGACAAGGCGTGGCTGTTGACAGTCGACATGATTGCGACAAAGGTCAAGGAGTTTGACGACGCTGCGGAGAGTCTACTGCGTCGCTTTGCATCCGCGCCCGAGAGCCCAAAGTTGACCGACTTTGTAAAGGGCTGCAGGTACATCTGCACCGGCAATCTGATGTGGAGGTGAGGATTCGCAATCTGTCCCCATCTACACTCAGCTGCACCCCCGAGACACTTACAATGAGTGACCTAGCAAGCGGACCAGACGCTACAATAAATAAGCTTCCAGGCTTTCCCTACTCACCGTGCAGAAAGGGGTGGGACATTGAGCAGCCCGCCGTCGGTACTTCGCAAGCGTCTTGAGGATTGGATCCCTTGTCTGGTGATGGGGCCCTTGCTGCTGCTGGACATGGGACCGCAGCGTCGTGCGACGCGCTTGACAACGAGGAGGACATCTGCTTCATCGTCAGATATGGCGAGGACGCGCGCCGGCGAGGCCCTCCTTGTGCACTGGCTAGCTAGTCATCAAGCCTAGCAGCTGCCCGTGAATGCATACATACCTGACTGAAGAGTTTTCGCAACTGTCCGTCCGTGCCGGTCTTGTAAAAGTCCAAGCCTCTAGTGGACGGCCGACTTGACGACATTGGCAGAAAATAAATACCGCCAGCATCTCCGCGCCGTTCCGTCAAGCAACGGTGAGGCCGCTGCGTCTGCCGCGCTTGCGCTTGCGCTCTCGCCTTCCCAATTGGAACGCCACGCGGCCCACGCCCAATCACGGCTCATCGACTCGAGGTCCCTCGGGGCAATCATCGGTGGCGTCTGTTTTGGTGCAAGGGTCGTATTCATCTACAGGCCTGGTCTTGCAGATCTCTCTTGGCTGGTTATATAGTCTGCGTGTGGGTTGTTTCCCTGGGATGCAATGTGTGAGCGTGGCCATCTCCGCCGCAGTACAGAGCACTCCCCCAACAGCAATATGGAAATAGTCTGAGCTGGAGTACTACGCGCTTCCCGGCCAGACCGGGCATAGCATGGACGATGGGGACTATAGCCGCTAGGAGCGTGCTTCTTGTCGCGTTCTTGGCGTACCGGCTGCATGCTTGCATGCTGTACTCGGTACTTTGTCCCGCCTCTTCAGGCGTCTTGATAAGATGGCGCAGTCTTGAAATCGGTAGGTAGGATTCAAACTTGACTCGTCGTCGCACACCAGATGCTCGGCCAACAGGGAATCCCGCGTAGCCGAGCTCGTAATACATTAGTTATATTGTGGTTTGAATCACCAGATTAGTTATTTTACGTACTCTCTTTCGACATGGTTCCATTCGCCTCCGACCAAGAACAGGAATAGGAAATACACCAGTCGTTGCAGGCGAGCGGAAACCGCCCAGTCTTTTGGCTCCCACATGAGACATGGACCAGGGCCATCTCGGTGGTGGTCAGTCAAGTGGTATTCCTCATAGTCGACCAACCGAGGCCGACACATCCAGCAGGCTCGTCTGCATGTCCCGCGCCGCGCCCTGTTCCATGGCAACCATCATCTGCCTCATCGGCGCTCCGTTCGTCCCGCCCGGGGCTCGACCGTACACTCGCTCGGCAAACATGCGGAGCTGCATCGGGAACTGGGGGTCGCCGTAGTTCTCAATGATGTCGCTCTTTTCCACCGCACACCCCAGGTCATACCACTGCGCCGGTTCCATGCCGAGCGCTTCGCAGTCCCTCTTCTTGGCATCATTCCACCACGGCGGCAGCAGCCCAGGACAGGACGCGACGCGCGCCAGGAAGCGCTGGAAGCCGGGCAGGCCGTTGTCAGCGCCGCCGTATATGCCGTCCGCGTCCACCTCGCCTTCGAAGCTGCACATGTCCTCGACGCGGAGGCGGTACGCGTCGATGAGCAGTCCATAGACGTCCTTCTCCGGCCGGTCATGGAGCCAGGTGTCGTTGTCGAGGCGACTGAACGGGAAGGCGACGCCTCGTTCCACTCCCTTGGGAGGTGACAGGGTTGCGGCTCCGGGCCTCCTGGAAGACGGCGCCGCGCCGCTGGCCTGTCGGCCGCAAATCTTCTTGTGCACCTTCCAGTCTGCCTTTTGGCAGTCTCGGGAGCAGTAGGGCGTGGCGGAGCATTTTGCACACCGCCTGAGTACGACCTCGGGAGGAGATTTTTGGCAATGGGTGCATGAAGGGGCCATGACGAGTTGTTGTTCCCCAGAGGAATTGTGCTTGCGAGGAGATTAGTTCTCGGGGCCAAGATATGTGACAGCTCAAGTGTGCTCGAGTGTGCTGTGCCGTAGTCCAGACGGTGGGCAGTGAGGGCTCGGCAAAGGTGTTGAGCAACAGGAGAGGCAGGGTCGTGCGAGTTTCGAATTGTTGGGACTCGACAAGGCTGGTTTGCATATCCAGGAGGTCTTGGCACTATCTGTTTATCGAATACAGCACACGGGGATGCAATGTGCAACAGACTGCCTAGTCTCTTCCTCCTGCAGGAGCAAGGTATGCATGGTGATGAGCATGTATGGTGCAGGGGAATGTTGTTTGTCTCGAGAAACACTTTGCAAAGGACGACCTACCTAGGCAGGTATGCAGTGAGAGAGAGACGCAATAGTCCACAGCAAATGACGGCATCCTTCCAGGCCGGTTCCGTAGTGGACAGACAAGACCGAGGAATATGCAACTGACGAGGTGATGGCCGCAGCTCCAACCACGCCAAGTGCCACGTGATGACTACGGTAAACCGGGTCTATAACGATATCTCTTCGTGAGGCTTTTTTTGTTGTTACAGTAAACTATGTCTATAACGATCCTGTGTTATAGCGAAATTTAGGTTTTTACGATAATTTACAGTTATCTAAGGTTTTTTGCTAGTAAATCGTTAATAGTTGCATTACTAATAATATTATTAACTTTTTGCTTAGTTACTATATATTTTATTATTATAAAGCTCTACTTTAATAGCTAAATTTCCTTATAGTAAAGCTAGATTTCTTTATAGTAAAGCTAGATCTCTTAATAGTAAAGCTAAATATTACTGCTTTCTCTTAATATATACTTTATAATATTCTTAAGTGTAATTTCCTAGTAAATTTAATATAAAGTATAAGCTCTATAAAAGTTACACCTTAATAATAGTTGCTATATAACAATGAAAAAAGCCTCACGAAGAATATCGTTATAGACCTAGTTTACTGTATATAGCGACTTATATAGTAACTAAGCATAAAATTAATAATATTGTAAGTAACGCAACTATTAGCGATTTACTAGGGAAAAACCTTAGATAACTGTGAATTATCTTAAAAACCTAAATATCGCCAAGATACAGGATCGTTGTAGACATAGTTTGCTGTAGCTGGTTCTCCGTACGGACAGATCCAGGCACCGTCCATGTCAAAGCTCTGTATGACACGAAGGAGATCAGGACGTCCGGGAGCATGCGGTATGGCAGAACAGCCCGTGGGGGGATCATGGCGGGCTGGACCTGGGCGTTGTGATCTACGACGCAGCCGGCATGTGAAAGTCGACGAGGCGAACTCACGATGTTCACTGTCACTCCTTCGGGGGGCAGGATCGTCGCCAGATTCAGCCCCATCGACCTGGAGCGACAACTCATCGGCAACTGACAAGTTCTGATAGAAACCAATAATCGAGGCGTGTGTATGAACGAAGCTCAAGCGGACTCATGCTCAGACCCCGAGTTTGAAATCCACCGGGAGTGACCAAGGAATAGTGAGGTGAAGGAAGCATTCTTCCCTTTTGTTCTTGGAGGGGGCTTCGGCCTCGGCCTTTGGGAGATGGGCTGCTCTTCAAGTCGCAAGCCTTTTTGGATCCGGTGTGGCATTTGCCGTGCTGGATGGAGTGAGGGGTGTGGTTGCAGCTTGTCAATTGTTCTGCTGTCGGGCTCATGGATGAACAGCTTCATATAAATACTATCATTGGGAAGATGTAGAGGCTATGCGATCAACTCTAACCTATTTACCGCCAATGTACACCAGAGGCTTTGTCTATGCCCATTCAAAAACAAGGGGGGAAAAGGGAAAAAGATAGACCAAGAAAGGAGCCCAAAAATCGCTCAACGCCGCATCATGACTTTAGTAATCTAGAGCAAATAGACATGCTACATCCGTTGTATAATTCAACCCCCTCGTCACCCCGTCAAGAAAGTACTGAATGACAATACGCCGGCCAAAAGCATCAGATGGGGTATGGCTCTTCGCGCTCCATTAACAGGAGTTCGTGCTTCGCCCGGATAATTGCATGACACCGTCGAGTTGTCGTTATCTCGTTTCCCGTAGCTCACGTTGAAAGCGTACATGCCTTCCCGTGGACATTTGAAGCCAATCTTTGCTGGGCAGCTTTGGACCACCTGGTAGCAAATATCTTCGCAGGGCAATATCTCTCGGTACGGCCCGGGCTGGATATTGGTGTCGATAAACGCATTTCGCGACGCGTTTTGAGATGGCACCTGTGCTAAGCTCGTCCGGAGATCGACAGGCAGCATTGAGCCGTTGGGAAACGGCTGAGCGACGTTGCGGATAACGCTGAACCGCGAGTCGCCCTGGAAGTCTTCGCATCGTGGGATGCTCACGGTGCAGAGCCATCGCTTGTATGCATTTCTGCAATCATCGCACGTCCTGGCCAGCGAGTACCTCGACGTCCGATCTGTCTCGCACTGAATCTGCATCATGACTTTGAGAAAATTGTCGTACATGGCCCTGGCATAGTCATCGTAAGCCTTTGCCAGCTCAGTGTTGTTGTATTTCCCATCATTTCCAGGCACCGCGTATTGAATTTCGTCACAGAATTCCAAGTCCGTCACCACTTTGCAATTCGGTGCTGCAACACCACGAGTCATCAGCAACACGTTCCTCCCGGAATGATGCAGGAAGATAGAGGCGAGAACGGAAAAGATCAGCCAAGCGACAAGTGCTGCAACTCACCGGCGTTGGTTTGAAACGATGTGGCCTGGAAAACAATGCTACCTGGGTTCGCTGGAGTAGCGCCGCCGCCGCCGCCCACTTGTCGCTTTGAATTTACGGTGACATTGGCGGGCTTTACCAATACGCCACTGTAAGAAGACGTCGCGTTGAGTCCCACGACGTAAAACTGCTGTTTTGGTAACCCTCCCGGTCCGCGAAGTGTCATGGCCGTCTTGACCATGGCGTTATTCTTCCCATTGCCTTGATTATTAGTACCAATGAGAGCATTCTTCTGCAGTCCACATGCCGACCGACGCATCCCATCCATCAATGGTGTGTCTTGGCCGACGACATGCAATTGATAGGGCGGATCTTCGCTCATGACGTGCCGTAGGTTACTGACGTCGTCAGTGAGATTTCGCGTCACGAGCAAGGCCGAGGTTGAGTCACTGTCCATCCACAGAAGCTCGGCGCCGCCACTCGCTACATACTGGTGAAAATATGTGGTATTCGAAGCCGCAATCTGAAAATTGTAACTCCCCGCGACGACATCGGACCGATTGGGGGCGTAGATTGCAAGATAGACATCACTACTGGAGTTGATGCTAAACGTGACGGCGCCTTCAGTGAAGGCTTTGGACGTAAAGCCTTTGGCTTCGACGTCATTGGCCGTGCTTGTAATCTGGGGGCATCCCGCATCGGTATTGTCGGATACGAACAATATCAACTGTTCGGCCTTGCTGCCCGCTTTGGTCGTTGGCTGGGAGCATGTGTTGGCTGATATATAAATTGTACTGTTGTCTCTGCTGGCCCCTCCGTTTGCAGCACCGGCACCAGCCGACCCTAGTGAGCCTCTCTTGACAATGTAGCATATTGGCTCAGACCCCGGGGCTACGTTCAAGCCTAGGGGCCTGTTGTTCTCGAGTGGTGTAATGTCTTGGGCTCGTCCGAGTATGCTGCGAGAAAACATGCTAAATATAGCTTCGTACGACGAGGTTTGCAATTCGGTTCCGTCGTCGTTGAGAGTGGTCAAGTCCCTCCACGAAGAGAAGTCGAGAGGCAGCTCAGCGGCGAGAGCTCCCTTGGGCGACGATAGCAATAAATACAATGCCACCAGGCAAAGGGTAGCGGCCAGTGACGCGACAAGGCGCGATTGCAAAGGGCTGAGTTGCATGTTTGCTATAAGCCCATCGAGGGCGAGCCGCCGTACGATTGTCGACAACGACTCCGTGAGAAAGGCTCAATGTTGGTCATGAGTCGATGTGTTCTGGGGCAGACAGCGCTGAGAGAAGTAATGAATGCATAGAAGTACAGGCGGTGGTGCACCCAGTGTCAGCCGCGCTCAATTCATGGCTGAATTGCCATCCATTGCAATTGACAGGGTAGTCTGACCGAGGTTGACGAGGAGAGGGGAGACGAGAAGCAAAGAATAGTAGTAAGCGAACGCAGTGTCGCAGATGAAGGTTGAAATGGTTTCACCACGGCCGCACGAAAACGACCCACATGCCGCTGCGCCACGGAGGCATCGACGCTGTGCAGGTGTGAGCACCCAGGGGAGCTGGGTGATTCCAGTTGCATGTGGTCCCAGTGCCCGCTTCAAATGATGCTCCGTACTTAAAGTATGGAGTACAGAGGATGGAGTTGCTCGGAACGTAGAATGCACCATTAGGTGCTGGGGAGCCCAAGTACCTAAGTGGGTACCTACTACCTGGGTACCTAGGCACTTAAGTACTCGAGATACTTGAGTCAGGTACCTTAAAGAGGTACTTAGGATGTATGTATAAGTACCTGGCAATGTGGCCAGTGGCGGTCTGTATCACGGAAAACCATCGGCCACCACCTCCCACCGCACCGTCATGAGCAGCTAGCTGCCTACTCCGTGCGTGTGCGGCAGTTCCGGCAGTTCCGTCCTGAGCAGATGCTGTCTATGCCGTGGCCATACACAAGGCAGTCGCAACATAAACTCAAATAGTCCCCAATGTCAGCCGCCACGCGGCATAGTGACCAATGCAACTCGGACCTATCAACATGCGATTCCCTGTATCTGTCTGCCTCTCTTTCCGTGGTAGGCTTATACTTGCGCGCACAGTACAGAGTACACCAGGTCAAGCTCAGTTCAATTCATCACCAAATCATAAACCTAATCCCACATAGAGATGGCTGGGACAAACAGGACATGCGCCATACATTCGAATCGCAATCATACAATATCCAATGAAATTTTGTTATCGCCGCCAGAAAAGCCCCGTCACAGGCAAGCAAGCCCCCGCCCCCACAGCCATTCGTCATCGGACAGCTATTGTCATGATGGTAGTCAAAGACTGAAGTTTTGCCAGAAGTCGTCACTGATGCTTTTTGTTGGGGCGTACGAGAGCGCGTGTCTGTCCGTTCATTGCGCTCTACATTCATTGTCTTGTCGCTCATCATGCGTCATCCTCTTCGGTGCATGCCACCAGCACAGCTACACACTCTCATCTACGCAAAGTAAATGGGAGGCGTCACTGATAGACTCGACAGCGCGTAGTAGACCCGAGTCTTATTCAGACTTGTCAAGACCGCCAGTCTTGGAGCGCAGACCAGCAGAGGTTGAGGCGGGCTGCTGGAAATATCGGCCGAGAGTGGGGGCCAAAAAGGATTTGAAGATGATCTCGGCACCACTGGGAATAAGTAGTTGGTATTTGACATAATTCTGTCTCTTTTGTGTCTTGCCTTGGATGCTTGGCTTACCGGAACATGGGCAGAGAAAGCCACAGAAGGAAAACAAACTTGAACACAAAGTAGAATGGGAACCAGTAGACAATGTTGAAGAAGCTCTCGATGACGGTGAAGCCTGAGAAAACGACCCAGTACTACAAAGGCAAGCGATAATGGTTAGCTTTCGGACCTGTCGGGGACCAACGCTGACACGGGTAAGGACCAAGGAACCATGCGTACCGTCAACCACTGTGTGTCGTCATCCTTTGTAGTGGTGAAAAGAGCTTGGAGAGAATAGTAGCAAGGTATGACGAAGCCAGCGAAGTTGGTGAGAAGCTGGCCACCAAGGTTGAAGATGATGAGGAAGAAGTAGAGAGCGGCTACTCCAATGACAGCATAAGCCTTGGGGACGCCAGCCTGCTTCTCGAGGTTGTTCAGCGCAGGATACTTGGAGAGCTACAGAATTTCGGAAAACACAGGCGCTTCATGTCAGCACATATCGCACAATAGCAGAGTATTCATGGGAATTTGGGTTGGGCGCCGTGCTCGTCGGTACACGAACCTCCTTGTCCAAGCTGCTAAGGTAATTCTGTGCTTTTTCCTGGGCAGACATTTTTGAAGCTATATGTTTGTTGTCGGTTGTTCGGATATGATGGCGCAATCCAAGTAGCTGCGACTGTATCACTGCAGCAAGGGCAAACGGATGGGTTGTGGTTGAGATTGCGTGAGGTGTGAAGGACGGGAGTTTGGGAGAGGTGTCTAGTTCCAGGTCGGAGCAGCTTCTAAGCTTGCGAAAATGTGGGCCGGTGTCCATAACGTGGGGAGGACGTGAGCAAGCGAGAATGACGACTGGTGTACGGGAGTAAGGTGAATTGCTCGGCGGGCTCACCCATTTTGCTCGGCGGGCTCACTGCTCCACCACGCCCCGATTTTGGTCTAGCGGCCCTGCTGCCATGCGCCACAGTACATTCTCGGTACAAACATATGGCAGCAAAATGCCCTCAATTAATTGAAAAGGTGCTTGTGTAATTTATACGAATTTCTCAATAGCGCCGCGCCAGCTGGCTCTAAATTGCTTAAAAACGCGATTTCTGGTGTTTTCGCTTAATGTGTGCACTATCAGGCCGGATTTTTGAGTCACATCAATCAGCTGCAATAGCGTTGAGGGAATAAATTGCTTAATCTCTACTCCGTAGAGAGCCCTGTCTTCCAATTGGTCCCCTCTGCCTGTTATTTGTATTATGATTCAATCGATGCAATGACGGCCGCAGCTGCTTCCGGCGGCGTTGATTCCTTGCACGGCATTGTAGAGGTCATCAAAGCTGCCATAGCCCGGCGAGGGCGGCGAATTTGAGGGCGGCGAATTTGAGGGCGGCGAATTTGAGGGCGGCGAATTTGAGGGCGGCGAATTTGAGGAGGGCGGCGAATTGAGGGCGGCGAATTTAAGGGCGTCGAATTTGAGGGCGTCGAATTTGAGGGCGGCGAATTTGAGGGCGGATTTGAGGGGCTGTGAGGGCCTTCGTCAGGCATCGCGATGTTGTTGAAGGAGGAAAAACGCTGCTGCCTATTGAAAAATTCGTACGGCTGCAGCGTTGTTGAAAAATCCGTCGATTTTCAATGAAGCTTTTTAGAGTTGAGTAAAGCTGCCATACCTTTGTACTGAGAATGTACTATGGGGCATGGCAGCGGGGCTTGCCGCATAAAAAGTGGGTCATGGTGGGGTGTGAGCCCGCCGAGCAAAAAGGGTGAGCCCGCCGAGCAATTCACGGAGTAAGGCCGAGCACCAGCACCCAAACAGCTAGGCCCACTGCCAGGTAGCATCTCTTTCCAGGAGCTGGTCACATCTAAATGCCCCATGTATCGACGAAGTACCCGAGATGGACACCCCGCGCTCAAGACCTCCAATGCACTGCACTATCTGAGGGCCTAGGCCGGTACTTGCTTGAGCACCGTCTTGCATAATTCCATGACGAGGGAGCTGCACCACAGGTTTGCAGAACCAGCCCTTTTTTTATTATCAAGGGACAGATCACAAAGCCCCTCCCTGAGTTACCCACTCATGGTAGTACGTAGATGTACTCCGTAACTTGTCAGTCAACCCCCTTGTGGCTGCGACAGACCGAGGCGCTAGGTATAGGCAGGGTTAGGGTTATACCAGCCATCAGATCAGTGATTGGAGCGTAAGGAACTCGGGAAGGGGCCGTCACGGTCGGTGACTTGTGCCTTTGGGCAATTTCAAGACGACAATGCCCAAATTTTGAACGGGTTACGGCGTGTCAAGCTACTAGTAACTAACATGTTGTATCAGTGATGGACTTCAAGTGCTTAATCACAGCCGGATGGCACGGCTGGGCGGACCAGTTGACAGGACACCTTGACTTTTGTCAACATTTTCATGTTCAAATTCTCTAGTTTCGCTGCTTAACTCACAAGGACTGAACATCCCAGGAAGACGACGCAACACGTTCTGATGTCATCTCAAGAAATCTTAATATCGCGGAGACATGCATCGAAACAGCGGAAATCAGAAGAGCCAAGGAAATGGACCCGGTCTTGGTAGATGTCAACTCCGGGAAGCAGCCTCCATATTGAGGGTCAAACCCGGTTTCGAGCTGCCTGCCTCCTGAGTGGTAGCTCAGTGTCCAGATCTCGGGCATTCTTGGCCAGGTAGAAGAAAGCAACTGTGGATAGCCAGGCTTTATATTATTCAAGGGCTGCTCTTCCAAAATCGCTGCTTCACAGAGAATTGTCCGTCTATTCCGGTATCCTCGTCGAACTTTTGTGACTTGACTTGCCTGTACATGCTCGGCATGTGGCTAGAGACAGGTTCAGTCGATCCTGATCTCATTTGGACGGACGGCTCAGGTGTTCAGGTGCCTTTGGCATGTCTCCCAAGATTGCAACCAAGAGAGGACGAAATCAAGGGTTAGTCATGTATGTACTTCGTTTCTCGTCCGCCGCATATCTACTGCGTACTATGTACGTCGATCTCAACCTTGGAAAATCGCATATAAATAGACGCACCATCACATGACTCGAGCAAGACGGGGAACTTTGGGCAGATTGAAACCCCGTTGTCGCCGTCATACGAGAATCACCAGCCTCACTCGGCCCATCATCTTACTCGCCCAACCGCTCGCTCATCCACACATTCCAAACCCTCTCGTGCGTACTCTGGCCTGCATGAAAAGTAGTACTGTAGATCTTCCATATTGTGCTGTCTTACCTGCAAGGTACGGCGCATTGGTGTCTTAAGCTCATACATATAGTACGTACATACTCCGTACACTCAGTAGGATCCCGTCTCGCCAAACCCCCAGATGTCCAGAAAACATCAGTATCATGCTCAGTGCATGAAGGGGAAGATGGCATAAAGACCATATGCGTCGCCAAGATTCTCCCAAGCGACGGCGCCTTGGCGGCTGCACCTGAGTTCTTTAGTGCTGGAGCCCGACTTCATTTTCTGTCTCTGCCATAGTACCAGCTCCGATGGCTTCTGGGTGCTGTCAGTTGATGCTGGAATCCAGTAATTAATTTGCGAGCTTGCTTACCTAAACCTGCAGCCAAAGTTTGTTTTGGTCCAACATGGCGGGCCCCACTTCAGCTACGGCTCAGTCTGTGGTTGGCCCGTGCGGCTCTGGAGTGCGTCCTTTTGTTTGGATGAGCGGGACGCTCCTGCCTGCCTCCTGCCTGCCTGCCTGCTGCCAGCCCGCCAGCCCAGTCTCTTGCGCTTGCCCGCCGCCCGCTTTTTCTGTTTTCCCATGCTTTTTTCCCTCCTCCCCCCCGTTGACCTCGCAACAGAAAACAACACCAACAAACAGCCGCAAGTCTGCACCAGCAGCAAACCACGAGGCGCGCGCATTCAGATAACCAGAGGCATTGCATCTCTGCGCCCGCCTGTTGCGCCATTGCGCTTGTTCATTTCTTTCCCTTGGACTTTTCCGACGTCCATTTGTTGTTGCCGTCGACCGCAAACTCTGCTGGACCACCCACTCATTTGTTCTTCAACCCAACAGCCAATGTTTGTTGTTCGACAGCCCACCTCATAATAAGACTGTTGCATAACACCACGCACACCCACCATGGAGCAAGGTATGTCTTCTGCCACTGGCTGCACGTTGTTGTTTTTTTTTTTAAACAACTCCCAAATTAATAAAACAATGTCGATTGCTCTTGGACGTGCGTAGCGGGAGCCTGCTTCTAACTTGTTGCTTTTCTGGTCAACAGACAACCCACCGGCGCGTGCTGCCGTCAAATCGAGGAAGCGTCCACAATCCCGCGCCTCGACCACATCCGTTCACAGCGCCGCAACACAACCTCCCATGGACCAGTCGGCCTTTGCGGACTCATCAGCCATGTATGCCGGTCAATGGATTCCGAACGACCATGGCCACGGAAAGGACATGGGTCCAGGCCCGCAAATGTCGCCGGAGGACATGATTCTCCAAGCTGCCACCCACATGCAGACGGCAAACCACGACTTTTCCATGGACGGTTCAATGGGAGCTGCCATGGCTCATCCTCACCACCACCATATCTCTTACCAGCAGCAGCAGCAGCATGCCATGACAAGACATCCTCTTCCCGCCGAGCAGTACGTCGCCGCCAACGCAAGCTTCACCGAGGGAGATGGCCAGATGCTCGACCGTGATGACAACGAGGATGGTGATTCCATGTCTGGTCCCATTGGCGCCGCAAAGCCGGCGGCCACTCGATCCAGCGCCAATAATGAGCTCGAAATGAGGCAACTTTTCACGGCAAACCGCCATCGCAAGCTCCAAGACGTTGCCGGCGAACTGCATGGTAACGAGCGAGGCCCCAACTCTGAGCGGACCCGTCAGGTTTTTGCCATGTTATGGTATGCTTGCGAACATGTACAAGAGAGCTGGAGCTTCAGTGCATGAGACGCTAATATTTGCCCCCAACAGGATCAATTCTGTCTGTTCTAAAGGCAAAGGCTCTGTACCCCGCGGTCGCGTGTACGCAAACTATGCATCGCGATGTGCCACCGAGAGAATCACGGTCCTGAACCCTGCTAGCTTCGGAAAGCTGGTCCGCGTTCTCTTCCCCGGTCTCAAAACCCGTCGCCTGGGCGTTCGCGGAGAATCCAAGTATCATTACGTCAATTTTTCTCTCGTCGACGATCAACCAAATTTGAGGGAGTCGCAGCTACCTGCACCTAGGCCGCTCCCCGAAGCCAAGAGTCTCTTTCAAAATTTCAAGTACGTGACGGAACCTGCAGAAAGTTGCGTCCGTCTCAGAATATTAATCCTAACATTGGTCACTCAGCACATCGGTTCAAAGCAACACGGCAAGCCGTGGTTCCCTGCCCTCGCCCCAAGAAGCTGCTCAAAGCCAGACGACCCCTAATCCTGCTAAATCATCCGCCAGGTCTCATAGTCTCTACAACCAACCTGACTTGGCCAGTATCGACAATATCCGAAATACTTCAACCAAGACGGAGCTTGAGCTCTCATTCCTCCCTGGGGACGATGACCCAGTAGATCAGCATGACGTTCTTGCGCTTCCGGCTATTGAATTATACCTTCCTCAGGGGACAGATCCTGATGCTGCCAAGTCGTTGTCCGCGCTGTATCGCTCACATTGTACATCACTAGTTGAATGCATCCGATACTGCAGAGAGAAGACTTTCTTCCACTTATACACATCTTTCCAAGGCACTCTTACCATGCCAGTCCAAAAACTGTTTGGACATGCCTCTATAGCGCCGTGGATTGAGGGATGTGATTACGTTTTATATCAACGCATGATGAGCATTATTTCCGGGCTCACCCTTCAAGTGGTACCAAAACCGGTTCTCGACACCCTCCGCAACATTTCAGAGAGACTGGGGCCACATATTCGCGAGTCCTTTCAAGGACAGCCCCAGCATGTTCTGTCTGCCAAAGAAGCACCCGCGGCCCTCTTTTCAGGCCTGATAGACCGAGCACTGCGGGTCAATTTGACGGCCCACGCAGCAGCAAACATGTTGTCGAATCCTGCCAACAGAGATCAAATGTATGTCGACTGGATCACCATGATTCGTGCCAGGAAGATTGCAGAGTGTGTCCCAACGCGCGGCATGGACGACGTGGTAGACATTCTGGTCACAGAGATGAGAGACCTTCTTGATCCCGTCAATGTTCCGTGGGAGGTTGAGTGCCTGGCAATTTACGGGGATGTGGTTACCAGAAGCGGTAGACAACCCGAGGATGGCAGTGGATCAAACTCGACGGGCCAGAATGTTCTGGAGAGATGGGTGAGCTTTTTGCAGAACCTGCCAAACAAATTCCCTTACGCTTCGCACACCGATATTGTGTGGTGTGTTGAGCGGGTAGGTACCTCGGTCATGCGTGATCTCACGCTTGCCCAAGGCAAGAGTTTCGGCTCTTGGTGGGTGACGAAGACTTGGGTTGACGAGATGGTTTGCTTCTTGGCAGAGCAGGGCGGTTTTATGAAACCTAGGCCTCACGCCCAGCCATCCATAAACACGTTTACCAACACTGAGACGGCAGATAGGGAGTCCAGTCGTCAAAACTCACGGTACAACAGCGATGGTGATGAATTAAGTCTCTCCTCCAATGTATCTCAGTCACAACCTGGAAGGGCTCCGTTTCCGCCGCCGCCGCCGCCGCCGAACAACCATCAGGCAACACTAGGTGTTGGTGGTGGAGATCCTCACGACGACAGCGGGATTGGTATCCGAACACCAGAAGAAGACTTCCCGGTGGACAAGTTTGCTTTCACAGCAAATGAAAATGGTGGCATGGCATCAGCAGAGTTGAGAACTGGGACGAGTTTATAAGTCTATTCGGCAATGGCGCAAACCATGGATGGAGGGCACGGGGGCCGGCGTTTGGCTAATGATTGGGAAGAGGTTGGCTTTAATACCCACTTGTTGTTTTTGGCAACGGGGCAAAAATTAATCAAGAGATGATTGATAATGACGGGACGAAGTCATGACAGCTTGTGACTCTGCTGAAAAGGAGAGTGTACCTAAACCCCTTGGATGGCGGCGAGGGCGCGTTTGTTTTCAACGTTTCAGCAAGAGACGGGATTGTTTACCAGAATCTGGGCTATTTTTTATTTCAACTTTTTTTCCACGAGGCAGGTGTATGTGGGTGTTGACTCTGCTGTTTGAACTGTACCTATATCTCGGTTGGCAATTGTTGGCTTCAGGCTGGTTATAGTGTTGTACTCATGCAATGCATTTTACGGTACTAGATCGCGTGTTTTCTCTGTGAGGTCGCGCATGTTCTCGAGTCGCCAGAATTAGCCCATGCTGGCTAATAAAGGCCGGTTAGCAGTCGATTTCTGTTATATTTGGTGTCCTTCAGATGGGGCTTTGCTACAAGGAGTACTGTAACTTGTGTGATTTACTCTACTCGCCTGCGTTCGACTGCAGCAACATTCCAAGCATGGCAGACGCCCCGTAGTGTCCACGTCGAAGGATTACTCCACAGGCATATTTGAGGGTACCTGGCCGTGCTCAAAGGACGAGTATTACTTTGAAGCTTGTTCATGGCACGAGGGCAGGGTCTTGAACAACCGGCATGCCGTAAGCCACGAGATTCTTGTGGCGTGCCGGGGAAGGACGGTTGTTGGACGGGCGGGAATCAATGGTGGCCACTGCGAGCCGGACGAGCCATGGCGTGGGCCAAGTCGGTGGGTACACTCGCCGGAGCCACAGGTGTTGATTGCTTGCGCCATCGAAGATGGATTAGTGACACAAAAAAATCCATGATTGACGACTCGAGTTGATTGGGCGGGTGGAGGCACGAGATTGTCGCATGGCTGGGTTTTGGCACCCGTTGTGGTCGTCTTGCACATGTCATGCATGCATGGCCCAATGGGCATGGGCTCGTGGATATGAGGGTTGAGGGTTTTCAGCTGCTGAAGACGGTCGTGATTTCGACGGCTCCCACGTGACGTCGGCCGAGGCGATGTCGAGGGTGGGGGGACCCTGCGGTGTGTGCGCATGTGTTCGGAAAGAGCGACGACTCACTCTTGGCTGGCGATTGCACAGCGTGCAGGGGGAATCAGCGTTTACAACGTTGCTCACTCACTCACTTGCTTTCTTCCTTGTTTTTGAGGCCTTCCATATTGCGGCAGTTTGAGGACGAAAATACTTATTTCGGCGTGTACATACTTGTCAGCGCTGTTGCATTGATTGCACTTTTTTTATTCAGATCTCCTTTGCTGTCGTTTGTTTGTGTCGATCGCCAAGTGGCACCTGAAAATTCCGACCGACTGGTGTTGGTTTTTTTTTACTTGTGGGCCGGTTCCGGCTCTTCAACGTTCGACTTCGCCACGGGGAGGACGGTAGGATTCAGGCACGATGGTGAGCTCGACATATAGCAATGCGTCAGGTAAGGGCTGGATAGTCCAGAAGTTTGGGGGTACGAGCGTCGGCAAATTTCCTGACAAGGTATGTTTGGCTATTTCCCTCGGTGGCGGCCTTACTTACAATGAGTGTCACGGTTTGGAGACGGCACGTGCTGACCTTGGAGGCAGATTGCCCGTGATATCGTCAAGTACGTTTGTGAAGTGTGACGACTGGTTGCTCCCCTTCTTTCTCAAAGAAGACAAAACTTTCTGGTCATCAAAGTTGACGGTTTGAGCAGGGCAAGCTTGTTAAAACATCGTGTCGTTGTGGTATGCTCTGCGAGGAGCACGGGGAAGAAAGCCGAGGGCACCACCAGCCGGTGAGTCAACGTGGAGGCTCTCACCACTGAACTTTGAATTGCGTCTTGTCCGTCCTCACATTGGCCATCATGGTTTCAAAGTCCCATTGCTAAGCTTACACCTGCAGGCTGCTTGCAGTCTATACCATTTTGAAGGAGGTTGGACTGGCCTACGCCACATGTTCACCAGAGGAGCAAGTCGCCCTCATTGAGCAGGCGAAAGGACTCATCACAGATATCTGCAACGACCACGTCTTTGCGGCAGAGGCCTACATCCAGGACCCCGGTTTAAGAGAATCTCTTGCTCGCAGGATCGAGGCTGAGTGCCAGGAGCTTATTGAATACATTGTGGCCGCAAAACGCTTCAACCTCGAGATCAATTCAAGAGCCAAGGACCGCGTCATTAGCTTTGGCGAGAAGCTTGCATGTCTGTACATGACGGTTCTCCTGCAGGATGTCGTACGTCAATTTCTATACCGCTCCGGCTTTTCCCCCCTCCATTTTCCGACCACTATTCTAGCTTGACATCACATGCTAATATGCAGGGCTGTCTCGGGCTGTAATCGTACAGGGAGTTGACGCAGAATACGTTGATTTATGCGACCTGTTGCATTATGACGCTTCCGCGCCCGTGGACTCCAGCTTTTACAAAACCGCCTCTACTGCTTTCGCGCGGAAACTCGACACGTGTGGCACTCGGGTACCTGTTGTGACGGGCTTTTTCGGCAATGTCCCGGGCAGTCTTATCGACGGCGACATCGGGCGCGGCTACACGGATTTGTGCGCGGGACTGTGTGCAGTTGGCCTCAAGGCGGACGAACTGCAGATTTGGAAAGAAGTTGATGGCATATTTACGGCGGATCCATCCAAGGTTCCAACGGCGCGGCTTTTGTCGTCGATTACGCCGTCCGAAGCCGCCGAATTGACGTTTTACGGGTCCGAAGTTATTCACCACCTCACCATGGATCAGGTCATTCGCGCTCAGCCTCCTGTGCCGATTCGCATCAAGAACGTCAAGAATCCACGCGGAAATGGCACCATTGTCGTTCCCAATCCCGTCCTTTCGGCAAGCCACCAGCTGCATCGCAATTCTCCGTCAGGGGCACAGTCTTGCAAGACCCCGAAGCGACCTACGGCTGTGACCATCAAGGATCACATGAGCGTCATAAACGTTCACTCCAACAAGCGCTCCATATCGCACGGGTTTTTCGCTCGGGTCTTCTCCATCCTCGACAAGTACGCCATCTCGGTCGATCTCATCTCCACATCCGAAGTCCATGTCTCTCTGGCCATACACTCTGGAAGTACTCGCGTCGACAACTTCGCCAATGCAAAGCAGAGCCTGGCTGAGTGCGGCGAAGTCAGCGTCTTGTCCAACATGGCGATTCTGAGTCTTGTTGGCGCGGATATGAAGAATATGATTGGCGTCGCCGGAAAAATGTTCTCCACGCTCGGCGAACACAACGTCAACCTGGAAATGATTTCTCAAGGTACGCAAGAGTCTGATGCTCCGACGTTTAGCGGCCAGGGTTGTGAGGCAACAGGGCCGGCGGCAGGCTTGTGCTGGACTGCAGTGACGGTTTTATTTTATTTTTTTAATGCTTTGAAGTGCTGAGTGCTGACGCATGTTTTACTTTACTGTAGGTGCCAGCGAGATAAACATCTCGTGTGTCATTGCGGCGCGGGACGCCACGCGGGCGATGAACGTCCTCCACACGCACCTGTTTACGTTTCTCGAGTGAGGTCGCGGCTCAAAGTCGCAGTGTCGAGTGAAGTAGGCATGAGGCAAAAGAAAAAGACGTTGTCTGGAGTAACGTGAAGAGAATGGCGGTCGTGCGTCGCGTTAGAAAACCCGACGGTCAGAGGCCCCTAAAGCATAGGGTAGGGTGCTCATCTCGATCGGTGAACGTGGTGGTGCGGATTGTCATAGAATAAGGGAGTGTTGGCATACCTGCTTTTCTGATGATAGACGTTGGGGTTTGATACATCATCCTTGGAGTTGAGATGGCGAGGTTTTCATAGGAATCATACGCATGCATGTACGTGCCTGGACTTGTTTGGAGGTGAGTCATTCCAAAACATGACGGTGCCGGAGCGAGATGGTTGCCAGGCAATTGTCCGCCCATCCAGTCTTCAGGCCGGAGCACACGTAACGAAAAAGAAACTACAATTGAATACTCCGTACACACAGTCAAATGTAAATCCCGTGCCATTAGATTTGGACGCAGAAGAAGAAAAAAGCATCCAGGGTCTATCTAAGTAGTACACTTGTAGTATGGCACTTCACAGGGTGGCTAGGCGGAAGTTGAGCTTGTGGCTTAGGCCGTGACTCGGCGTGTGCGTGGCAGCGGCAATGAGGGGCCGGCCACCCGCTTCCAAGTTCCGCTTGCCTCGAACTGGGTCGCGGTCAGGACTCAGGACAGTTGCTCGACCTCACGTCCAAACCCACGGCGTAGCATTGAAGAACGTGGCAACCCATCGACGCTTAACTGCAGCTCTCGACGGCTTTCGAACCCTTCCTCGGACCACGCGAGGCCCAAGTCGATGATGAGTCTCTGTTACACGCGGAGAAGAACGTAGCGGCGAAACGTCCAACGACGCCGCGTCGAACATCATGAAGAGGAACAGGGCTGCCGGGGCTCCCAAGAGCGCCGGCATCCTGAACGCCCTCAAGGCAATGGAGATGGTTGACGTCAAGTCGAAGCTTCCAGCTGGTATGCCGCCTCGCTGTTCAGGACACCCATGCGAAGCTGGCTGCTGCTGCGTGCGGGTCGGGCTAATGCTTGCGTGCAACGTCTAGAGATTTTCAACCACGTCCTCGACTACTTGCCCATTGCCGACCAGATGCGCGTGGCTCGAACGTCTCGGAGATTGCAGGAAATGGTGTACGACGACACGAGATGGGTGTCGCGGCTCAAGAGCATGAATTGCTGGGACGAGAGAGAGGCGCGGAGCCGTTTCGAAGAGGCTGTCCGGAAGAGGAGGGAGGCCGCCAAGAGGGCTTCGCAAGCGGCGCCTGCTCTGGCAGATGGTGCGGTCGGGACTCGACTCAACACGACGACTTTGTTTGACGCGTCTGTGGAGGGGCAGAGGCGGAGAAGGGCCGTCTCCGAGCTACAAGACGGGTTCGAGACGCTGAATGTCGGCAGCGGAGAGGCTCTGGGCAACGAGGTGCCGCAGGGTTCGGATGCCTATTTGGGGGTTTTCAGGAATGCAAAGAGCATACGGGGCGGCGCGAGGCAAGAGTACGGCAAGATATACGGCGCCCTGGCGCCGTTTTATCTCGACATTGTGAAGGCCAGGACGCACACCGATCCGATTGTGTTCAAGGCCTTCCGGGACCCGGAAAGCCAGGCGCGGATGCTGGCGAACTTGCTGCGGTTCGCAAAGAGCGACTGGGCGTCGGGGTGTGATGAGAGAGAACACAAGCTGGTCAGTATGATGGGGCTGTTTGAAAGCGCGGTGCTGCGAGAATTCGAGCAGGGCTATCAGTTCCGGGATGTGCATGGTCGGATGAAGCGGTACGCGCACGTTTTGCACACCTTGAACGGGGCGAGAGGAGGCATCGACTTGTTCATTCACAAGAATGACATCTTCAGTGATCGCGAGCTGGCGCCGAACCCGGCAGAGTGCCTGGACGGCGTCGCGGCAGATGAAATCTCGTTGGAGCCGTCACGGCGCTTCTTCGGCGTCTTGCTGGCAAAGGTCCATGAACAGGCTGGTGTCATTGGGTGCGTCTTTCCGAATGCAAACGAGGTGTTTTGGGAATTCGTCGACAAAGTGACGGAGGACGTCGTGATGGAGTACACCACGCCGCTTTTTGACGAGAGCCACGAACGAAGCATAGCGGCATACTTGAAAGCCGTGTCTGGTGTTTTCCAACAGTCCATGCGCTTCTTCCAGTCGCTGACGCCGCCGAATGAGGCCAAGGACGCCGATGCGGACGACGACTTGCTTTCGAGGGCCAAGCGACTCTCGCTAAAAGTGTTTGAACCACATGTTGATCTATACCTGCAGGAAGAGCTCGAATTTTTCACCAAGCACGCAGAGATGGTAGTGTCGCAGTGGGAGAAGAAGCTGTCGGAGGAGGACTCGTCCCTCGAGTCGTTTTACATGGCCAATGTGAATCGGTCGGCAGAGAAGTCGGACTTCCTGAGCTCCTTCAAAAAGGTGGTCATGATGCCGGTCACGGCACTCCCCAGCTTCCCCATGGGCTCGCCCTTTGCAACGGCGAAGCCGACGTCGTCTGCTCCCACGTTTGCGGCCGGGAGCGCCTCGTCGGCCCTGACGCCATTGCCGTCGCGGCCGGAAACGCCCGGTGTCGGCGGCCGGGGCAGTCCCATGCCCGGGTCAGGCAAGGCGCCTACTGACGAGCTGGCGGCCAAGGCAGCCATCATGGCGTCGAAACTCGAGGGCATCAAGTCCCTCTGCAGCATCGAGGTGGCGCTGAGCCTGGTGCACCTGGCCAAGACCAGCCTCGGCAGGGCGGCCGTCCTGGTCCCCCTCGGGGGCCAGGTCGGCGGCGAGGCAAGGGAGCAGTGCGCAACCATCTTCGTCGTGCTGCTCCGTATCCTGGGCCAGCGACACGTCCGCAGCGGCTTCGAAACCGCCGTGAGCCACCTGTCCAACTACAACCCGCGGGACGTGAGCGACCACAGCCAAAGGGGCGGCGTCGCGCCGCTCGTCACCTTCATCGAGCTCGTCAACGTGGGCGACCTGATATCGCAGATGGTTGACGTCTTTTACGAGCAGCAGCTGGCGGCGCCCAAGATCGCAGACAGGAACGACTTCATGGACCCGGCGAGCCTCGCCAAGAAGAAGTTTGAGCAGATGCTCGACGAGAGCGTCGCGGCCGGGCTCAACAGGGGCATCGACGTGCTCATGGACGAGGTGGAATACGTCCAGGCGACGATGCAGCTCCCGACCGACTACAACCCGCGGCCCGTGTCTGCCTTGCCAGCGGCGGCGGCGACGATGCTCCCCGGCGGCGCGGCCGCGGCCGCAGGGTCCGAAGCGGACATCGGGCCGACCCAGGCCGCCCGCCGCATCGTCCGGCTCGTGTCGTCGCACACGGGCATGCTCGTCGGCACCACGGACAAGGCCATGCTGGACGTGTTCAACGGCGAGGTCGGCCTGCGCCTCTTCACCTCCATATGCAAACACCTCAAGCGGCAGCGCGTCTCGACCGACGGCGCCGTCAAGCTCATCGCCGACATGAACCTGTACGCAGACTACGTCCGCGGGCTCAGGAACCAGGACCTGGCGGCGTACTTTGCCGCCCTCCGCGAACTGAGCCAGATCTACCTGATTGATGCCACGCACGCCAAGGACATGGCGGCCGTGATTGCCGACGCCGACCGCTTCGGCGGCGTCTTCAGGGCCGAGGAGGTGTACGAGTATGCGCAGAGGAGGGCAGACTGGTACCAGGTGAAGCGGGGCGTCGAGAGGGCCATGTACGGCATGGATTGTGTGCTGATGTGACGGACACATTGTGACCGACGTGACGGGGGCAGGCGGTTCGACGTGCTGCGTGACGGCTCTCTGCCTGTCTGTCTGTGTTTCGGCCTCAGATAGTACATGTATATTGGTGATTCCATGGGCGTGGAAAAAAAAAAGTTTCGCTGGGGTTGTAAAGGATGGGGAAAATAAAGAATAATATAAACAAATAAATAAACATGACGGAATAAATGGCCAAAACGGCGGGACGTGACATGAGCTTTGAATATGACCTGCTGCCTGTTCCCTTCCTTCCCCCTTCGACGCCGTGCCCAATGCTGCCTGCCTGTTGCTTCAATAAATAATGAGACTAAACAAAGAGACGTCGCGAATACGCCCGCCACGAAACCGGACGAATGCACGTCGTGGACGAGGGCCATGCAGCCCTGTAGACATGTACATGTACGTATTTAGCGCCCCCCGAAATCCAGCTTCCTTGCAACCTTGGCGCCCCTGTCGTCGTCCAGCACGCCGGGTCTCCTCTTCAAATCGGCGCCCATCTTGTCCTCTGCGCCGCTCGTTTTCCGCGGCAGGTCCTGCTTCCTGGTGGGCTTGGGCTCGGAATGCCACCACTTGTGGAGCAGCATTTGCTTTGCGGTGATGCGCTTCTTGGGGTCCAGCGACAGGGTCTTCATGAGGAGGTCGACGCCGTCGGTGCCCACGGTCCCGAAGCGCATCTCGTACCAATCCTTGCCGTGGACCGCATGTTGCCCCGGGACGGTGTACTCGGGTAGTTTTGTGACGCCGGGCCAGTTGTCGTCGGTCGGGGTGCCAATGGCCTCGCAAATCATCTTGATTTGATCGAGCTCGTTGTTGCCCGGGAGAAAGGGCGCGCGCATGATGAGCTCGGCAAAGACGGTGCCCACGGACCAGACGTCGACGGCGCCCGAGTAGTGCCTCGCTCCGAAGAGGAGCTCGGGAGGCCGGTACCAGCGCGTGATGACGTTGGACGTCATGTTTTGGTGGGGGTCGGCGAAGCTGCGGGCCAGGCCGAAGTCGGCGAGCTTGACCTCGCCGTCTGCGGCGATGAGCAGGTTGTTGGGCTTGATGTCGCGGTGCAGGACGAAGTTCTCGTGGCAGAACCAGACGGCGCGAGTGAGCATGCCCATCCAGGCCTTGATGTCGGCGGCGCCGTAGCGCACGCGGTCCGTGTCGCGGATGAGCATTTCCAGGTCGCCGAGGGGCAGGTATTCGAGGACCAGGTTGAGGTTTTGGTCTTTGGAGGAGAAGACGGACAGGAGGGAGATGATGTTTGGGTGGTGGAGCTCTTGGAGGTGTTTGAGCTCGCGCACGGCGTCGGGAGCCATGCCTTCGGTGTATTCTTTCTGGATCTTGATCTTTTTGATGGCCACCAGGGTCGAGGGCTTGGAGCGGAGGTGGCCGAGGAAGACGATGGCGTAGGTACCTTCTCCTAGTTTTTTGCCTGGGTAGAAGGGGTATTAATGAGACTTGAAGATCTTCTCTCTCTCTCTCTCTCTCTCTCTCTCTGTTTATTTTTATTTTTATTTTTATTTTATTTTATTTATTTATTTTTGGGTTGGACGGAAGTAGATGGCTTTGGATGAGACGGTACCTTTTGCGTATTTCCGCTTCTCCTCCTCATTCATCTGCTCTGCAAGGTCCAGCGTGGGAGGAAGCGTGGCCACAGATGTCGGGGCGAGCGCGGCAGATGGTTTTGGTGTGCCATTGGACGAGGTTTGTCCCGAAGCGAGGTTCTTGAGCGGCGATGTCAAGGTGCGCACTTGCTCTTGGGTGACGGTGACGACGGGAGAGACGGCCATGATGGTGATGATGACGATGGTGGTGATGATGAGGGTCCTGGGAACGGTGCGCGTGCCGTGAAGCGTGAGGACCCGGGACGAGACTCAGAGCATGGATGTTGAAATGGCGGCAGACGTGCCAATGGAAAGGTTGGAGTTGAAGTTGAAGCTGAAGTTGATCAGAGGCCACTTGAAATTGGCTCGCGATAGAAGCGCGTCGTTGGAGCATAGCTTAGCTCATCTTATCTTATCTAAAGTGGCATGACATGGCTGGTCCAATCGCCCGGAGTCCCCGTTGCGTTGCGCAGCCGTCGGTTCTGTAACAAGCAGATCAACGCAGCTGCTGCCTAAGTACCTAGGCACTTAGGTAAGTAAGTAGATTACCCGACTACCCAAGTACCTAGGTACCTGCGGAGTCAAGTGCCTGGACACTTTACCCACTTGGGCAAGCGCCAGTACTTAGGTACCTAGTAGTTCCTCAAGTAGTCGGCCGATATGGAGTTATTATTAATGCACCAGACTCGTAAACACCAACCGGACCACACACACATCGTTGATCTCGTGTGACGCGGCGATGAGATGAGCCCCGTTTCCTACGTCATCGCCCGATCGTCCGTGGCCCGAGACCCCAAGCAGTCCAAGTCCAGCTCGCATTCTCTCTCACTACCCAGTGTCTGTCCGCCATGTCGGATTCGCAACCCTCTCCCCTCGTCTCCTATTCACCGACTCACCTCGCCTTGCAGCCATGAAGCCGTACATGCAGTGAGTCGCACCAGACAATTCCCTTAATCCCTTCAGTCGGTCGTGAGCACCACCAGCCGTCCACAAGTCACGACCACAAGCGCATCACACGCCATGGCAGCACGTGGCTTCTTCTCATACTGGGTAAGCATCCCCGTCCTCCACCACCCACCCTGCAATACAAACATCAACCATCGACTCGACAGACTTCAACTGACCTGGACAAAAAATCAAAACATCACACAGCTGCTCCCCGTCGTCTCATCCCTAGTATGGCTCGGCATGCTCCTCGGCATGCTCCTCCACTGGATCGTCGACACCCACCGCCGCATCTACCCAACCATGGATCGCGGCGGCACCATAGCCTACATCAGCGACATTGGCGCCCAGCAGCTCAAGCCGCTCTTCATCGCCGGGTCCGCCGTCACCGTCGTCCTCCTCGACCTGGCCTTCTTCGCCGAGCGCTGGCTGCGTCACCGCGGCCGCCTCGTGCGCAACCAATCGTCCGGCGAGAGGGCCCTCGTCTGGTTGAGCATCCTGTTCGCCATCGTCGGCGCCGCCGGCCTGATCCTGCTGTCCATCTTCGACACCTGGCGGCACCCGAGGGCCCACGACGTCTTTCTGCTTCTGTTTATCGGCGGCTACTGGCTTTCCGCCGTCTTTATCTGCTGGGAGTATCAGCGGTTGGGGATCAGTACGTTGTTCTCTGTCCCTCTCCCTCTCTCCCTCTCTCTGCGTCTCTCTGCCCGTCCGTCACGGAGAAAAAAAAAGTAAAAAGAGAAAAAAAAGAGAGGCAAAAATTCACCTTCAGCCCATCGTATCGCCGTCCCATCTGCCTCAGTGCCAGAAAATTAACTCCTCCCAGAAAATCGACAACATCGCATCCTCCGCTCGTCTTTTTGGATCAAGCTTGCCTTCATCATGGTCGAGCTCGTCCTGGCTATCGTCTTCGTCTCGACCACTTTTACGCACAACAACAACGTCGCGGCCGTGTTTGAGTGGGCCGTAGCCTTTATTTTCACCTTTTACGTCGCCTCTTTCATCATTGACCTCAAACCGGCCATACACACCAAGAGTCATGCGGCGAGATTTGAAAAGACTCACCATTTGGAGGATGCGCTTCCTGCGAATGGGCACAGTGCCGTCAACGGGGATGGCTTTGTGGCTGGGCGGAATGGGCGCCACTTGTAAGGCTAAAGTCACGACGAAATTCATCAGAGTAGAGAACCAAAGAATAAAAAGAAAGAGAAGGGGGCGGGAGCAAGAGAAGCGCAACGCCCATGCGGATTCAGAAGAGCGAAATAGAATTGGATAGATATGCGGCGCCTTGTGTGGCGGAGATACTTCTACGGCATCTCTGCCGTGAACATGTAATGATGAATGTAAAAACAGCAGTGCGTTACGACTGGTCCTCGACTTGTAGGGCTTGACAATGAGAATAATCCACACGATAAATTTAAGATGTGTAAAATATGAGATAATTGACGTTGTCCCAGTGATCCATCCAACCTGGTAGTTACATATATAACCATGGCCAAAAGTGCATATCCTCATGCGTAACCCAGCCATTCTAGCATATCAAACGTTAAAAGATAATCTTATGCTAAACACGTCTTGCAATTCCCGCACACACACATCATCTTTCTGCTTCCTACTTCCCAAAATCAGCAAATACTTGGAAAGATTTCGCATAGCACATCTTGACTACCTAAATTTTCAAACACCGCTTTCCTGGGTACAAGTTGTGTAAGAAGATATCTCATCGGTCCATCTCTTCCCGGAATCGCGAGTCACGAGTCGGGCTTCTGCCGGTGCGAATAACGGGATCCTCAATGGGTCGGGGGGGGTCGAGGCTGGCTTTCCGGCTCAGTCGCTCATCTTCCTCAACGCCCTTTCCTTTGCTCTGCGTTTCGTCCCAAAATTCGCATTCCTCTTCCAACGGAGTACTGACAGGGCTAACACCATTTGAATCCTTCTCTGCCTCCCGATGACCAGCAGACTCTTGGGCAACTTCGTGCTTGGTTTTGGGTTCCTCACCGGTCTTGCCAGCCATGGCGACCTCGTACATGCTTGCAGACCGATTCTCGATGCTCGCCGCGTTGCCTTCGCCGGCATAATCCTTCATGGAGGCACCACCAAGGAAACTTCTACGCTTTTTATCCTGCTCGCCAAAAGACTTGCCGCGAGAAAATCGATTCTTGATCCAACCTTTTACCTTTGCAGTGGGGGAGGTTGATCCCTCAGCCTTGTGCTGGGACGAGCCGGATGCCTCGACAATTGTTTCAACGGGAGGGCCGCTGTCGCCCAAGCCTGTTTCTTCGGCGGTCTCCCTGCGTCTTTCTTCCTCGCGACTGGCCAGGTTCTCGTCAACCTCTTGCGTGTGTTCGCCCGGGTGGGAAGCAGACGTCGCTGCAACAGCTGATCCGTGCTTTGACCTGCGCTTCTCTTCCTTTGCTTGACGCTTCTGCTCAGCCTTGGAAGCCTTCTCTTCGTCTTTTCGCGCCTTTTCTTCCATTTTCTCCTGAAGCTTTTTGGCCTTCTCTCCTTGCCTCTCTTGGTCTATCGAGGTCTGTCAGAAAAATGAAAAAATCGGAATGGCGAGAGATGAATATTTATCAATACCTTTTTCTTTCTTGGCAATTTCCTTAGCCTCGCGATCTCGAACCTTCTCCCTCTCTGCCTGCTCACGCCTTGCCTGGTCCTCCATTCTGAGCACTTCTTGCCTCTCACGCTCAGCCTCAGCCTTACCATTGATATCGTCAAGTACAGGCTGAATCTTCTTGGACGCAATAGCATTTATCTCTTCCTGTGTCATAAAAATACCACCTCCAATGTCAATCTTGCCCTTGGAATCGTCTTTTCGTGATTCGTATTGAGCCTGAGCAGCCTTCTGGGCCTTGGCCTCCCAATCAGTGACCAAACTGGGGTTAGCTCTTCCTGTTTCTTGGTACACCTTTTCGTCCATGCCGTGCAATTGTTCCCTGACGTTGCGTTGCGCTGCTGCGAGAAGGGCCTCACGATCCTTTTCTCTTTTGTCCTGGTCCACTTGTGACAGCTTGCTGGAAAACATCGACATTTGCTCGCGAATCTTTTCAGATTGCTGACGATCGTCCAAGTCATCATCGCTATGCGAGCCTCGACGTCCCCATTTCCGCGACATTGAGAATCTGTGTTTTGGGTTGGTTGCCTTCTCGTTTCCGTAGTACTCCTGAAACTCTCGGCTTTGATGATACTCATCGTGAAGTTTAGCGATGCGTGCCTGAGCTTGCTTGTAAGCCGCTTCTTGGAGGTTCATGTACTGATTCGGTTGAGGCGCCCCGGACCCATGTCCGAGTGCGTCCTTGGACTGGTCTCCTGAGAGTTGCTGTCTGGCGTACATCTTCTTCGCCATTTCAACGGCAGATTGGTGAATTTTTTCGTTGTAAGTGTGCTCGTCAACCTCGGGCTTCACGGGGGGGTGTGAAGTAAACATGTTTCGGGTCATAGTCGTAACAGAAACGGCACCGACCTCGTCCAAGCCCGGCTTGGCCGTCATGGACTTTCTGTGAGCCAAAGTAGCACCGTTGAGAGCGCTAGCAGCAGCACTAGCTTCTGATGCTTGAACGTCGGCTAGACCGGTGGACGACAGTGGGCGTCTCATGGCTCCCTTGGCGGCGACCAGAGACTTGTCCCCGGGCGGAGTGTGAGGCCGTTGCGATTTTCTCATAGACTGGGATCGATCCTCGTTGAATGCTTGTGTAGCCGCTGAGCTACCATGAGTAAAACTTAGAGGTTCTGCTGACGCTGTCCTGTTGGCATGAAAAGCTTGGGTCGCTGCTGAGTTTCCCCACGTGCCTTGTGAAGGCCCAGACTTGGTGATGTCGGATTTTTTGAGAGCTGCGCCAGCAGAACCAACAGCAAGAAGCGCAGCCTTGTGACCATCTGACTGGGCCGCTGGTTCCCACTGCGGCGCCATCTTGTAGTCCTTGGCCAAGACAGCAGCGGCGGAAGCTGAACATGAGGGATCAGGCTTCCAGAGATGAACGGTTTTTTGGTTTGACCAGCCGAGCGACGCAGCGGCGCTGGCTGCGGCACCGTCGGGCGCCAACCCAGATGACGGGAAGCTTGGTAGACTGCGAGGGTCGGCGTACTTGATGCGACCTGTGTTGTTCTGGACTGTGAGTCGGGAAGAATGTACAAGTCAGCAATCGGTTTAGATGAGGGTATCGGCAACTCGGGCAGAAAATTGGCACGAGGTTGGCAGGGAATTCAGAGTTTGTAGGGAGTTTGCGCAGCATTTAAAAGGCGACAAAAGCCAGTCACTTTGAAATAGGCAGGTGAGACGGTCAACTGGTGCGCGTAAGAATGCAAGAGCAGAATCAAGTATGGCGTCAGACTCATGGAAAGCAGTAGAAGGAAGCAGGGAAGCAGGGAAGCTGCGACCAAGCTACCAAGCTCAAGGATAGCTTCGGTCCCACTTCCTCTGTCTTTCTGCCTCCCTCTCACTCCCTCTCACTCCCCCTCACTCCGCGTCTTTCAATGGGTCTCTTGACTTATTTATGCTGTTTCCGCCTTCTTTCTGGTGCTCTTTGCATGACTTACTCGTGGGAGGCGCCTGCTGCGCAGGTGCCTTTGTGGTGGCCATGGGTTTGCGACTGTTGGTAGTAGTACCACGGACGTGTGGCGTCGAGCTATTGCAATGATAGGTCCCTCTGAACACGGCGCGGTCTAACCTCTCAGCCCTCAGTAGCTGATCTCTTTTCGTGTCGATGTAAGAATGGGCAGATATTCCTGTTTCGGCCTTGGCTGACTAGACAGCATGGACCTTTTCCGGGATGCTGTTCCGCGATAGGTTTTGCTTCCGACTGTGCGCTGTTGGTGAACGCGCAGGCGCAGTTCATTCGTGTTGACGCCCTTCCCTATCGTCGCTCAAGCCACAGGAGCTATCGTCGACAGGAATTATTCGGCACGTAAGGGATAACTTCCGAATAGATCGAAGGCGCTCACGGATTGATAGGCGAACCAAGACGCCGAGTAGTGAAGGAGGAATAAGATGTGCTTTTTTTCTCTCGAGACGGAAGGAAGAGCAAAGCAGAGGGGAGAATGTCATTGACTTGGCTGAATCATGAAGTCTGAGAAGGCACGGACCCCCCCTCCGGGACTGATGTTGGTTTTATTCTGGACATCAACTAAGTTAACCAACTAATCGCAAACGTGATCAGAGGCGACAAGCTACAAGGGAGGCGAATCGCTCCATGGTGGCTCCATCACCATGGCTGGCTATGTGCATAAACTGCGCCGGCTTGGCTGGCGGGCTGCCGGGTGCTCGACTAGTAATCCCAATATTAGCACACCACTAGGCCTTGCCCACGCAGGAAACTGACCAGTTGCGATGAAGCAGCAGTGGGATTGCCGGCATCAATTGTGAATGCCTAGGCAAGTAGCTTGACCCAGCTTGCCTGCTATCCTGACCTTACCCCAGAAACACACAAGTTTGTCGGTTGGACTGACGTCATGAGACTCCATAGCCCATCAACCCATGCATCTACGGCCCTGCAGCAGGATAGTTCCGTCCTGAACGGGGTCGTGCATTCGCTGAATCTGATGTCCTAGGCGTCACGGAACTTGGTCAGTCTGCGCGCCCGAGACAGTGGTACCAACCCAACCAATCGAGGGTACTCCATATTTCGTCATGGCCTTCTCTGGTTACCTACTTGGGTAGGTAATTCTAAGACATAACGAGAGCAAAATGGACAAATACTCAAATGCCTCTTCAGCTTCCGAAGCACGTGCAAAGAGTGGCCGCCTTGCCCGCGTTGTCTACTTAGTACGTACGCTGCAAGGAGTTGCCGAGACATGTTGTTGGTGCGTGTACTCCGTATATTGCGTCCAAACGACCCGATGCTACTTATTGCCCTCGTCGTGGGGCGCGATGAACTTTACGCTCCCAACGGCCCATCCGTCATCCGTTTTCGTCGTCACTGCCGAGTCCCCTTGATGATCAAGTGCCGACAAGCCAACATGTTAACCCAGACGACGCCGAGCCTGGAGCCCAACCCTGCCGACGCCCGTCAAACATGTAGGCCATTACGTCTGAAGGATACAAATACTGCTAGTAAGTAAATACAGGCATGGCTGAGGGAGCGGCATCCGTGCTGAGCTTGTCTTTGTCATGACGTCGCTGCATTTGGAACAGTGTGGGCCACCTTGCTCGCCAATGACGTAGCTCACGAACTCCTTTTCGCTCGCGCCGTTGCACCGAAACAACGGGCCTCTGCAGTCTGGCGCCTTTTACTTTTCGAACACCGACGGCCAAGACGACCAGTGGCCAGCTTTTGGCCGCCGCCCGCACCGAGTCAGGAGCCACCAGGCGGCTTCGTCGCGGACCTGGCGGCAGCAAAGGCAAAAGGCAGAGGCAAAGGCGATCCCCGCGGGCTGAATGCTCAAATCTGGCCCGGCGTCTCAGTGGCATTGGAACCCGGATATCCCTCACCGCGCATAAATCCAGACTCCCGAGGCTCTGCTGGCTCTTCAGGCCGTGCAGTAACCGTGTAAGCGAGCTGCTGGATGACAGAGGCGACGCGCGGTCTCTGCAGTGCGCCTGTAGAATGTAGGGCACGAAGACACACAAAGACTCGTTAAGCTCCCGAGTTATAAGTTATACTTTGTCACAGTAGATTTGACATCGGTTCGGACATGGACAAGCCCGCCGTCCAGCTCCAGCGCGTGGCCAATTTTAGAGACGTCGGTCAAACTGTCAACGCCTTTCTCGGCCAAAAGTCCGTCACCATTTCCCCAACCACCAATTATTCACCAATGGAGGCCGCACAGCATGTCAAACTGTCTTTGTGCGTGCATACTGACCGCTGGATGAAATTTGCAGACGAGTCCGGGAAGGCTTCATCTTCCGCTCCGCCAGACCAGGTATATGCCCCCTGTGTGATGCGTGTTAGTGTCGCACACTCACACTCACCCGTCAAATGTAGACGATGCTTCCGCCAAGGACAAGTTGAACATCAGACATGAATTCGGCATAAAAACCATTCTTGATCTTCGAACCAAGTAGGCTCCCCCATGACCGTTCCGTCTTTCCAGCGTTATCATTAACGCCGAGTACAGAACGGAGTTGATTCAGCAAGCTGAAAAGGCTCAGGCTGAAACCAGTAGCAACGGTCTCTCATCTTGGTTCTCTGCCCGGCAGTCTGTGCCACGTATCGACGGGATAAACTAAGGAGATCCGAATCACGGGCCGGTCGTTTGAGAGACATCTTTTGAGCCAATTGTCATGGTGGAGCTTTTTGTGAGTGCCTCCATGGGACGATGTTTACACAGGCTGCCGCGCGCGCACACATTTTTGAAATTCAACATACAATTGGTGGTACGTCGCTAACCGGGGGAGTAGCAAAGTCATTTTCCTATTCATCCTGGGATACAGAATCGAAGCAGTCAGGCTCATCACGACGGAGGTCATGCTTCAGCGTGGCTTGCTCGGTCTTGGAACCGACACGATTGACCACTCTGGCTCTGAGATCTGCCAAGCTCTTGGGCTGTATACCTCGCTGACTACGCTCCCTGTTTTAGTTCATTGCACACAGGGTAAAGATAGGACAGGTGCGTGCGCGTGCATGTGCTGTGCGATGTAGACGGATAAACTCTAATCTTTGGACAGGCCTCATTTGCGTTTTGATCTTGATGATTCTCCGTGTTCCTCTGGCTGCTATAGAACATGACTACTTTCTGACGGATCCGGCTCTCGAGGCGGAACGCCATGAGAGACTGGCTGAGATTCGACAAATCGGATTGACTGACGAGTGGGCAATCACGGCGCCTGAACTGGTCACTGGGGTCCAGAGGCACTTGGATGTAATGTATGGCGGATTGGAAGCGTACCTGGATGACATTGGGTTTGACCAAAATCAGAGAGCGCGACTCCGTGAGCTTTTGCTGTATTGAGCAATCTTCACATTGGCATCCACACACTCGGCATGGCAGCTCCAAGAATAGTAACTCGTCTGTATCCAATGGAAACACATTGTCTGTTTATGTCTTTCTAAACTGACCTTGCAGCCAACACCGATACATTTTCAGCTTTCGAGCTCGGTTGACTATCAAGCGTTTATCGACGCCTAGGTTCTCTATCTCAAACCGGGGCATGCGTGAATTTTCTGGGTCGTCAGTGAAGGCCTCATCACCTGACCAGATTTTGGCCAGTTCTTGCTGGTCGAAAAAATATACGCGAGTTCCGTCGCCTCTAATGTAGAAATTCTCCTCTAGATAGCGCCCCTTGCGGAAGCGAACTTGGGCTAGGTCCCCTCTTCCATAGTCTCGGAAGCAGACTAAGCCGCCAGGCTTCAGCGCTCTATGCACGTTTCGAACAGCCTGTGCCCATTCCTTGGGCGATAAGGCTGAGAAAATGAACACCATAACTGCGACATCTACGGTGCCTTCGACGATGTCAGGGGGGAGACTTTGTCCTGCGGCATCCCATACATCGGCTTGGATGATGTTTGTGTCATATGCCTCATGGTTGCGCATGACCTCTACAGCAGTCCTGGAAAAGTCGCACGCGTGGACTTTCAACCTGGGATTCTGGTTGTTGGCAAGCACGGGGAATGCTGTGTTACCAGCGCCAGCGCCAATTTCAAGTAATATCTTGGGACCAGCATCCATCTTGGTTATTTCAGCAAGGACGGGAAATTCTTGTTGCAACCACTTGCGATTTTTAAAGAAGTTTGAAGCGTTATTCTTGTAAAAGAGATTCCACCACTTGGCTGGGTTGCCATTGAACCTGCCTGTAACGACGCGTTAGCACACAGAACGAATGACTGAGTGGTTCAATAGAAGACCGTGTTGAAGATAGCAACGAGGTTGCCATGGTGCAATCAGATGGGAGCGAAAGACTTTGTGAAGGTAAATGTGTCATCATTAGTTTCAGATGAACTATGCATTGCTTTGTGATCATCATACACAGCTTGAGCAAGTGGGTGTGAAACGACCAATGTCAAAGGGACAGTGAAAGGACAAAACTTACTCTTGTCAAATTCGGAAACAGGTGCCAGGCGTTGCATCTCAAACTGACGTTCAGCAAACTCCTTGTACGCGTCGTCAGTTTCGACATGGTCCCAGGCATTGAACTCAAAGACATCGTCTCCCTCGCTTAAATAGCGGCTTCCAAACTGGAAGGGATCGGTCCGTTTCACGTTCTTGTTCGGATCGTGTGACCGATGTGCCGGCACTTCTGCGCTCTCATTTTGTCCCTCAATGTTTGACGACGCGAACTCCCTCACCTGAGGAGTTGGGTCAACATCGACCTCGTCCGAGACATTGCCAGGCGCAGCCATAGTCCCTGATGAAAAATAGATGTAGAGCGGATGAAACTGCGCTGCAATCAGCCTGGGCCGCTGGCCCTGGCGGCTGCTTCGAATTTTATCGGCTCGGAACGAGGTTAGGAAAAGAGTGACGGACATGGAAAAGAAAAATTACACTGCCCTGATAATAAATGTTTGCGGGCTCGCTGGTGGGGGGCCGTTGTGGTTATATGATTGGCTGCATTGTCGGAATCGGAGATTCCCATCATCCGAGCATCCAGCTACGCTAAACTTGGCCGAGGTGTGGGCATGATGAATTGGCGGGACCTCGGGAGCTTCCTGGGAACGTTGGAGTGTCCTCACTGCCAGTCGCAATTGAGCGTCCACTGACACCACAACAAAATGGCAGAGTCGTTGCTTCAGCCAATTGGCAGTCTCTCGCCGGCCGAGGCCCTGGAGCTGGCCCAGAAAGCCCCCGAGATCTTACGAAAGAATCCCAGGGCCTTCTCGGCGTCGCCGTTGTTCTCGCTCTTCGCTACTCCAGAGACCGCCGATACTTGGACGATATACGAGAACCTGATGATATCATGTCTTCAAACTGGCGACGACGAGTCTGCCAAAGAATGCCTCGAAAGAATAATCACTCGATTCGGTGATTCACATGACAGGGTATTGGCGTTAAAGGGGTTGGTCAAGGAAGCGACGGCGTCCGACACGTCGGAGCTGGAGAAGATATTGGAGGAATACGAGGCTCTGCTGCAGCAAAGTGATGTTAATATTGTGAGTGGCCTTCTTCCTCGGACATGTCTGAGTCATGGTGCTAAGCCAACGGAGCCTATCTGGAAGCGCAAAGTAGCCCTCCTCCGATCCATGGGCAAGGTACCGGAGGCTGTCACGGCGCTGAACTCGCTGCTGGATGTTTGTCCTACTGATCCCGAAGCATGGGCTGAGCTGGCCGACATGTATGCCACTCAAGGGCTGTATGCTCAAGCCGTCTACGCACTAGAAGAGGTTCTTGTACTGTCGCCTAATGCCTGGAACGTAAGGTCTTTCGCAGAAAATGCTCAGCAATAATCATGTGGATTCTGACGGGTGTATAGATTCAAGCCCGGCTCGGCGAAGTATCACTGATGGCTGCCACAACAGCACCGCAGGGAGGATCAGAGAAACACTACGCAGAAGCTGTAAAGCGCTTCTGTCGCAGTATAGAGCTTTGCGATGACTACTTGCGCGGCTATTACGGCCTGAAGCTTGTATGTTTGTTTGTACATGTTCCACCAACTCAACGCTCTCTACTGACCTGCGTGGTGTAGGCTACGGATAAAATCATACAAAATGCACCCAGGTCGAGGAAAGACTCGGACGGATTCCAGCTACCTGACCAAGGAACCGTTGAAAAGCTGAATGAAGCAGCTACCAAGAAGTTGGGCGAAATCGTGCGTCGCAACGGGGCCAAGGACAAGCTGTGGCAAGGTTACGACCCCATTGAGATTGCCGCAGCTCGAGAACTTCTAGACAGCTCATCTACCGAGGTGGTTCGGTAGTGACGCACAAAGAAACAGGCCTTGATTGGTCCTCAGACAACAGTTGCCGATGTCTGGAGAAAGAAGGGTGGGCAATTAGCAGTTGAGACGCTCGCCCAAGGGTTGTGACTTGGCGTGCATATGTGAACAGGAGAGGGTGGCGCCGTGACTGGTAGCTATTTGCCAACCTCTGATTGGCGAAAGGAACGAGGCACAATGGGGCGGCACTGAAATCAACAGACGCACAGATGACAGGAGCACACGTCATCAGCAGAATTCTCAAGTGGCGGAAGCGTGTTCCGATGACGGGCAGGGACGGATCTCGCGTTGGTCCTGTGCATTGACGAGGCTAGCAACAGCGTCGCAAGAATCTATGACGAGATTTCTACTTGGTCTTTGCATTGGGCATGGACTGAACGGGGTGTGATTGTGGTCGTGGCTGGTCAAATTTTATTTTATTTTATTTTTTCCTACCTTTGGGTTGGGCATCCGGTCTCCGCGTCTGGCGGCTTCAAACGTCAGGACAAAAGCATATGTACGGAGTACATTTGTACATTTCCCGAAAACCACCATCATGATAGAACAGCAAAAACACGCGGAGATTGGCATCAGCAAGGAATCACACCGCAGCTATGGGGTTGTATTAAGCCTCTGCACGGCATGGCTGTGTTTCAGCAGAGCAATCTGGGTCCGTGATACTGCATGCGACGGTGCTACAGCAGCCGGGTCTCTTTTGCGCGTGGCGACTGTCCAGGCCGTCAGGTCCATGTTGATGCCTCGACCTTGACAGCTCTGCTTCACCTACTGACTGCCCATCGGCCTTGTTCAGGCTACGAATGGTGGATCTTCAGGCTGAGCGGCTGGCTGGCTTATACGAGCTCTGCATGCACAGCTTGTCCGCCTGGCGCGCCGCCTTGGGGGACAGCTCCTGCAGGACATCCGGGATTCAAGATGGCCTGCCTGGGACGGGAGACGGAGGCGAGGGCAAAGACAGATGCAGAGGCAGAGGCGGAAGCTGGTCTCTGGGCGTTTTGGTCACAGGACATTGGGCCGCTGGCTGGGCATCAATGTGGCACGGTCAAGCGGGTTGGATTATTACACAGATGGAAGGTTTTTTTTTTTAATTCCAAAAATAAATAAATAGATAAATAAACTTAGATGAAATAAAATAAAGGGAGAAGGGAAGAAACAAAAAGCATGTGCTTGTTCATGCAAGGTCAGTCGTGCAAGGTACCGATGCCCTGGGCTGTATGAGTCAAGCTTTTTCCAACTGACTGCTCTTCATCCTTGCTAGTCGGGCTTCGACACGCAGGCGTCAGGCGCTGGCGGTCACAATGGCTCCAGTGTGGGACCCCGATGGGCCAAACCATCGTCAGACCGGATCCAAGTAGACCAGGTGTGTGACCGTGTGTCTGGGTATTTCCGTATTCGGGTCGGGAAGCGGCATGCGAGAACGTTGTTGCTTGTACTGTGTTTGTCACTGTGCTTATTTGTACCCTGGTCGTTTCTTTTTTCTGGACTCCTTGCAAGGTGACTTGAGATATGTGCTCGGAGTCGGGCTTTTCATGGCGATCATCTGTAGAAGTTGCCTCGCCCTGCGACGAATTGCGGTGACCATCGAGGAGACGTAGGAGGCATCCATCATCTGGCGTTGAGACGTGACACGTTGAATGACGCAAATGTAGGTATTCGATGCGTTATGGGGTAAGAAGGCGTCGACGGGTGGCAGATGGCCCTCCCACGCATGACTGAGCCCATCGACAAAGAATAGATGGTGCGTTGGGCAACCGATTAATTGTTGAAGACTGACGACTAACACCGTGGGACTCGATTCAGGAATAGGCTGTCCGCCTTGGAGATGTCGCTGTTTCTCTCCTCAGAGATTAATAGATCCCAACCAATCTGCTTCTCTGCTGCAGGGAGCCCAGACGATGACTGACATATTGATGCCGTCTCACGTCGGTAAATTCGTCACAGTCTCCGGTAATGAGTAGCCCCAAAGTGCGGAGGCTGGTAGTAGGGCTGCGATGCCAAGTGATGACACGTCATAAATGTCTTGTCAACCATCTGAAAGTTCCTGCTCCGCGGGCACTCCTCGATAGTCCTCGATGGCGCAACTGATATAGGAGTAGACAATACGCCCTACTTGACTATATGTGCAACGCGCCATTGAAGAAATTGTTCAGGCTCATGTCCGTATCTGTACACACACGAATTATTCCTCCGAGAGCTTGTCGACGGAGTTCTGTGCTCACGTCGCAAGGGCCAACGACTGCGAGGTCATCAAACTACCTAGGTAGTCAACATGAAGACAAAGATCAGTGGCACAATGGCTGGGTTCCATCTAAGTTTACACTGTTTGCTGCAACAGGAACACCTATAGGCCCAGACCAAGGGGCCGTATTTTAGTTTTTTCTCAGTGAATGCCCAATTTTCGGATGTTGACGCTCTTTGCCGGTTCTATGCGGCAGTACGACAGCCTGTTAGAAAGCTTAGCCATCCGTAGCCAAGGTGATTCATAGCTTGGGTCAAAATCAAACGCTCGGTTCCTGCTATACCTTGCCAGGGGAGGGGTATACGAATACGAATTAAAACGGTGCCAACGCTTGAGCATTTGGGAAGGGGGGGAGCTATGATACATCATGCATGGATTGCTTTCATCAGATAACTACACTTGAGATGCGAAAAATAGAAAGCCTCCCAAATACATGATTATACGGGAAACGATTTAGTGCTTAACATCGACCTGAACTCGGCAAAACGTGCCCTGATACTTGTACACGGCATACAAATCAAGAGCAGCTTTACAGGACTCAACAAGCCAAATCGGCTGCACTTATCGTTCATATAACCCAAAGCAGTGCTGGATACCACAGCTTCTTCTGGGCCGAGTACATGTCGTGATGTGACTCACAGTATGCAGAAGCTCAGTGCCGCCCCCAGTCCCGTGTGCCACAGCTTCTGCAGACCCCATGTCGGTCGGCATGTCGGTCGGCATGTCGGATGCATGGCGGACAAAAGAAGGACAACATAAGCTTTGCCTGCCACGTGTATCGTGACTCGCGGGAGACGTCAGTAGTCGGTGATGACTTGTTCGTGAGAGACAGGGAGGGGGGTCGCGATCTCGGTGAGGCGGAGGTGGTAACTACATATAAGGTCCGATAACCGTTTTGCACTGACATGGGCAGTAAAAAGTCCAAGCTCTGGTCTTTGGTCTTTGTCTTTGTTTCTTCTTGAGAGGAAAAAGAGAAAAGAGAAAAAAACCTGCCGCTTGAGCAAGATCGCAAACCGTCAAGTCTCTGTCTGCGTCAGAGATACCTACATTCATAATCCTTACAAACCTCTGCTCAAGGACCACAACAGAGCGAGGAGCAACTGCTGTGCCACTCGGGGCGGCCCTTTTCTTTCCCTGTGTTGTGTATTTCCACCCATCCCGAGCAGTGGTAGAACTCTGGACTTACACTGGTGATTAGATATCTCCATCTACCATGTTGCTTCGTTTCCGAGGGGCCAAGAATTTGAGACAAAACAGGGACACGCGACTCCCAACCTAACGAAGCCAGGAAATCGGGTGCACAAAGGCGAGACAAAAACACTAGAGCAGCAGAAATTTGGCCATACGAAGAGGAAACGAGTCCCAACCGGAGTTCTCGACGTCTCCAGGAACCAGGGGCCACACTGTTGGAGGAATTACTTGTATCAAGACCCGGGAGCTCGACGGAACTTGCTCGACGTTCGACTGGAAACTCGCTCGGCGCTCGGTACTCGGTAGTAGGTACCGTCCAGGTCCAACAAGTGGAAAGTGAAAGTGGGGGCTTGCTGCCTGCGTTCCTGCCCGCTTTTGCGTTGTCTGCCCGACCACCTGACCTCTGTACAGAGAGGCGGCACACACAGCCGACTCGCATTTTGCTTTTATAAATTATCTGTTTGGATTTCTTTGCCCCGTCTTTTTGCTTCGCAGACCTTTCAAGTTGGTTTTGCCCTTCCCCTTCCCCTTTCTTCTTCCTCTTTTCATTGTCACATCTTTTCCTCCGCCGTCAATTTCGCCGATGTAGCTTACACGAACTAAAGCATACTACTCGCAGCACAGCCGAAATTTCCACTGCAAAAGCAAGGGTCTCCTTGTAGTACCACACACCGCCAAATCCCGCGGCAAGACTTGAATGCAAGATCATAGCGCCGATAACGCAAAACGCCCATTTGCCTCATTAAGCTTCAATCTTGTGCACTGGTTATTCGTAAGTTCAGAGCTTAGGGCTGGGACGTCTCGTTCAGATGCGTTCGGCGGAGCCCATTGTTCTCTGATCGAGCCATGATGCTAATGCCCTTGCTTTCTCCGATGCAGTCGACCACACAAACTAATAAAGCGAGCGCCGTATCATTGAAAAGCGGCTTCTTGGAGCCTAGGGCGCTGCCGCCGCTCTGACAAAAACCTCCCCAACGAGGTAAGTTGCATTGCATTGTGTTGGCTCGAAAACAACCGTGTCTTTTCTCCAAGCCGTCGTCATCATGGCATTTGTTGCCCCTCCCAGAGTAGCTGGCTGCCCCACGAGTTAGGCCGATGATTGGGCAACTATGGCATTGTTTTCATTGTTCTCTGCCACTCTTTTTGAGTTTGATTGCCTAGCCCGTGAATGTTGGTGGAAAAACCCACATGATGGCGGTAATAAGGCGGCAGACAGTTGGCGTCAACGCTACGGGAGGCCCCGACAATTGTGTTGGCTCGTGGTCATTCGGCGTCATGACATACAAAGCTCAGGGTTTTCGACGGTCAATCTAGGATAAAAAGAAAGAGGACACGAAAACTGACCAGCACGATTCTTTCCATCTTAGACATCGTCCCACCACGCACCTACACACATCCAGTTCTTTGACGGGTTTACGGAGTATAGCGGGAGCCAATAGCCCACCTTTCACACGTTCCAAACGTTGCCTATTGGATACCAAAAGGCAGTACTCGGTACGGAGTAGGACAATCGGACTGCGATCAAGTCCATTCGGTTGCGCCCCGCTACCAGCCGTCCGTCTGATCTGTTACCGGCTTTGCTATTGTTATAGTTAACTTATTGCAGCAGCGTCAGGCACTTCCCACCCGCTCTCTCGTGCCTGCCCTTCCTGGGCTCGGGTGTCGGTCTTCAGCTCTGTGGCAGCTCGCAAACCCGCAGAGCGACAGTATCAAAGTTGATAGCCCTCACCTCTCCGAGCCTAGACCTGGCCCCCACCCCCCGTCGGCCACACGCGCTGTCCATCCTCACCGCCGATCTGAGCCTGACCTCCATCCCTTGCCACATTTTGCATCGTGCGGTTGGTTAAGCTGACCCCCTTACAACCCGACTTGTCCTTCCTCCTCAGAGATCTGGTGACGAAGACGGCGCTCTGGCTCCACTTTGACCATTCCTTGGCGGGAGAAGAATCTCCCTCCTGGCTACCTGATCTCGAGCACAGGCGGCCTGGCTGCATACCGACTTCAGTTTTGACCATTTTTCAGGCCCATCCAACCAGCCATTCAATTCAGACGTGTCCATTGTCCCCTTGAAATACCCGAGCACACAAGAGCACAATATTGGTGCAAGCTGGGGCGCGGCTCTTTTCAGATTTTTGCAAATCGCCCTGCGCACGTCTCCGCAAGTTAGCCCCTCTTGCTCCCGGGATCTAGTGGCGTCCTGGACCAATCGACCAGACGCCCTATTTGCAATACCAACCTGTTTGGCTCAGCGGCACCAGCACTTCAGCTGCTGCAATTGACTTTTCATCCTGCCTCGGTCTGGTGTTGTCGCTCAAGGGCTTTATTATTAGCGTTGGAACTGTGCCGCGTTGCCGGTTCTTTACGAAAATCCCCAACCAACAATTGGATAGCTGACCACGCCAATTTTTTTTTTGTTGTTTTTCCTTTCCACTGTGTCAACGTCGCCTTGCGAGCTTTCTCAGCCCGTCTTCTCAGCGTCTTTACTCCGACTGTCTCACGTGGAACGTCGCGAGTAAAGCGCAAACGTGCCTGATATCCTTTTACTTGCTATGCCGTGAGTGTCATAGCCTCTATCTCAAGCGCAGCTTGCGTGCCGCGTGTGAAGCCGCTGAACGCTGACCAGACTTGACAGACGACACACCATCACCATACATCCAGGCGGCGAGAGTTCTCGCTCAACTTCATATCACAGCGAAGGGGAATCGTCTCGTCACGACGCCGACTTCTCCGGAGCCGACGACGAGGGCGAGTGGTACGACGAGGAGGAGGACCTTCAACCCTCTGATTCAGCTTCCGCTAGTAACGACTTGCAACATTCACGCCCCCGCGCCGCCGTAAGAACAACACCGCGTCGCCACCGAGTAGCTCGACCCCCTCCCCAGGAATATCCTCCGGTGCCATCACACGCACCGATTCCGCCGCCCAGCGTGGATCCCACAGAGGAGTTCGGCCATTACGGCCATGGCTTTCAGCCTCACCATGCTGCTCGCGGTGGTTACTATGGCGCACGGGGCCAACACCTGGCCTACCAACAGCAGCAGGGTCATTATATGGGAGGATATCCAGGCGGCAATCAAATGGTCCCCTATGCCGGGTATGGCCCAAACCCATTCACACCTATGAGTAACACCCCTAGCGGTGCTAGTTATTTTGGAGGCGAATCAAGAATGTATGATATGATGCCATATCAACAGCCAGGGTACTATCCACCACAGTATCATCTGCCAGCCCAGCTACAGCAATTTCATATCGCTCCGCCCCCGCCTCCCGCCACCGAAGCTCCCGCGCAGGCTCCGACCCCTCCCAAGGAACAGCCTCCTGATCCAGAAAAGATTAAACTAGAGGCGGAACTTGCTGCATTCAAGGCACAAGAACAGAAGGCAAAGGCGGCCGCAGAACAGCTTGAAAGGGAGGCCCAGATTCGTAAAGAGGCCGAAGAGGCGATTCAGCGCAAGATGGACGAAATGAAGAAAGCGCAGGAGGAAGCTCGGATAGAGATTCAGCGTGCCAGAGAAGAAGCCGAGAAAACCGCCAAGGAAAAGATTGAGGCAGACCGCAAAGCTGAAGAACTGCGACAGAAGGCGTATGCCGAGGACATGAAGCGAGCCGAGGAGAATGCGAGGATAAAGTTTGAAGCCGAACGTAAAGCCGATGAGGACCGCAGGAAGCAAGCAGAGGAGGATCGCAAAAGAGCCGAAGAGGCTGCAAGGATCCAAGTGGAGGCTGCAATCAAGGCTGAAGCTGCTGCAAGGGAGGCTGCAGAGAAGAAAGCTGCTGAAGAGGCAGCGAGGATCAAGCTGGCGCAGGAAGAGGCAAGCCGCAAGGCGGAAATGGACCTTCTCAAGAAGATCGATGAAGAAAGGGAGAAGGCGAAGAAGGCTGCCGAAGCTGCAGAGGCGGCCAAAAACGAGCAAGAGGCCTTGAAGAAACGAATTGAAGAGGAAACTAAAGCAAGCGTACAAGCTGAAATGAGGAAGAAGATGGAAGAGGAAGCTGAGAAAGCAAAGAAGGCTGCTGAAGCTGCAGAGGTGGCCAAAAACGAGCAAGAGGCTCTGAAGAAACGTATCGAAGAGGAAACCAAGGCCGCCTTGGAAGCAGAAAAAAAGAAGAATGAGAAGGCTCCTATCAAATTCAAGGACGCGGTAGGCAGAAAATTCAACTTTCCTTTTCATCTCTGCGCTACATGGCAGGTAAGGACTTTCACTCGCCTTTTCCCTTCCTACGTTTCACTCTCCCCTCATGTACATTGTGTTTTACTCAAATTCGACATGAGAACGATTAGCTTGACAGCATGCTGACTATTCTGGGCTGACAGGGTATGGAAGAACTCATCAAGCAAGCCTTTCAACAAGTTGATGTTCTTGGGCCACACGTCCAGCAGGGTCGTTATGACCTGACTGGACCGAGCGGAGAAATCATTCTGCCTTCCGTTTGGGACAAGGTTGTTCAACCGGACTGGAGCATCACAATGACTATGTGGCCAATGGACGCAAATAAGCCGCCTGCACCGAAAATACCAGGGATGGATGTTCCACCCACAGCCGGTAGACGACAAGGTGTTAACCCCATCCCAGTGCCGCCGATGGCAGCCCCCCCAGGCCACCGGCAAGGTATGCCGCCCGGTGTCGGTATGGTACCACCGGCCGGTTGGCCAAATAGCGGTCGACGAGGTGGTGTCCCCAATGTTGTGACTGTCACTCCTCGTCCTGGACCCTCCAAGTCTTCAAAACATCATAGATCAAGAGAACCCACATTGCTGGCGTTTTTACAGGGTGGGCATGGTAAAAAGAGGTGAGATTCATGACCAAGCCGGACCCCTTACCCCGAAATGGAAAGCCTTCGTGCACACTGACCATGGCCATTCTCCGCGGACACAGGTCTAGCAAGCATAAGTAACTGATCGAGACGGCGGCGATTGCACCAACGACGATGTATGACCACGAGTTTTCTTCATTATCTGATACCACAGCGAGTCTTTTCTGAGTTTTTGGAATCTCCGGCACTGCTTCATCATGCGCAACGTGGATTCTCGTGTAGCTGAACAACTGGCGGTTTAATCTGCGTTCAGCCGTTCTTTCTGCGTTACCAAAACATCTCGAGACAGATCACGTGGTGCTCTCGAGGATGTGGCGGCACGCTATGCTAATGGACAGGATATAAAAAGCATGGAGATAAAAAGAAAGGCTGGCTTGCTAACATTCAGGAAATGCAGGTTGGAAGGGATGCGAGAAGGGGCTGGCGCAGACAGACTTCTTTATTCTTATTTTTCTTGTTTCCTTGAACCTCTTTCTTTTTCCTGTTTTTCTTTGAATCTTGCCCTCCCTTTTACCTGTCCGCTTTGTTGCATGAGGGATATTTGGATTTGGTAGATGGATTGGAGGGGGCTGTTAGGGATTTCAGTCCTGAGCGCGGGCATGTGATCGTTTGGATAGCGATTTTGCTTCCCCACTTTGGTTTTTGGAAATGATTATATATTGCTTTTCGAGTCTATTTTACACTCAATAATGATGTATCCTCTCTGAACTCTTTGACCCTAAAGCCGTGGCTCTCGGAATAATGGTTATTTTTTTAACGTAAATGTAACGCACAAACAGACTATGCATTACAAAGAGTAATAATATGCACTGCAGTCTGTGAGGTGTTTTTTGGACTGAGGAAATTACAAGTAGAAAGAAAAATACGTTAAGCATCTCTGGCAGTATTAGAGGCGAACGACATGCTCTACCCTATATAGATAGTTGACAAGTGGGATGAAATTGCTGCAGGATAGTACAGTGACGGCGTATCCAGAAATATACAGCGACAAACGGTGAAGTCTTGCGGAGAATACCATGATCGCCAGTCGCTCAAGCTAAGCAGGGTGTTGGGGTTCATTTGTTCATAGGTTTTGTTTATAACTCAGCTCTTCCGACGCCCTCTTCTCAAAGGCTTCTATCATGAGACCGGCAACTTTATCAGAGACTGCGGCACTGACAGCGGCATACAGCGGGCTGACAAATTGATACTCGATGGTAAGATGGACCTCTGTGGCAGGCGAAGGATCCCGGCGGATCGGCGTCAGATGCCACCTTGTCACGAGGCTTTTGAACACGGCGGAGGCCGCTTTGGCATCCACGGAAGCGGGATTCCCGCTGACAGCTTCTACCAAGACGCCGGGCACACAGCGTAATCGACTCGTGAAGACCTCGTTGAATCCGCCCCAGCCAACGTGCAAATCGGCTAGTGTTGGCCACTTCCGGCCATCTTGGTCAGGATGAGACCACTGCGTTACGCGGGAGTGGGCGCAATAGGGGACGAATGAGGAGTAGGAGTCGACGTCGGAGATGAGCTGGTAGAGAGGATGTTGGGCATACGGCAGGGTTCTGATGGCCGTGATGGTTTGGGTGTCGCTGCCAGGGGGGCTGCCTGGGAGGCTGAAGAACGGGCGGCAGCTGGAGGGCGTTGAAAAGTCGCGGAAGGGAGCTAAAGATCTCAGCGGAACCTGGCGAGTGGCGGTGCGTAAAGACATTGGCGTTGAGGGGTGAATTTTGGGATTTCTTCCCACGGGAGTGAATGCTTCGACGGAGTCGAACGAGGGCGACGATACCAATCGAAGTGCCGCGGGGCTAGGGGCTACTACGGGTTGGGGAGATGTGAAAAAGAGGGCGTCTCAAATGAGGGCAAGAAGTAGACTCAGTGCCATTATTGCAGTCCAAGGAAAGTGCCGAATGAGTCTGCATGCGAAAAAGACGGATGGGTCGACGATTGACGTCGGTGATGTTGGAGGAGCTTCTTGTGACATCCGGCAGTACCGGGCAGTTGGCGGTTGGCGGCTGGCCAGGGCGTGGGCGTGGGCGCTGTGGACTGCTCTCAGGCGGCATCGATGATCATTTCTAGGGGTCTTGGGCCCACTGGCATAACCGATGGCGCCTGAAGAAAGACCCGTGGAACTTCCCGAAGTCGCGCCCAGATGTCCGTGTGGTCTGCGGAATACTCACTGACTCTGTACCTAGGTAGTTAGGTACTCGGTACGTGAGGTGCCAAGGTAATTACGTACATGGTACTAATCCGTGTCATTTCACTGACAGCCACATTACGACGTCCACATCCACAACCACAGTCTTGACTTTACCAGAGGGCTTCGGCGGCCTGGTTTTGATCAATCAGCCTGGCATTCAATCCCCAGCTCGAAAGACTCCTTCCCGCTCACACGAGACTCATCTAGTCAAGTTCCTCGATGTGGTCATTGATGACTATTGTGCACGCACACCACAACAAAGACAATACCGGCCGCGACGCATCATGAGTCGGTCGACTTACCCCGCGACGGACATAACCACGGCTTGAAGTATCATACCGAGCATCGCATCGACCACGAGCCTCCCGTGGCCCCAGGCGCGGGGCAGTTGAAGCTCGCGGCAATGTATGGCGAATCTACCAACCCTGACGACAACTCCGTCGCTCGCACCGGGTATGGAAAGGCAACGCAGAAGCTGACTGGACCTGAGCAGGTTCGAAAAATCGCTGTACGACCTCATTCGAGGCCTCAGAACAAGCAAGGGTGGCGGCAAGGACTTTATACAAAAGAACCTCAAAGATTGCCGAGCCGAAGTTCGCAGCCCGGATATGGGTCAGTCATAGACTCGAAATATTCGATTTAGACATGCCACGCATGCTGTATGTATACTGACTGTGTGCATTCCCCTTGGTTTAGATGTCAAGGCCACGGCCCTCTTAAAGCTCGTCTACCTCGAGATGCTAGGCTACGACATGTCTTGGGCGTCATTTCACGTTCTGGAAGTCATGTCATCCCCCAAGTACCATCAGAAGCGAGTGGGATATTTGGGCGCCGTACAGAGCTTTCGGCCGGATACCGAAGTCCTCATGCTGGCCACCAACTTGTTGAAAAAGGCACGTCTTTCCCTTCAAACTTCCCACGTTGAAAGCCACTGCCAGGCTATGTGATTAACGACTAACCTGGGCCGAATCTATACAGGACATTGGATCCTCGACTCAAACAGTCATGTCCCTCCCTATCGCTACACTTCCCCACGTCATTACGCCATCGCTGGCTCTCTCGACTCTCCCCGATCTCCTCCCTCGTCTGGGCCACAGCCATTCCAATATCAGAAAGAAGACACTAGTGACGTTATATCGGTTGGCGCTTGTGTATCCAGAAGCTCTGAGAGCAGCGTGGCCCAAAATCAAGGAGCGATTGTTGGACCCTAATGAGGACCCAAGCGTCACGGCGGCCATCGTTAATGTGGTGTGCGAGTTGGGATGGCGGAGACCCCACGACTTTCTGCCGCTTGCCCCGCGATTGTTTGAGCTTCTTGTAGACGGAGGAAATAACTGGATGGCTATCAAGCTCATCAAGCTAGTATGTTGGGACACACAACGTTTGATTCTACGTTCTACATGCTTATCCTACGCCAGTTTGCTGCTCTGACACCGCTCGAACCCCGTCTTGTGCGAAAGCTGCTGCCGCCCTTGACAAACATAATAGCGACAACACCCGCCATGTCTCTGCTCTACGAGTGCATCAATGGAATCATTCAAGGTGGTATACTCGGGAGTACAGATGACACCGCTGATACTGATGAGATTGCAACACTTTGCGTCAACAAGCTGCGAGGGATGGTAATGATTGATGGTGATCCAAATCGTGAGTTTTTTCAAGCGTTAATTTACAAAACCAGTAATGCCGAACCGTGTACTGATATGATAAATCTGAATAGTCAAATACGTGGCATTGCTGGCATTCAACAAAATTGTCGTTACGCACCCACACCTGGTGGCGGAACAAGACGACGTCATTTTGGATTGTATCGACAGCCCGGATATCACCATTCGCACACAAGCACTGGAATTGGTTCAAGGGATTGTTACCGGCGACAACTTAATTCCCGTCGTCAGCAGGTTAATGAAGCAGCTCAAAACTTCATCTCCAACAATGGAGCGTAGTCGGCCAGGGATCCCTGCATTTCGTTCCAGCTCAGACTCCAATGGCGAAGCTCAAGCGGCAATCACTGAGCCTCCGAAAGCCGAGAAACAAGCAATCCCGCTGCCTGAAGATTACAAGATGGACATGATCAAAAGAATACTGTTTATGTGTTCAAGGGACAACTACTCCAACGTCTTGGATTTCGACTGGTACATCGACGTATTGACTCAGCTCGTTCGCATGGCGCCTGTTCCGAGACAGCTTGATCCAGAGAGCACTCCTATTTCTTCAACGTCTGTAATGGATGTCTCGGGAAGAATAGGAGATGAGTTGCGAAACGTCGCCGTTAAAGTTCGAGCAATGAGGTCTACCGCAGTGAGCGCTGGCTTCACCATCCTAGCCCAGCTTAACGCAGACACTCCCACTGGCCATAAAGTAACATCTGGAGTCTTGGGTTCAGTTGCTTGGCTTCTGGGTGAATACGCCATTCTGCTACAAGATCCTGATGGAACGATGAACAGCTTGCTTCAACTCATACCTCGCGCCGCAAGACCTGAAGTTTGCTCGACAGCACTTCTCGCCGTTGCCAAGATCTTTGCCACGATTGCAGGCGATGAAACACGACCATGGACTGCCGAGTGGAAATCAAGGATATCACTCCTCATAGCTAGGATCTTGCACGTGGCAGAGCCGTTGGTCTTGCATCCAAACCTGGAGGTGCAAGAGCGAGCAGTCGAGCTAGTCGAGTTGTTGAAACTGACCGCTGAAGCTGTTTCAGGGCAGCCTGCATCTACAGACGAGGGGTTTCAAGATTCTCCTCTTCTTCTCACCCAGGCAATCCCATTACTGTTCAAGGGTTCGGAACTTAATTCCGTCGCCCAAGGAGCGCAGCGCAATGTGCCAATGGCTGATGGACTAGACCTTGATGAACCCATTCACTCCAACCTGACCCATCTGCTATCTGCTGCAGACCTCGTGACCCTCGATGCCGATGAGTCAGATGAGTTCGAAGTCTACTACAGCGAGCGGCCAGCCCCCACGTTCACTTCATCCTCGGCTCCCGCAATCAGCAGACTTGCAGATCCTACCGAAGAAACGGGCGGCTCCTACCAGCAGCTGAGTGAAGAGAGCTATCTCGACGCCGATATCGTCGCACGGCGCAGGGCAGAGCGCCTTGAGCGGATCAAGGACGACCCGAACTACCTTTCCAGCGACGGGACACCTCGATCATCCACCCCAATACACAGTATTCTCCAGAACAGCAACGGACCAGATCTCGATATTGACTCGATACCTGTTATGAAGCTTGATCTCGATAAAGTGGCGACTTCAGCCGCCCACACAGGTCCCCGGCCACAGCCCAAGCCCCGGCAAAGGATTGTCATTGCTAGCGACGAGACTCTGGAGGGCAGTGATGGCGGCAGCATCCGACAACACGACTCTGAAAACAACTCGGATAACCCCACAAAGGCGAGGAGCAAGAGAACCAAACAGTCTCTGCTACAAGTAGACTCGAGTCACATCGGTTCTTTCAGCCTCGAGGGCGCGCCAGCCAACGGGTTCGACTACGAACAGAAGCAACGGGAAGAAGCAGAGATGCAGCAAGCAATAAAGGGAGTGGAGAGGCTACGGCTGGAAATGCAACGCGCCAACGAACGTATCCAAGTCGCACACGGTGTCGATGCCCAAGGCACCATAGTCAAGAAGAAGAAGACGGCGAAGACGGCGAAGAAGACGGCAGAGGGTGCTTCAGGCCCTGAGGGGGTGGAAGTGAAACCCAAAAAGAAGAAGACTAAGAAGGTCAATCCGGCTCAGGAGCCAGATCACACTCCTAGCCAGGGGCTCGGGGGTGTGACATCTTCGTTGGCAGGGGCTGCGTCTGCGTCTGCGGCGGGCAACGCCGGCGGCGTCATGGCTGATGATCTAGTCTTGCCAAAGAAGAAGAAGAAGACAGTCAAGAAGAAGAAGATGGCTGAGATCGAGGACCCGACTTAGCTGCGATACAGGGGAGTTGGAGTTTCCCGGCTCGCATGAACAGATTAGCATAGCATTCATACCACAAGGGAATTGAGAATACTATCATCTTTCTTGCTTTTTTTTGTCACCTCGACGACTTTGGTCAAGTCCTATCGTCTTTGTCCTTTTTACCTTGTCATAGGCACAGAGGCAAAGGGGGAAAAGAGGGGTTCGAGAGATGGCAAATTCTGGAGAAGACGGGCTGGAACAAGCCCTAGGGCCAGGTGTCATGATATGTACCTGTATTAGACTCCTTGACCACTCACGCGGAAGCTAAAGCGCGGATACAATACATGAAAATTCCAACGGGACCGTGTCTCGCAGCTCTCCCGTGAGACCCGTAGGCAGCGTGTCGTCGGTACTATGCAGTAAATAGTACAAATGAGACGGGGGACGTGGCAGCCACGATAGCCTAACCGATCATGTCTGTCCACATACGAACGTACTTGGCGCTCATTCCCGTAACTCATTCGGTTGTTGTCTTGCTCATTCATCCTGGTTTGAAAGGAAATCCCTAAAATAACTCCGCCAAAAAAAATTCAACGGCCTTGACTTCCATCAGCAACGCAAAGGGGGTGGGTGGGTGGTCTTCCACGGCTGGATTACTAGTCATCCATGGGTTTGTCCTCTAGTGTTACTCCCCTCGAGGGTGGGCTCTCGGGCGGAGGACTTCCTGGCACTCTCTTTCCTCCAATGAACTTGGTTCCGATGCGGCTACCGCTGTCGCGCTTGTCGCTGCCGTCGCCATCGGCATCTTTGCCCTGAAGTGCTCCGTTTGTTCCGTCGGCAACGGCTGCGCCGTCAAACCCAGGTACGTCCAAAGACGATCTCTTCAACCGACTCTCGATGCCGCCCAGGCTGCCGCGATGTCGGTCTGTTGTTGGACTAGTCTGGATGGGGAACCGAGTGTCCGGTCCTCCTCCACTGCTCCTGTCGCGTCGATGACCACGGGGACCCGGTGCTGGACTAGTTGCTCGACTTCGCGAGGCAGTGGCCTTTTCTACCAAGGCACGGTTACGTTCTTCCATGAGAGCTTTTCTGTTGCTCTCGTCCGTACTTACAGCCCGGGGTCGGCTGCCACCCACTGACACGGAGTGACTCAATGTGGACATGCGCTTGAGTTCACTGAAGATTGGGTCCTTGTGCGTGAATAGGTCCCGTACCAGTCGAGACGCGTGCTTCTCTTCCAGCGTAAGCGAAGTTTCGGTACGTGGCCTGAGGATGCAAGGCGCCAACGACGCAGACAAGGATGCAACATATTCCTCATCCGCAGACGTCAGGTCGATTAGGCGAGTGAAGTGATTCATGCATGCATCGAGGGTCGCGATGTTGGTCAGGCGCAGCTGTGATAGTGTCTGCTGAAGAACGGCAACGCGGGACGCTTCCGAACCATCTGCTGTGGGCGTTGTGTAAATAGTGCGAATAATTTCATAGACATGAGCGCTAACCAGGGAATCTGAGATCGAGGTGTTAGCAGCCACAGAAGAAGAAAAATTACACGGGAGGTCTATTCTTGGGACAACATGGGGTATCGACCTACCAGGGAGTTCCAATAGATACAATTTCAGGAGTGCTGCGACAGTAGGGACATCGAAATCATCAAAGACGTCTGGCGAGTTGACCTTGCCGTCATTTAGCTTGGCTCGAAGTTTGTGGATTTGTGCGAGAGGGACGTCAACGAGCCAAACTCCTCGGCGAGCCTCATCTCCTTCCAGATCTGGATAATGGTGGTCAAGATAGGTCAAAATCGTCGTCACAATGACGGGTACACGCTTTTTGTCAGCTCTAGCTCGAGCCTCGAGATCAACGCCAAATGTCTGCTCGTCAACCCGGTTGTAGTAGTTCTCATACACCACGACTCTCGGAGCAAAGCTTCCCGTGCGATAATTCTCCAACAAATACCGGAGATCACCAGCAGGCTGAACCGTCTCTTGGAACAAGACCATTCTGTCCACGGTCGACTGCAAGCTAGGAATGACATTGCCAATGGAGCCTGAGAAATCGAGGATGACCGTTTTGACAGCCTTGAGTCGGTCGAGCTCACATCGTTCGAGAAACTTCAGATGGAGGCAAATAGCTTCCTCGAGTTCACACCGCAAGTCGTCAAGCTTGCGAACACCGGCCTTGTATTTGTCGTCGGCTTCTCGAGCCTCGCGTTGCAGCCGCATCGAAGGTGTCTCATTTGGATCCCTATTCCCGAGAACGTTCCAATTGGCAAGATACTCACTCACGGTTCCGACGACGGGCGAATCCGATGCTCCATCGGATCCTGCGATGGGGATTGAGAAAGTTCTGTTCAACTTCTTCTCAGGCAGTCCGGCGAACTTGAATGCCTGTGGTCGCCATTGATAGAACATTCTGGAACTGTTGGCAAACGTGCTGCCAACATTTCCGATGAGGCGCAAGAAGCCGTTCACAATGAGATCCTGGCCAATCCGCTCGGCGTAGCTCACACTCGAAATGCCCATGCTGCGTTGAAGATATTCGACAATATCAGAACCAGCTGACGTATTCAAGTACGTGCCAAGAATAGGAACTTTGGTCTCGCCCATTTTGATGGTGGATAGCATGTGAGAGAGGATCTTTTTGAGCTGCTCAGGTTGATAAACATCGTCGCCAATTTCGTAGTATTTCTCCTCATCGAGATCCCCTTCCTCTCTGAGGGGCTGGACTTTAATCTCGGGAATGGTGGGCTGGTTCGGCTTCGGGCTGGTTTCCGGAGTTTGAAATCCGAGCTTGTTCTCCTCCTCCAAGTCCTCGACCAGGCGGCACTTGTTGAAGTAGTTTGATCGCAACTTGCGAACCGCATCGGCTTGTCGGTCGTGTGCCTTGATACGGCTCTGGAGTTCGTCTTGCGAGTTCTGGACACGGCCCTCGTGGGCATCACACCAGAGGGAAAATGGATTTACAACCAAGTCTCGTATATTCTGGGCGATTCGTTGATGACTCCGCGCAGCGTCTTGCATTTCTGCTCGCATGCCATCATAAGCCTATGCAGCAAGAGAATGCGGTAAGTAGCCGGTCGGAATGTCGACGGCGGGTTTCGTGGGCCGGAGAAGCAAGAAAAGAAGACGCCAACAAAAGCTCACCTTTCGGACAGTGGCGCCGTCGTCTCTGGAGAAACCGCCGACGACTCTGTCTGCAGATGGCGCGATATCGGACAGACGCTGACCGTAAGTCTCTTCAGCTTCCGCGCGCAGACGAGCTATTGTGAGTATCTGGCGATTCTCCATTACACCTTGCTGGAGCTTGCCAAAGAGGACGCCGAGTCCTACAGGTTATGTGTTAGATGATTCAGCAGTGCAGATTCGCATAACATAGTAGTTTGTTTTGCGCCTGGGTTCATGGACATTTTGAATCCATTGACCACATACCCGCGGCATAATCGCTCGACCAGAACGAATCTGCGAAGCCCGGCATCTTCGAAATCTTGTACGCAGCTAGGCCAGGCACGATGGGATACCAGATGCAAGTGAGGCAGTCAGGAAAGACTGCCAGCGGCGGACTGGCAGAGGCAATGGCCAAGCCTGCGTGTTGGATCGAATGCGAAGGGAATAAGAAGGATGTTCTGGTCGGACCAAGACGATGGCGTGGCAGAGTAGACGGACGGCGCCCGCGGCTAGGGGGACCTGGGTCGGAAACGTTGACCGTCGTTGGCCGGTCGAGCTCTGTGCAGGCTGGCGTTATAACTCGGCGTCCTACTCGATAGGCTGGACGATGATGTGAGCAGTTTTCGTCAAGAAGGGCGGCTCTGAAGACGGAGGACGCACATCAAAACAAATTGAAGCATGCACACACACACAAACCCACTTACTCACTCACTCACTCACCCGCTCACCCACACACAGTAGTCTCACCGGCGCAGCTGAGGATGGTAACAGGAGTCAATAGTGCAGATTGAGACGAATACAGCCAGAGATGGCGGGAGCCCACATGCAGCTCGAGGAAGCAAAAGGTTTTGAGGCTGGACAGCCAGACTCTGGCGCGATGCAGCGGGTTGTTGTCGTTTTGTCGGGAGCAGTTTAAGTACCCAGTGACTGCGCCACAGGCGAAAAAGACTGGACCGGTTCTTGACTCAGGGGTCAACCGTCATTGTTCAGGGCCGCATGCAGTGCCGGTGACAGCCTACAGGGGTCAGCTGGTCAGTGGTCACCACGCCAAATCACTGCAGCGTTCAATGTTGCCTGGCGTCAGTGCGCACTTTCAAGTACTACTCAAAAGTTGCTATTCCGATCTTTGCTGCAGGGCCAGCTGAGCCGAACAGAATGTTCCAGAGGTGGCATGTGGGATTTTGATGAGTGTGGCTGGGTCCAGAGGTTTACTCGATGCTCTGGACGAAGCGCCAGTAATGTAATTACTTACACAGCACGCACGCACGCACGGAGTCCTCGCCCTGGCCAAATGCTGCGTCAGCTTCTCCGCATGTATGTACTGGATCATTGGAGGCTGGCGCCCGTGCCCGTTGAGACGCGCAGTCAACAGCAGACTGGATGGACTGGCGGTGACTTCTTTTTTTTTTTTTTAACCGGCGGTCGACTCGCAACTGAAAGCATGTACGTATGTGCTACCCGGGTACCTACCCCAGCCTGCTGGAATACGCATCACCGTGGATGGCATGGCCACACACCGAAATGCCGTGCGAGACGAGACGTCCACAACCTCAATCGCAGCAGGTCTGGGCGTTGGGGAATGAATGGCACGAGGCGGCCGACGATTTGATTGGCAACCGCTTCGGCTTTGGGCACAAACGGCCCGAGTAGCACAGACCGCAAAGTCACAGACGCCGTTTTTGATGCCAGGCCAACGACCATCTTGTTCTGCTGACTTCAGTATGGGCCAATTGGTGCACCCGGAGTCGTACCAACGTTCTGCATCACGTCTCGGATGACGCCAGGTACTCCGTGTCGAGCTTTGTCTCGCAGTCTTGCAAAGGATCTGCCCATCAACTCGCCGTTCACACTGTCTGCTTGGGCGTGTGCGATGGCATCCAGCAGAGACAGGCTTGCCACATGTATAGAACAGAGGCAATATCGTCGTGTTTCCCTCTGATGACTGTCCCTACAATGACATCACACTGGAACATGTCAACGTTCGCATCAGACCCTTGGACTGAGGCTCAACCTTGAATGATGGGAAAGCTGACACTGGATGTGCGTTTATGACGCGTACCGAATACCGCTAGTCGAAGGGCCCCCTTGCGAAATCGTCGTCTAACGAGCCCAGCGAGCGGCTCCTTGGTCGCGATTTCACTCCCACTCGCTCAATCAAGCCCCCCGGTCTCTGTTTGTCTGTTTGTTCTGCCCTTGGTCAATGTCACCGCCAGATGAAGCCTCGGACTGGGCAATCGAGTCCTTTCATGCTTCTCCATCAGTAACTTTGTGCTTGCCTTTCTGCTCCCCGTGAGGCTTGTGACCATGGCGCCAGAGGATGCTAAGCCTGCGACTCGACAAGCTCACAAGCATAAGCCGTGCCGGATAGGACGTACGGCCTCTGCCCGCATTCTCGCAACGTCAAGGACAGCATTCTCAAGCTGATCAAGGAGCGAAACCCCATCCTCATGGTCAACGTCAAGCCTGGCTTTATCTCATGCGCAGACACCGGCAAGGAAAATCGCCTGGCAAAGGATGATGTTGCCAACGCCTCTTTTGCAACGAGTTGTCGAGCATATTCTCATAAGTACATTGGTGGCCTTGTTGGCCTTGATCAAGCTGGTAGTGGGACTGACTTTAACGGCATCGATTCTTTGCCCCGGGGGTTTGAAGGCCTTGCCAAGGGTCTGTCTGGCTGCTGCCTTGTTTGGGGGCGTCGTCAGTGACTGTGACCCTGCCAAGGTTGCTGGACACAACTTGCTTCACATGCGCTGCAAGGTCGACGCCGTATCTGCGCGGATGAAGGCGGGGAAAGCGCCCATCATGGAAGATAATCTGGACCGGCTTCCTGTTATATAACAGAGGTAGGTTTTTTTTTTATCATCCGAGAGGGGTTCCCCAAACTCGAAATTTGGACCTCGATATTGTCTATTTCACTCGGTTAATCATACAATTTATTCTACATCATGTTTGGTATAATAGAGCATAATTTCAAGGAATTTGAACATTGGTTTTCGTCCCAATTCTCTTCCTCCAGAAAGCGCCCGCTGCGCAGGGGCGTTGTTGATTTGGTGCTGGCGTGCCCATTTTGTCGACTTGTCATGAGTTCGCTTCATGACCCAATAATTGTACATGTTCGACCCGATATGGTCACTGATAGCTGGTCAAGTGCGTTCCGGACTGCGGAGGAGTTAGGATCTGCGATCGACCCTGTTGAGCTTGTTGGCCGTAGCTGTCTGCGTGCGTGTTCGCTGACCGCGCACTGGCAGACCCATGGCGTGCCGTCGACCGCGATATGACCCAATGTCTTTTAATCTTTTGATGTTGTCTTGCACTATCCTCCTTGCATCTGTTCCAATCGTCATTTGCGATAATTCGGCTGTCAGGGACGTAACTGTTCGTGGGCTGAGGGAGCCGACTTTGGCGAGCTTGTGGATGGAGTATTTGGCCATGATGCGGGACGATGTCGTCGATCCCAGAGCATAGAATGACTCGAGAGCTTTCTAAGGCCGGAATTCCGGACTTTGTCAGCGCCGCTGGCTTCGTTTCGAGCGAGACACAAATTGTCGTCTGCGTTGGTATTCTTACCTTGACGAGCTTCCCATCATTGAAATTGACGCCTAGGATGAACACCTGAGTGAGGCGTTAGAACTTTTTATGCTCATGATTCCTGTAGCTGACGGGTTGGATGTCCATGGTACCATTTTTCACGGCTGTTGGGCGGAATTGACGGCAAAAATGCCAGCGTACGTCTCGACTGTCGCTGTAAATTAGGTCGAGAGGAGTCGAAGCATGAAAATGAAGCTGGGTGGGGCGTTCCGGAGAAGATGCGGTTAAAACCGCACCCATTGATACTTGGGTAAGCTGAAACTCGAGTAAGCGTCCGTGTCATCAGCTTCTTGCTCTTGAGCTGAGCTTCATTTTCTATTGGCTCTGTTGGCCGTCAATTGTGTATCTAATGCTGAATGCCCAGTGGCATGGAGTTGCGACAGGTGCGCACCCGAATACGACTAACAATGGACGAGCACAAAGGGGGAGTGTCTGTAGACTATACCCTCAGCACCCCGCTTGCAGAGTAGAGTATTCCCGTCATATCATGGTTGAGAGACAAAAATGCGTTGCAACTGCTTAATGACTTGACAAAAGACGTGATGTTTTCTTTGCCTTGCACAGTCTCGGTCCTGGCGGCGTTTGGCATAGAACTAAACGCATGTTCTCCCTGGTACAATCAATCCTACACGCTTTGCGATGGTGCTGCCGCTGTCCGGCAAACCTCCAGCACTGGAACATAGCAGAGAGCGTACAGAATGACTACAGAATCAATCGATCCATGATGTACAAGAGCATGGACGCGCCCGAGGTTGGCGCCACCAATTGATCCAACATCAAATTGACCTGATCCGTACTAGATCGCGCGCTGCAACCTGCTGTTTTCGCCAACCCTGGTGCTCCCAATGAGTGCACTGTAGAACTATCGCAGCGCTACGGTGGCCTGTGAGTGGGTCCTCCCACGCTGCTTCAGCGGGGAATCTTGAAACAGGGACGTTCTCATCGAGCTTAGGTGTCGAGAGTCCCTCCATCCAGCCGTCCGATCTATTCCCACTCTCCCCTTCATCTTTTTCTCTACAATATTTCAGCAAGATATACACAGCCATCGCGCGATCGACGTTGACATATTTCAGTGTTCAGCAGCGTACCTACAAGTACCCCCCCGTCTTTTCTTGGTCCCCGTGTCTTTTCTGCAAAGATCGGCTTGCTCACACAATGTTCAACCTGAGGCGCCTCGTCTCCTTCGCCCTCCTCATTGGAGTCGGCCTGGTCCTTTTCTCCCAGACCGCCGAGGCGGCGAAGGGTCCCAAGATCACCTCCAAGGTCTACTTCGACATCGAGCATGGTGACAAGGCATTGGGTCGTATTGTCATCGGTTTGTACGGCAAGACCGTCCCTGAAACGGCCGAGAACTTCCGTGCTTTGGCCACTGGCGAAAAGGGATTCGGGTACGAGGGATCCACGTTCCACCGTGTCATCAAGCAGTTCATGATCCAGGGTGGTGACTTCACCAAGGGCGACGGCACTGGGGGCAAGTCTAGTGAGTATCCTTCGCCTTTGCAAATCAAAATCAATTCCATGGCTTGAACAATTGATTAACTGGCAACTACCCCAGTCTACGGCGCAAAGTTTAAGGACGAGAACTTCAAACTCAAGCACACCAAGAAGGGTCTCCTCTCCATGGCTAACGCTGGTCCCGACACCAACGGCTCACAATTCTTCATTACCACCGTCATCACCTCGTAAGCAGGCTTTTCCAGTAGTCGCCATTCGCTGGCAGGAAGAGCAAACGACTGATCAATTACACAGCTGGCTGGATGGCCGACACGTCGTCTTTGGAGAAGTCTTGGAGGGCTACGACGTTGTCGAGAAGATTGAGAGTGTCGAGACCTCGGAAGGCGACAAGCCTCTTCAGACTGTCAAGATCGCCAAGAGCGGCGAGCTTGAGATCCCGCCCGAAGGTATTCACGTCGAGCTCTAAATCCTTATGTCGAAGCTTCACAAAGCCAAGCTATCATCAATTCACCCCTAGCCGGTGCTGATACGTGTGGTGATAACCAGGCCTCGACGGCTCGGCTGGCTGGGCCGACGGTGTCGCACCCGTCGAAAACGACGCTTTTGTGGGAGACAACTCCTCAGAGGGATGGTCACTCCTACAAAAGGTAGGGTTGTTTGGGTTTGTGGTTGCTGCCGCAGTGTTCTACATGCGCCTTCGAAAATCTTCTGGCGAGGATTACAGGGAGAAGTTGACCGCTTAATACATTCAAGAAATTCTTACATCGGCGTCCCGTTAACTACGTAGCATTTAGAACATGTAACAATACAAGGAAATGGCTGCTCAAATTGGCATACAGACCATGCATTCTGGATTTTCAAGGAGACGTATTAAAATGTATGATGAGACAATTACCTCAAGCTTCACTTGTTTGTCGAAAGACACCGTGTGCACGAACATGCTGCGTCACCCACACATATCCCTGTCACGTGGGGCCATGGTGCAGCAGCAACCGCAGGTCCTGCAGGTGCCAGAAAAAAAAAGAGTTGTAAGTTCATCTCGAGGCACGACGTCAACACCCACTCCCGCCCTTTCTGAGTACTTTGAACAGCCGGAAGCGGATGCGTTGGACACTATAGCGGACGCTCACCGCCTAGTCATTCGTACCGAACCTGAAGGAAAATGAAGGTGCTCAGCCTCAACTTCCTGACATGCGCCGCCAAGGCATGCAAAAGCTCGTCCGACTCGTATCCGCTTCACCCCAAGGACGCGGAACTGGTTCAGGAGGAAATCGAACTCAACCCTGACATGATTATCAACGTGCTGCCCAGACTGGACTGGGATGCTCTGCGGACCACGTCATCAGAAGTACGTCGCTCCTCTCTCCTTGTCCGAACAGCTGCTGTAGGGTACTTTGTCTCGCCGGGACCTCCTCATGTGTGTCAAGGGCTCTTGTTGACCGAGGCGATAGCTTGGCTTCCCTGCGCTGCCCGAACAGGCCCCTACGGCGGGGGAGCTGCAGGCTGATGAGAAGGCGTTGAAGGATTTGCACCACCTGTTGCTGGAGACGCAGATGTCAGAGGGGAAGTTGGTGTGCGCTAACTGTGGACACGAGTATGCTGTCAAGGAGGGGATTGCAAACTTTTTGCTGCCGAGCCACATGGTCTAGGTGCAAGGCCGAAAAGGAAGCGCGCTAGAGGTTAGGAAACATGGGGTCGACGGTGCAAGGCGGCATGAGATGTGGTTCAACGAGAATCACTTGGATGGCGTAGGGGAGTTTGATATGTGTCTGTTCAGACTTTCTTGGGCGAATGCGGTATTTTGTCGCGAACGGGAATAGAATTGTTGACTCATTGTATAAACCACACTTTACTCTAGTGAAAACCCACGCCGTCTAGCAGCAGTAGCAAGACTTCCAAGCCCGTAGTTTCTTCTCAGCAAACCAGCCCGTTAACTCCGTATTTGATATGTACATGCTACAAAACAACTCAGTTCAACAGTGTACAAAACATGATGGCATCGCCCCAGCGCATTACTGCTGCTTCTTCTGAGCTGCCGGGCCCATCTCCTTGTCGAATGCGCCATACGAGACCTCGAGACTAGCAAGGCCGCGGATACCGGCTCCGATAATGGAAAAAAAAACAATGGCGACGATAAGCGCCATGAAGATACCTAGTATCACTGGTTAGGAGAGCTTTATCATCCACATGTAGTAATAGTATCTTACCGGGGGTGAAAAATTGATACTTCTGAAACAGGGGCAATTTGTTGAACTCTGTGTCGTTGTTTTGCTGGAGGTGGACGTCTCTAGTATCCCGCTTCATTCCCATATGCAACGGCTCGATGAACTCCGACTCGTACAGTGGTTCGCGGGGGGTCGCATAGAGCAGGATCGTGTAGCTGTCAGAAGATGTAATTGCTTCCAGTTCAGGAGCAAGCGATGCATCTACAGATCCATGAGTAAGGATTCACAAACGTGCTGCCTCATCTTCCCAGAGCACTGTCTTACCGTTGCTGGCAAGATCTTGAGCCCTAGTAGGTGGTGAAAACGACCCTAGCTGAACCGAGTTCACATTGACAGTCTTTCCCTTCATCCTGCACGCTGAATTGATGTACTCGTCGAGTCTGGCTTCTGTGACATCTCCGATGACCTCGGCTACAGTGTATTTTCCCTTGACCCTAGAGCCTTCGACAGACTTGCAGATGCGAGGCATCAAACAGTCCGTCTGGCTCAGATCCGCGGCATTGATGCCAGGTTGTGTCACGATCAGGTATCGGTCGGTAGGGCATTCGTCGAGTACGTGCTTGGTGAATGATATCACTTCAGAGCTCGTCTGAATCTGGTTCGTGTTGACCGGTTGCGAAATCCTATTTGAAACGTCAGTCAAGCCGTCGTCAGCCAAAGGATTATGCTCATGCCGGGCTCACTTTGAACTCGACAATAGCACCCATGGTGAGGAATCTGAGAAAGCAAAAGCTGCTCCGGGTAACGCAAAGGTGCTTGCAAAAATCTGGAAACGCATGATGACTGCAGCGATGCGCGGTTGACTACTTGTCCTATCGTCAATGAGCTGTATCCAGCACCATCAACAACCTGGCCTGCGACCGTGACGGTAGGCTTGGAATCCCATGCCTTACGTAATGTCATGGGGGCTGACAGATCCACACAGTGGGCAACCGGGCAGTGGACTTTGGCGGCAAGAATCATGCTGGTCCTTACTCCGTACTAAGTTAGTGTTAAAAAACACTTGACCATTATGCAACAATCGATCTTGATTATAGCAGCATAAACAGCTTTTTGCAGCATTTGAGGATTTCCAATTGCTGCAATGTTCGCCAAACCTAGACCGAAAAAGAATCTTCTGCCACCCCCAAGTAAGAAAAGAAAGGCTACGTCGACTATTGAAGAGATATCATTCAACGACGATGCCCGCACAGAATTTCTCACGGGTTTCCACAAACGCAAACAGCAGAGAATAAAGCGTGCCCAAGAGGAGGCTGCAAAGAGGGCTCGCCACGAAAAGCTGGAAACACGGAAACAGGTGCGCATCTGCTAACCAGTCTCGATGGAGAGTGCATTGAATCATTCATTGAAAGTACTCATCCATTTGTTACCCTAGATACGAGAAGACAGACGAAGAGAAGTTGCCGAACATGTCGAAACTGTAAATAGAATACTGCGAGAGTCTGGGGCTGTTTCTACACAAACGGATGAAGAAGAGAAATCCACAGAGGATACGGACGAGTGGGGTGGCTTCCCAGACAAGCCAGACTTGGATCTCATCGATCACGAGGAAGAATACATTGATGAGGATAGGTACACTACTGTCACAGTTGAATCAGTTTCAGTCGCACGAGAGGGACTTAGCAGACCCGATCAGTCCGAACATGAGGTTGAGGCTGAGGCTGAGGCTCGCCAAAAACGTGAGGAAGCAGAAAGGAGAGAGGCAGAGGCCAAGGACGGGAAGAAACCATCATGGCAGAAAAAAAAGAAGAAAAAGTTTCGGTACGAATCAAAGATTGAACGACAGCTGACAGATAGAAAGCAAAAAGCAAAAAGTAGACCCCGGAGAGAATAGAGGAAAGACGGGCAGCGAGACGGCCATTTTAAAGCAGCTGATTGAATAATGTGGGAAAGTAGATACCCCATGGATAAACAGGTCCAATTACTAGAAGAGATAGTTCAGACTACTGCTAGGTGGCTCGCTTTTCTCGCAATAATCGACAATACTCGCGTCAAAAATAATCACATCGATAGCCGTTGGCGCCTTGCTTCGCCTCGGTCGTATTGGCTAGAATCGAAGTAACCACATTGCAGGAAATAGATGGTTGATTTTTTTACAACTTATAAATCAGATGTTGCCAATCTCGTTCTGAAGCTCCTCCAGTTCCTTTTGGAGAGTTGAGTGCTTCTTTGACATCTCCTCGTACTTCTGCTCCCATTGGTCGCGTTCTTGCTCGAGGGCCTGCACCTTGCGCTCGAAGTGTCCAGCCTTGACATCGGTCTGCCGGAGCCTAATGTATTGTAACGATTGATTAGCATCGACTTTAGATCCTGCTAAGAAGCTTTGAAGTATCCCAGCCGCGGGGAAGCGGAGAGAGGTCAAGATATATTCCATACTTCTCGTTGGCTTCCCGCAAAGTCTTGTCGGCATCTTCGGCTTCCTCCTCGAGCAGCTGGAGTCGTCGCTGGAGCGTCTCATTCTGGGTGCCGTGTTGTTGGCCTTCATCAGCGGCCTTCTTAAAGTCCTTCATAGCGGCTTCGAGCTTCTCCACTTCTGCTTCTAGCAAATCGTTCCTGTGTTGTAAAGAACGGTTCTCCTGTTCCTTGGCAGTATTTTGCTCCTCAAGACCCTTGACTTTTTGCTGAAGTTCTTGCACCTTTGCGGCGGCCTCGTCTGCCTCGAGGCGGAGGGACGACATTTTCTAGATTGCCACCATCGTCAGTCACGATGCCTTGTTCACCTCGTCCAACGGCCACGCGTTTTACCCCTCTATCGAGAACTGTGACGAGTGGGGTACAAGGAGACGGGAGTCTGTTGAATCAGGCAGGATTAGTGACAAGCAAAGACGAACCTCCTTGATGCGATCCATTTCTGGGAAATATGATGAGATCGAGCTCCGGTAGGTAGAATTTCAGCTGAAGATAATAACGGTTTGTTGAGGATTTGCGATGCGGCCAGGTTTGATGATGAGGTCAAGATCAAAGAAGTAAGGGATGGATGGACAAACGGGGCGACTAGTGCAATCTGATAGTTACCTCGAGAGTCCAGAGTCAAGTGGTCGCAGGTGCTGGAGCATGCCCCTCCAACGATGCTGCACCTCCTCCCCTGTCGGCCCCTGTGGCTTGGGCACTCGTGAACGTGCGCGTCGGGCAAACGGTCTGTTGGTACGGAGTACTCCGTACTCTATACTTATGTACCCCCCAGGTAATGTCAGCCAACAACCAGCAGCCGTAATTGTGCAGGGAAATACCTGGGCACTTAAGTAAATACGTACTCAAGTACTTAAGTACTTAGTGATGTCTTTACAAGGGGAGTGCTATTACTGCGTAGTGGCAGGTACTGTGTACTCCGGACGGTGGCTACTTATGAATTTGGGCCTGGACGTGACATGGGCAAAGGCGTGTTGCCCGGGCAACCGTTATTGGAGTCGAGATTAATCAACATAAACTTGGATGTGAGAACGAGTACCCCCCCCGAATCTAGGCAACCCGTACTAGCCCCGAGATTGCCTAAATCGCCCACTGTTGTTTTTGCTGAGATCGAGTACGCATCATCACCTCCATGGTGGTGCTATTTGATTCTTCTTTGACAAAGTGCTTGTAGCATTATTCACGTTCTGCATCTCTGAACCACCATGTTAGCGCATCGCGATCAAGAGAATTTGGTGCACAGCCACCAGCAAGGCCTGACAAAACAGCAGCCAAAAACACCGGGTGCTAGATATCCTAAGACGCCCGGCAACTTTGGACGAGGCGATGAGAACGCTCTTATTGCATTTGCGGACAAGAGCGCCTTGGGTGGTGGTGCTAAACCGGGAGGGCAGGATAGGTTGATGACGGGCAAATTGACGGGCCAACGTCAGACAATGTTCACTCCGATGAGTGCGTGTTGCTATATTCACTTCCATGGAAGATTTTCGCCGTACATTTAGCTAATTTCTCTTCAACAGATAACCGAGCTCGCGCGCCATTGGGAAACAAGACGACAAATGCGAAGGCGAGAACTGGCCGAACTGTTGGAGTCAAGGATATGGTTCGAGAAATTGAAAAGACCCAAACGAAGCAAACCAGTGGACAAAGGCCCAAGCAAAGACCGGTCGATCCTGCACCGATCAAGTTGAACACCGAGCATGACACACGTGGTGGTGCCGATGACAATGGGGTTCCGGAGCCGGAATATGCTCCACCGAGGCCGACTCCTCTGCCATATGAGTCTGATGTGTTGCCTCCAGGTGGCCTGACATTTAATGGGTTGAAGAAAGGAAATCTGCTAAAGGGGTATTACCAACACTTCCACAACCCTATTGATGAAGATGGAATTTCTCGCGTGGAAAAGAAATTCAACCAAGAGATGGAGGCAGTACTGCAAAAGGCCGAGGAACGAAATGCTCGAGAGGTCAATGCCATAGGTTGGAGCCCTGAGGATATTGAGGACAATCACTTTGCAACGGCAGTTGCAAACGATAGTGCCAAAGTATTGGCCGATTCCTCGTTGAGAAAAGCCAGAACTGCAAATTTCCAAAAGCAGCCTGCCACTATCTCGGCTCGACGAGCCGCCTCAGTGCTGGCAGTGCATTCAGACAAGCAGAATAGTCATGTTATACGTCCTGCTTCGAGCATCTCTACAGCTCGGGGGCCTCTATCAACAACAATTCCAGGCACGCGGCCTGCCAGACCGGTCATGTCCAAGCCAAGTTCCGCTGGAAACTCAACAGGCGAGGTTGCTTCACGAACCACCCTGGGATACAACAAAGGGCGTTCTGCTTCCTTTATGGTGCATTCCCGCGGTAACAGCCAACCTATCAGACAGAGACAACAGTCCAAGCCTGCGGCTCCAAGGGACGTTGATTCCCAACTGACAATTACGCCAGCCCGAATCCATCAAGCTACTTTATCCAGTACGGAATCATCAAGACCACGATTTATGTCAATCTTTGATGACGAGAATGAAGAGGGCTTGCCGCCGCTGCAAAAGCCATTTGCACCGTCGGATGACGAGGAAGATGAATTTGAATTAAAGCTGACGATTTGATTTCCTGTATAGTGAATCTCAAAACGTTGGAGTTTAGGGTATAGCACTATCTCAGATGTTTCACGTCTAGATATTCTTCGTAACGACAGTGACGTCACTTGGTTAGCTCCTCGAGCATCTTGCCGAAATGTCACCTGGCCCTTCCTCCTTTCATGTCTGCCCTCCCAAAGTTGGTGTGCTATGCATCAAACGGGTGTCGTGGCAATGGTATGGGGCCGCACATGTTGACAATGCCTCCTGAGCAAATGCGACAGGCCCGGGGATACTTTCAGTCTCTAGCAAGATAAATGATGCTCCAGATAAGCACACATTACAAGTTCATAAAGATATCATAATAGCATATCCTGCTATGGCCCGGGCACCTGTGCAATCCTACATGTATCTACAGGTACCTAGGTTGACCTTGTATGCAAGCTGATGCCACTTTAGAAATCATAATCTTGGCTGACAAACGTCACTGAATCCTTTCGGGATTGCCCCAGTAGCCCTCTTGTTTCCGACATGACAGCCTTGCAAGAAATGACATTTCCAGACATGACAATTTCGATTTGGTTGGTTGGCTACAACGAAGCATGCAGGAACGGACAGGACGGGTGGGCGGAGACGGCGGGGATTTTCGCAGAGTACCGAGCAACGCGCTACGTACTTGCCTACTAAGTAACGTTAGGTACTCCGTACTCCGTACCCAGGCACTCATTGTTACTCCATCCATCCGGGTGGGTGGCCCTTGCAGCGGCACATCTCGGATAAATAATATCGCCGGCGAAGCCACAAGGCTGCCAGACTCTCACTCGTAATGCTGCCAGTCTGTGGCTGGACCAACAAGGATTCAGTTCCGCCATCCCTGAAAGAAAGAAAGTGTCAACCTTCGTCGAACCTCTCTCACCGTTCACTTCATTCTATTTCCACCTGTGAACGCCTCACATCTCCAACTTTTGCTGCGGCACATATCGCACTACGATCGCATGCGCTTGCTTTTACTTCCCATTACTTTTTCATTGGCGCGACTATCACCACCATCCGCCTTCCCAACGCTGCCTGCTCTCTTGCCCCTCCGGTCGCGTGGGCTCAGCGAAGCGCGTACTGGTCTGCGTGTGAAGACCATCGCCCACCACACTCGTCCCTTTCGTGAATGATTTAGAAAAAAAAGAGAGAGATGATGAGCAGGTCGCGGTGCAAAAGATAAGAGGAGCGCATCGACACGATGACTCGGCCGCCTCTAGGCGTGAGTTTCGCGCAGTTCTTTCCAAACGCTCCAAGGGTGAGAGCAGAAGCCCAAGGCCGGGCGGATCGCGAGCGATCACGGCGCAATAGCATTCAAGGAGGCGATTCGTACTCAGATCCCGCTGCCGGCGCGCTGAACACGAACGCAACCGGTTTTGCTCGGCCGTCACACTCTAATATCCCATCGGATGCTCCCCATCCACAAAACGACGATCACGACACTCCTCTGGGAGACATACTGAGTGCCGTCGGATCAGCCAGCTCGCATACGAGCTCTGCGTCCTCTGTTTGTAGCGCCTCACAAAAGCAAACCAAAACGACGGCCTCATCTCTTATATCCGCAAGAACGACCCCTCTTACCGCTCCAGACTCATCGTCCTACTCGCCCGTCCCCTCGTCTTTAAAGCCAGATATGCCGCCACTGGAAGCAGCCGACCAAGGCTCGGGACACAGTCATGATGCAAGTCTAACTCAAGGCCGAAATGGTCTTGACTCTGTCGCTACCCAACATGTTGATCGCCCGTCGGCTCGAGATCCACTTCCATCTGTCAAAGGCCTGATATGTACATATGATCCGATACTCGATCGAGCACGGAATAAAGGGGCCGGCAAAGGTTCCAAACCGACATATGCAGAATTTGGATGGGTATGTACAACTGAATATTCCCATGGCTGAAGGGGGGGCGTCGCTTTCAGGCACTATAACAAGTAGGCTAACTTTCTCGGATAGAACGATGACGCCCCCCCTTCCGACCCGCGTCTGCAAAAGGCTGGGGGTCGGCTTGGCTACATCAATACCGACTATTACCTACCCAAAGCTCGATTGCGCCCTGCGCCAGAAAATCTGAAACCTTATCCCTATGACCTGAAGACATCCATCGGGCCCGGCCCACCGACGCAGATTATCGTGACGCGCTACAACCCTCTGGTTCCCTTCAACAAAGTGACGGCTGTCTTCGCAACATTCGGAGATATTGCGGAGAGCAGCAACAAAATGCATCCTGATACAGGCTGCTACCTTGGTTTTGCGACCATTCGCTATCGTGACTCTAAGCGCTCAGGACGACCAGCTGTCTCAGCAATTGATGCCGCTCGCCGTGCCGTGCGGGCCCGTGGTATCAAGATCGATTCAGACATAGTCAAGGTGGAATATGATCCAGAGGGGCGTAAGAGTCGACGAATGCTGGAAGAACACCTCAAAAGAGAGAGAGAGAAACACAACAAGGAGAAGCTGGCTAGGGAGCAAGCCACTTCTAAAGCGCCTCCAACAGGTCCAAAATCTTCAGCCCTGGCGGCGCCTTTCGTGCGACCTCCCCCGACAGCACCCAAGGGACCGACTGGGCCGAGGCCAACACCTACAACAGTAGCACCGCCCCCCAGCGCAACGACAGCCATCAGGTCACAAGGCCCTATCGAGTCGCAAAATATTTCAAGTCAATTGGACAATGACCCTTATATCTTTATCTCTTCTGAAGATGTGCCAATATTACCCAGCATCGTACCGCACATGAAGAAACGGCTGAAGAATTACGGGTTCGAAGAAATTCGTCTCGACCGTACCGGCTTCTACGTCATCTTCCGAAGCTCGTTCACAGGGAAATCGGAAGCTGAACGATGCTACCGAGCCGTCAATCATACCGAGTTTTTCAACTATGATATGGCCATGCAGCTTTGTTTGCCGAGACCGACTCGTGGTGCAGACTCTGAACGCAGACGCAGTCCTTCTCCGCCACCCACAAGAGATAGGGAAAGGGACAAGGAGATGCTAGCACGGCGACGATATGAGGAAATGAAGCGGCGTCGACGAGAAGAGGAAGCGGACCTCGAAGAAGAAAAGAAGCAGAGAGCTAAGAACTTTGATCCTGTCTTCGAGGCCGTGGAGGCGGTCCGTCGAGAAATGACGGAGCACCTGATACGGCATATTCGGACACAGGTCGCTGCGCCATGCCTCTCTGACTTTCTCGATCCTTCTAACCACGTCGCCAAGAGACGAAAATTCAACCTAGACCAGATTGATGATGATGAAGACGACGATGGCAATAGCCCAAGAGTTGGGACACCAAATTCAGGAACGGATCCAATCGAGCGACGAACAGGGCGCCTTGAGCCAAGAACGTTACCCCGGATACGAAAGGTCAAGGCCAAGGGCCACCGCAATATGTTTGTTGATCCCTTCTCACGGAAGCGTCAGTCTGCTGGAAGAAGTGCGTTTCGTTCCTTGCACCATCGTCTCAAGAGTCTGGACAGCGATTTCGAGTCCGATGATGATACTGATGCTAGAGCGCTGGCTGCTCGTGACACCGAGGAGCCTGAATCGCGACCTAGAAGTCGCATGAGTACGGATGACGAATTTGGCTCTTGGGGTCGTGGTGGAGACGACGACTCTATGACAGAATCCAGCCTGGCTATTTTAGATCGACCATCATTAAAGAAAAGGAAGTTGGAAACTTCTATCGAGAAGGCTTTTAAGCGACAAAAGAAATCTGATGAAGAGCTTTTCAGTGTAAAAATTAGCCACATCGATACAGATATCGATGGACGCGGGGCATCTACAGATATTGGTGCCGATGTTGATCTCCTAGGTGAGCTTGACAGCGGTGCGTCCAGATCCGTGACGCCAATTCCCCAAACTTTGAAAGGCGCCAAGAAGAAGATAGGAAGGCCGAAGAAGAAAACCAAAAAGCAGCTCTTAGAAGAGCAAGAAGCACTGAAGAAGCAACAAGAGCCAGAGCTCGGCGATGAAGGCGACGAGGAGATATCTTTGCCTGCCAAGGTGGAGGAGGCGAGCATCCCGAAAGTCGATGCACCTATCGACAAGTATGATGAGCGACTATTCTCTACCACACCTCTCACCGCTGCTCTCGTATTGCCTGATGGTTTCAAGCCCGACATTACGGCATTGCAAAAGCTAGCTCTTGGAATCAGAGATAAGCCCGATGTGGCTAAACTGCAAAAGAAGTTTAGCATTGCGGATGTTGGAAATGCCGAGCTTTGGTTATGGAAGCGCAACCGAGTGAGAGAACTAAACTCGAAGAACAAGTCCTTCGACCATCCGGTGTCCATAGAAGGATATTACGTTCCAAATGCCACAGGCTGTGCCCGCACAGAAGGAGTCAAGAAGATTCTCAACTCTGAAAAATCAAAATACCTGCCACATCATATCAAAGTGCAGAAAGCTCGACAAGAACGCCAGGCCCGCTCCAAGAGAAATGGTAAAGACTGTGCCCATGCTGCCACTGAAGCAGCCAAGATTGCAGCTGAGAAAATAGCCAAGGGCAATTCCCGTGCCAATCGGGCCACAAACCGTCGTTACGTTGCTGATCTGAATGATCAAAAGAAGACGCTCGGGCAGGACTCTGACGTCTTCAAGTTCAATCAGCTTAAGAAGCGAAAGAAGCCAGTCAAGTTTGCTCGATCTGCTATTCACAACTGGGGTCTCTATGCCATGGAAAACATCAACAAGGACGACATGATTATCGAGTACGTGGGCGAGGAAGTCCGTCAACAAATCGCGGAAATACGGGAGAACCGTTATCTCAAGAGCGGTATTGGGAGTAGCTACCTTTTTCGGATCGATGATGATACTGTCATTGATGCAACCAAGAAGGGGGGCATTGCACGATTTATTAATCACAGCTGCATGCCGAACTGTACAGCCAAGATAATCAAGGTCGAAGGAAGTAAGAGAATTGTCATATATGCCCTCCGTGACATTGCAATGAGTAAGTGCCTTTTTTGTCGGAGAGCAAGACGACGCGAGTTGAGAGTCGAACCACATGGCTGACAGACGTTTGCAGACGAAGAATTGACGTATGACTACAAATTCGAGCGAGAAATTGGCAGCTTGGATCGTATCCCATGTCTCTGCGGCACCGCAGCTTGCAAGGGCTTCCTTAACTGAAATTCGACAATCACCTTTCCTACTCATACCAAAACTTTTTACATACCCTCTTACTACGACCCCCAGCACGGCGACTTGGCGACTTCCGAACCGACCTTAGCATCCATAATGGAATCTGGCGGTCCGCTCGCTTCTGGTGCATCCTTGTATCAACTTTATCATCATACTACAAGCTTCCGATTTTATTTCTCTTTTGGCTTCGGCAGCAGACAAAGACATACCGAATCACTCTCTTCATCAGTCACCACAACAAGGATTTGACTTGAGAGACAATGTTGGGGGGGGGATCCATCCATGCTTTTGGATTCAGGCTGAGTGGCGTTAGGCGTGCATTTGTCAACGGGAAGAAGGCATATTTGCATCGTCGGTGCGGTTGGGAGTAATTTCACTCTCGTGGCCTTGACTTCTTTTTTTTTTTGTTATTTGTTTTCCGACCCGAAAAGATATTACGGAGAGGCTACCTGGCTTTTTCTTTTTCTGGTCTCTCAACAAGGGCGCCGATTTTAGGCCCATGGTGTTGTTGTCGTCGCCGCGTTTCAATCAGCCTTGTACTTTTTTCAATGTCTTCCCTCCCAAAAGAGTATCATCACTTGATAATGCCGACCTGGCATCGCATCGCGACTATCTGTACATAATGTAATGCCTGCCTGGCACATTTGAGGTTACTGAATAACCTTGACGAAAATAGAGCAAGCTGATGGACTTGTTAACTGCTTTCAAAATAATCATTATTTTTATTGGGAAGTGATACGGTGCGCTGGTAAGAGGAAGAGTGAAGTTCCAAATGCCGCTCCTCCTTCGACAGTATAAATGCCATGGCAGAAAACACTTCAGGGACACAGCTTGCACATGCCCGCCCATGTGCTCAACAGCCTGCCCAAGGGGGTATAAGACTCCTTCCCGCAAAAACAGAGAGACGATTGCAAGCTTTACAAGTAAATGAATGGAAACCAAATGTTTAGCAAAGTCCCATCATACAACCGTCACAATTCCTACACGAGGTGGTGCCGGATAAGACTAGAAGTAATAACGGCTCCTAGCCAGCCGAAATGTTGTCGTCAGTCTCCGGGACCCCTTGATGGATGGGACTCATGCTCCCCCGGCGGTGCTCTCGGCCCTAGCATCCAGTCCTGCATTGCCAGCCAGTCGCTCCAGTTGGCTTCTGCACTGACGATTTCCTTCTCTGTGACACCTTGCAACGGGCGGAGAAAGGGGATGGACTGCCCGTTTTCCATGTCGTAGTCAGCCTTGACTTTTAGCCATGATTCGCTCTTTGCGGCAAACAGGTAGTTCCTCCGCTCCTGCTCATGGATAGGACCTATGCCCGCAGACCAGTCGTCCCCGAAAAAGCCGTGTAGAATGGGCGGCGTATCGAACCCGGTAGCAACCAGTCGTCTGATGAAGGGCACGAGGGCTACGTTCCCGCGTCCCGGCCCTGACGAAGAGGATGGAACACGCGGCGTGGCGGATGAGCCGTCATTGCGAATCTTTTCAAACGGTAGTTGGATGTTTATCAAGGCTGCTACGGCCTGCACGGCATTGGTGTGCTGAGCTTCCTCGATGAAGAATCTGTGACAGGACTGAAACGTCGGGTACCACTCGAAGATGTCAAACTGAGACTCTTGGAAGGGCTGCAAGGCGGGTTGATAAGGTCAGGTCGTCGTGCTGATGTTGTCCACTGCATGGAAATAGGGGGGTGAGTTTGTGCACTTACGTGCTGAAATTGCCTGGGCATGTCGAGCAAAAAGGGCCGCCGCCGGTATTGGTGCTTTCTAAATTAGGACAAACTGGTGGTTTGTGCCAACGACACACCGCATAACTGTCGAGAGAGGTGATATGCGGCCGTATTGTCCAGGCTGATGAAATCGAAGCCCGAAGAATGGTGTCCTGACCCTTGGCAATTGGAATGATTATGTGGAAGAGACGTCGTTGAGACAGCCAATAGACCCGGGCACCATGGATAACAAGAAGATATCTTTCAGTAAAATTGCCTGCTTTCTTCCCCGGAAAGAAAAAGGGCCAAGACGGGGGGTTTTCTTGTGTGTGCGAGCCTGGGTGTTACAGGAGGATTCGTGGAGGTAGTAGTAGATAGATAATGTATCTCAAGAGTTGCTCCTTCTATCAATCGCTTAAGTTTTTGCTGCCTACTGCTAGCCGGAAGCACGGATAACGATATATGCCTTGGGGTAAGAAACCATACCGGCTCTTATAAATTTTCCCAGAGAAAGTGACAAGACAATCCTTTTATGTCTTGTATTATCGAAACTCTCATGTCCGTCTCTACATCAGAGTTGGAATGGGGTTGATAGAACGGCCAAGGAGGGCAGTGGGGGTGTAAGCAGTGATTTACGGCGAAACCCTTTGAAGGTAAGCAGACTTGGATGAGTATAAGTACGGCAATCACAGAGACATCATAGGCGGATGGTGGGTTGCGATTGGAGCCAGCAGGTTGGGCGAGATGCGAGCAAGAGCAGATACGGGTTCAGACTAGGGGAGCAAAACTCCATGAGGGGAGGGACAGTAGAAAAAGTGAATCACAAAATACGTATCAAACACGATAGACACAAGTATTGCCACGAAGAGAGGAGGGAGGGGGGGCTCCGTATTGGACCCATGCAACTATAAAATGTCTTCAAGTTCGTGGGTTGGAGACGGAAGGCGATGTAGTGGCGTCGCCTGGATGGACCCAGCATGGTCTGAGCCAAGATCCAACCTGGGCGTCGCCTCCGTACCCCTCCTTGCGTCTTCAGCCTTGTTTGTCTGAATGAAACACGAGACGAACATAGACATTGGGACGCGAAGGGGGATGTGGGGGTTGTGCCACCACAGGCACGAGGCGTCTATTGGGTGCTGCAGGAAGAGGTGGGGGAGGCGGGCAGGGAGGCCTGCCTTGAGGTTCAATGTCATAGCTTTGTGACGATGCACGAGACGCATTCGGACATTGCAGCTGGCATAAGGAGTAGTGTCCTCTCTTGGCCGGGCTGGGATGCTGGACGCTGGATGCTGGATGCTGGATGCTGGATGCTCGAGTGGGATTGCTTTTGATCCACTGCCATTCATCGTACATGCTCGGCGCGGAGCACGGGGTATTGTTTTCTTGATTTTTCAGGCTGGGGCCGCTGAAACCACCACGTCCACGTCCACGTCCGCGGAGCAGTTTGCCAGCGACCAAACTGATCAACCACAGCCAACCTTGTAGCTTCGGCATGGGCCCCGTTGACAGCGATTGAAGGGTCTCGAGTTTCCGTACGGAGGACTGGCCGGCCGCGTTGTTGCCATGCGCACCCGTGGCCTTGAATGATTGGTAGTTGCTATTGGTACTCGTCAATCGAAGCACGTCGCATCATGGAACAGAACATCGAACATCCATGGCAAATCGGCGTGGCACATGTCCGCGTACCACGACGCAGTTCTTGGCCGCTGTGCAATCCAAATTCCTCGCCAAGGTCAGTTTTTGCTCACAGTCTCCTCTTCTTTTTTGTTTCTTTCCCGTACCGGACAGACCCACCTAGATTTGGCCAAGGACGATGTCACCACAGCATGGAATGGAATGAGACGAATCGGCAAAGTCGTGGTGAGTGTTCCGAGTGCATATGAAAGATTCAGCAAACCCCTGGGCTTGACCGAGGGACCAGGTCGGGGGGTCGGGAGCGGCAATGCTCCACTGGGGACGCAGGGTTGGGGTTGGTTGGCTGCCCGCGTTTGGCCAGGTCTACGGAGTACCGTTGGCTTAATAAGGGTCCTCCGCAGCCCTGGAGCGTTTTGGGCGGGTGCCTCTTCTCTGGTAACGTAGTTTGTGACCCAGCTGACAGCCAGCCGGCGCATGGGTGTGACAAGTGACCGAGACTCTGAAGAGAGACATGACATGAATGGAGCCAGACGTGACCGAGCGAGATTTCGGATCCAGTTGCATCATCACCATCGACCTGTAGATCTGGTTGTACGGAGGAGTAACATATCAGGTTGTACTACGGAGTACGGAGGAGACTCAAACAAACCGGAGCCCCACCTGTTCAGGCGGCCCAGGGTTTCCGGCTTTTAGCAAGCAGTGACATTTCCAGAATCTACCCCTTTTTCTGGTCCAGAGAGCTGGCTTGTAGATTGTTCGTGTCAACTATGGAAGAGTCAGCGTCAAGGAAGGTAACCATAAGCGAACTTTGGCATAGTGATTTGCCAGTGTATGTGCTACTTGCTGCTGTTTGTTTCTCCTGGCGTTGATGGACGTCCTTGGCGAGTTTCCATCCGGCACTGGACGCGCTGGCGACGGGACTTGACGACCATGAAACAGCAGAATCTTCCCGTCACAGCGGACGTATCCTGATACCTGATCAGCTAAGTAAGTAGGTGGCCAGCTCCCAAGAATGAACTGCCGCGGCGGGTAAATCATTTGGCGGCGGCGACGCCTCTCGATGATGCGAGTTTTGGTCCTTGCGCCTGGTCAGCAGGCAAGATTCAGCGCGCTTGTCCAGCCAGCCAGATCTCTCAAGCGCTGAACTTGACAGATGCTGGCAGGTAGACCCTGGCGCCAAAGGCTGCTGAACTGCGCCTGGGGTCTCGTTTGCGCGCCAAGCTCGGGCAGACAGGCCTGTACGGAGTAATCGGCTGTGCTATGTGGAGGTGTGATGAATTTTTTGTTCTCCGCCTCCCACCAGCCAGTTGCATCTGCCACCCGGTCGCGCTTCCCTAACTCCGACAAGCGTCGGTCTCACCGTACGGAGTACCTTCCCTGCCTACGGAGCGAGTAGGTACCCAGTGCGGACTACTTGGCGGTACCTGAGAAGGAAGGCCAACTGGTGCCTGGTGGCAGCTACCGGGCACCCGGGTGTACCGGGGCAGTCGTACTCTGTCTGTCTGTACTGACGTTCCACGTTGGAATTGAGGAGGCATGTTGTGGCTGATCGTCATCGCCCTCCACCTCCCCAACCACTGACTATGTAGTTTAAGTACTTGGCCAGGGACCAAGTACATGGTGACCTTGAGCAATCACAGGAAATTTTTCATGTTTGTCCTTCCCCTCGATGCCAACGCCAAGGCTTCGTGCCCATTGATGACCCCTCTTTGGCTCCGAACTGCAGGAACTGCTCGACGCTACCTCGCGTATCTGGAACCACAGTGCTCCGTAAAGGGACGACCATTGTGCCGAAAGTCTATCAGCAAAGACGACGCTGCCTGGCACCAATTGAATCGCCGTGACCCGCACTGCGGATGCCGTGCAGTCCGGCAGGCCCTGAGCCAAGCTCTCGGGATTGTTCACAACACACTCTATCGTACGGAGTACATAGTGGTATCGGGATTCTGGGACACAGTCCCCAGAATGCGGGTTGGGCGGCAAGTGAAGGGTCAGACAGAGCTTTCCGTCGTTTCGCGCCATGAAGCGTCCTGGGCAACATCTCTTGTACATTGCAAAAGGCAGCTCGAGTGCGCAACTGCCACTGCCATGGCCGTATCTCCCGACGGGCCACAGGCCACACGCGACAGGTCACATCCGACATCGCGTACTCAGTCAGCATGGTTCTCCGTACTCTGTTACTGGCGCCACGGCACGCCCGCCCCTTCAGCTGGCCAGTGTTGACACCCCTGTATTTTCTGTCAAGGTCAAGAGTGGCCAGGCCAGGTTGACTGAACCCCGGTCTGGCTCGCGGCCCGCCGTATCTTGATTTGCCCACATTACAGGATCCGACCGTGACAAGAGAGAGCATCACAGATGGGGAGAACGCAAGGGCCACGATGGATCTTCACCGTCCAAAGGCATCGGGGGCCGTGGCTCTGCTGCGACGCTCCCGTCAGCGCCTGTCAATCACTCGCCCTTCGTTCTGCAGCCTGTATGTACCGCACGATTCTGTGTTGCATGCGGTGAAACTGCCTGTGGCTGCAAATGAAGCCGGCGCTTGCCAGCAAGGAAAAGCAAGTCGAAATCACACAGATACTGTAATCTTGTCACCGAGAATGGGGCTGTAGGTACTCCACCGGAGAATATACATGTCCACCTCGTGGGCAGCTGTTTCGGCAATTTGCTGATCAGAAGATGGCCAAACCTTGCATTGAAGGCATCTTCGTAATCGCCCCGGGTTGTTGGATTTTGGCAAGTCCGCCTCCAGCAGCAACAACAACAACAACAACAAAAACAACAACACATCGGTGTTGCATGGTAGACAGCCAGCCTGTCGAGACTGACGGCATTTTCTGGTGTGGGAGGTGTCATGTTCAACAACATCAGTCCTCGTTTTCTCTCGAGGTGTGAGAGCACAAGGCACGGCTTTCGATACTTGGACAGCATATCTGCCAGTTCATCGCCAAAATCGCTTCGAAACGGCAAGCATAGGCTGAATTCCTTCTCCAATACTGCAGATTCCAAAGCATGGTCCTGTCAAGTATGCACAGGGGCGTGCATACCCAAGGTTTACAACTGGAGCTAGCGTCCGGCGATGCCAGCAAAGGGCTTGCTGTATCTCTGGCGGATGTCGGTAGTTTGGTAGTTCAGTGGAGGCATGGCCAGTTGTTTCTGGGAATCAAACAGTTTTGGATATTTCTGCCACGTCTCTCCTTGTGCTCTCTCTGTATACCGTTCTGGATCAGTCCAAGCTTCTTGTGTCTTCCCGTGGCGGCCAGCCACGCAGATGTGAGACAAGACGGACCGTGAGAAAAGCACCACCTCAGCTGTTCAAAGAAGCAGTGGGAGAGGAGAGGGCCTCTAGGGGGTTGAAGGCTGTCTGTTTTGCAAAGTTTGCTGGCGACTGTGATGCGAGGACTTGTTGGTGACCAGAAGTTATTAGCCAGGGCGTGTTGTTTGCACCCCACCCGGCGACGTCTGTCATGATGGGAGCAGCCTTGACCGTTGGATCAGATTTCCATGGTGCCCCCCCCGGGCATCGTGCTGGGACTACTCCGTAGTAATCAATAAGAGTGAGTTTCCGGCGGGAGCCAGGTCTTGTGACATGGCAGGTCTAGCTGAAACCTTTGCCCCCTGGCGAAAAGTCGACTCGTATATCAGCTCAGGCACCCAAAGCGGCGAGTTTCTTGTCGCGAATCAAACTACATTCCGCTCAATCAGTGTTGGGCAGTTTGTGTTGTGCTCTTGTTGCGTCGTGTTGCCCGAGTCTTTCAGGACGACCCAAGCTCCTTGACCCTTCGTTCGCGCGTCTGAAATCCATGCAAGTCGAGCTGCACATGGGCACCAACAACATGGCCGTCGATTGAGATCGTGATTTTGTTCTCGTTGTTTTCGACACAGACTTGAAATAAATCAAGGTGCGCGTCTGGATGATTTGCTGCATGGAGAATTGAGCAGCGGAGAAGACGCCATGACAAGTAAAGTGCGCGGGGAACCCAAGAATCACTGACTCTCGGAGCCATGGCCAGTGAAACACGTCAGGGCGAGCGACATCCTGCTTGCCTTGGTGGGTTTGACTGACCATGTCTCTCACAGCTCTTACGGGGACTGAACAGCCCAGGGAATGAATAGCAAACAGACCCGGGGCATATCACCGGGCATGACTCTTCGCAACCCAAAGCAAACATGACGAGGAAACCATCCACCATGCTTTGTAACAGCATAAGAGGGAGCATTAGACCATGTTGTGCGGAGGCATCAATTTATCCTCCCCCAGACGCTACGCATTGATGGTTGTTTGGGCGCTTCTCGGAAATATTTGCACCCTTCACCGGACACTGGAAATAAGATACTTGCATCGCAAAAGTATTCGTAGCTTCGTTTATATTCAGGCGGTCTTTTTCATACTTGCGAACGCCCTATTCCGCGGGGACGAGATTACGAGTTCAATATCGCAGCCCTAAAGACAGTAACTGTATCCGAGTGGTCTTACCATGGCATCCGTCATTCCCACCCGAGAGCTTTTGCACGCGACAGCAGAGATATGCGGCTGGATCGAAGGCAACGCCGGTGCGCAGAGGATATGGTGACAAGGACTGTGCTGGGCGGTGCGCCTTGAGCTGATTCCTAGACAGATTTCCCGCTCAAATGCCAGCCAGGTCAGAAATGCGCCAGGGACGCTGTTAACAGTATTATTGGGTGTTGCTGGAGCCCAACTGAAGGAAGTTGTTCCCTTCATACAGCATGTTTCGACAAGAGGGCCATGACTGATGGTGCAGAAACGAGCTCTGCCATGCTTTGGTTCGGATACTCTCCTTGCTCTCTTCTCTCCTTTCCTCTCCCTTCCTTTCTTCTCTTGACGCTTCTTCTCCCTCCCTCGTCTTTTCTCTCGAAAGCCCCTTTCGGCTGCATGTCTCGATTTCGTGATGTGCTAAATTCTGTGCCCTTCAGTGTCGCCTCTGCCGCTCCATATTGTAAGACGGATATATTCGGTGGTGACGCCGATTTTCAGGGGTATTCTCTATTCATCTGTGCATCGGACACAAAAACAAACACTATATACCGCTACACTACGGTAAAATCTCGAACCGACAACGCAATGACGTTAGATGCCCCCATTACAACCTTCATTTCCACATCAACACCTCATCAGCAATCCAAGACCATGACGTCAGGCAGCTCCCCCGAGGGCAGCAATCCCATGACACGCTCAAGCCTATACGTCTCGAACGAGACAGAACCGAGGTCGTCAACATCGATAGAAGCTTCAACAGATGGCCCCCCGACGTCCAGCACGCCTCCGGACAGGGTTACGAAATCCCCCGCCGCTGTTGTTGGAATGGCAATCGGGAGCGCTGGTTTGTATTAGCCAATACAGAAAACAGATCCTCTCATAACTGACTCGGCTCATGGCGAGTCATCTCAGCGGCCTTGGCCTGTTTTGGTGCATTTACCTACTTGGCCTACCGATATGTCAAGAAGAAGAGAACCCATCGTCTGAAACTGAGCTCGCAAGAACACAAGCGGCGCGCAGGTCACGACGGTCATCGCCATGAGGTCGGAGTCCAGGTATCGAGGTGAGCTTTTGCAGCGGGCCCAAACCGTCAAGCCACCGAACGTAATGTTAGTGGACATTGCTGTTCTTTGCCTTGGCTTGCTTAATGGGTGACGCAGGATGGGTGTTTGACAGATTTGATAAAGTCGGTCGGTGGGTGGCATGGCGACTTGAGCGGCTTGGTCTTGCATGGGAGAATGGAGAATGACGAAGAGATGCACTTGATTTTGTTCCATCGCAACTGGGATCTGGGCATTTCCAGCGGAAATTCACTTGGCTTACTTGAAATCCGCTCCACAAAGTCGCTGCCGTGTCCAACGCAAAACACAGATGGTGATGATGTAGTTGAAGGAATGTTGGCGGGGTCAGAGCCTCCAAGTACGACCTCACTGTTTGCCAGAGCTTCTACGTGCCGCATCGTTGTTGAACAAAGGGGCCAGAGAGTCTGCCTTGCCGCCGAGACATGTATGCTCAAGTCTGGAGAGGCAAGGGTACAAACGGATGACACGAACGTACGGAACAAAATACGGGATGGACTCTTGGGATTGCTTCTCGCCGTGACAGTACGAAATTAGTGGACTGTAACAGAGTCCGGGTCGGTATACCAAGCAGTGTCTGGCTAAAACTCACCGAGCTGACGCGTCGAGGCACAAAGGAGCCAGCAACGGAGGAACAAGGCGCGGTTGTCAATCTACGAGGCCTCGAGCGCTTTGGCTATCAGCACCCTGGCCCTCTCACTCAGGTCCATGCCCGACGCCAGCTTCTTCCCGTCGTCTGTCATCCTGCCCCATTTCTTTCTCAAAATACCCACCGCCTTGTCCTCGTCCATGTCTGACTTGGCCTCAAAGTCGTCAAGTTGGTCGTCGAGGAACACCAGACAGGCGACATCCTCGAGGACCTTGGGTTTCGGGGTCGGTGGAAAGGCCGTGGATGACAGGAGCGCCGAGACGCCGAGCGCGGCTTGGGATTTGTGCTTGGTCCGCCATGTCAGGTAGCCGGGGCGGGTTGGGGGGAAGCTGCGTCGCGGGAGTTCCCATCTATTTGGGGACATGGGGGTTTTCCTTTCTCAGCGCCGTGGTGCATGAGCAGGTTTTATTCGGTAGCAAATGGGGGATCGGATGGTGTATGCGATAGCTTTGGGCATTGAGGACCAGGACAGGACCGTAGGACTAGGGAGATTGCTTGGTTGGAGACGTACCGTCGGAAATGCTGCGCTCTGCATGCGAGTTGGAGGGCGGGTGAGGCTTCGGGGTACCGAGATTCAAGCCACGCTGTCATCTTTTGCGCGTAGTGCTTCGCTCGTACGGGACGGTTTGGGGGCCATCCGGCCCGTCTATCTGGGTTGGATCTTCGGAGTGAGCTTCGTCAATGAGTCGCAGCGCTTGCCCGTGGGCGGGAGACAAGTTTTGGGGAGCCATCTTTGCTGATGTCGAGGGAGCCTCTGAAGATCGTTTTTCTCTTTTTAGGGCCTTGAGCCGTGAGTCTGGCCAGTACCTACCGCGCTTGCCAGAAAGTCTGTGAACAATGGCGTATGGCTTTTCAAGTATTTGGATTGCGTTTATTCAGCCGGTTCAAGGTGCTCTTGAGATGAAGTTTGACAAACTCGCCGTCGTTTCCAGATGAGTAAGCGCATCTTGGTGGATCCCGATTGGGCGAGTACCTAAGTTAGTTACCTACTTAAGTAGGTACCCATGCCGCAGCAAAGTTCGCATGTCGACGCTGGGACATGCGATGTGCGTGCGATAGATTGAAAGTCGACGTGGATGGCCAGCTCTCCAGAGCGAGAAGACAGTAATGAGCACTCACTGGCACTCGGTAGGCTGGCAGTAATCCTACCAAGCAATGCAATTCATTGTTGATATGAGTACCATTTCACGTTCGTAGGCCAACGGCAGCTGGCAGCAAACGCGCGGCGTGCCAGCACATGCCTCTCCGTTTCTGAAAAATGCTGCTGCCTGGATATTTATTGTAGGTACCCAAGTACTGACCCCAGTACGAGTGACATGCTTCTTCTGCGCTTCTCCGTTGTTCTTGACTAGCTGCACTGCAAATACAACCAACCCTGGGCGATATATAACTACATCTCCTATACTGCCCACCCGTCTTCGCCTTACCTGACTCGTTCCACAGAGCCAGGACCGTTGACGGGTACAAGAACCAGTACAGGACTTGTACTCGTCACAGCGCGCCTCCATCTTGACGCCGTCATTTGTGTTTCCTGGCATACGTCATGAGGGAGGTATCCGAGGGGTTCGTATAGCCATGCCGCGGGAGATGAGGACAAGCACAAGACAGCTGCTAAGCTGCTACCACCGGTGGAGAGCCGACTGAATTCGATTCCTCGGACTCTGCCAAATCGGTTCTTGTCGAGGGGAAAGATCAGGCTATTGCTGTCTCCTCTGCGGACGAGAGTACTGGCACCAGCGATGGAAGCGCCACCGGCGACTCCGCCACTACTTGTGAGAAGCACCATCAGATCACTGTTTGCAAAAGAAGCTGTCTAAAAGGGGGCAGGCGGTGCTTGACGGTTGCGGTCAAGGTAGCCCCTCCGATTCAGACCTTTCATCAAGCTTTGCCGGTTCTTCTCCAACCGACAACTCCAGCGACACAAAGCCCTTTTGCAGAGGTAAAAACGCAAGGGATGCAACCGCCGACATTTCCAGCAAGTCGGACGCATCGTCCGAAAGCGATGCCCCGACGGTCGAGACCAGTTCTGGGCCCCAAACGTCAGATAAAAACGGCTCTTCTGTCAGCCCTGCTGATAGCTCTTTCGGTACTCAACAGGCAGAGGCCATGAGGGACCAAATCCCCCCAGGACTATGTCACTGATACTGATGCCGGCACGAAAGAGGACCATGAGGCTCGTCAGGCTAAAACGGCCAAGGTCGTGACACCAGCTGAAACGATCAGGCCAGGGACCCTCTCGGAACAAACTATCGACCCAAGTCTAGGGCGACAAAAGGACCACGAGTTGGCTTGGGAAGACAGGGCCATGAAGCTTCATTCCTACGATGACATCCTCTCCGACGACGGAACATCGTCCGAGTGGGTCTGCAAAGAGGACGAACGGAAGCGCCAGAAATGATATCTCTATGATCATGTCTACAGAACTCTCTACCCGGCGGATGCTCAAATCAGGGGCCACGGGCACTTGGCTGGGCGGGATCTTAATATGCTCGCAACTATCGCGTGCCTGCACACAACAAACAGGCTATTGGAAACGAAGGCAAACTTCACGAATGCCGCGGGTTCAGATGTACCTATTGCAGTTCTTCGTGATTAGTATGAAGGAGATTGGGCTACAAGAAAGGTCGTCGTCACAACGCTGTGCAGCAAAAGGAGTCCGCCGAGCGAGTCGAGAAATTAATTGACAGCGTCTCAATGGGAGGGGACAACTAATCATCAGTTTGAACTGGATTCGCCTAGAAAAAAAAGTCTGCTTTCGTCGCCTGCACACACTCTCCCATTGGTTGCCAAGGCTAGAAAGTCAAGAACAGATGCGCCATCTTTCGCAAGATTTAGGCTGTTTCAATTGAGAGGGTTTGTCATGGTGGGATAAAATAGACTGTAGACACGCCTGCAGAGTTGCAACAGTCCTCCAAAATGTGCCTCTGCCCCTTCCATATGAGACACATAAATATATAAACAAGATAACACTCCTATATGCAAACTCGTGATGCTCGCTTTCGTTCGAGATACAACAAACGATATCCAAAGGCTAAAAGTCTGCACCTCCAAGAATTAAAGAAAAAGAGAATTGTCGACGCCCATCTGAATGCAAGTATATAATGCCGCTGTGGTGCAAAGTGGTCACAGGCCGAAAATACCGCAACGTATGGCTCAAAATGCAATTAGTCGGAGCAGGAAATCGCAATGAGTAGGCTCCGTGACGAGCAACATGCCGTGATGAAGCGCGAAAAATCAATACTTTGCTGCATGGCCATTGCCTGGAACTACCTGACACAAAAATGAGGGTGGTCGATATTATATGCTTTTTGTCTTGTCTCTGTTCTTTTTGTCAAGGCCAAACTGACATCTTGTAGCAGGATGGTTGGTAGCCAACCTGGCCCACGAAAATGAGCCCTCAAACTGAGGGGTGGAGGAAGCATCAAAAAACTGAATGAAGCATCAACCGGCCTCGATTCAACGTTGTTTATGATGCACCAAATAAAACTGATGGGGGGTGATGCTGTGCGAGCGCCAGAGAATAGGAGGCCTCGTGCCTCATATAGGGTTTTCCATCCCCAGTGGACGGGCTTGTTTGGCGAAAAGGGCAGTACTCGACCCCTGGTCTCTATTTTGCGATGTCGTATCAGATGGAGCCAGGCCTCGCTTCATCATTCTGCCCAACACGGTGACAAGCTCGCATGCGTCATTAAACATGTCATCATCCATACCTTCAGTCGCGTCGTAAACTTCTGCAATTGTCTCTTTGGCAAGCTGACGGCTCGCCTTGGCATCGTGGACGCATTCATAGAGAAAAGCAGCGTACTCGGTCTTGACTGATAGCCGTAGCGAATGAGAACCCCACAGCAGCTCGTCTGCGAGCTTCACAGCTTCCTGAAAATGTTGATGGGCTGCAGGGAGATAATTCTGTTGCGGTAGCAGAAACGACGGTGGCAACAAGGCTACATGAGCTTCAAAACCTGGAGGCGGACCAACAGGCCCGCCCTCCAAAGGATGAGTAGGCTGAACAGACGAAGGCCTAGACGACGCATCCCCATCAGAACCAGAAGTCTCTCGTTTCTTATCCTGCGCGCCTGCTGCTGCTGCCAATGCCGCTTCTCTTGCTTCTGGTGTCCAGCTGGCTAGGTCGGAGACTGGAGGATGATTGTGAAAAAGAACAAATATGTGATGGAAGCTAGCGCGCAGCTTGTAAGCCAAGACCTTTAACTCGACATAATTGCCAACCATTGGGATGACGTATTGCTGAAGCATATTCAACCCCTCGCGAGACAGCCATATTATATGCAACACGCGCTTAAGAAACAAGGGCGATGCGGCAGGATCTGGCCTCCGAGATTTCTTGGAGGCCACAAGTTGCTGGGCAAGGTTGAGCGACAAGCCAAGAATTTTGTAGAGTATCGACGACAGGATAGGATTGTCTTGTTCGACAGCTTTGGCTAGTCTGCCCAAGAACTTTTGGTCAACCTCCGACGACGCCATCCAGTCTGACTGTGGCCAGAAAGTGCTTGGTCCCGCCGCAGGCTCTTGCTGTCGGCCTTGAATCTTGGCAATCCGAGCTGATGGAAATAAAGCCGCGTCAAGTCGAGGGACAGGTCCCTCTACATGTTTCTAAGAGAGTGTATGGTCAGAAGGGGAATCAATGACTGGGGTTTTTGATCCAGGATACGGGGGTGGCTCTGGGGTCGGCCAGCAGCTTCGCACGCCAGGAGGGATGCCGACAGGGTCCCAGGCGAATTGGGACTAACGGGACAAGAAACAACAGATTATTCTCATGTGCGAGGAGGGAGCTTGACAGCTGGCGTGACTTGATTGGAGCACAAGAAACGAATGTTAGGGAGGGTACGGAATAGTGAAGGGAGCAGGCAAGGCTAGAGACAGACGGGCTGGAGTGAATATTGGGCGTCGGGACACGGAGTGCATCAAGTCTTGAGCGCCAGGAGAGAGGACTGGTCAATCCAGCGGGCAACATCTCGTTCGTAGGTGAGAGGGGTACCAACCAAGGCAAAATGACGGTCCTTGGATAATGCGGTCAGGACGGGCAAAGAGCAGATGCTTTCGTGGGCGGCGCCGTGGGAACGATGCTCGGGGTTTCCTCGACCAGGCTCTGCAGGCTCGAGTGAAGGTGCAAGATCCCACCTGGCATATAAGCCATCGAAGAAGAAGGCGTTACAAATTCCTAGGTCCGAACATCAAGGAAACACAAACACCACGGTCTGTTGTGGCTGTCCATCTGGTAGCCCGCAACTCGGGCCAGGATACCCCAAACACCGCATCCCTGAGCACTAGCACTAGCACTAGCATCCCGTCATCGTGGAGGCAGAAAAGGATGGGACAATAATGGAGTGATGAATAATGGGCAGGAAAGTCTTCGTTGTCGTCCCCTGTCACCGGCTCACAGCCCTGGTCGGGCCATGGTTAACCTCGCCGTATTGCCAGTGGGTCGATTGGGGGCGGTGAAGGCTCACGTCAACATCTTCTCAGATACCGTGTATTCGCCCTTGATGAATATCCATGACGAGAACGGAACCTCCAATGTCCTCTTCAAGAATGGGTATTGTAATTTTCCGTATTTGTGTGGTTAAGAAGACCAAGGGGAGTGGACTCGTTGGTCTTGGAAGACACTCGTCAACAAGGAATGCATGGCAGTATGACCTGCCCGAGATGTTCTCAGAGATGCGGCTATGATGACGGACGGACAGATATGCGGCGTCAATAATCGCAAAAAGTGCAACAAGGTTCCAAGCCGAGCCCACCATGACAAGCAGCAGCGAACTCGATTTATTGCATGTCCCGTCGACGCACCCTCGGGGACGTGTGTGTAGCGAGCATCTCGATCGAGCCCATGCAAATTTGGCCCACGGCGCACAAAGTAGTCTTCGGCCACCGGACTTGGGCATTGACGATGATGCCGTTGGTGTAGGCGTTGGGGTGGACGTTGGCGATGGCGATAGGGGTTGCGGCGTGGAGAAAGGTTTGTGAGGCACTCGAGAGACGCGAGGAGACGCGAGGAGACGCGAGGAGACTTTCCGACTCACAGCAGTAGCAACTTGTGCCATTGGGACTTTTCTGTCAAATGGCGTGGCTTGAGATTCGTCCTGTTGCTCGTACCAACTTCCAGAAGCTGGGCTGGCACCAGCATCAGCGGCGGCGATGCAGACAGACGCCTGAGGCAGACAGACGGATGTGTGAGGCGCAATTTGGGTTGCGCAACAGCGGCTCAAACCCAGCGTTTCAGTTTGTCACCAACCGACGGTGACGAGTCGAAGTTCAATCCTGGTGAGCTGCGGTCTAGCTAACCGGCACGGACGAGGCGTGTCCAGAGCCTCAAAACGTCGACTGTTGACAAACTTGCGGTAAGGGTTGGGTTGGGTCTACGAATTGATTGCTCTGATGACGTCGGCCAGTCCGTGTGAACTCGATTGACCTTGGATCCTTGATGAGCCCGGGTTTGGGTACATGGCTGGCTGGCGGGTTAGCGCCAGCTTTGAGACGATGACCCAACTGCGTACTCCGTACCGAGCGACTACCGGCGATTCAATTGACCTCGAGCGCGGCCAAGTTGCACGTGCGGCATCTGGGAAGACACCACGACCAAGGCCGGAGGAGGGAAGCCGACTGGCGAGTTCAGGTCTGACAAAAAGTCGCCTTGTGGTGAGGACCCGTGAGCGTTGAACATGTGCCGCGGATCCGCAAAGCCAAGCTACAACTACTAGTAGTCCTGCGTCGTTGCATTAAAGTACCAGGCAACTACACTACCTTTAAGTGCCTCAAGTAAGTACTTTAAGTAGGTACCTAGTTACCAAGTACCCAAGGCTCCTGTCTAGGTAGTTTATTATTCCGCACAACAAAACACCCTTGTCGCGATTTTACCGCCTTTTCTTTCCCTTCTTCCTTGCTTCCATCCTTTCTTCCCTCCTATATCTTTTTTTTTTTGGCTTATCCTTGCCTGTTGTTGCCCACGTCACATACGCGCAGCCAAGACAGCCCCTCAATTCCCACGTTTACTTAAGTACTCAAGTTGTTGATTACTCAGCCCAATTGCTCTTGCAAACTTGTGTGTGTCGTTTCAATCTCCGAGGTAGCAGTAGCGAATAGGGCTGATGCTTTTCCGCATCCAGCCATGGTCTGTGTTTCACAGACCTGGCTGGGCACTTTCTAAGTACCTGAGAAGTACCTAGTGGCTGGTTACACAGAGTCACCGCCACCAAACTCCCCAGCCAACTGAGAGGGGGTAGCAAAATAACCCCACACTCATTCGTCGGGTACTTAAGTGCTGAAGTACTCATGGATTGGCCCTCGCTCAGTCTGCTGGTCATTGCGCCAACCTGTCCACTGCCCTCCCCAGGACCTAAGTTAAGTAAGTTAAGTACTTAAGTACCTAAGTAGGTACGTAGCGAGTAGGTGAGTACGTACCCGAGTCTTCGAGTTTATCCGAGACACATCATCCAAAGCATAAAGAGACGTCCCGTGTAACCAACCCCAAGTATCATGCAACTTCCACAATGTGTATTACTACTCCGCTGCGCGTTAACGTGAACGTCGTGGAAAACAGCCTCTGTGCATAACCCAACTTTGGTTGGTTACACAGTTTAGGCGCCCACCGGCCCCAGCCTTTGGACTCCTGTCGGCCCAGCCCTCTCCATTTCTGAAACCTTCCTCATCACGGCAGGCAATTGCATGTCGAATTCGGAGCAGGGCAAGATGCCGAGTCTGCCGCGGTTGTGGCATGATTTCAACACCATACTCCGTACTCCGTACAGCTAGTGTTAATTACTACGTACGCCGTCTTACCATCCACCGCATCAATTAACCAGTTTCGTTCTCCTCCGCCTCATTGAGACATGATAATACATCATTGCCACCCGTTGACCTTCTCTCGTCTCAGTCTTCTTCGTAGACTCTGTCCGCATAGTTTTCGGGAGACTGAACAGATTGAATTGGAATTCTATACCACTCACAGGCGTGGCCGTACTATTCTCCTGCCATACTACCTCCCTTAAGTAGGCAGCAATATTATAATATCAGCGCAATATGACGATGGCCGGCCAAAATTAGAAACAAGCCTTTTGGCTCATGACTTCCGGAAGCGCGCAACTTTCAGCACGGTGCTTTGGTCCTTGCTGCTTGTCCTAGTTTGCGGCGCCGACTTGACGTATTCATCAAAGCGCCATAACTGTCATTCTCCGGATCGACATCAAACCGCTCAAGGGGACCAGACGTCACGAGCTTGATGACATTGCCAAATGCAAATGCAACAGATCGAAGACCTACTGCGACTTTCGGCCCTATTTCTGACACCACCAAGTGATTTGACTCATCTCCTAGTTCGAGTAGAGGTCGGCATTCTTCCAGATCTGGCTTATTGCAGGGTGAAGTTACCCATACTTCCCAGCTCGCAAAGCAGTACTGATTGTTCTGTCCGGTTGTGCGCCTTCGTCGCAAAGTTGAGCCCATGTTGCTGGTCCCCTTGTACGTTTGGTTAACTCGCCGTATGCCAACTACACTACCGTCTGAGAGCACATGCCACGTTCCCGGGTTCTTAACTCGCTTCTTCACTTCTTTTGCTGACTCGCAAGCGCACCCATCGTCATTTATCTTGCTGTCGGGACTCTGGAGATGGATAAACTCGCAGTCATCTGTGGGAACATAGGCTTGCAACACGCAATCGCCTGTCTCGGTCCCAACGTAGCACAAGTTTAGAGATGCTAATCCCATCAAACCTGGTTTGGAAACAGGGCCTGAATAAGTGCACTGAAGGGAGCGAGGAATCATCCTCTCTGTATGAAGGGTTCGGAGCACCTCTCCCTCTTCAGAACTTATAAGGTAGACGCAATTGCTTGCTGCCAGTGCGAACACGCCGAGAGGAGACAATGGAACGATCTGGGAGATTGCACCCACGTCCGAGGACTTCAAATCCAAAAGTCGGGTGTTCCACGGTGACTCTTGTCGGATGCCAATGTAGACATGTCCCCGTTTGGAGACCATGGCAATTGATATAGTCGCTTCAGGCCTGCCTATTTACAAACGATGATTAGTCAAAGTGCTTTCAATATCACCAAGGGGAGGGGGGTTTGGGGGCAAAAGCCTAACGTACTCTTCTTGATCAGGGCACAAGCTAGTGCCAAGGGTTCAGGGCAGATAGAACTGACGCTTTGAACATTCTGCGTCCCTGCGGTAACTTGGACCATTGTGCCATTGTGGTGGATTAGTACAATGGTTGGCTTGTCACTATCAGAAGTAGGATCGAAGAAAAGTGCAGCCGGCTTTTGCGAAGAGCTTTCTAAAGGCATAGATCCGCCCCATCTTTGTTCTACCAGGTTCCAAAATGAAACCCTGGACGTCGATAATAATGCCAGCCAAGTCGATGCGCCATCAATTGACATTCCCAATATAGGGAACGGGCACAACTCGCTATCACTCCCATCGGCAACAACGTAATTATATCCCCGTCCTCGAATGTTCCAAACTTGGACAACTCTGTCCAAACCTACGGAAACAATGTGCCCCGCTTTTGACTTGCTCAGCAAAGCGACGTCAAGAATGTGGCCACCTCTCATAGAATGGACTGAAACTAAAGGAGTGTCATCCTGCTTCCCGTCATTCCCCAGTTCTGCATCTTCGCCCCATAAAAGATAGTTTATGAGCAACCGAAGAGCTGCGATTATCACGACAACTATAACAACGAAGCGCGATAGCTGGTGGTGAACAAAATCGTATACGGCAGGTAACAGTGTGGGCTCCTTGCTGTGCGGCATCCGATCTGAGTCTCGCTTCACGAAAACAAGAGGCTCAAAAACTCTGGCCACGTAACTGTAGGCTCCAGGTTTAATCAACCGAATAATTTCCTCGGCTGTCTCATGGTCTTGATTCCTCAGCCATGAGGTATGGCTTCTGGCCTGATGCAGGCCTTGCAGTAGTGACGAGTCCGGGGTTGGGAGGTCATTGTCGGTGCCTCTATAAAGGCGCAAAAGTTTGCGAAACATGTTATCATCGCCAAAGAAATGCCACTGGGCAATAATGACGAAACCGAGCATGACCACAGTCCCCGCGAGCCTGGTTGACCAAGCAATGTTTCCCTGAAAGAAACCGTCGGACAACGGGCCACGGCTGTTCCCGTGGTATTTGCGTTGACTCTGTCGCAAAGCAGCCTTGGCAAGAGCATCACCTAGCTCCATGCGCCTTACGTCAACACTAAGGACAGACAGGAAGAAGGTGGAAAGATAAAAAAAGTCGAAGACGATTGCGACAGCGGCAAAGATACAAAACGCCGATACCCCGGGCGAGACCACGCGAGATAGACCAACAAGGATCAGGACGTTCTGCAGCGAACAAACCAGAGCCGTATGCGCAGTTTGACCAAATGCATGGCCGATTCTGTTACTTGTGCTATCCTGGGACGGCGTGAGAATGACTGCATTGATGAGTCGAAAGATATTCTCCAGACTCATGGACAGCACGACAAGAGGATAGGCCGCCTGTGGGATGCGGGATAGGTCGAAATTGAATATAGCGCAAATCGCGAAGCTTGACATGATGGAGAAGGTTATTTGAGTGATAATCGTCACGATGAGCCCGATTTTCGACTTGACTGCTCGCAGCTTCGACAGGCTCATGAGAAGATAGAACACGGCAAAGCCGTACGCCAACGCCAGGCTAAGGATATCCTGTGGTGATATAGGTCGAAATTGGAATTCGTACAGCTGACTCCTCGCATATCTTCCATCAGATGGGTAGACGTCAAATATGTCTGAGACTTTCTCGGGCAAAGACAGGGCCCTTCTTTCCCATTCTCGGCCAACGGGTGAGTCACCCAGGCAAAGGAGGGTGATGACAATAGCATCAGCAGCAACTAGACGCCGGTCTTCAAAGCGCTTACCGCTGAAAACAACCGAGTGTCGTAGCGTAGTATTGGCGAAGTTGGACTGATTTTTTTTATCGTTAATCGTGGAAAGTATGTCAAGGTCGGCCAGCAAGCTGTCTAGAGAGCTATGCCAATAAAGCAATGGCGAATGGAAAAACCATGACTGGTTCGTGAGGCCGTTCGAAATGTGCAGGGCGTTACGCTGGGCCAAGGAGAGCTGGTCGTCATTTTCGCGCTTGGCCAAATTGTTTGACACATCTCGAGGACTAAAAAATTTGGTCTCACCGAGCAATTCGTCCTGAAGTTCCAGGGCTGAGGCCAGCAAGTCGGCATTGAGAGCTTCCATGTAACTAGAATGAACCCAAATAGACCTCATACTTATGTCTGGCTCTACCGCAGCATCATATGTGAGCGGTTGGGCCACCGTCCAAGCATGATGAGGTAGGTAAGAGGCGCCATTGACAAAATCACTAGTAAATAGATACGGGATGGGGTAGACGAGGATCGTGGCTACAGTTGCCGAGATGAGGAGGGCAGTGACGACGTGGCCAGCGACGTATCGACCATATCGAGTAAAGCCACTCCGGAGGGAATGTGATGGTGCGAGATCTGGAGGTTTAGTGGTCCTGGCAGCATTGTTAACGAATTGATCGAAGCGTGGATGCGTCGAAAGGCGGCAGCCATGACCCATGGGCCATGGACGTGGCTGGTTGCAGCATACCCTCGTAATGGATAGAGAAGGTACCAAATCATGGCGCAATATGGGACACGCCGTGCCTCTAGATGGACATGAATTAGATCTGGGGTCGATATGTTACATATGGGAGCCGGTGGCAATCAGGTGCCGTCGTTACTGGTGTGCTTTGGTAGACGGGGTTGTCAACACCGAGGACTAATCGCACGCTTAAGTACAGCGCGGTCCGCGAGTCTTTAAATAGACCGACGAAGCCCTTGCATCTTGTTCTGACGTAGGGTGTAGATTTTGTAGTATTTATTCGAGCAATGATATCCGCAGTCAGCACTTGAGCCCAATTCGTCTAAAACTGGTAAGTACAATGCACTCGTCGTGCTTGAGCTGGGGACATGCAGGTAATGCGACTCCAGAGCAAGAGACAACGTGTCGCATCACAGTCTCGATAGCCAGGGAGGTAGGTTGAAGGGCGCATCAACTGGTGTCTAATTGCCTGTCAATATTTTGCTGATAGCCGATGGTCGACGGTCGATGGTTGATGGCTGATAATTGATGATTGATGATTGATGATGGTCGACATTGGCAGGTGGCGGCATGCTGGAGCAACGACGGAACTAAAGTTTCGCTCAGATTGTCAAGGTCGATTTTGCCCGAACTTGACACCCACAATGGGAGCTAGCTGGTGAGGGATGGATCCTAGTGTGGCGGCCGGGTTGATGGATCTAAGCCAGAGGTGTTCAATCTTTCCTTCCTATAGATCCCAGGCATTTGACTCGAGAGTTGGCCCGGAGTCGCTGCCCAACACGGATGCCAGCTTTCAATTTTAATGAGCTCGACGACTGGTTTATGGGTCAGCAAAGGCGTTCTCGTTGTGAGTGCTGCGGCTGGTGCATTCGAGGGGAACTGTCAGTGAGTACGGAGCAGGCACGTCAGGTTACAGGTACTTCGCTACGGAATCTAACTACTCCGTAGCAAGTACCGACATCATCATGCTTGCAGCCGGCTTTGTGGTGGGTCCAACCATGGAATTTATCGCACACAAGCGGGCACAGATGCACAGGTCACAATGTGACATACTGAGAAGCAAAAGAGCCCTATTTGTACGTTATAACGAGCGTGCGAGAGAGAGTCGGAGCGCATTATCAAGCTCTTGAGGCCGAGTTCCCAATGCTTGGGCTGTCTCCCCGTCGGTGCTGAGTCACATTGAGGGGGGGTTCACCTAATCGTGCCCGCCCCACTTTATGTGGTTCGGCTAGCAAAAGCCCTCACCACCAAAGGTGGTGCTCGACAGCAAGGCGGGCCGGACACCAAGGCGGGCCAATTTTCAACCTAGACGCGTTGAACCGCGAAAATGGCTGCAACTAGCGTCCAAACGGCAAAAAGCGATGTCGAATTACGTGTCAACGAGGCTCTTGAGTATATTGAGGAAAATCCAGGTGCAAAAATTCGCTCTGTGGCGAAGAAATTCAACGTGCCTCGTAGCCGGCTTCAACGACGTGCTAACGGCGTTCCTGCTAGGAAAGGCCATCCAGCAAGAAATACAATGCTTTCACGAGAAGAGGAAGTTGCTTTATGTAACTATATCGATCGCCTTGATAAGGCCAACTTCGCTGTACGACCTGAATTCATTACAGATGCTGCAAATTACATCCTAAAAGAGAGGGCATCGTCAACTGCCCCGCCTAGGCAAGTTGGAACGCGATGGACTACACGCTTTATCCAGCGGCATCACTATCATAAAGGTCTTCAAAAAAAGATTGATTCAAGTCGAAAAGCTTCAGAAGATGTGACAAGAGCTCTTTCTTATTACAACAAGCTTAAAGAGGCTATTCAGCAGTACGGAGTCCCTCCTGAAGATATCTGGAATATGGATGAGACTGGCTTTCGTATTGGAATGGGAAAGGACCATTTAGTTGTTACAAAGCGAAGAAGAGCGCATCTATTTTCAATGCCAGAAAACAGGGAGACTGCAACAGCAATAGAATGCATTTCTGCTGGCGGCAAAGTTATTCCTGCCTTTCTTATCCTTACAGGGCAAAAACACATGGAGTCCTGGTATCGGATAAAGGAGCTTGAAGCTAATACCAAAATAACAGTCTCACCAACCGGCTTTACGAATGACGAAATTGCAGTTGCTTGGATACAGCATTTTCAGGAATTTGCAACGCCAATAGGCAGATATCGCCTTTTAATCCTAGATGGCCACGGATCACACCATACAATTGAATTCGTTGAATACTGCGAACAGCACGATATAATTCCCTTTGCGTTGCCCTCGCACCTTACACACATCCTTCAACCTCTTGATGTTGTGATATTTCAGCCACTAAAGCATTATCATGCAAAGGCGTTGGATATCATTGTTCGAGACGGCGTGTTGAATATTACAAAGATTGAATTCCTTGCTTGCATTCAAGCTGTACGAAAACAAGCTTTCAAGACTACTACTATTCTCACAGCCTTTCGAAAAACTGGAATTTCACCCTACAATCCACAGCCTGTAATTGAGGCCCTTGAACAACGAGCTGCAATTTACACATCAACACCATCGCCGCCGCCGTTATATCACAACAACTCTTCCGACTTTGAGACGCCCACAACACTCAGGCAGATAAATAAGGTTGCCAACAAGCTAGGGGAGGTATTAGAAGACGATACAGACAAAATTGGCTTCAACTTGTTGGCTCCACTTTTCCTGCTGAGGCGATCGAGATTCGACACAACTACTGACGAGCTCGAAAACGAAAACACGAACACGACTGCGATATTGCCAATGGTATCACGGTGAATTTCAAGCCATGGGCTGTGACGAAGTTTTGTGCGAGATTCGGGACTAGGAAATTGCATTCGCTTGTATTTTCTCGAGCTCAGTTTTCGCATAATCACCCAAGTTAGCAACCAAAATGACCTCACAAATTGAGTCTGCGCTCGAAGACATGATTTCGACGTTCAACGACCTCAATAGTTCCATTATCGAGGAGCTTGATTCAGAACCTAGCCCCTTGGAATTCATGCGGTTTGTCTCCAGAAATTCGCCTTTTGTAGTACGGGGAGCCGCTTCATCATGGAAAGCTACACGAGAATGGAACTCGAAATATCTCAGATCAGCCCTCGCTGGACAGACTGTCAATGTCGCCGTCACTCCTCATGGGTTCGCATATTTCAAATTTCGCGATTCAAATACAGGCAGAATTCACTCTAACCAAGCTTTGCCCAGCAACGCCGATGCACCTACATATTCGCCAAAAGATGGAGTCACCGTTCTCTCGAAGCCACATGAGGAACCTCAGATGTTCAACGACTTTCTCACATACGTCACGCAGCAGGAAACGGACGACACCTTCCCTGAAGATTCCGAGGTGAGATATGCGCAAACACGTCAGTCTCTGAACTCCCGACCCTGCCAGCTATCCTGCCTCTCCATGCAGTAGACAGTATGACATATTCCCATCGTCACCAGCTGATACCCAAGGATCATCAGAAAATGACAATCTTAGAGACGAGTACTCTTGTTTGTTCCCGGACGCGCAGAGGGACATTCCATTCGCGCGAATTGCACTACAGAAGAGTCCTGATGCAGTAAATTTGTGGATAGGAAACTCCAAATCTATGACCGCAACTCATAAAGATAACTTTGAGAACATATTTGTGCAGGTAATTGGCAGAAAACACTTTGTTCTGTTGCCGCCAGTCTGCCATCCCTGTATGAATGAAGTTCTGCTTACTCCAGCTACCTACGTGCGAGACCAGACTGGCCTTTCTATTCGCCTCGATGAAGGGGCAGATCTTGTTCCTTTTGTAACTTGGGACCCGGACCATCCGGCAATGAATTCTACCCCGTTCTCCAGATATGCGCAGCCGATGCGAGTTACTCTAAACCCCGGGGACATGTTGTACCTGCCGGCCATGTGGTACGTCTTGCATGCTATTCTTGCTAGCAATAACTGAGGGTAACGGCGAATTAAAGGTATCATAAAGTCAGCCAATCTAGCATCCCAGGGGGAGAAGGGTTTGTCGTTGCAATAAACTACTGGTCAGTCAAAAGTTAACAGCTCCAGCATTCCACATATATAACATCGAGATTGGTCTCCTAACGTGGAATTTTATTATAGGTATGACATGGAGTTCAGTGGACCTACCCACCCTATGACTGCTCTTATTCAGACCCTATCGAACGGTATACTTCGAAGTCAGTCGTAGGACCATGACTGAAGACTGAGGATTTTCAAAGATTTGGTAGTTATGCAAGATCCATATTTCTGACCACCCGTGTCCTACTGTCATCTTTTCTTTTTCTGAGAAATCCGCTTTTGTGCCCTCAACTCTTTCTTCATCCTAGGATCTACCATACGATAGCGCCCTCTGACACCCTTGGGTCTTCCCTGGACTCCTCTGTTCAAGCCGCGGGCCACGACCAGCTTGGCTGGTTGTGAAGGCTTCTTGCGAGCAGCTTTGCTCAACAGTTTGCCTATGCTCTCTGCCTTTTCTTTTTCAGTCATGCCTTCATCATTGGCGAGCATATCCGACTTCTTTTTTAGCTTCTCCAGCTTCTGAGCAGCCTTGAACTTCTTTCTTGCCTTTGCCTCCCGAACCTTCTTAATCGGTCGTGCGTTGAAAGCCCGAAGTTTCTCTTTAATAGCATCTGCAGCTGCTTTGGTAACGGGCTTGTGCGGTTTATCGTGCTTGCTTTCATCGTCAATGAACCACTCTGGCAAACCCTCCCTATCGCGAAATGCATGCTTGTTGAAGCCCTCATCGATCGCATCATGACTTGTCTTCTGACCGGTAGCAAGTTGGTGAGCTATGGTCATTGCTTCAGCAGTGATTATGTCGATATCTAGAGGGGAGGTGTCAGATGTGATGTTTGTTTGTGCCAGCCTGGCATCATTAACCATGTACTCACCAAGTTTTCCGTCTGGAAGACGCTTCTCCTCTTGCCATTCGTCGGTATGATTGCCCTTGACGACTTCAAAATCATCGTCCTCGTCATTGTCTTCCTGCGAGCCAGTTTTCTTGATCGGAGTTTGAATCTTCGCTACCTTCTTGGTACTACCATTTGCTCCATTCAGCCGTGTGTTTTTGGAAAATTGACCACCCATGGTAATGTTGTCGACGACACCGTTGTCATTTACATGAACATCCTTTGCACTGGCAGTGAAATCTTTAAAAACGTCCTGGCTGAAAAATGCCGCAGCTCGCTTAGATAGTCCGTCTGCTGACGGTGCATTGTCATCGAGATCCGTCAAAAGGCTTCTTGCTGGTTGGCCTTCCTCATCTTCTGACGAGTCATCCTCCTCTTCAAGCTCACTTGAATCCGATTTCACACCATCCTCATCCGCGGAAAGGCCTTCCCACTCATCGTCACGCTCCTCTCTGGCTTTCTTGGCACGGTATCTGGCGTCGGCTTCGGCTTTCTTCTCACGATAATTGTCGTACATGGAATCAAGTTCCCGTTCTAGGAGATCTTCCTCGTCATCGCTTTCATTTCCGTCTCCATCAGACGCTTCAGCAGTATTCTGGGCTGTGTCTTGATCTGGAATAACTGCCATACTGCCACGATTCAACCTCCGTAATGCGCCTGGCTTATCTGCAGACTTCATAGAAAACATAGCACCTTCTCCGATTGGACCGGACTCCTCCATGCCAATGTCCATAGGCGCAACCATGTTGAGCTGCAAACGGACAATCTCGCGTTGTTTCTTCTCGTTTTCTTTGCGTCGTTCTCGTTTCTTTTTAGAATTCTCTTTATCCTTCATGCTTTGCAGTTCTCCTTGGAGGCGAAGTTCTTCGTCCATTGATTCGACCTCAACCACCTCCTCTCCAGATGCGGCGTCTTCTTGGTTCTTCTCCTTTGTTGAATATCCAAAAAGATCTCTCGCTTTGAGGCGCCACTTGAGGAGAAGCTTAAAGTCCTTGCGGCCCAAGACTTTAAGGTCTTGGCAACACTGTCTGATCTCCTCGGTAGTCTCATGGATTTTGTCTAAAGCGGCCAAAGCCACATCACCACCGGGTGGCTGCGAAAAAGTGAGCTTATTGCAAGATCCGAGAATAGCGATCGGATCGGTGGTTTGGATGAATTCGCTGGCGGGAACTTCTTTAAACAGTATATAGTCGCCTTCATCGTAGCCTTCTCGTTTTCGCTTCTTAGTCTCAGGGTTATAAACCTTGGCCTCATTATTTGGCGTTGCTCCGGTAAGCTCCGCGAAGACATGGCGAGGATCGAGAAATCGGGGGTCGATGCGCTTAGGGGCTTTGAATCCTCTGCAGACGACGAAAATTTCAGCGGAAACGTTTCGAGAGGAAGGTGGCTTTGTGGCTTCAACTTTTGCAAAAAGCTGATTCAGGACCCATAGCAATGGGTTAAAGTCCTTCGATCGGAAAACCTTGGTGACAAATGTGCCACCTTCAACAAGAAACTCAGTCGCTAATTTTAGAGACTGCAAAGCAAGTTCTGCCTGATTGAAGGAGTCTTGTGCCCATGCAGTACCGACATTCGGTGCACCGTCATGCAATACAGTGTCAGCTTTCCACGTTTTAAGATGTTGTCGAATAGTAGCACGGCACTTCTCGGTCGTAATATCGCTCTGAAAGGTAATGACTCTGGGTATAGGCTTGATTGGTGCAAGGTCGACGCCGACTATCAAACTATTCACTGGCATCACCTCGGCAGCAACTTGACACCAGGACTAGTATCGAAGATCAGCTGGAGGTCCTTGATGTCAAGTATTTTCGAAAACTTACGCCTGGCGCAGCGCAAAGGTCCAGAAGGACCTTGCTCCTTTCCAGGAATCCATATTTCTTATTCAATTGAATAATTTTAAAGGCCGATCGGGCGCGGTATCCTTTCTCCTTGGCAAGCTTATACCACTTATCAAGACGGCCCTTGCCGTGCTTCTTCTGAATCGCCATAATGGCGACTTCCCAACGGGTACAAATGGCGGATAAAGATCGAAGCCAGAAATTTTCCAGCAAAAAGTTGCTGATAACGACCGATCACGTGCGGATAAATAACAAGAGCGGGCGGTTGTGGCTGATGTAGGCGGGAATGATTTGTGGCGCATGCTCTTGTTCCAGAGAGTGACCTGAGGAGCCCACATGCTACCACATTCCATGTATTACAACATACAACATTTTATTGTCGAAAGCTAATCGCCAAACTCGAATCGGTCATCTCATTCAAGGGTCCTTTCAAGGGCCGTATGCGCGTAATTGCCTATACGCCCCTACAATTTATCTCTTTTACAATGAGTTCACAAGTTCTCGCGGCGGGATCGCGACCTGCGACGCGACGTGCATTCATCAGTGTCAACCGACAACTACACCGACTTCCTACCGGGGGGCTGTTGCGAACAGACTCATCCATCCGAGCAACAAGAAAGCGCATGTGGTTTAACGGCAACTCATTTCACAATGCTGTGATTGCACGGAATGCCTCTTTTGTCCGCTTTTTACCTAAGCTAGTTGTCAAATTCGCTAGGATACCAGCAATGTTTGGTGGCTTGGCAATCGGTGCCTTTGCTTGGGTGCAATATCAAGCAACTCGTATGTCGCTGCAGTAATCCGTCGGAAACCTTCGGCCATTGTCTCTCGACTATTCTAACTCTCTGCAGAGGCTAGTACTTATGCTATCGAGCTTTTCAATTCCACAAAGGATACCGTAACGTCCTCGGCGACAAGTTTATTTGATACCGCGAAGGATGTCGCTGCTCAAACCCGGCAGGGTTGGGAAAACACGAAGGAGCAGATCGACACGCCAGAATGGCTCAAGCGGGTTCTCAGAATCCATCAAGATATCGGCACCGGAGGTGAGGGCGGGCCCAAAGAGAGCAGAACAGGTACAGGCGCGGCTGTTGTTGCGTCTGCTGCAGCCTATGGCTACGAACGGACATCAGAGGATGACCCTCGAGATCCAGAAGAGATGGCGAGAGACGACCAGATGATGGTTCTTACGAAGAAGATGATTGAGATCAGAAGTATACTGCAAAAAGTTGGGCAGTCCAGCTCGTTAACACTTCCATCCATTGTCGTCATCGGTTCGCAATCGTCAGGGAAGAGCTCTGTCTTGGAGGCGATTGTTGGACACGAATTCCTACCAAAGGGCTCAAACATGGTCACACGAAGACCAATCGAGCTCACTCTGGTCAACACGCCTGCGTCAGGGGACGAGTACGGAGAGTTCCCGGACCTCGGTTTAGGGCGTATTTCAGATTTCTCATCAATCCAAAGAACTCTGACGGAACTCAACATGGCAGTATCAGACGTCGACTGTGTTTCAGATGACCCTATACATCTTACTATATATTCTCCTAACGTTCCCGACTTGTCTTTGATTGATTTGCCTGGTTACATCCAAGTGGTGGGACAAAACCAACCACTTCAACTCAAGCAGAAGATCTCGGAACTATGTGACAAGTACATTCAGCCGCCGAACGTGATTCTAGCCATCTCAGCAGCCGATGTGGATCTCGCCAATTCAACTGCTTTGCGGGCATCTCGCCGAGTCGACCCAAGAGGCGAACGAACTATTGGCGTTATCACAAAGATGGATCTAGTTGACCCGGCTCGTGGTGCCGCTATTCTAAATGACAAACAATACCCACTTCGACTAGGTTACGTCGGAGTTGTGTCCAAAGCACCGCTTTCCCAAGGATTATTCAAGATGGGATCAACAAATTTAATGTCAGCGATAGCCAAACATGAAAATAGTTTCTTTTCATCTCACCCTCTCGACTATGGCCCAGACGCCGGTGTCAATGTCGGCACAACAACTTTACGCAAGAAGTTAATGAACGTCCTTGAGCAAACCATGTCATCCAGCTTACAGAGCACGAGCGATGCCATCCGGCAAGAGCTCGAAGAGGCAACATATGAGTTCAAAGTCCAATACAACGACCGGCCGCTATCCGCCGAGTCATATCTCGCTGAAAGTTTAGACGCCTTCAAGCACTCTTTCAAGCAATTTACAGAGGAATTTGGTCGGCCACAAATGCGCGAGTTGCTAAAGAACGAACTTGACCAGAAAGTCCTTGATCTTTTGGCAGTCAGATACTGGAACAAACCTGTTACAGATTTGTCGCTGGCTCAAGTAGAGCCAGATCATATCTCAGATCTTCCGAAAGCAGAGGCTTCCTCGCTATACTGGCATAGGCAGCTTGATGCATCAGCCTCAGCACTAACCAAGCTCGGTGTTGGACGTCTCGCGACGACTGTAGTGGCCTCATCTTTGCAAGATCATGTTAATCGGCTACTCAACAATTCTAATTTCGCAACGCACCCTTTCGCACGTCAAGCCATATTAGAGGCAGCGTCGACCATTCTCAGTGAAAAGTTCTACAGTACCAGCGATCAAGTCGAAAATTGTATTAAGCCTTTCAAATTCGAGATTGATATCGAGGAACGAGAATGGGCGCAGGGGCGGCAACACGTCGGGGATGTGTTGAAGAAAGAGCTTAAAGACTGTGAGGCTGCCTTGGGTGGACTAGAATCATCTGTCGGCGGTCGTCGAAAGTTGAAAGAGGTCATGAATTTCGTTGACAAGGCTCGGAAAGGCGATCTTGTTGTTGAAGGTGATGGTCAAAGTGGCGCTGGCGGTTTTAGCGCTGCACTCCTCGCAAAAGGTATGTGTTCCCTCTTCGCCACACTCTACCAGTGTATTTTCGATGCCTGTAAAATGTGGTCTGACAGCCAACAGGCCGTGAGGCGGTATTTCTTCGTGATCGTGCAGACATCATCAAGATGCGACTCCTGGCCATCAAGTCCAAACAATGCGCATCTGTTAGGAACAAATACTACTGCCCTGAAGTGTTCTTAGACTCTGCAGCATCGAAACTAGCTTCTACAGCTGTTCTTTTTATCAATGTAGAATTGCTCTCAGAGTTCTACTACAAATTCCCTCGGGAGCTGGATCTCCGTCTCGGCCGCCACCTAACCGAAGATGAAGTTGAAAGGTTTGCCAAGGAAGATCCCAAGATTCGGCGCCACCTGGAGGTGATCCGCAGAAAAGAGCTTTTGGAGCTTGTCCTTGAGAAGATGGACAGCTTAAAACAACTAGAGGGCAGAGAACGTGAACGATTGACCGACGAACGAAGGCGTGACGGACAGAGGCAGCATGGTAGATGGCGACTGTTTTGATTGTGTCAAGCCCCGATCTCTTTATTGGACTTTGGCATTCATCAAAGGTCGCTTACTATGTGAGAGGCTTGTGGAGTCGTGGCAAAGGGTGTGTTTGGGGGGGAGGCGGGTTCCATTTTTTTTCATCTTTCTCTTCTGTTTTGGTATTTAACTAACTATACACGCTTTGTAGACTTACCCGCAGGGGGCACTATGACCGGCCTCTGGAAGCAAGGATACCCTTATTATTTATCATGTAGATCAGAGCCGCATTCATGCATATCTAGTGTTCCGTTTCTAAACGCGAAGTGTCCTTAATGTTATATTGTAGCAAAGCAAAACAGGAGGAGCGAGTAGCTTGAGACAACAATCCCATGTAGCCATTCGTCATTCAATTGATATGCTAACCAAGGGCAATTGCAAGGAACCTAATCGGATGGCTAGAGGACTTATCAAGAGCTTGCATCAGGGTAAACTTGCAAGGTAACCTCCCATCGTGTATTGCCACCCATACCATAACCTTCTCCAAGTCTGTTCTGGATCAGTGATGATACTCGACTCCGCAACTTGCTGACGGCCATTTCATCGCAACCCCTCAGAATTCTCACTGTTAGGTTGGCCATGCATAGGCCGTAGTGAACCTGCCAGAACTGAGACTCTTCCACTCGAGTGATCAAAGCATCTGACTCAATGTCCCTTAACACAGCCGTGACTCCAGAGCTGCCGTTAGTTCCACCATATGACATCAATAACATCAGGCCTTGCGCAATTACCACCCGCATGCCGAGGCCAAACATAGCGACCGAAATGGTGGCGCAGATAAGTCGGTCTAGCCAAGTATAGAGTTGAATCGAGAATAGTGGCAGAATCGCAACAATCATGGAAAAAAGTAAAGTCAGAAAGTGAAACGGATTAGAAAGCACGCTTGGTAGTGCGGACAGGCACGACACCCTCATGACCTTTGCGATGCGCGAGTGATTTTTCAGACCATATGCAGAAACTAATGTGCCTATGGCAGCAACGGCCGCTACAAGATCTATAGAGCTAGCCGATATTCGGTCATGCCCATGCTCGTGGTGTGCCTCATGATTTCCCATGGTCTCCAGAAGATGTTTGAGATTGTGCGAGACGAGGTCGAAACCCCCAAAGAGGAGAAATATGGACATGGCGAATCCAGCGAGTACTTCGGCTCTCTCCAGTCCGAAGGGGTGACGAATGCTGCTGCGTCGCCAAACTTCAAAGTTTCCTAGTACTTCCACGACAACACATACAGCAGCGCTGCCGGCGTCGAAAAAGACCAAGTGGGATAAAGCCATTGCAGAGAGCGATCCTTCAGACCTAAAGAAGATGAAGGTAGCAACTGCCAAGTGGCACAGGCTCCAATAAAGTCTAGTACGCTGTTCATTTTGCATACTCTTCCATGCTTCCTCTAATGTCGGTATGGGTAACGAAGCTGGCAGGACAGGAGGCGGTCTCGGCGGCGGTTCTTGGAATATCTGATGCTGTGCTGAGATACTACTATGCTTGTACCTGTGACCACGGCGCTGGCCAATATTCTGCACCGATTTATGAAGTTAGTTGTCGTTTCAAAAAACAAACTAACTACTCTCCAAAGTAGAAGGGGTATTGTGAGTAAAGGAGGCGTGCAGTACCGATTTCACAGGAGACGTAGATATCACCTGAGTTTGGAAGTTGAACGGATTATGGGGAGCGCCAGCAGTGGCAATATCTCCTGCTTGGTTTTCCGACGCCATGGCCGACAAGGGCGCGAGAAGTCGTGATTCGAGTTGTCGCGTATGATTGTCGAGTTCCCTCTCGCTCGCAGGATCTGTATCGTCCACTACCACTGTAGGCGGAGGATCAATTCGAGGAGTAGACGACTGAGTGTAATGGTCGGCTTTGAATGACTCCATGAGCCCCGACTGTGATAATCTCGTGAAACTTCTTCGCAGGATACGCTCGTTGTGCCAGACTGAAATAGTCAACCAGCATGTCTGTGGGAGCGACAATAGAGGGATGTATCGGTGACTTCGTTGACAATAGCGCGGCGGAATGGCTTGCTCTTTCTACAGATACAATGAGAGTGCCCTTGTCAGTTGAGTTGAGGTCAAAATGAAAAGTCCAGAGAAACGGCTCGTAGAGTGAGGTTTTGCTGTTCGTCGTGGATGTCATTGACATGATCTCGACGGGCCACAATGAAAAGGAAACGTACTTAGATTCTGCAGCGTGTTGGTAGCGAGCTTGCACTTGCACGCTACTTACTTACTTAAGTACGTACCCTCAAGTACGGAGTAAGTACCCACTCGCGCGGCCGCCCAATCTGCTGTACGACAAGATGGCAAAAAAAAAGTCAATAAAGAGCCAAGGACAGTCACCAGAACCGCACCTTATGGCACATATGTGTTTAGTACGGTACAGTGTTTGACCTTCAGATTTCGTTACCAATCATGTGTTTGAGCGTTGGGGGACCGTTTTGCAAGTCACTTTTTGTCTTTTCAACCAATATACTTATATATCTCAGCAGCGTACGTACATACAGCGTATGGCAGCTGGCTTGGCTGAATTGAGCGATCCAACAATACCTTGACCTCGCCTTCCATCGCGATCCGAGCCGCACCGAAACTTGTCTCTGCCGACAGGGCTCTACAGATATTCTCAGACGGAACTCCTACCAGGCTTTCGAGCCCGAAATCCTGAAATACAGTTGCCAGTGTGTCTGAACACGCAATGGACCTTGGCACGAGCGACGCCGTGCAACGCGACGAGCCAAAGGCAACATCTGACCATCGACGTGCATCTTCTGGTTCCGGACTTCTATCCAAATTTCCTTTCTTGCGAACGTCTGCAGAAATCAAGACGCGCCTAGACATTGAAGAAGACGACGCCTTAACCCCAGTGGCTACCGCGCCGTTGGCACTCGCTCCCTTGGCACAGCTCCAGAAGACTCGGCGTCGACGAGGCTCCCTTAGAAAGGCAGCACTCCTTGGGCGCGGTGCGCAACGAGAGAAAAAGGATACCAAGCTATTGAAAATCGACACCTTATCTACTGCTGCAATTGAAGCCGAGGTGGTGGGGGCATCGTCGTCCTCTGGCATCACTGAACGGGACGCCCTAGGCCTCGAGGTATCCGATTTCACGCCTCACCTGGTATCGACTGATGTGCCTCTCAAGATATCAGCGGCTTCCAGCCAGTCAGGCGCCGATGCCATGGCCAAGGGAGATCACCGCGAACGGTATGCAGAGCGACGCAATGGTTATAACTCAACGACTGACGAGGAGGACATACTTCAAATTCCTCGTAATCAAGGCCCTCCGCTCTCCACCTTATCTGCGTCGTCTGGATCCGAATCCTACTTCACAAACCGAACAACCGCCGCCCGTCGCAGATCATTTCAACAGACCAAGTCTCCACTGTCCTACAGTGGCATATCTACAACAGCTCTCCCTCATCCAGACTCTGACTGGGATTATTCAGAAACCGAATGGTGGGGATGGGTCGTCCTCAGTATAACCTGGTTCGTCTTCGTTATTGGCATGGGATCCTGCTTGAATGTCTGGACTTGGGCGTGGGACGTTGGCAAAACACCATATGCACCTCCTGAGCTCGAAAATGACGAGACTCTGCCAATAGTAGGATATTATCCGGCGCTCATCATCTTGACGGGTGTCATGGCTTGGGTTTGGGTGGTAGTCGCTTGGGTGGGCATGAAGTATTTTCGACACGCCAAAATAAGCGGTGATTGAATCGATCGAAGAGAATTCTTGATGATACCTTCTGGCGGCCAACGTATCAACGCGAGATACTCTGGTCCTTTACTAAATCCAGCGACTCAAAAGCTCGTGAACAGAGCCCTGCATATCGTAATTCCATCTACTAGTGCTCGTTCCTGTTTGTAAGGTAGCAGGCTGGGGATCAGAGCGATGCAGAAGCTTAAGTGAACCAGTTTGCGTCGTAGGAGAGTCATCTACCGGCCCAGTATCTTTCAGATATATTGACTGCGTGTTGGGGATGGAAGAATCAGCTTTGAGACAGAAATTCGCCCAAAGTCACACTATTATGCTCCGTTGTTTAGCAACACGATACGTAATGGAGGCTCTCAAGTAGTGCCTTCCAAGCTACTGCGGCATCCGGAATGCAATGACCTTATTTTCGAGCCTTCTTTCTTTCACTGTTTGTCCCTTGGTTTCAGTTATACAAGGGCGCTCTGTGTAGGACGAGACAATCCTGCCCAATTCCCAAGCGCCGACCCCAAGGAATAAGGCTTTTCCATTGTTGACAGCTTGAAGTGCTGGTGAGTTAACACTGCCACCTAGGCTACAAAACAAACAGCAGATTAGCATTAGCATAAACATACAATATTGAACTGAAACAAGCGGCGGCTGATCGTCAACCTACCGAGCTAACAAAAGTTGTTAATAATTTGACTGGCTCGCAACTTCGTGGTGTCTTACCGCAAGGTCAGAGTGGACCACGGAACTAAACGGTCATTACTAATGAATACTTGAGTACGGAGTACCCAGATACGTAGTTAAATTTATGAGCGTCAGTCTGCTCTCGTACACACGGTTTGTTTCATACCAGCACCGACAAACAACAATCACCGGTTCCAGATGCCTATTGGTGGGTGGGGTGGCTCTCACCCAGGTGTTGGCGCTTTGGCGATCATAGCATTCACTCACTGTCACGACCAGATCTCGAGCACTGAGGGCAGCTGGGGGCCGGCCGTTCTGGGTGGCGGCGTCGAGCAATCTCCGTGCTATAAAATCGATGTCAATATTGAACTGATGCCGCACCTGGTGGCCATGGCTGAGGGGGCTGATGCCGGACAGAAAAGCAGGTGCCTAACCACAGTGCATTGATGCTTGGCACTGTGATTCAGGCGTTGGCGCCACCCGCAGTTACGTTGTTTTTAGTTGCCAACGTTCGCCATGGAAACAACTGTTATTCCCTCGCGCAGGTCATGGCCAACAGGTGGCAACATTGAAATCCTCACTCAACTCGTGCCATTCCTGGCGGGCAAATGCACTCACTGTGAGCAACATCAACGGTATCAGCTGGTCACTAGTGTGTAACTGGTGCTTTGGGTTTATTTTATAAAAGTGTCTGGTGGTTCTTTTACTTTTTTCGCAAACTTATTCGGGCGGCGTCTGCAACCGGTGATGACATGAAAGGTGGGCGCCAGACTTCTTCACATACCAGCCTCTAGGTACCAATATGCGAACCAACGGTAGAAGCCACAGAGACCAAGACCGCCCTGAAGCATTTAAATGGCCACGCAAAGCAACATTGGACAGTATCAAAATCGTGCCGGGAGGCGCAAAGACTGGTGGAACACCCACTAATTATCCTCCGGCAACCTCATAGTGTATATTTTCCCACCACCGAAGTATTACATACCCAGGAACTTTCTCAACAACCTTTTACGGTGGAAGCGCGGCTTGGGAATTTGTTCCCATGTCATCATCCATCCCATCTCGATTGAGTTCGTCAGATCACACGGTTTTACATACGAGGAGCAGCCGCAGCGCTTAAGGATATGATCTTGGTAGTATTCCCGCCAAAACCTGACACCAATGTCCAGTTCCTCTGTCGAAAGCTGTCAATTATCATCGATGCACCCAAGTAAGCCCTCGGCAAAGGTGCTATTGGTCCTGTAGCAAAGAAGGGGACGTTGATGCGCCCAGTGCTAGCTCCGCTGCCCAAGCCCGGCACCTGGGTGCATGTGCTCTAGAGGTTCCGCCTGTAGGGAGCACTGTCTGGTCAACTAGTAAGTACTTAGACTGGTGCCTCGCCGGCACCCCCGATGTCAGGGCCCCAACCAAGGCCTGTGCTGGCCCGGGATGCTCCCAGGTCGACTGGTGCCAGGCCTAATTTCCAACCTCCACCAACCTCTCGAGCTTTTCCCCCTTCGAGGTCCCCTTACCCCCTTCAACAACCGTCTTCCGCATAACGGCCACGGCGCCATCTTCCAACTCCCGGCAGCTCAGAAGGCACAGCTCTTCGCGCTGCTTAATCGACGAGACCGATCTTCGCAAAACAGTCACCACGACTGTAACGTCCCTACGGATCTGCATTCTCTCTGCCGCTACTCTCCCACCCGGCTGACTGTGCCTGGTGCATTGCCCTTCGCCTCCGCCTCCCGCGTCTCGGTCCTAGTTGCACCCAACGTTTGCCTGAAACACCGCAAGCCTACGCTCGCCATTACTTCCCTCTCGACAACCGACAACGGCATACTTTCGCTCTTGAACATTCACTCTCCATCAGCCTCATCAGCAGCAGCCTTTTACTACTTGGACGCATCTAGGCCTTGGTGTTGCGCCGTGCTCTGTTGCCCATTAGAGTGTGCTCAGCACCAAGCCGCCACTGGCCACCCCGGTCACGTCGTCGGCCTTCTGTCAACCCTACCTGCCTCAGACATCTTCTGCTATCGAGTCCTTGGCAATCATCCGCTTGACCTCTACGACCTTCCGTGCAACCAACTTGTCTTCCATAGTTATCTCGCCCAGCCCCTCAGGCGGAGGGGCTACATACTCTCTCATCCCATAACCTCTAGGCGCTCAGCTAGCCGTTACTTTGTCTGCCGCCATTTGTCAACTAGCCCTTGGGTTGGATGAGGTCCATCTGCTCAAGATGAGGGAAGTCAATTTCAGCATCCCGAACGTCAACAAGGCGTCTGTTGGCATAACGACAGCCCTATATGACCGCCGAGCACTCGACTGCACGTCCACCTTGCCGCTCATCAACTCTCTCAATCACCTTGCCTACCTGACCACCTCTTCAGCTCGTATTCGCGACATTTTAACTGTCGATGGAGGTATCGAGCGTCTCGTCTGCATATTGAAGCAAGGCCGGAGTAAGGACATGATGGGCATGTGGAAATGGAATCTTGCTTTCCAGTGCGTGGTTAACATCGGTGTCCGAGGAACCGAAAATGTACGCACTCGCGTTGTTGAGGCAGACATGGTGCCAGTCATAGCCACCATTCTCGACAATTACATCAAAATCATCGAAAAATGTCGCGAAAAGGCGGAAGAAGCCAGCCAGAAACAGATGCATGAACACCACCACCGTCGTCACCGCGGACAGGATAACCGTAACTCCTCGAAACCAGCAACTTCCTTTACCAACCGGTCTACCCGCCTTGACCCCGATCAGAGGTCTGCTGTCCGACGCCACGGTCCTCCTCCCTCCATCGACGTGTCTGCCAGCTATGCCGGGCCGTCTACAATCTCGGCCCAGTCTGGCGTTGAAGCCGCTACGGCAGTGTCGCGAGACACTGCTACAATACCGGAGCGTGGTCCAACCGCTGTGGGTCGCCATCGGTACGGTTTCCGAGCGAGCGAGAGTCGCCATACGAATACCCTTTCAATTGGGCCAGCCCTACAGCCTCTGGCCGCACCGGCGTCAGTGGCGGAGAGTATCAACGGGCTCGTGCGACCTGTCCGTGACTCTGATCGTTTGGCATCGATGGCGTTGTTTGGCCTGGGTGGTAATGGATCTCAGCCGACTTCCCCTACTACACCACTTCCCCTAGCACAACTGCGCTCAACAACGGTGCGACCTATAGCGCCATCGACTGCAGCCGCTGCTGCTGCTGCTGTCGCGGCAACCGCCGCCCTAGACCCTTCAGATCGCCTACGAAGGAGACCATCTATCAGACATCAGGCGTCGACATTGGAAACGGACGATTTAAATGCTGATAGCATGCCATCTGATGAATCCCCCGACGCCGATATGGCCGGGACGACCGAAATGCAGTCTACCGTCGGCATCCAAGATATATCTATGGAGGACGGAGAAAGCATACTAGCGGGCTCGTCACTAGAGTTGAATACACCAACGGTGTCAGAAACCCACCAAGATCCCAGCACTTTCAACATCACACATCGCAATGCCATCGACGGCAGTATTGGAAACACGACCAATGCACCACCAGTGCCGACAATGGGATTGTCCCCAGCCCGGCCGACCATGGTCACACCACCGCAACAACCCACTGCCAACTCAACCGTGCCGAGATATCTCCAGGACCGGCACGTTGTTCCCACAGCGCAAATGCTCGCTGTGATGCCAAGAGAAGAGGATGTATTGATGTCCCTACAACTTTTAGCCTACGTCTCCAAGTACTGTGGGCTTCGGTCATACTTCCAGAAGAGTCATTTAGTGCCCAAACTCTCCTTGGGTATAAATTTAGCAGCTCTTGATGGGGAGGAGGATGTAGCCGACACGGATGATACCGACGACTCCGACGAGGAATATCTACTTCCTAACGACTTCAACCTTTTTCCTCTTGTAGAGAAGTTTACTGTTCGATATCACAGTACTGACATGCAATATTGGGCCGGGGTTGTTATGCGAAATCTCTGCCGCAAGGACGATACTCGTGGCGGTATTCGCCAGTGTGCCTACTATCAGTGCGGGAAGTGGGAAGAGTACACAAGACAATTTGCCAAGTGCCGCCGGTGTCGCCGTACCAAATACTGCAGTAAGGAATGTCAGAAAAGCGCATGGGCCTTCCATCGCCATTGGTGCGTCGCCGCATCGCAGTAGGCGAAAGATAAGAGCCAGAAGTACCGGTTTTATTTGTTTTTATTTTCAATGGTCTGCGGAAAGGTTGCACCTGCATAGCACATCGAAGCGTTGATCAGCGCACGGCATTTCATCTCGATACCACGGGTTTTCATGGCGTCATGGGTGGAACATGGTATTGTAGCATTATATTTTGCTTTCCTCCTTCATGCAGCTCTCATAATCGTCAACACTCTTTTGCAGCGCTACGAGCTGAGCTTGAGCATCAGCAGTTTACACACTGCTCGTAAGAGGACATGAACCAAACAATGAAGGAAAAAAGAAAAAAACCCTATACATCATATTTCAACTGGACGTACTTATCTACACAAATATGCACCGCAAAAATGGAAATGTGCTGTTGGGCGAACAGAATCTCTGACACCTGGGCATTCTTGATTAAAGATACCCACCATGAGTAACTTTCCCGAAGACATCATGGCTGGATTGCCTAGCTGGCGTCAAATACCCCAAAATCTTACTGGCATTGGCTCAAAAGGCGAGATCGGCGGAGCGAGATCAGTCTCCTTGGGAATATGGCTTTATTGAGTTCCGTAGGGTCCTCCAGTCTTCATTAAAAACGAAGGTGCCAAAAGGACTTGGTAGGAGCAGGTCGTAAAATAGCAGTATGCGATAGGTGGAGTGAGGTAGGGCTATGAAAGAATCTCTTATATCTTCCTTTGAGTCATAGATGAATGTAGCAACGACATTACATGTTGACATTAAAATTTCTCCATGGTTCCCATCAAGCTGATATGGTGGCGGCTCTCTGATCGCGCTCAGTACAGGCATAGTTACCGTACAGGTTTGGTATTGCTATGACGGCATTGAAATATGGCATGCATCGCGTGTCAACACCTTCTCTTGAGAAAGACACGTAAAGATCATGGCGAACCCTCGTTGCCCCGAGAGAATCCAAACTCCGGTTTTTGACTGGAAGTCTACACATGTCAGACACCATTGATGACTCGATCCCCCAGCCCCCAGCCCCCGCCAACTGTAAAGCAGATACATTATTGACTATGCGACGATGAAGTAAACTATAAGCGACGCAAAAAATCACTTTGAAGACATTGCCTTGCGTCTGCTCTTGCCAGGTCTTGATGCCTTGGACTTGCGTGTTGCACCTGCTTTCATTTTCTTGGTATTGAAGCTGGTCAAGTCTCCAGAGCTGATAGCATCTCCAGATTTTGCATGTCGCTTTTTACCGCCAAATCCGTACTTTTCATTCTTCTTTTGACGCTTGGTGTTAACGCTCTTGCCAGGGCCGCCTTGAGAAGAGCCCATGCCTTGTGAGTGTTTGGCAAGCTCGTGATCAACACTGACGTCAAAAAGATCCGCCTCATTTGTATCCACATCATTTCCTGACTCCTGGCGTTCTAATATGAGAGGCGAATACAATTAGCCACAGTGTCTTGAAGTGGTACCTTGCAATTAGGTTGTGCTTAGCAATAGCGAGTTGGGGAGGACCTACTTCTCTTGAGCGTTTTGATCTTCTCTAGGGTTTCCCGCTTGGCTTTCTGTCGCTCTTGAAGTTTCGCTACCTGGACTTGTTTGCCGAACCTCTTTAAATCACGCAGCTTGCGTGCCTCAGCAGCGGCCTTCCTGGCGGAAGCTTCTTCAATCAGCTTAGCCTTGACTTTCTCCATGTGGGCGTCCTCCTTGATCATTTCAGCAAAATAATCTTTTGGGCGAGAAAATGGTATGCCTTCAGCTAGGAGCCTTGTGCGACTTTCCTTGGCGGCGTCCAGACACTGAGAATAGAATGCAAGCTCGCGCTGCAAGTCGTCAGAGATGTCGGGTATGGAATCGGCCGTATTGACAGAGGAGGTGATGGACAGGTGCGATGCAAAGGTTGCGCTTCTATCAACTGGGATAGATATACGATCGAGTACCGCTTGGAGAGCAGAAGTGTTGTTGATCGTGAGGCGGGTATGGGGAATGAGGTCCTCTTGGTCCTCGTCATCGAGATCTTCGAGATCCGAAACGGGAATGTCTTCTTCTTCCTCTTTACTGCCGTCTTCTCCCGCTTGGTCTTCGAAGTCCGAGTTCTCACGGCCTGTTTTTCGGGATGCGCGTATGCTGTTTTTTTCTTCCATCTCAATTTCTGAATCGGAGGTGTCCGTCTCGTCTACAGCTCCTAAGTTCGCCTGGGAATGGCATCAGTCTTGCACTCGGTGGCGGAGTACGTCACAACATAATTGAGCCACCAACCTCTTGATTTCCATCGCCTTCGCTGTCAATGTCAACATCACCGTCATGTTCATCGTCGTCACTGTCGCCTCCGTTGCTCTGAACTGCAGGTACCCCACCAAACATTGAAGCAGAACCCTTGCGTTTCAGGGCCTCTTTGTGCCTCTTTTTTTCTTTTATTTTTTGAAAATCAACCCCTTTTTCCGCGGCAATTGCCAGGCGCAATCGGCCTTTCGTCACCATGTTCCGCGCGTGATTGCTGTGACAGATTGGGGGCAGGGAAAAGTCCTGGTGTCTTGAGCTGTGTCAGGTTCCTTACCGCCCAAAAATTGCATTCATGACCGAGAAACTTACAAAATTCTGCCGCACCATTTTTCACCGCCTGGGCAAATGATCCACCAGACAACAACAGTCCAATAATGGGCTAGGTAAGTAGGTAAATAACTATGGAGTACTCCGTAACGGGGTGCGTATCACTTTTCACGACCTCTTTTATACTTGAGTGCTGTTGACGGCAGGCACATGACAGTTTTCAGCTGTCTTATAAGAACTCTGCTGTCCTTGAAACAGTGGTCGCGCGCAAGGAGGTCTCTCGAGGTTGCCAGTCCGCCACGCGCCAACTGGTCAATGTGTGCTTCGATCGATTCTAGAAGGTAACCTACTTGGCATGTCTGGTGCATAAGTGTCACACGAAAACATGGGCGTGGCCCACGCCACATATTTTTTATGTGTCAAGTTCCCTTTTATGCTATGCGACAATAAGCGCGCTCCAACAAGCACGACATTGTAGAACAAGCAATTGTGAACAATGGCGTTTCACCTACGTACAAACATCAACTATGTCTGCGTAGCGAGCAGTACTGCGATGGGCCCTCTTACTGCCTTCTCGGAAATAAGCATTTAATTTGGCTATCATTTACGTCGAGAAGCTCTTATGGGTTTTATAACGTCAGCCGGCTTTTCCAAAACAAAACTGCGCAGGAAGGAGTGGCTGGTAGTAAACCCATCTGTTGAGATGGAGCATCCCAGTCTTGCCCACGGGGCCATGGGAGGGGGCTTCGAGGTGAGTGCGTGCCTCGTGATGTACTTGCTGTGGTATTCTATGATGGAAGAGCTGTGACCTCTCTCAAGCCAGTCTGGGCGAAGCTACAACTTCATGGCGCTCGCAACAACACCAACAAAATTACTGTCGGTAACACCAGACATCTCTGGAAACCCTTCACCGGCCAGGCGGCTTTCAGCAGGCCCAGCTTCAGGAGGGGTAAAATCAAAGACAGTCCTTTGGGAATTTGATAGCTTTTAGCAACTCACGTTGGCATCTGACCTGGCAACATTCTGTATCGGCACATTTTCACAATCATAGCATGTTCTTGGTACAACCGTTAGACTTTACACATGGCCCCTCACTTCAAATTATATATAGTACTTTGAAAAGACTCTCCCGGTGTTCAGTACGCCGTAGCATATCTTTTGCCGGAGGCCATTCTTCAGTCACTGACTGGATCATATCTCGATCCCTGTGGTGATGAATCTTGAAAAAAACAACATCCGAATAACGATCCCCTATCGTTTTCGAGGCCCGCGGGTTCGTAAAAGAAAAACGGGATTAAAATCATGACCCGTACCATGTGTATTCGTCATAGCTTCAAGCACACGAGTGCGTGTACCCCCATCTGCCCTTCTTTTGATCATCGTTTGTTTGTGTATAACTAGTTGTTGGCGCCGCCGTATTGAAATTTCGAACGAGACGTATTTGGCACCGTAAATGTGTACATTTGTTGCAGACATTTACATGATGGTGCAGCCTTGGTAGCCTCCAGATCGGGCGACTTCCTCGCTCTTATCGGAGGCCTTGACGTTTCTGGTGGAAGGCATGTTGAAGATTGTTTGAAGTACCTGGAACGAAACCAAGAAAGGAGTCTGTGTAGATTTATGTGAAGATTGAGAGTGTATTCCTGTGAGATTCTTGTGGGCTAGTTACTGGGATCTCCTGGTACTTATATACGCGGAGGCTCGTGGATCTTTCTTTGGTTTTTCCCCAGGATTCCAAAGACTTCACTGCACCAAGGTGTATACGCTCTTGGCATCCCCCAACTATACTGTACCTGGTTGGTGCTTGATATTGTTGTTGCTCATTGTTCGACAAGTAATCCCCGAGGGGGGGGATAGTTGCGCCCAGTTTGAACAAATCCACCGAATCGTGGCCATTGCAACCCAATAGTGTCGGTACTAGCATCGATTACCGTTGCTCTGTTCTCCTCAGCGATGGCTCTGTCGTAACACATTGCTGGTCTGACAGGTATGCGGGACGTAACAGCTAAACGGTTACAGACGGGCTCCGGATCGAGACAATGCCATCCGCGCTTAGTTTGTGTCGGCGTGCGATGCTTTGCCATGGCGCCAGGTCCAGCCTCGTGGGGAAACTCGATTGTTCGTGTTAGTATTGTCTCTCCGCGCCACGCAACTCCTAGATTGCTACAATTTGAATTCGATTGCTACTGTCACCGATGCAGTTGATCTGAATAGAAATCAGGGTAGATTGACCCAGGAAGTTGGTCCGAACTTCTGGATATGCAGGATGATCAGCCAAGCCAGATCCGCCACCTTGTCGAGATGTCTCGGCAAGATTACCAGATGCACGTAACTTAGTTCTCGATCTGGAGGCTTCGAAAGTCCTCCACACGGCCCATGCGGCACGGATCATTTCGCATTCATGCCTCTGCATTGTTCCTGGTGCCTCCACAGATAAAAAAACTCTGGTGCCCTGGGCGGAGAGGCCCGGTGCCTCGTTTCACGGTCACGATAACCGACTCACGAGGTCGCAAGGTCATTGGCCAAGAAATTAATTGAAGTAGCATTGCCTAGTACTATCCTAATCTCCAACAACGCACGTTCGCGAAGATTCAATTCAGCAGTCGCGCGGAACTTGCGACGTACTTGGGGAGGGTCCACCCTGTCATCGCAAGGGCCTGATAGGCCACACCACATGGCACATATTTTGGTGTTTAGAGACGTCTGGAGGATAACTAACTGAGATGATACATGGATCCGTATACTTCTCGCTGGGACTGTGCCCTGCGTGGCAGCGTCAGTGTTTGACCGTGGTTGGAGGTGTTTGGTTTGCCAAGCCGTTGCGGATGTAAACTACTGTCTACTGATTGACCTACGTTGGGCGACTGACCAAGGGGCTGGGGTCTGAATACAATAGCAGCGTGTGATAAAAGAAGCGGGCGACGATAACTTGATGATTTGGCTGTGTGGCCTGATTGACTGATTCCCGAGATGCCCATGTTCAGTCAGGCCAAGGGAAAGGTTGTCTGCGGTGTTCAGATTGACTTGGGGAGAAAAGTAGTGATATAGTATGCGGTTTTGCCTTGTGTATTTTGTAGTTTTCCATATCATGGCGAGAAACAGAAAGTAAAGATTACCGAACAGCCATAGTCGGCCTGGCTTTAACACCAGATAACGTCCCCACCTACGTCGTGAATGGCCGAACGAAAAAAAAAGTCAGCCAACTCAAATCGGACGAGGGTTTTTGATGCTACTTCCAGGAAACTTTGAGGTTCGATTCCACCCGACCGGAGATGAATAATTCCTAGTGATCAATGGTGCCCCGGCTGTTATTCCCCAAGTACCTGGTATACAGCACGTCGTCGGTTGTACGCTTTGTCACCGGAAGTGGGGCTACTGGTGGGTCTCAATCAGGTTGGGACACACGGGATCCAAAAAAACAAAAGAAAATAACGTTCTCAAACAGGCTCAACTGGTGAAACTCGACGTCGCGAATAAAATATTTGCTAACCTAGCTTGCTTGTTCGACAAACTACTCCATCTGTGAGGTCCATGAAGCGCAACCAAACTAATCCGATGCTGTTCCTCCGGCTGGCCTACGATGCCTCACAAACACAAGAGAAAGAGAGGCGAGGACGACGAGTATGTCTATGTACCCATGCTTGAATGTATCGCAGGCGGCGATCGTAACTAATTTTCTCCAAGCTTCGACCTGCCGCCATCACAGAAGGCTCTGCCACTCCCAGTTTCGACGAGTAGACAAAATGGCAAACGAATGGGGGACCAAGCGAAGCAAAAACCACGCCGGAAAGATCGCAAAAGTGACGATGGCCCTCGAGCGTTCAAGCGTATAATGGCATTTGCTCAGGGTAAAAAATCAAAACCTGGACTCTACAATGGAGAATCTTCCAGGAGCAGGCCCCAAAATCCAGGAAACCCGGCCCAAATTCCGCGCATTAAACCTGGGGAAGATATGAGATCATTCTCTGCCCGAGTAGATGCCGCATTGCCAGTAGCTGGCCTAACGAAAAAGACAAAGACTAAGGACGGCAAGGATCTGCTTGGCATCAACGTCAAACGCACACGCAAGGAGCGGAAGATGCATAAACTCTACGATCAGTGGCGAGCCGAAGAGAGCAAAATACAACAACAGAAAGAAGAGGAGCTCGAGTTGGCAGCAAGTAGAGAATTAGAAAATGACTACGACGACTTATTCACTGACAGCAAGTGGGCCGACACCAGCGAGCTGAGGGCCAGCAAGAAGTCTCGCAAAAGGAAGGGCAAGGAACCAGAGGAAGACCCTTGGCTGGAATTGGCTCGCAAGAGAGGGGAGGCCAGAATTGGCCTCAACGATGTCGCTCAAGGACCTCCAGAGCTCTTCAACGGAAAGTTGAGAAAAAAAGTCGAATTAGGGAGCGCGACTGTTGATGTGGACAGTATCCCCAAGATTGCAGGAAGCCTGCGAAGAAGAGAGGAACTTCAAACAGCTAGAAATGATGTGATAGAGGCGTACAGAAAGATAAGGGAACATGAACAGGCCAAACTTGAGGCACAACGTGGGAAATCTAGGAGGTAGAACAGCGCCGGTAAAATTTAACCAATGAAGACGGTCGTCAACATTCTGCGATTCAATGAGTGAGAGAGTCGGCGGGTAACCAAGTTGATTACCGCCTAGTGACCATGCATTCATTATAGGAGTATATGCCTGCATCAAAATCAGCTCCTTCGACAATAGGCTGTGTTGTTGTGCCAAGTGGAAGATGCGCAAATAATCCTACCAGGAAAGTTGTTCCGTACAGGCCATGATCTTGTCACACCAAACAGCGGGCGTGGCGACACCACACTATTTTGTGTGGTATGCCACCTTATATGCCATGCGACAGATCTCAGTGATTGGGATATTTTAGCATACCTGGCCAACGAGAGATGGTTTGGTGCCTTGCTGCGATTGGAACCCGTGATGTCAATTGCGATTACGTCATCTTGTGGCTCGCCTCGGCGCTGTCCCAGTGGCGCGTGCTCAATGTGGCGACTCCCCGCAGAACTACTGGCATCCACTTGGAGCTGTGCGTTGGTCGCACGTTCAACTCCCAGCCAACACAGTCGAGGATTTCAACACTTTCTTATCCGCGTCTCAATTTATACTGAGTTCTCACCATGAGAAAATCCGCATGTCGCTCAACATGGTATGGGAGCTTGAAGGGCTAGTTTCGCACCTATTAGTTGTTATTTCTTGTGCCGGTGAAGAAGGTACGGGTCCAATCCGCAGCCTAATCAAGTTTTTTTTTTTTTCAATTGTCATGCCTCAGCTCAGGCATGAATGACCAAGTCGACGACAATTACCATACGAGCCCTATCATAAAGTCCACATTCACTGACTCATGTATTTCACAGGATGTGCTGTCGGTGATATTGTGAGAGAAATCCGTGACTCTGCTGGCTTTTCTGGGTCGCGGAATCGAAGCCATGGAGAACCACTTTCAGCACAAGTGGTTGCTACTATTTGGAGCTGGCTAGTCACAAGAAGTGACGTATCCGTTGGACCCGACAGGATGTACAATGACATACCTTTAAATGAGATATTGGCTTTGATCAGGAATGTTTCTGAGGGAGGTAGTGATCCCGATGGGATACCAGGCGCGAACCAAGGATCGACATATGCAAAGTTGGCATCGAGCAACGCATCGAGTTTCCCGACATTTTCTGATGCGAAGCGGATTTTTGTCTCTGAAGACACCATGTGGGAGACACTCACTGGTCATTCAGTAAACTACAAAAGAGTTCCGCGTTCTGAGTGGCTACTCCTTCTGGGCATCGCTTCGACCAAGGATCAGGGCATATTGCAAGGTGATCTGGGTCGCCTCGTTGACCAAGACAAGCGATCTGTTCCGAAGCGTACAGACTCATTGGTGAAGAAGGGATATATCGTAAAGAGGACAACTCTCGTCAAGGGGACAAAAACTAGCAAACTTTGGCTTAAATTGTTTGCGCCTCCGCTTCCAAAGGAAACCGACGACCAAGCTGTCGAGCGAGAGGCGGAGATGAATCTATCACGTCTCGTATTGGCAGCTAATCTTGAGCCAGTCCCGTGGCACACGCGTTGGACGGGCGAATCCATGGATTTCCACGCCCTGGCCACCACTATTATGGCCACCACAAAAGAATGGCACGTCATACGCTTGCAAGATCTCAAGACCAAGCTAGGCGTACTAGGTATGAGATGGCAAATGAAGATTGTTTCCAAGATTTGTCGTTTTCTCAACTCTTGCGGTGCCATTCAATACGTTGCTGCTAAACTGGAAAACAAGTTGTTCAAGGACTGCATCAGGTTCAACAAATATCTCAGTGCCAAAGACTGGTCAGCTTTTCTTGCTACAGGAAAGCGTGCTACTAAGCCCATAAAGACCGCTTTCCTGGGCGTGGCCGATCGGGCAGAACGAGATAGACATGTTGATGCAATACAAGTTCATGGCTCTCATCTGGAAAGGATTTCTCCATGGTCAATTGACGATCCGTTACCTCAAAAAATTACGAAGGCAGCTAAATCGTTTGGTACAATTGGCCTGACGAACCCCGAGATATACGCTCTTACGCTGGGCCCGACCTTCAATCGGTATGTGTCTAGCATGACAGCAAGCATGGCAACTTCCACAGTCCAGCCGTCGTACCTGCAGCACATTCAACTCAAGAGCGAACATATCAGGGTAGGGAAAGTAGCATCATATCGATATTATGTTCCCCAGCTTCGCTCGACAAGAAAGCCTGCTTCCACCCTGGAAGTGAGACGAGATCAGTCAACATCATCGACATGTATGCGCTGGTTTGATCCCCTTCCATCCGAACCCAAATTCTCTTCGCAAAATACCACCATCTCAAATATATGCGGATTTTTTAACAGGCGGCGCCCTACCTCCGGCGAATTGAAAAGGCGCGGACGACCTAAAAAAAGTGAGCCTGTTGATGCTCCTGAGCAGAGTGGGCTTGACGATTCTACGATAAAAGTTCATAGTCAGCCGACTTTAGAATCAAACGCTGGCATTTCGTATCAGAATACGAATTGTTTTGTCACTCTTCACGTTTCGAGTAGGGCACTCCGGACTGCGTTAGGTCAAAAGTCTACGTCTCAGGACAATCAGGACTCAACGCCCCATGTTGCCAAAAGCCAATCGGTGGTGAAGGCAGACAATATGATGCTGAGTACGGTAAACAAAACTGGTCCGGACGCAAGCTCGTCGCGTGACGACCAAGGAGGCCGTGGAAATCGCCGTGGATCGGCGAGGGGAAGAGGGCGAGGCAGGCCATCGCATAGGACCTCCAATGAAAACACGCCATCACGGCCTTGGATTTGTGAAACTTGCGGTGGCAGTTGGAAGAATGATATTGGGCTTAAGTACCACCTCGAAAAGTCTCGGACGCCATGCAATCCACAGTATACCTCTGGGACACAAGGTTTGAGTCGTCGTGGAAGAAAATCCTCATTTTTTGCCTCCCAAGCCCGCGAGTCACGCAGCGAAACCCGTGTCCGTGCATCTTCGGAGTGTTCGTCGCCTATTCGAGATTTGGCGGAAGTTGAAGAGGACAGCAGTGGCCAAGATTCAGTAGTCGATAAGATGACAACCGTTGAACGCCATGCAACAAATCAACCTCAGTTGATAGACATTCCTAGAATAAGCCCCTCGTCGAATTTGGCGAGAGTGAAGTCCTGGAAAAGGTCTTCCACGACTTTGGGTCAGACTATCAAGTTTACGGCATCAAAGGGTAATCAGGGGTTACTCCTCCAGCCCACAACAAGCCAACCACGCCAGGTTCCCATCTTTCAGAATCCAAACCGCCATATGAAGACTTCATCAGCTATGATTGTACAAGGCGTATCAAAGGAGGAGCTCAATATCACCAGGCCTTGTTCATCGGTCTCAACGGGTGTTGTGCCTCAAGCAAAGCAATCACCTCCAGTCGGTATAGTACTTGCCGACAATACAGCAAGTTCGCTGGAAGCACCGCATACAGGTCATCGTCCTGACACGCTCTTTGTTGATAACGGATCCACTACCCGCACAAAGTCTAAGACAAAAGGAGCAAAGGTGAAGGACAACCGAGCCCGTATACGCCACTTCATTGAGAAGCTGCTCCGTGATCAGAACGGAGTTCTTCTTGGCGGCAAGTTGCTTTGGGACCATATGTTAGCATCATGGAATTCGGAGTATCCCGAAGCACCCACCCCCAAAAGAGATGAATGCCAGTCCGCTCTGAATTGTCTCTTGGAAGAAGGCCTTGTTATGGAGCACTGGCACATGTTCCGTGATACTACTCGATCATTTTCTAAGTGTCAGCTGCTAACCTTACCTGGCGTTGACGCCTTTTCTTCAGAGTCTCTTCAACTACTTGATACAGTCAAGTCTGTGCAGGCCTTTAAGCAATCTGATGGGCATGTTAAAATAGCAGAGGATTCCCGCTTGACCGACAGCAAAGCTGGAGGGCGTGGACGTAGGCTACTGGCCAGCGAGGTAGCAGTATTGCACGCTCCAGTGTACGCTGCCCAAGTTGCTTCTAAAAAAGAGCAAGGATCGGAGACCCGAGAACGAGGGGGAAGACGGAGATTGTCTGGTTCGAAGGGTGTCATGGAAGCCACTGGCTCCGGCACTTCAAAAAAGCGCAAACAAATCAGATGTGTGCGTGCCGTTGGAGAATCAGTCACACCCACAGAACTACCTGACTTCCCTCTTCCTCAACCAAAGACTTCGTCAGAAATGATAGTACGATTCCTCCAGCCAAACACTTTTTTGGAGCAAGATGCTTTAAACGCCTGGGCTTCAGTGCCTGTACACGCAGAGCAGCCTCAGCCAAGTTCGAAAGAGAATGCCACAAAGCAGATAATCCCAATTGCGCACACTCAGACTGAAGAGCTCTTTAGCCCTCTGACAACTGTTACTAGCCAGAATGGGGTTTGGGAATACCTAGATACCCAATACTTTGAACGAGTTGGCGGTAGCTTCTCTGTCAAAGGATGGATGCCAAATGCCATATGGTTTGGATGGGCTTCTTTCATTCAAGCTATCGAGAGACGACACGCATCCTTGGGCAGCACACAAGGCTTCGTAGATGAAAACGATGCTATACACCACCAAAATTTCATGAGGAGGATTCAAGCTTGCGTCGAGGTAGAAATGTCCTGGGGGAGAATTTTCGAAGAATCCGGCCCCGGATCTGCCGGTCCTCACAACATATGGGTTCACTTTCAGGGCCAGCCAACCAGTCTAGACGCAGAATACCGCAACAGACTTGCTTGGCCGAAAGATGGGCAGCTTACCCAAGCGTCGCAATGCAGTGTCTATGTTGAGGCGGATTACGCCTCATCATCCCCCAGCGATGGAGAAAATGAACGTCCCAAAGAGACAGGTACCAGAAACGCACGGATTCATTATTCAGATCCTCGACAGTCGGAAAACATGGCGTCTAGGGCGAAACCCGTAAGCCTTGTGACCCGTGCTTTAACGCCCCTCCCCGTGTCGCAACATGGAACTGTCAGTAGCGATGACGTTGAACCACCGGAGGATTATCCATTTGACGGAACGGACGACTTGATGGCGGCTTTCATTGTCGTGCGTACATTGATGGGCGGCGCAGATAAAGCCATTGACTGGGGCCTGCTTATGATTATTTTCCCAAATGCCAAGTTAACATACCTGCGAAGGTTTTGGGTTGACGCGAGAAAGGAACAGGGTCCATTCATCGCTAATTTCACACGTGCATTCCAAGAGAGATTTATTCCTGCAATCGAGCAGAATGACATACCGATGATTGACTTCGATAGACCTCAAGATTATGACTGGGCGAAATTGATCCGATGGAGCCTGCAAATACCCCGTGAAGAAGGATTTAAAATTCCATCTTCCAGGGAGTTATTCAACAGTCGTTTCAGCGTGGAGAGTACCAAACCCTCCGGCGAGGACTGGCGCGAGCGTTTCTTCCACACTCAGTCCTCTATTTTTTCACGTTTCGAAGCAGTAACAGCAGTTCCCGGTGTCTTTGCTATTGATAGAGGCCCTGGCACCTCCAAGGACGACCCTGCAGAGCTCAAGGAAATAGGAATTGCGAGATCCTGGATCAAATCACTGTGCAGCATGGGAGACGGAAAACACACCGTGGCAGAAATTAGGGACAAGTTCTTCACATTGTCACCTGGCAACAAGGAAAAGACGTCGGCTCTTTTCAAGGACGCCATTGAACTCCTAACGAAACAACGGGTTATATGTAAAAGCAAAAAAACGATTCTAGGCGGCCGCCCATATCGACTCAACGAAGGATACGTAACAGCACTGAATAAAATGGCCCAAAATTCAAAGTATAACGAGGCTGCTGCGTTCAAGCTTAAGATGGATACCATATTCCGGAAGCAAGGGAAAATGCGAATACCATACACATTCAGTGACGGAGCTATGATGGCGCTGACAAATTTGAATGCGTCTGGGAGAATAAAATTGGTTTCGACAAACCTACCTAACATTCCTTTTGGTTTTGAGCCTGGGAATTATGAAAGTCGAAAATACCCAAAGTCATATTATCACTTTGGCCTGGAGGCCATACCAGCAGAAAACTACTTATATAACGACCAAATTGACGTGCTTCGCCTGGCTTGCGAAAAGGGGCCGCCAGTGGGACACCTGAGCGAGGAATTGCCTCAGTGGGTAGATTTCCTTGGTCAACCAAACAAGCAACGTTGGTCAGAGATACTGGGCGCGTTCTGCTTCACTCTGGCGACGCGAGGTTCCATGGATACCATTGGTATCCGTAGCGCTCTGAGCCCAATTTTAACCGAGTTTGAAGTACAGCTCATCGTGCGTTGGGGCAGCGAGACCGGAGTGCTAAGAGATTTCTCAGACGGTGTAGGATTGACAGTAGGCGAATGGTGGTGGCTGACTGTACCATGGCTTCGTCAAATATGAGAGTAGGCCGCAGATCCGTCAATCCCTAGTCTTCCTGGCTTAAGTGGCCTGTTATGTGATTTCTGGTGCTGTCACGTCCGATGGGACCGTCCTGAACTTCATCACTGAGAGGAATTACTTGTTTGAATTTGTTATATTAGTACTTGGTGATGCTTCTAGCCAATAGGTTATCAGTAGCTCTCGGGCATCACTCTGGTTCAACGCTTGGATTGAGGGTCTGTCAACACAGCTTAATATATGATTTCATAATAATTTCATTGCACCGTACACGACAGCCGTGCTTTGGAGCTACATGAAGCGCACTCACAATATTGGTGTTAAAAATGGCTAGCTACATAAGTAGACGAGCATCAAAGCAAAAGACTAAATGACGACAAAGGACGTATACTTCAATCCGATGCATAGCACGACTATGGACCAGTAGTTGCTACTCCAGACTCCACCAACGCCGGCGCTGGACTCAGATGCCGAACAGGACTTTAAGAAGAAGTGCAGCTAGGACAATCACCAAAGCCACGATAGCTCGGTCAATCCACAACGGTACCCCATCAACTCGTGAAGCAATTGTGGCTGGCCGCCTTTGTCGCTGTTGCAATACTTGAGCGTAAGTTGGTTCGCTGCCGCTTGCTGGGGCCATACGGGTGTCTGGCGGTCCATCTGAAGGCGACGATCCGGCATCTTCGGGTAACGCAGCAATTTGCGGTAGCTGTTCGCTATCCCTAGTAGAAGGCACTTTTTGTACAAAGCCTTCCGCAAGTTCGGCGGGATCGGAGTCAGGGACTTGAGACCGATCCAGAGCTCTCGATCCACGCTCACGATCTTGAGGCTTAGGCTCCATTTCATCTCTCCAGCCCATACTTAATTCTGTGGGCACTTGGACATCATTTTTAGTCGGAAAACTCGATTCATTGAACTGTCTCTCAGTTTCCGATATAATATCTGCGTTTGACCGGGCACACGTGGAGCACCTGAAAGTACGGGATTCACGAGCAAGGCGGCGGCGAACCTCTTCAGTTGTATCCAATCCACCAAGTTGGCCGCGAGCGTCCGTTTCCATAAAGCTACGAAGCCTGTGTGGAAAGGAACTTGTCAGACATTATCGTACACAGGTACAGATGTGGTATTTGCAGGCGATGAAACATACGCTACAATGGCAGTTCGGATGCCCCAAGCCGGTTGCCATGTCTCCTCGTGATGACCGCTGATACTGAGGCAAATCTCGCGATTAGCTTCAAATCGGCCATTCGGGGTGGTGAATCGAAAGCTGGGCGGCCGCAATGGATATGTGGGCGGGAGGACTATTCGGCCATGATATATACCCTCGCCGTAAACAGAATTTGGAGGGCCGCGCAGAGTAAAGTGCCACTCGAACAGATCAGTCTCGAGAGGCTCAGCGGTATAATCAGGAGAAGGAGAGTTCGTGATTTCAGCGGCTTCGCGCACTTATTGTATCGCAAGAAGATAAAAGCATCGTCAGTCGCAAGATACAAATCTCAAAGCAGGCCTGATGGACTGAGGTTCAACACTTACGGATTCTCCGAATCGTCGGCGACTTAGAACTGACTTGCGGAGTAGAGGTACTCCTATTTGCTTCCATAGCTGCGACCATGGCGTGTATTGTCTTGTCGGAAGAGAGGGGGAGCACTTCAGATTCGAAAGGAAGCAAACGGACCGCCCAACATTGCCTGCTAAGAAGTGACGGACCGCGCGCAAAGGTCAACACACAACAAATCGAACCCTAGTTATACCAAGAGAGAATAATATTTGTAATGAGGAAAAAGACGCACAGGTGGTGGGAAAGAACAGGGAAGCGCTCACCTCCGTGAACAAAGATCAATCAAGCTGCGGCACACTGCGCTGCTGGGCTCTCAAGCCAACGTGTCCGAATCTGTTTGCGGGTGATGGAGGGAGGGGCCGTCGCAGGTTTGGTGACCAAAGGCTGGGCGAATACGTCTTGCTGCGCCAAGCGGAATTTGATTGTTGAGTACTCCGTACGCCGCACGAATAGTATACCGTCGGGAGCGTAGGGTCGAGGATAGTGTCTTCGCGATTTGATACGGCTGGCTTGATGAATCGATGGCTTTCTGCTTGGAACGCTCGAGGCACTGTCAAAGTAATCATTGGGCACTTCCACGTTCGCATCAGCCCGGGGCGGTTCTCGCTAGCCAAGATTGCCAGAAGTACCGATGCACTGAGGTCATTAGGCACTGATACCTTCTGGTCACGCTGGCCACTTATGATCAAACAATTAAAATCTTACTAAGCAATGCAGAATCATCCTCAACTTCTCCACCGTACTGGACCTTCGACACAGAAAGGAACATAAAGGAGCTGAGTCCCTAAGCCTCCCAAAGGTAATTCAGTTTCCATCAACTGTTATTTCCCTGTTCTTATGCGTTCCCTAAACTGAACTCGCTGACATTTCTCGCTGGAGTGTCTCTCTGTCGACCACGCGGAAGACGAGAACAAGCTGTCCCAGGACTCGCCTTGGTGCGACACCTTTTCCTCGTCAGGAATATTACACAATGGGTCCCCCTAAGCCTCCTATCCCACATGTGGCGCCTATTTATCGGTTGACGGCGACTGCTCTTGGTGCTGGAATGTGGTTTTGGGTGAGTAATAACACAGCCTACTTTGTACTGCGTTTTGCGTCTCTGGTATCCAACCACACGACTCAATCCTAAAACCTGTACCAGTCATGACATATACTAACCATATCGCGGATATTAGTTGATGTACAGGGCTAAGAAAGACGGTAAGCCGCCTGCGGCGATAACGCTTCCCTCATAATCGCGCGAACACCATGTCCAGAAGTGTATGTCGTTCCTGCAGGATGTTTACTAACTTTCGAGCAACAGGACCAGTTCTAATGGGCTGGAAGCATCCTTGGGATCACTAGATGGCGACGGCCAACACCAGGATTGGATGTATGGCTAGTGATGCCTAGTTCGAAGTATTTAATTTTTTACAACACAAACTGGGAATACAACCGCTAAATACAGTTTCATTTCTAAGCGGCGAACGGCTTCTCGAACAAGTACTGCGCGACTCCCCAGGTGTCACCTCCTCCGTGAGCAAACAATTCCGAGCAAGCCATGTAAAATATTTGCCAGCGGTTATACCAAGTGGACGCGTGTTGTTCTCCGTATGTCTCAACCAGATGCGGCCACATATGCTTCCTGTTGGAGACCATCAATGATAGCCAGTCCTAGACTGATTATTAACAAGCATCCTAGTATATGATATTGGTTTACTTGGAACATACCTCGCATGTCTTTGAGTAATGTGACCCATTCACCCACCACTGCTTCTTGATGGACAAGTCCCTCTGGAAGTAAAGCAACAGGTCAACAGAGGGCATGGTGCCGCCTGTAAAAAAATGTGTCGTCATCCACCCGTCTTCAAAGTCATATGGTGTGGTGCAGTGCGCGAATATGTGCACAAAAAGCTTCCCGCCGACTCTCAGAGCCCGGGAGATCTTGGCCATGAGGAGCTCGTAGTTTTTCATATGCTCAAAAAGCTAGGAGAATTGCAAAATCTTCAGAAAGCTGGTACACGATCATAGGAGAGTGAAATGCAACTAACTTCAATCGATACGACACGATCAAAACTTTCGGGTTCGAATTCATAATCCACGACATCCCCGGTAATCACTCTGACATTGGTCAAGTTTCGACGTGCCGCCTCGGATTCAATGTACTGCTTTTGCGTTCTGGAGTTCGAAAATGCGACAATATGCGATTTTGGCAGCATCTCAGCAAAATATAATGCTCCTGAGCCCCAACCACATCTAAAATACTCAATTAGAATACCTGTCTGTTGCATCGTCCAACTCGCTTCGCCATGAGCATAAATGAAGTGAAGGCAGTTCCTGGCTGAATAAGATAAGCGCAGTGAAAACTCACCCAAGATCAAGAATATCCATGCCGTCTCTCAGGTCTGCTTTGTCAATATATGACTTCAACATTGCCGCCTCAGCTTGTGCGAGTGTCTCATGCCCTTGCGGATACAAGCAGCATGAATATTTCATTCGTGGTCCAAGGCACGCAGCTAGGACGCCAGTGCCAACTTCATAGTGTTGCTTATTAGCCGTGTCTGTGGCAATAGCCATTGGTCGAGTCCTGAGCCTCTCGATATAGACCATCTTAGCCTCGAATGCATCGGTGAGGGACTTGCTTTCAATGGTTCTCAACCGCTCTCGAAGCTGTTGCCGAATGCCTAACCTGATCAGAGCCTGAGGCAGGAACCCACGATCTAGAATCCATTCTAAATATGGACGAAGATTCCAGTTGAGTGTTAGGAGACTATTTCAAAAGACGTACGCTGGATTTGGAACAGTAGTAGAACAGAAGCATCTACCGCAACGGCGCACTGGTAGTCAATTGAGAAAGCACGGCAACTTGCCACATACCGTAGTTCATATTCGGGTGGATAAAATTGTCCAGCTCCTCAGTGGCTCAAGGTTCAGACAGCCTAGCGCAGGAGAATTCGATGCAGAGAAATGACTGAGCTCTAGACGAAAGGTGAGGGAAGAAAATGTAGGAAGGATGTGGATTCAGTATCGTCGAGTTATTTCCGACTTGTTTCATACATATCGCTGTTGCCTCCTTGGTTCAGATTGGCGCATAATAGTTGGCTGATGTTGAGATAGAAGAGGTGGGCGAGTCAAATGGAAGTACTGAGGTGGTGAGGTCATGGACTGGCACAAAAGTGATTGCGCGGACCCACATTTGTATGTAATTGGCTGTTGTTGCCTCTATTTTGCTACCAAGCACAAAATCTTAATTTTTCCACATCTCCTCACGTATGACTTTGTACTGCTTGCGTATTTTTGCACGTCCCATAATTCGTTGCTTCGTGTAACCAATTGTTCTTGCCAGTGGCATTGCCAAATACTTCTCAAAGAACCAAGCAAAAGCCAAGTACGCCAGGCCCAAGACCATGAGAAATAATTTATACCCCCAATCAATATGAGAAAGTTCCATCAGTTTCCTAATCCACTGCCCTGGATCAACTATCATATATACAGTGATGACCAGTGCAGCCACTATGGTGAGAGTGAAAGGCCCTGGACTAAAAGTTAGCATTGCAATTGTCTCATTGTGCCGGCTTGATGCAACTCTCTCACAGTTCTTCGTGGTTTTCTGCCTAAATGGTGGACCAGCATTCAGTATAACTCCGGATAATATATACTCAAAACAAGACGACAAGAAGAGTGCTGTATTCTCCGAGTTTTTAATATTTGCTTCGCGGCCGACCTCAGGTGGTTTGTACCAGGGCTGTTCTCGTACGGCAAGAAAAGCGGCCCCTTGAATGCAAACACAGAGAACCATCAGTCCCAGGAGGGGTGTTAAGACTTTGCGAGAAACCAGATCTGCTGTCGGCCGCTTGCGACACAGGAATGGAGCTGGTCCTGCCCAGCCCATAAATACAGCGATGGGTAAGATGAGCAACAAATCAATGAAGAGAAACTGGAAGTCACCCAAATTAGACGCCTTAGCATAAAGAAAGCTGACCGACGTGAACTGTATGGCGGAATACAAGCTCATGTATTTAAAACAGCTAAAACTGGTCACGAGTGCCGCTCTTCCTTCCCTATAAGCCATACAAAGTTAATAAACAGGTTAATTGATAATCAGCTGACGAGCGGCAAGAGACATACCTAATAACTTCAGGTACACAGCGAATGTCGAAGACACGAGACGTAAATGGAGCAGCAACAGAAGCTTCTGCTTCAGATAGGGATATACCGACATCAGCGGCCTTTAAAGCACCACAATCATTGGCCCCATCGCCGCAGAAACCGCAACAAAAGTCGATGCTCTGTAACTTTTCCACAAGTTCATGCTTTTCATCAGGAGACATTCTGGCGAATATTTTCCCTTGCACGAGCATCTAGATGTTCAAAGAGGTCAGCTTCATACCACAGCACAAGGCAATTGAATACATACGCGTTGCAAGATATCCCGGGGGGAATAATCGACGATCCAACGGAACGCTTCCCCACTAACGGCCAAGGAAAAATTCTGCAGGTTTGAGATATCATACGGGAGAGAGACATCTTCCTCGGGTGGCGCGGGAAGCGGCTTTGCGATACAGTTAGACGGCATACCAGTTAAGTTTCCAAGAAAGACTCACAAGTAAAGTAAGTTTGTCAAGGCATAAGCGGCTGTTGTCGATGCTCTCCCATTGCAGCTCGGCCATGGGGTCACTGGAGTCACCTGAAGAATAGGAAAACAGGATCAATGATTTGTTCATAGCCTTGTACAGAACTATGGTGTCCTACCTCGCAGAAATCGGGGCACAAAGCAATGCGCTTGTCTGTCTAGTAGTCCCGACTCGCGCGCAACGCTGATGGCTGTTAAAATATTGTCACCAGTGACCATTACTGCGCTGATGTTAGAATCCAGAAGTTCTTTCAAGACACCCGCCGTCGTGGGTTTCAATTTATTCTCAAAAATGATAAACCCGACGAAATCAAGATTGCTCTCAACCTCCGGCCTGGTTAATTTTTGCGCCTTGACCCAACTAAGCTTGGGCAGGTGTCTGGTGGCACAGCCAATTACTCGGTAGGCTTGGTGGGTGTAATATGAGAGCAAGTCGTCATAACCATCAGGAACTGTCCAGTCAGCCGAAAATCAGTTTGGTGACACAAATACCGACAGCCCGGGGCTACTAACAGCTTTCTGGACGACAGATCTCTCTCATAGCCTCAGGAGCACCTTTCACGTAAATGTCGCCATTTTTCTGACCGAAACGTCGTGTAATAACACTCGCTCTCCGAAGTTGAGATATAAACTCGAAGGACTTTAAAACACCTAGCTCGATGGAATTCTTCGTTTTTGCTATGTTAGTGACAAATATAATCGCCAGAGGAGCCGGAGATTTCATACATCTGGTGGACGAGCAATGGATGGCGTCAGTCCGCTTTGCTCATCATCGTCACCCTCCACAGCCCTCTGCTTTCCTTCTTCAAAAGACCAGCCGGTAAATTCGAACATTTTTCGATCCAGTGGGTCACCAACGAGTTCTCCGTCAACTGACCTCAGCGAGTGGCATGTTGCCATCGTGAAAAGTGCGGCTTGAACAGGGTTCCTGCTAGTTGGTGCCACTGCCCTGTTCCCAAAGTCGGGTGCTCGAGACAAGAGCTCGCTGAACTCTTTACCTGCTCCTAGGCTGATGCGGAGTCCGAGAACATCGAGGCCATCCTCTGTCAATGTCCCCGTTTTATCAAAGCACATGATGTCGATTTTTCCCCCCACATTGACTCTCTGGGGACTAATACAAAAAATTTGTTTTTTCTTCAGACGTGATAGAGCAAAGTTCGTGCCGATTGTCAGTGTCGCTGGCAGAGCAGGTGGTACGACAATCGTGATTAAATCAAGAGCACGAACAATGACAAAGTGCCATCCAAGCTTTAGCCGCACAAAATTGACAAATGAAGTGGCAAAGCCCAACATGGCGACAATGGCCATGACACTGATATATCTAAAGGAGTCTCGGTAGAATTTAAAGCCCGAGGGCTTGGGAAAGAGCATAGACCGTACCAGCGCACCTTTGGTAGTGTTGAACCCGGTTCTAACGACAAGAGCTAAAGCGACAGCATCTTCATCTTGGCCCTCCTGAGGTCGTCTTGTTCGGACAATTTTCGTTCCGCAGTATAGGAAGTGTCGTGAAATCTCAGGGGACACTGAGGAAGCCGCGAGGTCCATGGAACGCAAGGTCTCATCCGTTGCGGGAATCTTGGAGACTGGGACAGACTCGCCTAATCTTGTCAGATCGACCGCGCATTGACTTTAACGTCATCCCTTACCGGTAAGCATGCTCTCGTTAACGATACAGTCGCCCGTGAGCAAAAGACTATCACTCGGAAATTGTGACAGGTTCGGGTCGCTCAACTCATAAATATCTCCGGGCACCAGGTCGCTCGACAAAACGCATTTCCCTGTTTGCGTCTCAGCATTGCTATCTGGATGGGATGGTCTATTAATTTGAGGGCCATACAAAAGCCGTTTCTAAGAACTCGTACATCACATTCGAACCGAGATATTTCGCGAAGGCGCAGCATCGTCTAGCGATGTTAGCTGGCTTCTGCCCTTTTTTGGGGGGGAGGGGGTTTCTTTTAAACTTACAGCCCGTGTCTCAATCAGCGTCGTAGAAATACTAGCTAGGGATATGATGAATATGCATGCAGCATAATAGTAGTAAGAGTCCATGGACCAGAGGATCAGGCTAGCGACCTGGAACATATAAAATGGGTGAAGGACCTAGTCAACTCATGTTAGCTGTACTCAACAACTTATTCGCCTTCTGGTGTAAGGACCACAGGAGCTCGGTACCTCATCTATGAGTAATTGGCCAATGGTTTTCTGTTCAATATCTATCAGGTTATGACCGAAGATGGCTTCACGTATGGCCTTGTCGTCGCTATCCAGGCCTGATCGAACGAGTCGTACATCTGTCCATTCGGGATCTTTCCACCCAGAAGACATGACAAATTTATCTTTGACCGGGTGAAAATAAAGTCGGACATAGCGGTAATCTAGCGAGCGTAGATCGTCTATGAGTGGGTCGTTTTCATCGTCAAGGCTGTTGAGAAATGGCTTTTCCGGTATACCGAAGACAGACGAGACAGGCCTACCATACTCTAGAGTCGTGACCTTGATGATGCTCAATTCACCCCATTGGTTTTCAATGACCACCCAGTCGCATTGCCTTAGCGGACAGAGCCGTCCGACAATTGAGATGTACCATCGTGGCAACCAGCGAAGAAGCAGGAATGCAATCCCGCCAGTGATGAAGCACAGCACTGTATATATCAAAAACCCCGCTTTACTCGTTTGAAAACCGGCTACGACGATGGTTAGATCCTCGTTGGCCATGTACATCTTCTGGCTACTTCGCCCTTCGGTGCGAGCACTGGCCACTGTAGCCGTGCTGTCTCTGCGGAGGAGATGTACGTGAACAGAATCTCGTGACTGCGCTGACGAACGACGCCTCAGCATGTAATCATCGTGAGTTGCGAGATATTCTCGGTCCGCCGAGTCTTCCTCGTCATCGATGCCAAATTCGAGGTCGCCGAGATCGCTGAGGCTCCGTCTAACAAAACTTTCATTTAGATTAGTAAATATGTCTGGCTCCTCCTCGCCTTCTGGTACCTCGGGCTCCTCGTAATATGTGAAACTTGCTGTTGAGCCGGCACGGGCTCGGCGATGGGAGAAGGCAGAGACACTGCTGGGTAAACTTTCCGCCACAGGGCCTGAGTAGAGCTAGGGCAGGCAATTAGTTGAATAGGCCTTGAAGATGGCATACTTGGTCAACCCAGGGATACCTCGTCGTGTGCCATTTCAACATTTTCGAATACACTGGAGCTGCTCTGGTTGGAGTTCAGGCGATATAAAGTCGCTGGGTCGTTTGCCGCAGACGCGCCGTCGCCGCGGCGTAGGCTATGAACCCTATCATCATTCATCGCTTGGTTTCGCTTTTCGGACGCCCACGTGGCATATCTTGGGGTCTCAGTTCGGCGTCTTCACATGCGATGAGCGGCGGCCGAGGAGACAATGGCCAGCTTGCGGTAAGAATTGTCAGCATGTACGGGATGGTTCTGCCATTGCTGATTTGGAAAGGTCCAATGCTTGTGCGGCTGGTGCGCCGTTTGCTCCCGAGGCTTGCCCGGGCAGGGAATAGCTAACTGGCCGGTCCCCCCCGCCAGAGTGCCTTGCAACCAGCCCAGGCCTTCATATATATCCGACTTTTGGCTCGTCCAGCTCCTCAAACCATTATCCATATGTATTCGAGCAACTGGAGGTGATGCTATTAAAGTAACACGGACTTGGTGCCATCTTACTATTCAGGACCAGTTGCGGCTCTACGTATTGCCGTATGCACTACCCTACAGCCGCGCAAAAATAACATCAAGCTTTACATGTAGAGTTACCTAATTATCCACACTTCTTTCTACCTATACGCTCTGGTCAAGCAAATGCAGCTGCAGGTTATCGGTAGCCTAAATAAGTTGTCTGCCTATAACAGATAATTTAAACAAAACAAGCAACTCTGGTCACAAAAAGGCCCTTGAGGCGTAAATATCAGCTGGAATTTAAAGATCAACGAACGTGAAACTGCTCGCATCAGCGAACCTCATTATTGTCTGGGCTAGATCCTTAACACCAAAAGTCTGCGTGACATATTATCGTCACCTAGACTGTTTGCCTCAGGCTGGGGATGGGGGCTGCTGAACCTCCAGCAATGTGCGAGGATAGAACTTGGGACACTGGCGCTGTTTGCCCCCTCCAGACAACATCGTTCTCGCTGAGAGTTGTTTCAAAATCTCGACTAGCCTAAACAATCCGTTCGTGTCGGGCCCAACAAGCTGGCTCTCCCACCAGACTACGCTCCGCCTAAATTTTTTTTTCTCGTTTGCCCGCTTGCTTCCCCACCGAAATTTAGCCAGCCGCCAAAGAGCGGGTTCCTCACCTCAACCTTCTCCTTCCCCATCTTCCTCATTCCCTTCACAAACGTCGTCCTTCTACCATTTTCAACGACCGCTTGATATTCGAACACGTCGTGTTTCCACCCGGCCAGCAAAATGGCCGAACCGATCAGAAACAAGCGACCTGACTTGACGGCCCCGTGAGTAGTTACGTCCAGGCACAAACCGCCTCTTCCCAAACTAATTGCCCCACCTCCAGCACGCCTCAGAATACACCAGCTACCAATGCGCCTATCTCTTCCCATGCCCAGCAACCTGGCGTGGCTAGTATCAAAGAAGGTAAACATCCATCATTCAAAACCAGACGTTGCTCGTTGATTACTTAGCCAAAACTCCAGAGGACATGGATCGCGCCGCTGCCGCAGCTATTTTCGCCCAGAACCCCAAACTAGTTCAAATGATACAGGGCCGTCTGGGCTCGCTTATTGGCCGCTCCTCAGGATATATCGAGTCACTTCCCCCTGCCGTTCGCCGCCGAGTTTCCGGTCTGCGTGGCGTCCAGAAAGAGCACTCGAGGCTCGAAGATGAATTTCAGAAAGAAGTCCTGGAACTTGAGAAGAAATACTTCGCCAAGTTCATGCCGCTCTACGAGAAGCGTGCTGCCATTGTTAACGGAAAGACAGAACCGACCGAGGAAGAGGTCAAGGCTGGTGAAAATGAGGATGGGCAGGGCCAGGCTGAAGGTACACCTGATGATGGCGCACCGAAGCAGGGTGATGTCGCCGAGGATGTATCTGGCATACCCGAGTTCTGGCTGTCGGCCATGAAGAACCAGACGACACTCGCCGAAATGATCACCGACCGCGACGAGGCTGCACTAAAACACCTGACTGATATTCGCATGGAGTATCTCGACAAACCTGGCTTCCGTCTCATATTTGAATTCGCAGAGAATGAGTTCTTCACCAACAAATTCATCACTAAGACGTATTTCTACCAAAACGAAAGCGGCTATGGTGGTGATTTCATTTACGACCATGCGGAGGGTGACAAGATTGAATGGCGCTCTGGCAAAGATTTGACCGTGCGTGTCGAAGCAAAGAAGCAAAGAAACAAGAGTATGACTTCAAATTTTGATGCTTCACATGAAGTCCATTCTGACAGTCAAACAGACACCAACCAGACCCGTATTGTGAAGAAGACGGTTCCTACCGAATCTTTTTTCAACTTTTTCTCCCCACCCCAAGCCCCCACCGATGATAATGTAGAGGACGAAGACGCTGTGGCTGATATTGAAGATCGACTGGAACTTGATTACCAGTTAGGCGAAGATATCAAGGAAAAACTGATTCCTCGCGCTATTGATTGGTTCACCGGTGAAGCTCTTGCCTTTGAGGACGATTTTGACGAGGACGACTTGGATGGTGAGGATTTTGACGAGGATGAGGATGATGACGAGGATGACATGAGTGATGATCACGACGACGAGGAAGATTCCGACGAGGAAGTAAGTTCTTATTGCCTACCCTCTGATTTATCAGACATCTTACCAGTTACTTTAGGACGAGTCCGGGAAGCCCAAGCAGGAGGCTGCTGAGTGCAAGCAAAGCTGAGCAACTATGCTGCTTAGAGACTAATAGTTGTGCGATTTCTTTTCTTTTTTCATCAAACATAGTCTTGACCCCTAGTATGAAGTATTGGGCGGGTTAGTTGCATGATCAAATAATATTTAACGACTGGCGCGCTTGCCTGTCGCAAAAGTCGCAAGGGAGGACGTGGTGCTGGGTGGCAGGTGATGGAGGCTTACGAAGTAGTTTTGAGGGCTCTGGATTAATTTCATAGACAAACAAAAAGGGGCTTATGATAATCGGCAGATACATTTTATTTTTCTCTCTCTGGCAAGACAGTGGCAGCTGCACTATTGTGATGAAGTTCCGCGCTGAAGAAAGAGAGCATTGCACATGTTTAATTCCCACACAATGGAGGAGCACCAAAGAATCTGTTAGGCCAAAGCTGGAGTTGAAGCAAATCTATCTCCTTGCCCATGTTCCCCTGGAGCAAGATCGCGTGTGGTGGTGTATTTTAATCGAACAGAATGAGCTGTCATTACCTGCCTAAGTAGTTTGCAAGATGTTGTCAACTTGTTGCCATCAATGAAGAATAAAATGAAGGAGATGTAGTATGGCAACGGCCTGGTTGTCTGCGAGGATGTGTTAGGATAATTTAAGCTTATATTAGATGAGAAACGGCTACAAAGGTGACAAAATCCTAGTCGAACCAAGAGCAGACAAAGAGCGCTGGCCGAACCCTTCAATTCCGTTCGCCGCCGTGCAGAGGTCTACATGCAGGGAGTTTTGCGCTTCGGGCTACCATCGCCCCGTCACCAGCCAAGCCAAATGGTCGTGGCAGCTCTCGAGGCCCATATCGCTTGAAAATTGAGATTCCTAAAATTTTGATGTGCTGCTGAATAAAATCGGCCTAGAGCGGCAGCAGCTCGTTTTCTATTAGTTGTTGTATATAGCTGGTTTTGGGATAATCGCTACATTGCCAGCGTATGTGAAGTGACTGTATATATTTAGAGAAAAGCGTGCAGCGCGAAGTAGCAGTAGCCCGCAACTTTGGTAGCACCAATAACCAAACTTCACGATTGGCCCCAGAGCGGTACGTCTGAAAGGGGCATCGCGCCGTTTTGGCCAATTGGGTAACTAGTTACTTGCAACACCCACCTACCAAGCTTGAAGCCTTCACCATCTACGGAGTAAGTTAGTTGTGACGCATTTCCTATCTGTACTCCGTAGATCGGAGAAACATGGGCGAAGATTCCCGGATTCAAGCCACGAATAATTCAAGGACGGGTTGACGGGGCAGAATGTAAGCATCCCAATTGGCTCAAGCGTGCTGGATCAGCAACCTTGTTGAGCAGCACCAGAAAAAAAGAAGGCCTACTGACTGGTCCACGAGTCATACAGTCCACATGTGAAAAATTTGCCCATGTATTCGTAAAAATCTGTATGCAATTCACTCATTTCCACGTCTGACTCAGGTTGGTATTACTTGAGGGAGAATTTCGGGAGGCAAGGACAGCCTTCCGACATGTAAATGTCTCTTTAACTGCAGTGGTTACATCTTCCCCATCAAGCCTGTAACTTACTGCTGGCTCTACAACTTAGGTACTAAGTACTTAGATGAGGAGCAAGTACCTAATTAAGTAGGTACTTAATGTATAATCTGCAGCTAGAGTGGATGGGCGGTGGTAGTAGGGTGAATGTGTCAATTGACAGCCTTATCCGAAGGAGTTATAGGGACAGCTAAGGTAACATACTTACGTAAGTACTTAAGTAACCAGCAATGCTGTGCCTGATTTGGGGAGCCTGGCACCTGTGATAGTCCACTGGTGTGCTCTTGACATCAACTGGTCCCATTCATCGAATCAAATTGTCGTGCCCGTTGAGGCTGGTGGCGTCAAGTCATCGCATGTCTGCTCGAGTGGACAAGAGGAAGTAGTTCAGTAGTAACTACTCCAGTACAAACTGGGGGTGCTTTGTTAAGTACTTACTAAGTAAGTACTTAGGCACTTAGGTAAGTACTGAAGTACGCATGTAAGTTGAACCAGGCCGTCGCTGAAGGCCCCCCCATCAGACGTTTAAATTGCTTAAATACCCTGGGACTTGTCGCAGCATGCTCTACCCCGCCAAACCACCACTCTCCCTTTACTGATTCCAGAATTGATCTTGTCCTACTGAATTCTTGTATCGAGATTCTTTCACCATGACGCCTCCCCTCGATATCCATACGGTGACTTCAAGAACGGTCTCCCACAGCTGGGATCCAAATAATTTGTCAACCTCCCCAACAGCCACTTTCAATTCCCCCCCATCCAGCTGGGGAGGGGCTTTAGCTCATCGCGGCGCACCAAAACAGCTCAAGCCTTTCAATACGCAGGACATTAAAATTTTGCTGTTAGAAAATGTCAACACTACCGGTCAAGACATTCTCCGAGGACAGGGCTACCAAGTCGAAGCGCTCAAAACTTCTCTACCTGAGGACCAACTGATTGTCAAGATTCGGTGAGTTCGGTCAAATTTCCACCCGACTCGTATCGTTGACTCACAAAATGTACGCAGCGATGTACACGTTATCGGCATCCGATCCAAGACGAAATTGAACCAGCGAGTACTGAAAGAGGCCAAAAATCTTCTGGTCGTTGGCTGCTTCTGCATCGGGACCAATCAAGTCGATCTTGAATACGCTGCTCGCCACGGTATTGCAGTCTTCAACTCACCCTTTGCCAACTCTCGTAGTGTTGCGGAGCTTGTGGTTGCGGAAATCATCGCCCTTGCACGTCAGCTGGGTGACCGCTCCTCTGAGATGCACCGTGGAACATGGAACAAGGTTAGTGCCAAGTGCTGGGAGATTCGAGGCAAGACCCTAGGTAAGAAACCATATTCTGAGCGATTTTAAAATATTTCTCTCCACGGTACCTTACTTCTGTAGCTGCCGTGTTGAACGCCGCAACACTCCTTGATTGTGCTTTGACTCCTGATCATCTTTGATAGGCATCGTTGGATACGGTCACATTGGCTCACAGCTTTCGGTTCTCGCGGAGGCCATGGGCATGAATGTGATTTATTACGATGTCGTCACCCTCATGGCTCTTGGTACTTGCCGCCAAGTTCCGACCCTAGATAACCTACTAGAAGAAGCCGATTTTGTCACTCTTCATGTGCCGGATCTCCCGGAGACTCGGGGTATGATCTCGACGACTCAATTCGAACAGATGAAGCACGGATCCTATCTCATCAACGCCAGCAGAGGCACTGTTGTGGATATTCCGGCTCTGGTGAAAGCAATGCGATCTGGAAAGGTTGCTGGCGCTGCTCTTGATGTGTATCCTAACGAGCCGGATGCTAATGGTGATTATTTTACCAACAATTTGATTAATTGGGTGGAAGATCTCCGATCCTTGAATAACATTATTCTTACTCCTCATATTGGAGGTAGCACAGAGGAGGCACAGCGTGCAATCGGAATCGAAGGTGACCACGTCAATAGCAAGATGTTTCGTTTTCCATGATACTGACTTGCTTGGTTTTCTCCAGTTGCGGATGCACTCGTTCGTTACATCAATCAGGGTATAACTCTCGGAAGTGTGAACTTGCCTGAGGCTCAACTAAGATCTTTGACGTTGGATGAACCGAATCATGCCAGAGTAAGGACTCCTCCACATATGTCGGCAATGGCTTGTTTGCCTACGTTTCTCATTCTCTGTACTAATCATTTCTTCACTTGATATTTATTCCTTCATAGGTCATTTACATTCACCGCAACGTGCCTGGGGTGCTGCGCAAAGGTGAGCTACCCACACAACGCCCAACTAAACAAGTGAGACCTGCAGGGGTTTAAAGCTGGCTACTTACCTGTCCCAAAGTCAACGAAATTCTCGGCGGCCACAACGTTGATAAGCAAATCAGCGATAGCAAAGGCGATGTAAGTCTGGCTTGTCGCGATATAGTACTGGTCTTTGTCTAACATGGATTCCCAAGGTTGCATACTTGATGGCCGATATCAGTAATGTGCGCTATGAGGAGATCAAAGAATTTACCGAAAATCTGGAAGCCCTGAGCTGTAGGTTTCTTTGCAGTTGGATAGCCTCATCCGCCTTATCACTAATGTTGAGTTATCTAGCATGTATTATGACGCGGGTGTTGTACTAGACGTCCAGATTTTGGCAGTTGTAGGCAGACATTAGTTGCAGCACTCAACGTGCTGAATGTTCCCTAAAGGCCATGGTCATTAGCAACCGGGTTCTGAGTTGCAAGAACAGCCATACATAAGCTTGCGTTGGACCTCTGGCGTTTGGAATATGATTATGGGAAAGCGATGGTAGTGGGTTGACATGATAGTATAGTTGAGCTCAACAACAACTTTAGCATAGACTGGACTCAAATCCGAGCAAACCAGAATAGAAAACCAATATGAATGTAACAAGGGCTGGTCTTGGAGATCAGGGCTTGGAGAAAATGACTCACATTCACATGTAATATCGTAGGGTCTCAAAGGTCCTTGGTTCCTCCACCTGATAAACCTGACCAACGAGGGCTTTATATACATGATAGTAGTGCCTGTGTGTGTAACTTGAATAGGCAACAAAGGGGTGATGCCCTTTGTGCCTTAGTGCCTTGATGCCTTAGTGCCCAAGCCCACTAGTGGCCTATGAGGGCATCGTGATAGCTGCAACCTTTGTGCATTGCAGCTAGTCGTGTGGTTGAGGCTTTTCCGTGTAACAATGAATGAGCCTCTTTTTGCGCGCTATTTCATGCACGGCAAGTTGCAATTGAAATACCTAGGTTGGATTCTTGGCAGGTAAATTATGGGCAGTATGGATTATCATTAGACTAGCATCTCGATTTGCTTCGAGTTTTGGAGGTCTTGTATGTCATGCTATTGTGCTTTCGCTGTAATATCTATTACTAATCGAACGTCGGTACTGTTCCAGCTTACTCGGTTCTCGATGCCAATTGTTTGCAGAAGAGGTACTCAACTCTGATTTCCCCCATCACAATATTTGTTTGTCTCGAACACATGCCATGTACGTCGAGCTGAAGCTGCTAACTCCAGGTCTCAATGAGGAACCGGGGCACTCCGATTTCTGTCGCTCTCAGCTACGTGCCTGGAATATAACGAGAAGTACAGGCAGGAGAAAAGTTGGCACGTTGGCGTTTCCACCACAGTTGGGCAACGGATGCAGAGGCAAAAGCTTCTTCAGACGACAACTCATAGAGGAGAGAGAAGGGGGTGGGATAAGAGCATTTACAAGGCCTTCGGGAATTTTGAAGAGACGTGTAGCTCAGCTGCCGTTCTCGTCCTGCAATCCTTGTATTGACCTACCTCACACGCGCGGCCCCTGTTTTCATGGACGGTAGAGCTCTCCAAAGAAAGGTAAGAAATCGATATAAGCTGGTTAAAAGTCCGCCGTCTTGTAATGGCTGATAAAGCTAAATATGATCCTAACAACACCCCTCTGCGTGCCATTCTACCTACCTACCTAGGTAGGTACCTACTTACACCAGTAGTCTGTAAGGCTAGTCCGTAATACTTGTGATAGTTCTGCATACCTACTTATAGGTACTTAAATAGGTGGGTACAGAGATAGCCTCTGGTACAATCGTCCAAGTAGCAGGCAGCCGTACATTGGTCCAGCAATCAGTTCTGGAATGTCAACGATACCAAATGCAATGCACGATGAAAAATAGGTTCCTCTGCGCATCGAGAGAGCCTTTGCATCCACGACCGCAATCTGGAGAAGTCAATTTGGGAAGCGCGTTGTGGATCGGTGGTTGGTGTCTGCCTACCTACCTCTTAAGTACCTAACTACTTAGTAATTACTTGGTACGTTACCTGGGTACTAATCGTGCCCGCCCCACTTTATGTGGTTCGGCTAGCAAAAGCCCTCACCACCAAAGGTGGTGCTCGACAGCAAGGCGGGCCGGACACCAAGGCGGGCCAATTTTCAACCTAATAACGCTATTAACCTCTTCGCCTATAATGTACACCCTTCTCGTCCCAAATTTCTAGTAGATCTAGTACAGAATCCAGACGCCATTTACGTGCCTTTTTAGCTGCTTCAAAAAACGTCCTCTTGGCGTGGTTGTGGCGCCTTTTGTCGGCATGCTCTTTATGCTTGCTGTTCGCCTGATGAACTCGAGAAAGGTCTTTGCAAAGGCGTGATTGGAAGGAGAAACGGCGAATGGTTGACGCGACAGGTATGCATTTGTTGGCGGTGACGGGAGGGGAGCCATATGAAGAGGTGCATTATCTGTTGACTGTTTTTCTAGACCGGGAAATAAAAATAGGACATGTATAGAAAACCAGATATTACAGCCCTTTTTAAAAAAAAAATCAAAAAAATCAAAGGTCGTCACTCATTCATTGGAAGCTTCAACGAAAAAAAAAACCCCGGATGTAATTACGCAGCTCATTAAAGATCCACCTGATCAATCGCCGGCCACCATTGAGACCAGGCCCCCTGCTCGTCGAGGTTATTGCTGACTTCCGCGAAAAGCTGGTTCAACAAGGTATTAGTGTCGAGCTCGTGCTCGTGCTCGTGCTCGTGCTCGTGCCCTTGAACCGGCCAAGTCGCCTGCGCCGAGGGCCGCTCCGCGCCCCGAATCTCCCGAGTATGCGCGTCGGATCTATCCACGACACGGAACTCGTGGACAGACTGGTGTAGAGTATCAAAGTCTGCTCGTGTGCGCCCCTGGTATCGTGTCCGGTCCTCGGTTGCTCGCTCGTAGAGCACGGATGCATGGTGTATCGTTTTGATCTTGCGCGTGCCGCCCTCTCAATGTTAGCGCAACGGTGGCCACGGTCGTGTCATGCTTGCGGGCGGCTTACCCATCCGTCGGCGATTTTCCAGACAAGTCGAAACTTTTCCAGGTAGTCGAGACACATTTTGAGACAGTCGCTTGCTCGCGGGCTGCGGCCCAGGTTCATTCGGGGGTATTTCGCCACGTAGAGGTTGAGGTAGCCGGCTGAGAATGCGCAGAACCCGGCAAAGGGCGTCATGAGATGCACGCCACACTCGGAGGCCTCGTGTAGAATGGCGGCGATGTGCTCTGCCGCGCCGAAGAGGAGTCGGGAGCTGTCGTCCCACCAGCCCTCGGGGGCGGGCGCCCCCAGCATGGGCTGGTCGACTGGACCCCGTGGCTCCGACTCCGGGGTCGGCAGGAAGGGGAAGTACTCGCGGTGAAGCATGAGGGTGCTGACAAGGCGTAAGCAGGGGCGGCGGCGGCAAGTTGGGAGCCCCGTCGACCGCTACCGCTGTGGGAAGGGGATTCTTACCTCACGTAGTACAGGAGATTGAGGTAGACGAACGTCTCGCCGAAGCCGAGCGTCATGTGGACGGCCACCGAGTTGCTGGGGTAATGGAGCTTGACGTTCTGTACGGGGCACTCGCAACCCAAGTAAGTTAAGTACTACTTAAAAGTAGGCAGCCTTCGCCAAACCCCTTGTTGATCTTTTGTCAAAATTGCATTTTGTACCTTCAACTAATATTTAGCCAGTCGCCCACCTTACTGTTGTTATTTGACACATTTTGGGCCCTTTTTTTTCTGCGTGTGAATTTCACCAGTCCTGGTACCCCGTACCACGTCCTGGCATTTTAAAGCTGGCCCCGTATTTTGGACCCGCCCCCCTTTATTTGTAGCCAGTGGCTCCAGCCGTCGCGACTCTTGATCAAGGAGCTTCTTTGAAGTATCCTTCATACATGAAAGAACCATCTCCCAAGGCAATTTTTCCACACATTCCTCAATCCTAAAACCAAGCGGCGCCGGTCTTTTTGTTATCCTTCAGTGCCTTGACTGGTAGTCCGTCACCCTATGGCATCGACATACGACGTCGGCACGAGGGCGTGGCAGCCTGATGCTGCTGAGGGTTGGGTAGCTTCAGAGCTGATCAGCAAACACATTGACGGCTCAACAGCCAAACTTTCCTTCAAGCTTGATAATGGCGAGGTATGCCATCTCTTCCATAGCCTGCAGCGTTCAAAAATGGACTCAAGGCTTTCGCTGACCGGGTATTCTTGGTTCTGGTAGACCAAGATCATCGAAGTTCCCATCGATGCTTTACAAAGCGGAAATCATGCATCATTACCGCCCCTGATGAACCCGACGATGCTGGAAGCCAGCGACGATCTTACAAATTTATCTCACCTTAACGAACCTGCTGGTATGTTAGCCGATCGACATTTTACGATATTCATCAAGGTCGAATATTGTGCTAACATTACTCGCAGTGTTGCAAGCTATTAGATTACGATATTCACAGAAGGAAATCTACACCTACAGTGGGATCGTCCTTATCGCAACAAATCCGTTCGCTCGAGTCGACTCTCTCTATGTGCCGGGTATGGTACAAGTCTACGCTGGGAAGCAACGGGCGACCCAAGCTCCGCATCTCTTTGCTATCGCCGAAGAGGCTTTCATGTACGAACATGCTATACGCTCTTACCCGACATTCCACGTGCTAATGTAAAGAACCAATACAGAGACATGATTCGGGATAACAAAAATCAGACTATTGTTGTGTCTGGTGAATCGGGTGCCGGGAAGACTGTAAGCGCCAAGTACATTATGCGCTACTTCGCGACCAGAGAGTCACCCGACAACCCAGGAGCCCGCTCCAAGCGTGGCCCTGAAGCCATGAGCGAGACTGAAGAGCAGATCCTGGCTACCAACCCTATCATGGAAGCGTTCGGTAACGCCAAAACGACAAGAAATGACAACAGCTCAAGATTTGGCAAATATATCGAGATCATGTTCGACGAGAAAACGAATATTATTGGTGCAAAGATAAGAACATACCTGCTAGAGCGGTCGCGTCTGGTCTTCCAACCTCTAAAAGAGCGAAACTACCACATTTTTTATCAACTTGTCGCCGGGGCTTCTGACAGCCAACGTCAGGAGCTTGACATCATGCCAATTGAGCAGTTTGAGTACCTCAACCAAGGCAATTGCCCTACTATAGACGGTGTGGATGACAAGGCCGAATTCGAGGCTACTAAAAAATCTCTGCAAACGATCGGCGTCTCAGAGGCTCAGCAAAATGACATCTTCAAGCTTTTAGCTGGTTTACTGCATCTTGGTAACGTGAAGATCACAGCGTCCAGGACTGACAGCGTTCTCGCGCCCACAGAGCCATCGCTTGAGAAGTCCTGTGCCATCCTTGGAGTCGATGTGCTCGAATTCGCCAAATGGATCATCAAGAAGCAGCTAATCACCAGAGGCGAGAAAATTACGTCAAACTTGAGCCAAGCCCAAGCCATTGTTGTGCGTGACTCTGTTGCCAAATTCATCTATTCAAGCTTGTTCGACTGGCTAGTTGAAATCATTAACCGCAGCTTGGCTACTGAAGAAGTTCTCAACCGTGTAAAGTCCTTTATTGGAGTTCTGGATATTTATGGGTTCGAACATTTTGCTAAAAATTCATTTGAGCAATTCTGTATCAATTACGCCAATGAGAAGCTGCAACAAGAATTCAATCAACATGTGTTCAAGTTAGAGCAAGAGGAATATCTGAAGGAACAGATCGACTGGACATTCATCGACTTTTCGGACAACCAGCCCTGTATCGACCTCATTGAAGGCAAGCTAGGTGTTCTATCTCTCCTGGACGAAGAATCCAGATTGCCCATGGGCTCAGATGAACAATTTGTCACAAAGCTTCACCACAATTTTGCGACAGACAAGCAGCACCCCTTTTTCAAGAAACCTCGATTTGGCAAATCCGCCTTCACCGTCTGCCATTACGCCATAGATGTAACCTACGAATCAGAAGGCTTCATTGAGAAAAATCGAGACACTGTGCCGGACGAGCACATGACGGTACTTCGCGCTACTTCGAACCCGTTTCTGAAACAGGTGCTTGACGCTGCCTCGGCTGTCAGAGAAAAAGATGTTGCTTCTGCTTCCTCAAACGCCGTAAAGCCCGCCGCTGGTAGGAAGATCGGGGTGGCTGTAAACAGGAAGCCGACACTTGGGGGCATCTTCCGATCCTCTCTGATTGAATTGATGAATACAATAAACAATACAGACGTTCATTATATTCGATGTATCAAGCCCAATGAGGCCAAGGCAGCATGGCAGTTTGAAGGTCCCATGGTCCTTAGCCAGTTGCGTGCCTGTGGCGTTTTGGAGACTGTCCGCATTAGTTGCGCTGGGTATCCTACCAGGTGGACATATGAAGAGTTCGCCCTTAGATATTATATGCTCGTGCATTCTGGCCAGTGGACGGCGGAGATTCGTGACATGGCTAATGCCATCCTGACGAAGGCTTTGGGTACAAGCACTGGCAAAGGACTGGACAAGTATCAATTGGGTCTTACCAAGATCTTCTTCCGCGCTGGTATGCTGGCGTTCTTGGAGAATTCACGGACAAGTCGACTTAACGACTGTGCTATTCTTATTCAGAAGAATTTGAGAGCGAAGTACTATCGACGTCGATACCTGGGGGCCCGAGAGTCTGTCATTCGCTCCCAGTCTGCCGCCAGAGCATATATTGCCAGAAGACAGGCCCAGGAACTCCGCACTACAAGAGCAGCGACTACAATTCAACGTGTATGGAGAGGCCAAAAGGATCGAAAGAAGTTTTTGGCTATCCGAAAGGACATGACTTTCTTCGAATCAGCAGCCAAGGGTTATCTTCGACGAAAGCAGATCATGGAGACCAGGGTCGGTAACGCTGCCCTTGTCATTCAGCGGGCTTGGCGATCCCGTCGACAACTGCGGTCCTGGCGCCAGTATCGTAGAAAGGTGACTCTGATTCAGAGTTTGTGGCGTGGTAAACTGGCGAGACGAGGCTACAAGAAGGTTCGGGAGGAGGCTCGCGATCTGAAGCAAATATCCTATAAGCTGGAGAACAAGGTTGTTGAACTCACTCAGTCCTTGGGGTCGATGAAGGAAAAGAACAAAAACCTTTCGGCACAAGTCGAGAATTACGAAAGTCAAATCAAGTCGTGGAAGAATCGACACAATGCACTTGAAGCGAGGACGAAAGAACTGCAGACTGAGGCCAACCAGGCAGGTATCGCTGTTGCGCGTCTACAAGCAATGGAGGAGGAGATGAAAAAACTTCAGCAGGCATTCGACGAGTCAACAGCAAACATCAAGCGAATGCAAGAAGAGGAGCGCGACTTGAGAGAATCCCTGCGCTTGTCAAACACAGAACTGGAGTCTGCTAAACAGACGAGCAATGACAGGGAAAAGGACAATGTCAGTCTCAGACAAGAGCTTGAAGCTCTCCGTGACGCCCTGGAAGTGGCCAAGAGAAGTGCACCTGTCAATGGAGACCTTGCGAATGGCAACTCAGCGACGGCGTCGACGGGTACCGGACTCATTAACCTCGTGGCCTCCAAGAGACCCAAGCGCAGAAGCGCCGGAGCTGAGCCGCGAGATTTGGATCGCTTCAGTGCCGCTTATAATCCACGCCCAGTCTCTATGGCCGTTACAAACACCGCTCATCGGCAGAATTTGTCTGGTACAGCATATATTCCTGGGGTTGATAATATTGAAATGGAATTAGAGACTCTTCTTGCCGACGAGGATGGCTTAAACGAAGAGGTGACAATGGGATTAATTCGCAACCTCAAAATCCCCTCACCGAATTCAACTCCCCCACCATCCGACAAAGAAGTGTTGTTCCCCTCCTACCTTATCAATCTTGTCACATCTGAGATGTGGAATAACGGGTTTGTCAAGGAATCAGAGCGTTTCCTGGCAAATGTGATGCAATCTATTCAGCAGGAGGTAATGCAATACGACGGGGATGAAGCGATCAACCCTGGTGCCTTCTGGCTGTCCAACGTCCACGAGATGTTGTCATTTGTTTTTCTCGCTGAAGACTGGTATGAGACCCAGAAGACTGACAACTACGAGTATGACCGCCTGCTTGAAATTGTTAAGCACGACCTCGAGAGCTTGGAGTTCAATATCTACCATACTTGGATGAAGGTTCTCAAGAAGAAGTTGCATAAGATGATTATTCCAGCCATCATTGAATCGCAGTCTTTACCTGGTTTCATCACCAATGAAAGCAATAGGTTTTTGGGCAAGCTTCTGCAGTCCAACTCTGCCCCGGCATACAGCATGGACAATTTACTGAGCTTGCTCAACAGTGTCTTCCGGGCCATGAAGGCTTTTTACCTCGAAGACTCCATTATCACGCAGACTGTGACCGAGCTTCTGCGCCTTGTTGGCGTTACGGCATTCAATGACTTACTAATGCGCCGCAATTTCCTTTCATGGAAGCGTGGCTTGCAAATCAACTACAACATCACTCGCATTGAAGAGTGGTGCAAGAGCCACGACATGCCAGAAGGCACGCTTCAGCTTGAGCATTTGATGGTGAGCTCGTCTGAGATCAAATGAAAAATATCTGTTTCGATATTTTACTAACATCTTTCGCCGTGTTTTAGCAAGCGACAAAACTTCTTCAGCTCAAGAAAGCCACGCTAAATGACATTGAAATTATTCAGGACATATGTTGGATGTATGTGTCGAAGTTGCGCCAAGCCAAGCTTCGAGGGACATACCCATGACTAACGGCCTCTAGGCTCTCGCCGAACCAGATCCAAAAGCTGCTGAATCAGTACCTAGTCGCAGACTATGAGCAGCCTATCAATGGAGAAATTATGAAGGCCGTTGCCTCCAGAGTGACTGAGAAGAGTGACGTGCTGCTCCTTCAGGCGGTTGACATGGACGATAGCGGACCCTACGAGATTGCAGAACCTCGAGCGATCACAGCACTGGAGACCTACACCCCATCATGTAAGCCCTGTTAATTCCTTGCGTCATGGTTTTCCTAGAGCTAATCTATTCACAAGGGCTACAAACCCCTCGTTTGAAACGGTTGGCCGAAATTGTCTCTGCCCAAGCTATTGCTCAACAAGAAAAGCTTGAGTACGAAAATGACGGCGAATTCGGAGGTCAACACGGCGATATTCTCGAAGCAGATGAAACTGCCATTGAGCCTGAACAAGAAATGAAATAGAGCGTCGACGCTGGTTTGTGTAACTTTGAATTTTGCACATGGGGGCTAGAAGACTAAGAACAACAAGCTGTACATTTAACTGGGTTTGTTTTGGCCACTGGGTAGAGGGTGCGTTACAAGCTACTTATACTATCCTTGCAACTCCAGTCGAAAGGGTGTATGGATCTTAAGGCGCTTGACGCATATTATAACATGTCATGTATTTGCAACATGTATGACGGAAGATGTTGCCGCTTCAAAAGCATTGCTAACTAGAGGATGGTTGCCGACATGATCGGAAAAAACTCAGATGTCTGGCGGATATTAGGGCACCTATCTATTGATGTAAATGTATGTCTAGCTATGATAACGCATTTTTGGGTCTCATTCTACAATCAGACTTTGGGGATTCACAACAATCAAGCTGTCGCTCTTCAACCTGGCATTGAAGTACTCAACTTATGTCCATCGATTCTCGTGCGCTTCTAAGTAAAATATGCGTTCAAGCGAGGACGTGCCTCGATATAGGCATAATATCAGTTCCAAAATTTGCAGTTTTGAAGTACCGAGGCGGTGCGACTCTAGAATACTCATTCCCTAACCGGAACTTTACCGCCGACTTTCCAACATTTTGGGCTCAAGGTTCTGAATAAATATTGAGGGAATAACCATAGCCCATCTATGCACAGTGTCTGAAGAACAAGATGAGACAAGTCCCGAACATCATTGTTACTGGGACCCCGGGCGTTGGCAAGACCACTCACAGCGAGAGTTTAGCAGAGCGGACTGGGCTTCGACATGTCTCTGTGAATCAGATAGTCAAAGATAAGGAGTGCCACGAAGGGTGGAGCGATGAGCACCAGAGTTGGATTGTGGATGAAGATAAAGTAAGAACATCACCCCTTCCCCCGGGCAACTACTACCTTTAGACTGACTTCAAATGCCTGTCAGCTGCTAGATGTCATCGAGGAAGATGTCAAAGCTGGCGGCTGTATAATTGATTGGCATGCCTGTGATCTTTTCCCACGTAGCTGGATAGACCTTGTTGTGGTTTTGAGGGTGGAAACTTCAACCTTGTTTGACAGGTTGACAGCTAGGTAAGCCGAAGGGCGGATCTCAAATTAGCAATGCCATTCATTGTGCCACATCCTTTCCACATGAAACCTCCCCGAAGAGTTGAAACTGGCAGATTGATATAACTGACGGTAAATAGGGGTTACGCTGAGGCGAAGCTTCAGGAGAACCTGGACTCAGAAATCATGGAGGTGTTACTTGAAGAGGCACGGGAGGCTTTTGATGAGGATATTGTCATTGAGTTGATAAGCAACACATCCGATGACATGGAATGTAATGTAGACCGAATTGAAGCTTGGGTCAAGCAATGGAAGTTGGATAATGCCCCTACTGGGAATCCTTGAGGGGCGAAAGGGCGGGCACAAGAGAAGAGATTCGATTGACCAAAGAGCTTGGCAGATGTCTGCGTTCCTTTGGAAAGTGCAATACGATATGAGCCATTACAACAAGGGATTTGCCATCGTGAAGATGTATCCCACTTCGTAGAACTCCATTTTTGCCAGCCCGGGTTCCCACCATTACCTTTTGTATGCACATAACGGGGCTTCTGTTTTGCTTTCTACCGGCAAACTGCCTCGAGTCATAACAAGCTTCTTTGTTCCATGTGTTTCTGAAGCCTGAATCAACCTTTCTTATACTGAAATCGTGCTCCCATTCACGAGGTAAATTCTCGATGTTTCACCCCACCGTCGTTGGTTTTCGACATTTGCTTTCCGTGTTATATTGGCGGAGCTATTCGTTGACGCAGGCTATACTTCTCGCAGTAGCACGCTCGCGCAGTGATCCACCGATGTGTGTAAAGGAACAGAAATCGAATTGAAGAATGTTGACACTATTCGGCAGAAATTTTTAAGTTCCACTACCTCCATACTAGAGTCGCCATGACACGATGTGTCAATTTCGTCACTGGCAATCCTAACAAGCTTCGTGAGGTCAAAGCCATGCTTGAGCCTGGGATCCAAGTCCGAAGCAATCCCATCGACATTGAGGAGGTCCAGGGTTCTATTGAGGAGGTGACAGAGTACAAGTGCCGCAAGGCTGCTGAGATGGTCAATGGGCCGGTACTTGTGGAGGACACGGCGCTGTGCTTCAATGCTCTTGCAGGGCTACCGGGACCCTATATGTAAGAGATGACCAAGAGCTAGGCCGACGCAGTTATTAGATGCCTGACTGCTTCTTGCAACGGTATTTTTGTTGATCCGAGTACAGTAAATGGTTCTTGGCGGGTATTGGCCACGAAGGTTTGAACAATCTCCTCGCGGCATACGCAGACAAGTCTGCGGAGGCTGTCTGCACGTTTGGCTACTGCGAAGGCCCAGGACATAAGCCGATCATCTTCCAAGGGAAATGTCCGGTAAGTTGTTTATTTGTGCCCCGATCGATGCACTACTTGCTGAAAAAGCTAACGGCTAATCTCGTTCTGGGCCGAAGGGAAATATTGTACCTGCAAGAGGGCCAACTCACTTTGGTACATGCTATCTGATTCCCGCATCGATTCATTCGTGAACCCGATTACTTCTACAGAATTTGGCATAGGCAGTTGCTAATGGCGTTAATGTTGTCTTCTAGGTTGGGACCCTATCTTTGAACACGACGGGAAGACGTACGTTCGCACAGAAAGATACTCCACACTAAGTTCCTGGACGCCCTACCCTTTGGAACATATTCAAGCGCGAACTTCTATCCTCGTGTGTTTCAATCATTGCAGGTGTGCTAACTTGTCTGCCCATCCAGATTCGCTGAAATGGACGGGGCGGGGAAGAACAAGATATCCCACCGTAGTCGCGCCCTTGAAAAGCTTCGAAAATGGTTTGACCGCGAGCACCAAGACTAACAATGACTTTTCTTATTGTGTGTAGTCCCGGCGGGTTTGGGGTATGGCCTGTTGTAGGCTTCATTGGAGAGCGAGGTATTAGTGGCAGGTTAGCAAGACCTGCATGCGGCGCAGTAAGATTGGAACTCACAATAAAACCTCAAACTCTGCGTATTTGCTCAAGTATGCTCCTCCTCGCCTGTATGGCTCGATAAAGGAATGTGCCCTTGTGGCGTTGATTTTCGAACTTCTTCTGGCGTACTTTTTAATCGACTCTGGATCGCGACTCGAAGGGTCGAATACGTAGAGGCAGGACGCTCCGGCCAGGCTTTTCTCAAAGCCCACAGCCGTGAGGGAGTGTCCTGATTGAGATTTTTTCTTAACGTTATTTTGGTCCTGAAATACTTGCTCATTTGGCCCACCTACCCTGATGCTGAATATAAATAGGTGGGAGATCTGTATGACGCACTTTTCTCTCCAGCTTTGTGTCCCACTCGGCCGCAAAGTATGCCTCTATTACCTGTGTCATTTCTTCCCACACTTCTCCCGTCTCGGAGGGACGAAATGCCTTCACGGCACATCTAGCACCATAATGAGTAAAATAGAATTGGTGCGTGGCAAGTGGTGACCATACGGTATTGCGAGACTCTTAAAGAGCGCATGTGCCTATCCACCAAGAAAGAATCGCCATCAGCAACGAAAAACTATTTTCCTAGAGCTCACTTTAACAGGGTGTCCTTGCCTCCGGTGTGCCAATGTATTTGCGAGTTCCTCTAATCCCTCCAGTTTCAGCTCGACCATTTGAGTTGTGGCCAAGATCCCAAGCTGCCTCGACGAAGTCCTGGATCTGAAATACTGAGGGAAGGCCATTATGGAAATTCTCGTGGCCCGCTGCTCTGGCACTGATTATATATGATATCAGACATTGAATGTTTCGATACCCACAGAATCCTCCTGGTCCCTCCCAGTCAAGTTAGCAATCATGTCAAAACTCAAGATGCGGTAAAAGTGTTGCGCTTGCCTTCTCGGCGCAATTTCGATACATGCTGCACGCAAGGGTGGCAAAAGTACGCATAGCTTATTGATCGACTCTTTCCCACAAGCCGCGCCAGGGCCGGGATAACACCTGCAAAAACGCCTTTGAGTTCTCGTGCTTCATCCCAGTTGGTTGCCATGATGCGCCGCTTGCCAGCAGGCTTCTTACCATCGGTACAAACCTGGCCATCTCTAGCCAGTTTTCTCGCGAGCCAGTTTGGCATTTCATCTTCATACGCGAATTTCCCAAGATGATTCGTCTGTGACATGGGAAGTAAGCCTTTCTGGGCCAAGTTGCATGTCGGGGCTATGAACCCACTCCGAGTGTTGGTGCTGATTGCTTCTTTGAGTCGCCACCGTGCCTCGATTCTTCCAGCCTCTCGGCCTCTAGATTGACAGCTTTTGGCGCTCTCAAGGCGACAGGCTTTGCACTGTTGTTGCGGCGAGAGTGTTCACTTCCTCTTCCCCGGCCTCGAAATATGCCCGCCCATCCAGGCATGCTCATCGACCCTTCGGCTCCCCAGACAACTGAAAATGAAAAGGAATCCAGTCTCGCTGTGCCAGAGAAAGCCGGTTGGAGAACGCTGGAGTATTCCTAGTTGGGTGGCTTGCGCCACAAACATTCGTTTCGGGATGTGCGCCACACTGCTGACAAACACCACCAGAGTAAGGACACGAGCTGGATCATTACAGGCGCCTGAGATCGCAATGTGATTGTGATTTTGCGACTGAAACGGTCTCCCGGTTACATGAATTAATGCGTGGAACATGATCACAAAGCAAATTCAAACATCCAGGGCCCCGGCTTCCTTCCACAATCTCTAAAGCATCACATTTTATTGACTTCGACTCAACATTTGCACAAGACAGGAGCATCATTATGATACTTAGACCAGGCAATCTGATATAAAATTGTCTGCCTGCCATGCCATACCTGTATTCTACTTATACAGTGTGTATGAAACATCAAGTCATAGTCAGTTGCGGAAGCGCAGATGACAGTAAAGTAGCTACAGCCCGGCGGCAACTATTTCTCTCCCCTAGGTCGCTGGGGTAGAGATTTCTGGGAGGTAGACTCCTTCGGCAACTCTCTGGCGAAGGGAATAAATTCCCTTGCCCCGGGGAGGTACTTCCGAAGAGGTTCTGGTACTTTCAAACCCTGTTATGTCTTCAAATTAGAAAAAGTTGCCACTCGGAAAAAAAAATTACAAAAAGCCTTTCGTAACGAAAGCCGAAAACTCAGCACAACTCACCTCCTCAGTCTGGTAATTCTCCAAAATGCAGCACATAGTCCTGGTAGTTGCACAGAGTGTAGAGTTGAGACAATGAACATATTTCTTCTTGACGTCGGTCTGCATCTTGGAACCAAATCGTATCTCGAGGGCGCGAGACTGGTAGTCAGTACAGTTGGAGCAAGAAACAAGCTCTTTATATTCGCCTTGGAAAGGAAACCAGGCCTCCAAATCTAACTTCTTAGACGCTGCATTATTCAATGCGCCAGACACAATGGACACGATTTGGTACGGCAACTCGAGTGACTTGTAGAACTCCTCGGAAATACGTATCATGTCATTGAAGGCATCCCAAGATTTTTCTGGATCTGTCAAGAGAAATTGTTCGATCTTTGCTTTGTCAGCGGGAACAAAAACCTTGCATTAACACATAGTGCTGCGGGCGGGGTATGGCTTCTACCTTTTCAAATTGATGGACACGGTAAATACCCCAAGCATCTCTGCCATGGGAACCGGCCTCACGTCTGTAGCAAGTGCTGTATCCAGCATATCTGGGAGCATCCATTGTCAACATTCGCATCAATAAATAGAAGTACAGCACAAGCGGCACACACACTTACTTGATGGGAAGATCCTTGGGGATCAGCCATTCATCAGCGTGGAATGCCGAAATGGGCTGCTCCGACGTAGCAATCAGGTACTTGTCATTCTTTGCATCGCCATCTGTCACTTTGTACAACTCCTCGTCAAATTGCTCAAGCTGAGCAGTCTTGCCCATGTAATCCTTGAGCATGAACTGCGGCGTCTGCAAAGCAGTGTATCCTCTGTTACTAAGAAATTCGAGGCCATAGTTGATTAGAGCCTGGTTCAAAAATACTCCCCACTGCCGTAGAAAGTAACCACGGTGGCCAACCACCTTCACACCACGGTCGGGATCGTAGCCGTCAAGTCTAAGAAGGACTTCATGATGAGAGAGAATATTGTCGCGCTGCTTCAGGCTAACGCCGTCTGGCGCCCACGTACGTTCTACCACGTTGTTGTCCTGTGGATTTCTGGGTTAGAAACCTATTATGTTGGAGCGAGAATCCGGCATACCCTCAGGGATGGTGACAAACCTCGTTATTGCTCACTGGCACGGAGTCATGTACGTAATTGCCTACCGTCTTGATCTTCGCCCTAAGCAATGCATCTTTCTCGGCAGCGGACTCTACAAGTGCTTTCTTCTCCCTCTCAAGCTCGGCCTTCTGCTTGAGCAACTCATCCGCGTTCTCCTTGGCCTAGATTGCAAATTGTTAATGATAGGTCGGTGAATCCCATAAAAAAAAAGAACAAAGGAAAGAAAAAGAGAGGGCTTCCGTCGACAGTTGAATTTTTGATCTTCCCTGACCTTCTTCTTAGCTCCAATTTGCTTCTGAATATCATTGATCTTGCTGTTTACTTGTGTAGCGCTGTATTGAGCTAGTCGCAAACGACATTGTTGTCAGCTGAGGGTCGATTTGGAGTTGAAGTTGCGACGCGATGGACGGGCTTACTTTTGCGGTGACCGTCGAACAGGGCGATGATCTCATCCACGATCTCAACATCGGCGAATCTACGACGTTGAGACTCGCGAATATTCTCTGGATTACCACCGCGCTCCGTGACGAAGTCTATAACGTCGAGCATCTTGTTTGTTCGGCTTGAGGACTTCTGCAAATTTGGTATCGGTGCGGGAACCAAAGATCCAGGTCGGTCTGTTCACTTGTCGTCGGTATTTGTAGGGCCACACAATTGCTGTTAATCTTTTCCGCGCTGAAGATATGACTGATGAAAGACTCGGGGCAATTTTCGCTCAAGTGTTTCGAGTCGCGGAACTGCCCAATACTTCCCCCAAGGGTCATCTCTTTTGGTGGGGAGAAGAGGGGCAGACGGTGAGTCGGTCGGTGGGGTCGTGAGGGTAACAGGGGAACAAAAAAGTACGTCGCACGTAGCAGAAAGAAATGCCTTCTGCATGGTTTATTAAAGCGAGAGGTGTGGCTATGGTGGGGTGAGACTCCCGTCAAAAGCCACGGTCCAGGAGCAGCAGCAGTTAGTCATTGTTCTCGCTGATCTTGCGTAGCCTTCAATAACAAGGATCTCGTTCCTTTTTCTGAAAGGAAAGTGATGGCAATTGTTTTCAAGATGTTGGGCTCCCTCTCTACTTGCAACGACAGCCAACAATATTTCTCGGCTTTCTTGGTTCTGAGGCTGGGGAGTGTACGAATATTTCCTGGACTCAGAACCAATATGTTAGAAAGCACACTCAATTGCAAGACGTGCGCCAGGGTTCAAAGTACTGATATGGGAACATTTTCAAGTGCAATAGACATATATATGTGTATATATCTATTTATATTTAATATATATATTTAAAGAGTTTCAACCCTAAGCTGCCCGCAGCTATATTTCTGCTGCAATGTTGTTACATTAGAGAACAGTTGCCCTTCTCTGGGGCCTCGCCAGGGTTCTGTGACTTCTCGATCTGGGCGATCAGCAGGTCGAACGCGCGACCAACGTTCTCATTATATCGCGCGCTTGCCTCGGTCCAGCCGCATTGGAACTTCTCTGAAAGCTTCTTCCCTTCCTCTGGGCTCACTTGGCGTTGTTCAGGTCGTAGGTCGCTCTTGTTACCGACTATGACGATAGGGACAGATTCGCTCCCCTGTTGGCCGCAGTCCAGGCGGTACTTTGTCAGTGAGGGGATTCTCTGCTGATGAGGGAAGACTGGCCCCGACAGACAGACGCTTACCAGGTGGTTAAGGATCTTTTCCCTGATGACCTGGATCATTTCAAATGAAGGCAGAGATGAGACTGAATACACAAGCATGTAACCGTGTATGCCAATGAAATGTTTGGAATTCAGGATGCTGTATTCATCCTGGCCCGCAGTGTCAACAATTTCTGTGGCATAGTCCTGGCCTTTATACCGGATTGTCTTGCTAAAAGTATTCTCGATCGTTGGATAGTAGCTATCTACAAAGTGCCCGTCAACAAATTGAACCGCCAGGGACGACTTTCCTGATTCTAGTCAGTATTTGCCAGCTTCTGATCGCATGGAATATCTCCGTCTGCCCGTAACCCACTTACCTACGGATCGGCTGCCGACGATGGCCATCTTCCTTTGCTTCGGCGCAGGCATTCTGGCACGCGCGGCAAATACCGGGAGACAAACAAACAAACTGTTGATTTCTATAATGCGGCAGCGCGGTGGTAAAGGCTCGTAGGACGTGAACTGGTTCGTTGTTCCGACAACGCTCGACTAGAAGTACGCGCGGTTCGACGAACACGGCGCGAACCTAACTAGTCGATGATGCCGACCCCGTCAATGTCATACCTACCTACGTGTTTGTGCAGGGGCCTGCTCAGTGTGGTTGAGTGGGGCATGTCCGGGACCGAGCCCCGGCCAGATGCCTTCCCAGCCTTGTTGTGCCACCACATTTGTGAGGCATATCACAAATCTTGCCAGAATGTCGCTGGTGGCCAGTACCGGATTTTTTTCCCCCAATGGCGCCAGTTTGACCCATATGACGGCTATCATGAAGAATCATGTAGTATCGGCGATGCTGAAAACGGCCAGTGGCTCATCTACCGCACAGTACTCCCGCAATCGTTAGACGCCATTGAGTAGCAAAACTGACGTCTACTTCCCGCCGATGGGTGATTGCAGCTCGCTATCTGTCTCAATCAAGAAATTTAGCGCACAAGAGACTACGATCATTGATGTTTCACGAGTAGTGTAATGAGACATGCAGAGAGCTAACTTCGACTAAAATGGAACCAGCCCGTTACCAAGATCTATCTATCCATTCGCCATGTTATCCATCAAGCTATCAAAACAGCAAGCAAGGACCGAAACACCACATGAGTGCGCCATTATCTACCAAGCAAACGCAGTCGACCCTGGTGGTCTGTCTGACAGACCTCCCACGCTTTGCACAAGGGTGCACAGGGGTGGGGATAAAAATTGCGCCTCAAACTACTCGTCGAAGCTCCTGCACGAGAATATCCATGGCATGGGCCTTATTATCCACGGCCTTGTACATGCTTGCAAATTGCTGGATAGAAGTCCGGAGACCCTGTACTGCACCGGCACCAACACGGCTCTCGAGGTGCTCCCTCGTCTGTGCTTTGAGGCACATGTACCCAAGTAGCACGGACAAATACCCAACGGCAACGCTCAGTTTGGATTTGTCTACAGAATCCGCCTGATTCTGAGTTAGCACAGCAGCAAAGGGACGACGGAGCAAAATCAAACGAGCTGCTTACCTCGCCAACAGACTCCTTGTTGTCCTGCCACAACTTTACTAGACTATCCGTGGTTTTATCGGTCACTGCCCTCCTCGCGGGAGGGCAGTGCTCCATAATATTTATCATGACGCCTAGCACGAGCAAGAGTTCGTCATATGTCTCTCCTTCCAACTTGCCGACAAGAATCGCATTGCGTACGTTGACGAACAAGTGGCCAACACGACGTGCTAGTTTTGTAGAAAGTTGCGAGTCATCAAATGCCGCCGCCTCGTCCTCGGCATTGGTAGTGTTAATGGCCAGCTTAAGAATCGCAGAATCTAGCTCCGGCTTTCCACTCGGCCACTGCTGGAGCGCTCGTGAAAGCAGCTTGGCGATCCTCCTTGGATGGGCGCCGTCTGAATTCAGCCTTGGAGCTACTCCAGCGCTAGACTGGGTTTCAAGTGTGAATACAGTCAGAGCATAGTCCACGTCGCTGCAAGATCCTTCCTCGCTAGCCCATGTAGCAACGGAAATTATATCCGACTGTGCGTCTGAGAGAATCTGATCAAGGAACGCTGCGTCTGCACAACGGCTAAGTAAGGCCATCAGCTGAAGAGCGGCCGTTCGTGGGGAGAGATCGACCGGCTCGTAATTATGCCATATTGGTAGGCTTTGTAAAATGGACTTTACGCCCTCGACCGACAACCTCGACATTCTAGACATGTTCATCTTCCTGTGGGAGGCAATAGCTGTGATGTCTTCGTCTACACGGAGAAGAAGTGCCAACAACCTGCCAACACCATCACCTGCTAGTTGCCGTAGTAGATTCGGGGCCGGACCAGTGGTTAAAAAGGAAAGCAGATAAGATACTAGAGCAAAACCACAGATCATGTCTTGTTCTTTCCCAATATCTCGAGCAACAATATCTCGAGAAGCGTGGTCTCGAAATTGTGTCATAAAATCTTTCCGTTGGAGCTTTTGTACCAGTTCGCAAAGCGCATTTCGTCTCATACTAGCACCACCCGTTCCCGGAAGTCCAATTCTTGCTATTAAATCGTCCATCTCATCCGCAAATCTATTGTTCGCGCCTGCGCGCCTTAATTCGTGGACACTCTTGATTGCGGGTTGGGTATTGTTCTCATCATCGGACTCGTCGTGAGCAAAGTCGTCAGCCCGAGGGCTAGAAATCACACTTGGTTCCGCTAGTAATGGATCCAATTCATGCTCCTGAGCTCTATTAGGACTGTCGAAAAGCTCCGGGGTTTGCGATTCACTGACGATCCTTCGGGCCTGGCTATACGTGAACCGAACTTTCCTGTTTGCTGGTGTTGTCGTTCCCCGACGATCTGGAGTACGAATGCTCCTATCTGCTTCTTGGGAATGGAAACCCCGACGCATATCTGATGTCTGTTCAACTCCTGATACTGGCTCTGGTTCTCCATCATCGTCATCCACATAGAGTGACTGTTTTTGGGCGGCGAGAGCATCTATCAGCCGTGGCCGTCGTGAAGTACTTGTATGTGTACGTTTTACTGGCGTCGCGCGAGCGGAAGTCGAATCTCTACTCGAGTTATGGCTGCTCCAAGCTTGTTTTGCATCCTGCTGCGTAAAGTTGGAGATTGGGTTCGGGCTTGGACAGACTGTGATATCTGCTGCATCTCTGCCACCAGATTTCTCGTCGTAAACTTTATTCTTTTGGTTCTTTTGGGCTGGGAAAGCGGCGGCATGGTCCCTCTTTCTTGCCAGTCCATTTTTCGGGGGTCGTGGTGTCTTGATTGGCAAGGTGGTCGAAACTTCCTTTGAGGGCGGCATTATTGGCATCTTGAGCGAAGCCTCTTGGTGTTTCGGAATTTGTTGATACTTGCTCTCGGGTGACGACGGGTAATCGTAAATATGCGACAACTTCGATCGCGACGAATCAGGATCAGGATCGCGAGTCGTTCTCGTGGTCGATGGTTTTTTGCGATCCGAGTTTGGGTATGTGGCGATCTTATGCTGTCCAATGCCTCTTGGGCCACTAGGCGCGTGCCGCGAAGCCATAATCTCGGCGCGATCGATGGAAAGTTGTTCAAACGCAGTTTTGTGGAGGTGGAGGCCGAACGGCCAGCTAGGAAGTCCCTAATTTCCTGCCATGAAAAGAAGCCGGTTCAGATGCAGCAGCGCTGTTTCCGCGAGCAGTGTATTTTGTCTGTAGTACAATAATTGACAACCTGTCGAAGCAGAGCGTAGTTATCAATGTATGTATTTGTTGTGGTGGTGTAGAGCGATTTCAGTATGATGAGCTGAGGTCATTGTGGGTCGTGACTGGGAGCCAATCAAAGATAGCCAGCCAAGCTACGCTTGCACGACTTCCAGCGACGTTCAGCCTCAATCAAGCCCGCAATCCGCAGTTATAACTCACCTACATACATACTCACACGAGCGGCTCCTGTTTGTCAGAACAGCAGAACTATATCACAACATAAGGGGAAAATCCCTCACAAGCCAGTCAAAATTCCGATTGGCCGTCTTGTAATAGCTGATGAAACTGGGGACCGTCCTGAGAATAACCCTCCGCGCGCTATGGTAGGTAGGTATGCAACGTCCTTCGGGAAGTATGTGTATGTATGTATGTATGTACGTACTATCCATCTATGACACACTCGATCTATGTATGTACAACAGCAATGGCTAACATAATAAAAGGCCAAGCAATCGTTGAAATCATTATGACCGAAGAAGAAGACCGATCCGGATCTGGGCCTACTGGAGGGTGAATCCAGTCCTTGGGAACCTGGGTTAACGCATTCGCCCAATAGTCTCCAAGAAGAGAATAACCTCTATTTGTCGGATGAATACAATCTCTGAGCTCTCCAGTAGGAAACAGTGTAAGGTTTACCGCAAGTACATGCTTTCCATCATCAAGTCGCTGTTGGACCACACTGGGAATTAAAGTCTGAAATATTTTGGTTGGTGTAGACTGAGCCGGATGGCAGGTGTTTATGATCATGGCAACGAGTAGAACTGCGTCCGGACACATTACTAGAATGTTGTCTATCAGAATACCCAATCGCCTTGATGCCTGGAATGGATCATTCCCCTCCGTCGACACAGTCCTGTTCGGATTCACATCGTTTGTTCCAGCATGAAGCAAGATGACGTTTGGTCGCTGTTTCAACGATGGAGCGATATTGTCGGATATGTACTGAATAGTTTTCCCCGGCCAAGCAGCCTGTAATCCAGCATTAGTTGGAAAACGGTGCTGATATAGAGGCAGGCCAGCAACTCACAAAGTAACCATCGCTCATATTCCCAGTCTTGGTAGTCTCGATGCCTGCGAATACGACTTTGTCCCCTTTCACGAGTGTCACCACTCAAGTCAATCCACACATTGTTTGAGTTTTACTTACTACTGAGGTCATCGCGAAAGCGAAGCCTAAAGCCATTGCCGTCGCCTCCATCCGTATTGCTCAGCCAGCCTTCTGTAATAGAATCGCCGGCGCAAAGGACGCGAAGTTCTGTACCTGGCTTTACAACAGCACTTGTGTTTTCCCCGACAAGTAGCGGATTTTGGTGTATCTTCTGCCGAGTAGTGGAAGCGACAAGAGGTGATCGGTATGACAATCCAGCCGTCGAATGTAGCACAGCGAATGCTGCCGTGAACAGCAACAAACATGGTATCATGGCACGATGGAATCAGGGGTTATGTGTGCGTGACGGAAACGGGACATTACATCACTCTCTCCTATATATACTATCTCTCCCATGCTTGCCGAGGACGAGCGGTTAGCGCATTGCACGTACCCTCGGAGGACCTAAGATTGTATGACCTTTTTATTTTAAGGGACTCCTTTTTATTTTTAAGGGACTTCTTTTTTTTTTTCCTGCGTAAAAGCTTGTTCTGACCTTTTTATTTTAAGGGACTCCTTTTTATTTTTTTTAAGGGACTTCTTTTTCTTTTTTCCTGCGTAAAAGCTTGTTCTGACCTTTTTATTTTTAGAGGCTTTCTTTTTTTTCCTACGTAAAAGCTTGTTGTAACCTTTTTATTTTTAAGGGACTTAAATAAAACTATACAAAAAAAATTCCTTACACTCAAAAAGTAACTAAGCAAAAAAAAAATTATGCTTAAAAATTAGAATAAAAAATTTTAGGCTTCAAACTTCCCCTCTGGATTTTTTTTTTTAACTTCTAGGCGGCTTACTTTGTTTTTATATAATTTTAGGCAGCCTCTTATTTAGGCAGATAAAAAATTTAAAAAAAAAAGTCAATTGATCTAGATGATACGTCTTTACAAAAAAAAATTGTCTGCTTTAGATTTGCCTTCTATAGAATATAGTTTAAATGTAGAGCAGGGAGCAAATTTTATTAAAAGGTGCTTATAATCTAAAGTTTCTCCGTCGCACCAGATGCGGAAAACCCCCAACTCGATGGCGTCCGCCCCCCCTCCCATTTGAAGACATACCTCACTGACGGGAGGCGGTCATCGCCACCCATCAATCTTACATCGAACTCCAAAGATATTTATTATTCCTGGTACGAACCTCCTGGCTGCGTGGACAGTATAATAAACTAACGGAACTTCTTCTCATTAGGCGCACACATATCTAGCTCTACAATCATTATGCCTCACAGAATCCCTAGATTGCCTGGGGCCAAACGCTCCGAGGTCCTTTGCATGGGCGCTGCTGGTGTAGGCGTACTTACTCCTCTCTATCTCGTCATGCCAGGCGCTGAGGAAAGACTGGCTCGCCAGACTGCCAAATGGGCACCAAGATGGGAACGCAACATTACGTATTTTACTCCCCGTGTCGAACGTGCCGTCCAGCGTATTGAGCCTCCTGTCTCGAGAGCTATTCAGCGGGTTGACAACCGTCTGCCTCTTGAGAAGATAGCCAAGAAGGTGGACTCGAGCATTCGAAGTGGTATTTCCAGGTTCCGTGGGCCAAAGGAATAATGGATTGTGTTGTTGTGGTGTAATCAATGATTGATCTGATTGATCTGAGGGAGGCGGCGGTTTCTCGTCGTCCCGAAAGAATTTCTACCACACATATAATATTGAGCTCGTAGGAAAATGAGCAGTGCTTCAAGTGCAGCGTGAAAAAGTCGCTTCCTGGGCCGTGCCGTGTTCGAGCAATCAAACGGCTTCTTGAACGGTGAAGGTTTAAAGTAGCGACAGGTAGTAAGTACATGCTTGTTGACCCGTGCGACCGACCGAACCTAACGGGCCGAGGCATCAGGGCGTGCTAATCCGCGCTCTGGAGTTTAGCAGACTTTGAAAATGTCTTCTAAGTCTTCGTTCCTTGATTTAGTTAGACACACACCTATCTAATAGGAAAAGCAGATTTTAGCAGATGAGCCTTAAAGCTTTACTATTGAATAGGTAGCTGAACTAACAGGTTTATTGTTCGTCCCCGTCGCGTATTTCGGCATCTCCACAAGTTGCTATTACCCCGAGTAATGTCAGTTCAATATAGCACATCCAGTCATCCTTGATCAAATGGTCAGCACACCGTAAGAGAGGATTTTCTAGTGCTCTGACGAAGTCGAGCCAACAAGAAATGGAATCCAAGACTGGGTTTGTGTGTTGGGAACCCCACAGCAAGCTACGTTGACCACAAAGGAGGCTGCTCAGAGGATTGCTACTATCACTTACAGTTCTGGAACCACAGGGCTCCTCAAGGGGTCTGTATGTCTATCACATTCAGCCCTCATTACGAATCTCGAGCAGAGCTGTTTCGTGAGATATGTCGGTATGCTGTATTGAAATTCAGGAACCCCCACCGCAAAAACGTACTATCCTCATGGCCCTCAAGTTGGGAATTTCTGTCTACATCATGACAGAGTTCAATTTTGAACGGTTCCTGGACACCATCAGCCTTTAAAAGATCACTAGTCTACAGGTGGCTCCGCCTGTGTTAGTAATGTTGTCAAGGCGTCCTGAAACCTCCAAATACAATCTGTCGAGTGTCGAGGGAATTCGATGTGGCCTCCACATCCGATAAGGTTGGGGCATGACTGAGCTTACCCGCGCAAGTATCACACTACAGTAATCTATGTCTATAACGATCCTGTATCTTAGCGATATTTAGGTTTTTACGATAATTCACGGTCATCTAAGGTTTTTCCCTAGTAAATCGTTAGTAGTCGCATTACTAACGATATTGTTAACTTTTTGCTTAGTTACTATGTATTTTATCGTTATTTAGCCCCACTTTAAGGGCTGAATTTCCTTTTAGTGGGGTAAATTTCGCTAATAATCCCTTAATATGTACTTTCTACTAGTAATCTCTAAGGGGAGGTACAACCCCACAATAGTCGCATCTTAACGATAGTCGCTATATAACGATGAAAAAAGCCTCACGAAGGATATCGTTATAGACCTGGTTTACTGTACCTTCAAGTTTGAGTGATAGGCCAGGGGAACTGTTCATCAGCGCCTCATATCTCATATAGGGAATTGCTACACGGGCATGACACTTTGGCTACACGGGCATGACTCTTACACGGGCATGACTTTTACCACTTCTGATTGGTCGCATACTTTCTTGGCCCCACAGATACTTCCTCGGAAAGGCGGTGTAGCCAACTTCACTAACAAGCTCCTACATCACCATGAATTGCAGTCACTTATCGTTGTGGGCGCGATTGGTCTTCTGCTATCTTGCAAGCCTGCATTTCGGATTAAACTACCGTCCTTGTACTGTTAGCCAGTAACTGTCAAATACTGGCAAAAGACGTGATGTGGTCTACTTAATTTATTGCCTCACAACGATACAATCTGGATCTTCGTCATCACTCTTAGCCAGTTCCCATTGACTCCTTGTCCTGCGAATGTTTCGTTGCGTCCTCCGTCCACTGTACCGCACGCCTGTCGTATTCCCAGCATTTAGGACTTTAGAAGGTCTACCTGGCCCTTGCTGGGCTGAGATGCCAATTTGGCCACCAGTTTGTGTGATGGTTTCTCGAGTAGCTTTATGCACTCTCCTAGCAAGAGTTGGCTTATTGAGACTTCCTGGCGGTCGACCTCGTCGCCCACTTGGTTGATTATCAGATCGGCTACTTGATGTAATAGCTAGGCTTTCTGGGATAACCTGCGCTGTATTCTTTGGCCTTCCACGTAGTGCAGTGGCAACTTTCGGGTCAAGAATTCGTCGGTATGGATCTTGAGATGCCGATTCCCGTAGTCGCCAGCGTGGGTGGACCTCCCATTTAGTGAAACGTGTGTCAGAATCTAGCTTTGCGTAGACTTTATGATAGCATGGGATTCCCAGCTCAATAGAGACCGTACAGTCGTCGTCGCAAAGTCCAATAGAGTCGGGGAAGGGATTCTTCCCCGTCGGCAGAAATTTGCGAGCAATACAGTATTGCTTGTTGATTAACCCAAGTCCTTTCGATGACATGGTTGTTCGTAGTTCACCAAGATAGTTTCCCATCGAACCTAGGTATTGTGGAGCAGTCAGGACATCATCCTGTCCACAGGCATCCTTAAAGGCACGTTCTTGGTCATGTATCATATCCTGCATTGCCTCGACGAGTCGGTAGAGGTGGCTCATGCCATTTAATAGATAGCTTTTGATATTATTGTTGCTTGCTTCTGTGCCGGACGTAACTCGGATTCCGAAGTTACGATAACGACGGATAAAGCAACGTGCCCATTGAGCACTAACAGGCATATAAGTCGAGTAGAGGTATTGTAAGATCGCTCGTTGGTCGTCGAACTCTTTACAAAGATCTCTCCATGCCTGCTCAAACGCTTCCTCAGTCTCGGCATAGAGAACCTTTTTCCACATTAAAACAACGCCTTGGTAAGTATGAGGAATCTTATCACTACTCGACCGATCTTCGATCAGATGCTTATCTGTAGTGCTCAACCCGCCATCCGCCTGTGAGGGAATGTCTTCACTGTCACTAGCGCTAGGGCTAGTAGTACTGTCCTCACGTTGGCCCGTCCACCTAGTCTTCGATTTAAGCAAAACGTTTGAAAGGATATGATGAATACAAAGCTGTTGCTGTGCATTTGGAAACTGATCATTAACGGCAGCTTTCATAGCCTTGTCGAAGTCTGTGATGATGACATCTGGTTCCCTGAGTGAGTGTTTTGTAATGAGCTTGCGAACACTCTCTGCAAGGAATTGGAACCCCTCCCTCCTCTCGTTATCTATTAAGCCAAATGCAGCATTGAACACAGTTCCAAGACAGGTTTGGCCAGTAGCCTGGAATAAAGGAAGCTTGAAGCGATTAGTGTTATATGTGTTATCAAAGCTAATAACCTCGGGGAAGCGCTTCCACATCTGTAGACAGTACGGAAAGGTCCAGACAAGACCAAGCAGTCTATCTGGATCATCATCGGCCCATTTCGCGATGTATGGGATCTTCTTCTCATCAAAGAGTTTGATCAATGCCGCAGTAGGTGTATAGCCATTTAGCTTCTCTCGGTTAATGAACGAACGGGCATTATAGATATCCTTCCGCAGGAGTGTTGTATCGGGGAATTGCTCCTCAACCATAGCAGCTACATCACTGGCTCGAATACCCGCGCGACGGCTTGCTGACTCGATGGTTGCTTTAACTGGTGTAGTAAGGCGGCGGTGGGAAACATGCGCAGATGGCGTAATACTCCGTTCATGGTTATGCTGGTGATGTTTCGGGTCTCTATGTTGTCGAAGAAGCCACTTGCCTTCCTCTAGGGCTTCAGCAATTATCATCCATTTGCAATCACACTTCCGAGACCTTCGGGTTCGAAGACCAGAACCCCCCGAGGCCCGAGATTGTCCAAACCGGTCGCATTGAATGGAGTACCTAATCAACCGTCCCTTATAGGAATATTTATTCCGCCGAATAATACCAAATCCGTTCTCCTTTGCAAATGCGTTGGTTGTTTTAAAAAGAACTTCGGCCGAGGGCGCTGGGTCGCCAGGGATTATTGGGTTCGGAATTGGCTCCGGGGCGGGAGATAGAGACTGTCGCATAGGCGAGGAACTAATATTTTCGGGCGTCGGTGATATTCGAGGAGGTTGTGTGGGTGACCTACGAGGTGGAGAGTACGGTGGAGGAGAGTCATATGCTTCGAAACTTAATGGTGACCATCCCCATCTCTCTCGCCAAGCTTGTACACGTTCGTATGATCGAGCAAGGTCTACAGTTAGCCTTCGACCTTCGCCGGTAACCTCTCGTACTATGCGCATTGCGGACTCGAACTCGGCTCTTGTCCTTGTTGGGAGATGCTGGGCGGATGGGGGTGATTCGGGAGGTTCAGAGGCGAATGGATCAAATTCTGGGCCTGGTATAAGCGCTCTGACTCGCTGGCTCCATCTTTTTCCACGGAAGAAGTCATTTTGAAGATATATCTCATAGTCAGATCGAAGGCCCCATGCAGGCTCATGGCGGCCCTGTGAACCATGGGGGTGTGGGAGACTTGAAAGTGTTTGCGGGAAAGAGGCGAACAGGTTATCGAGTGCATTTTCGTCCCCGAGGCCGTAGAACTGACCGATACTCGTAGCAGAGCTACTCGCGGATTGTGGTCGGTCTTCAACTGTGGAAGGACTAGATCTGCGTCGCCGACTGGATTTGTGTCGCTTTCCTCTTTGTGATTGATCACTGGGACTAGGGCTCCGCGACCTGCGAGGAGGTGTGCGAGGCAAAGACATTGACGTCTTGAGAAGAGAACAAGATTGTAGTGAAAGAATTGGTCGCTATCTCTACAGCATAGGGTGCCGTATTATGGTTTATTAAAAGCTACGAAAATGAAGAAAGCAAGCTCGAGGGGGTCGCCCCGACTGCGCGACCACTGGGTTGCTGCGTAGTAGCTTAGCCGAAATGAAGTAATTTACACAGAAGCAAGGTTAAAATGGCCCAGGTACTTGCGGCTGAGGTGGCAGAATCCAGCGTCGTTAACAGAGACAATGCGACCAATCAGAAGTGGTAAAAGTCATGCCCGTGTAAGAGTCATGCCCGTGTAGCCAAAGTGTCATGCCCGTGTAGCAATTCCCCTCATATATGCTGGCTGATATACAGAAATGGATAGCTTCCAAATTTTTCGAGCGGCAAGACACAAAGAAAAATGATGAGAGAGTGGGCAAAAAAGGACGCTACCAAAACCCCCATGGGGATTGAAGCTAACCTGGCTCCGAAACTATAAACTGAAATTGAGCAGGTAGATGACTTCAAGTCTTGACTAATATCTCAGCGGTATCGCCATGTTTTCACCATCCGAGCCACGCGCGTATCCTTCTTCTCCGACACTACTCGGAACCCTTCCAACCGCAACGCCATTATCCTCCGCCGCAGTAGATTTTAACAGTATCGCTCTCACGTTTGGTTGCCTAGGTTTAATTACTTATTACTACGTCACGGAAGTCCGCCGTTCGAAGGCGCTGTGCCAACCAAACTGCTCCACACTCTCTGCAGAGGGATCCGTGCCGGATCGGACTACCTGGGGCAGATGCTCATGTAACAACCCGTAGCTTCCTAGGGAATTTCTGTGTATGCGTATATAAGTATACTTGAATCCGTGCTCACCGGGAGTATAAGTATCGGCCCCAAGGAGGATGTCTCTGGCGCCTTCACGCTTGTATGGTATATTTTTAAAAGTGTATCTTCTTTTTTTGTGTGTGTGTGTTGTGTGTGTGTTTTTTTGGGGGGGATACTCAGAGCCATGTGCATATTCGCAGCAGGCCTCCTGGGTATATCTTTGGCCTTCTTACCTTTCTTTGCCTTGGCAGCTCCTTCTCAGTCCTGCTCGCCAAAGAAGCCCATCACCAGAGAACGGCAGAAACAGATCAAGGACGATTACTTAGCTCTCTGGTGCGGCGACTATTCTCGTGCCGATAAAGTTCTGTCCCCGGGTGTGACGCTGAATATCGATCGGCATCCAACTGCCGATGGAAGTGCCCCTGTTGTCGTCAACAACTCCAGTGATTTCATGAACTTCCTCAGATGGTCACGCACTGGGTGGGAGAAATTCAACTTCAAAGTAGTTCACTGGGCTGCGGACGGCCACCACATCGCCATTCGTTGGAAACTGGAAGCGGTGATGGGAACGGATTATTGTGCTCCGACGTGAGTAGTCTCACAGGATCATATGTTTCCTTCCAACAGAAAGTCCCCGCCAACGCATAACTCACTCTGGGCAGCAGATCTCTCAAGCCAGGTGACGTGGTTTCATACAACGGCACGGACTTCCTCGTTCTAAACGAGTGTACCGGGTTGGTCGACGAGGTCAACATTGCCCAGGACATGATGAATCTGTTTCACGCCCTCGGTATGACTTCTGTCCCGATATGAATGATTCCTAGCCGCACGGGTCGGCTGCTGAAGTCTATCACAGAGTTGTTTCTGCCACCCCACCAACGAGACTAAGTTGCCGCGTTGGTGAAAATGTGTTCATGGCTCGGTTGGTTTGTTAGTCTGCTTAACTCTGTACCATGTGTGTATTTGCCACAGATTCGTATCATCCTCAAAGTTGTGGCCCTCGTGGTCTAGTCTACATTAAATCTCAGGTGGTATATATAATGATCCTCGATGGTCAATTTCGCCCTGTGTTGTAGCCCGGGGTTCTCGGTGCTCGAATTGGAATTTCCCTCGCAGTGTCCTCGCTGGTGATATATGGCTCAACGACAAGTGAGCGGGACATCCCATTCGCAGCTCTCTCGCTTCTCGTCTGTGCATTGGGAAGAAATTATGCCAACGTCAAAGCCAATTTTTTCATCTTCATCATTCAGGTACTTGGCGGTCGTGCCTACCCACCGCAGTGGGTGAAATTGGCTTTGGGTGTCGGCTATTCAGATGGACTCGCGTTTTTTCTCGCTTTTGGCAAGATTTTGGCTTCATGACCTAAGACAACTGAAGACTATCATGAGCTTTGATACCAGTGGTGGCACGCCTGGGGTGCTTCCTTGCTCGGGGCATGGTAAACTTACGTCTATCAAACAGACCATAGCTTGTGACAATGAGAATTGGCAAAGCAACCATAGTCGAAACCCATTTTCTTGTTGCTGACTTGTATCGTCCCTGGTATTCTTTTTCGTTGGCCTTCTTCGTTTCGACTCCTGGTTCTGTTTTCGCGGCCCTTCTCGTCACCACAGCGCGCAGCGCAGCGTCCATTGTCTCCGCATTCTTGTTGGAATGGTACTTGGTCGGTTGCTGCTGTGGTGCCTGCTTTTTAGGCGTGGGTTTCACTGCTCTCCTGTGTTTGAGGCTTGTGAAACTCCTTGGGGGGTGTATGTGCGTGTGCTGTTTCGATGTGATTCGAATATTAAATGCGACGGTGGGCAACTCTGTGGGTTGGTAAGCTCGTGTGTATCGGCCACGAGCAGGGTGCACTGCGGTAGGATTCCACCAAAAGCATGTCGGACTAGCCGCCACGCGTCTCATTGTGAGTCATATACCCAGTAATGATTTGGTGATGAATCCGTAATTCTCGTTCAATCGGGATCTGCAAAGGGAGTTCAATGAAAGGGGACTAACAAAAAAAAGGACCGTTGGAAGTGGAGGATAAAGGTATAGGGTGGCCCGCAGTGACAACTTGAGAGTGTGGCGGGGTAATATCAGTCTCTGTCTTGAGGAACAGAAGAATTCTCAAGATGCAGATGAAAACTTCCTGTCGGTGGAGGTGTCCAATGACCCGCCTCGCAATAGGCGACGAGACGGGTGACAGTCACCAAAAGACTCATACTGGAGGCTCAATATAGGTAGATATGCACCGAATCATTGTCTGAATGGACTTGGCACATAAGTTACCAGTAGAGCCAGGTAACAAATGCATCATACATGTTTTACCAACACGCACGGCACGCCACGGGACATAAAAGAGCGAACACAATCATCGATTGAAAACTATTCAATGACTGGTAGCTTTCGTCCAATCGATAATTTGACACCCTGCAGAGAAATGAGACCGTATCCACGAGCCAGTAGCTCAGCTCCATGGAGTAAAACAGGCAAGATTTACACAAAAGTCACACAAACGCCGGAACCCAAATGCCACTCCAACCCAGTCTTCACTAGAGGTAGAACCCAAGCTCGCCTTCCACTCGAATCAATCGTCATCCGTGTACCTTGGCCCGCTGGCCGCTGGAGTTTCAGGAGCACCGCCGTATGCAGCCGGAGTCGGAGCGCCGTAGTAGCCACTTGCGCCAGGAGTCGGGGCAGCGGCGGCAGGAGTCGGGGCCGACTCTGTTCCCCAGCCGCCTTGCCATCCACCACCAGGAGTTGGCGCGCTAGCCGCTGGAGTTGGAGCGGAATATGCACCAGGAGTTGGAGCATTCATTGCGCCGGGCGTAGGGGCACCAATGGCAGGGGTTGGGGCATCATATGCGCCCGTAGTTGCTGCTCCAGGAGTATAACCCCACGAGTCATTTCCACTGGCACCTGGAGTAGGTGCTGAAGCTCCCCATGCCGGTGTCTTCGATCCCGATGCCCAACTATCGGCGCTACCTCCAATGTAAGCTGGTGTTCGTGAACCGGCCCCAAAAGCGTCGCCAATAGCAGGGGTACGTGCTCCAGACTGCCAAGCCGGTGTACGTGATCCCGAGCCGTATGCCGTACGACTGCCATCGTAAGGGTTCACAGTTCGTGAGCCATCAGCCCAAGCCGGAGTCCGTGAGCCAGAATAATCTTGAGCCTTCCAAGCTGGGGTCCGTCCGCCAGCAACTGGTGCTTCTCGCCACGCTGAGTTAGCAATAGCCATCCAAGCGGAGCTAGTACAACATGGAGACTTACTGCGTGAGCCCCAAGCTGGGACACGATCGGAACTGCCTGTACCAATTGGAGTGCGCGAACCTCCCTGCCAGCCAGGCATTTTGTCACCACTGCTGCGTGCAAAACCACTGCCAGGAGCACCACGCCCTCTACCATTGATATCAATAGTAGCACCTGTTGTTTTGTCTTTGAAGCTTAGCGAATCACGCGACACCGTGATCGTCTTACCCTTGGTGTGCAGCTCCACACGAGCGTGAGTATCGGTGGTATCTTTGACAATACCAAGAAGGCCTTTATAAGGTCCTTTCTTTATGATGGCAGTCTGATTGATGGCGCGATCCCGGCCGAACATCTTAACTGATTGAGAGGCCTTATTGTCGCCACCATTCTTGTGTATCTTTAATGCCGGATTCATGGTGCTTAGATCTGGACCAGATGCTGCCGCGTTGACGCGCCCACCCTTTGCAGCAACGGTATTAACCATACTAGATTTGGTTACAAAGACACCGGCGTTCTCGTTGCTGTCGTTTGTGTGCAAGAAGACGTAAGACCGGTGAATATGAATGATCTTGCCCTGCCTATGTTGCCCCGTAAATTCCTTAACAACATCATCGAGTCGGATCTCTGAGCCCTCCCGATCGGCGGCGACAGCCTGCTTTCGTTTAGGCAGTTTGTTGGAGATCTGAGATGGCATAACCTGTCTTGTATCGCCATATTGGTCCAACACAACAAGTGATTCTCTGTCGATTTTGACGATGCAGCCAACAGTCGTTGGATCTAATTGCACCAAATCATGAAGCGAAAACTGACCAAGCGATCCTTGACCACCAATATCGCTTGCTTCCCGTAGATCCTTACTGAAGACTGTCACTTCGGTATTCGTTTGATCTGTTAGGAGGGTGACACGATCCTCCGATATCTTAACGACAGTTCCTACCTCATCACGGAATTTACTACCACCAATGACCTTGACATGGTCACCAATCTTGAACCGCTTGCGTAAGCCCTTGGTCGGTACTTCGATTGTTTGCCCCTCCAGGTCACCTTCCGTAACAGACATGGTGACGATGTCTCCCTGAACATTTGTAGCCTTACCTACTACACCCTTTTGCTCACCGGAGTACACCTCGATAATGTCACCAGGGAGGTAGGTCACTAGCGTATTGCTGTCCTTCAAGCTAGCAGCAAGTGCTTTGAGATCCAGATTCTCCGTACCGTCCTCAGCACCGGAAGCAAATTTCGTCACCTCCTCCAAAGATGGGTTCACGTCTGTCACAACCAGCTGCTGAATCTTGACGTCTTTTACCTGGAAGCCATTCTCGAATTCGTCGCCCATATAAGACCAAGTATTCGTCGAGGGGTTGCCCTGAATGTAGCGTGGATGTCGCTTGCGAGCCTCAATCTCACTGAATAGCCTTTGCGGCGGCCGAGGACCAGCAGCACCTGGTCTTTTCCGCTTGCCATCTGACGATAGACTAGACAGAGCTTCATCCCGCATGCCATAGTCCAATCGAGGGATAAAACGCACCCTTGCCTCTAACCCATTCTCCGTAACATCGAGGACTTGAGCCAGGTCTCCACCATGCTTCGCTGGACGACGTAGTCGCACCCATGCGCCGGGTTCTAGTGTTGGTGTTTTCGTGACTCGCAAAAGTTCTGGCATATCCTTGATGTCCACAAGTGTCATTTTCGAGCGAGGATAGACGTTCAACATGCCATCCAAGGCGACAAGAATGTCAGTCTGGCGTTGTGCTTCGACATAGATGAAGCCTTTCATGACGGACTGGGTGCCGCCTCTTTCGAAAGCAGCGGTGATGGCCAGTTCATCCTTTGTCCCAATTCGCTCTTCAATGCGCTTCATGATGGATAAAATAACTTCGCGCTCCTTGCCTTCTTTACATCTTACGGCCCAGATGCTGGGGTCGTCAACGCTGGGAAGCAGGAGACGCTTGGGTACAACAGCAGAATCTCCGAAGCCCTTGGCTGGACGTCTATTTCCATATCGTTGGCGAAGTATTTCTGCTTGCTTTTCGGCATCCAAGCTAGCTTCCATTTCACGGCGTCGATCCAGCTCGCGATGCCTTCGGTCGTCGTCCAGTCGGGCGCTCTCAGCAATGTCGTCAGGGTGTTCATTATCGATAAAGTCTTCAATTTCCTCGCCGTCCTTCTCTCCGTCTTCTCCCTCATCTTCGTCATCAACCTCGGCCTCAATATCGAAGAAGGCGTTGCGTCGATCTCGGCGACGTTTTCTCCGATGACCCTGGCAGCGGAGTTAGAGAATACCACAGCATGCCAAAAGAAGAGAAATCATAAACACCGACCTGCTGGATGTCTTCGTCGTCGTCGTCGTCATCATCTTCATCCTCATCTTGGTCCCGGTCTTCACCGTCTTCATCATTCTGGTCCGTATCCTCCTCACCGCTGTTTCGACTATCGCGTGTTACCTTGTCGTCATCTTCGTCACCGCTATCGTTCGCGTGTAGCTTACGCGGGGATCCATTGTGATCGTTTGCGGGTTCTTCATCCGACAGGTCAGCGGGAGCAGGGTTGAAGTCTTCTTCATCTTCCGAATCGTCGAACCGTGGTGGTTCATTGGACGCCATGATGTTTCTCAATACAGATGGAATCTAGCAGCGATTGTATTTGTTAGAAATTCCAGGGACTTTCACAAGAGAGACTTCTCCGGGATTCAAGGAAACTTGGCGTGGCAGCAGCGCAGCGCGATTTCTCTGTAAATGGCAAGTATAGCTTGCCTCGAATGTATGCAGGCCGCCAACTGATTGTTGGTCGGTTAATCGTCGGGATTTCCCCCGGGAGTCGGTCTTTCGATCAGGCCGAGCCTTTTGGTGTAGCCTTGTATGCTCCAGTTGTAAGAAGGGTTTCTGGGTTGACATCGAGGTCTCAATGCTATTAACCGCAATTTCATGAACAAAGGATTGATAAACCGTCAAACGACCTATATCCAATTGATGAAACGCTACATAGTTCAACTTAATGGATAAAACTTCACAAGGACGTGACCGTTACAGACTGCATCCTACTGACCTCCTTTAATAAGAAGGTAAATTTGTTAGCATGGCGGCAGAGTTTGAATACTGGAATAATTGGATGGTGCTTTCTAAGTTTTCCGTCGTTTAGATCCCCTTCTTTTACCCGTGGAGGTTGAGATCCTGGTTTCGTTCGAACTAACTGCAAAGAGGACTTTTTTGCCGTTCCTAGTGACCTCCGATGCAGTTCTAATTTCATGTGGAGAGACTTTCAACCTGGGCTCCAAACATAGATTTGTATCTTTGTTGTCTTTCTATAAATCTTTTACACTAGGCGTGCCCCCCAGATGCCGCGGCCCGCGCTAACCCCTAGCCATTCACCGTATTCGGTATTTTGCAGGTGAGGAACCCAGCCAATGTTCCCGACCTCATATTCACATTCCCAACTGGCCACTGGGTTTCGTTGGTTATCTTGCTGCGAAGTTCCATTGAGTGGGTGTCCACCAATTGATGAACTTGAGTTCATAAGATCCCAGACAAGAACTTGGCAATCGTCGCCGCCCGATGCCAACGTTCCTCGTCGAAGCGGTGACCATTCGACACAGTTGACTGGGCCGCTATGTCCCTTGAGCTCAAGCAGCGCTTGGCCAGGTTGCCGAACATCCAGGATGCGAATCGTGCTCGAGTCTTGGGCAAAGGTTGCTAAAAGATGCGTGTCATGAGGTGATGTTGCAAGACGCAACAGAGGAGGCGGGCTGCCAATGGCCTGCTGTGAATGAGATGGACTGGAGCGACCATTTCCATCTAAGGTGGCGGTTAGCAACGCTGAAAAGTGAATCATGATATTGGAGCTTATAATCAGAAGAATTGACAAGTACCTCTATCCTCTTTGCCAGTTGGCTCATATATGATAGTCGAGTGTTCTAAACTGCGCAGGTCGAACATCCGGACACTGCCATCTTGACCACAGCTGACAAAAACATCCACGCTGTTGGCACAGAATCGCACATCGTAGACCTCCTTATCGTGAGCAATGAGTTGTGTCTTGGCAGTCAGTGACGGGATGTCCCAAATGGTGCATGTCGTATCGATACTTGAAGTGATAATAAGACTTGGAGAGACTGTGTTCCAATCGAGGGATGTGAGAGGTGCCGTATGGTCTGGTGTCTTCGAATTTGATAGCAGCGCTAAGGGCGTCAACTTTGTGATAGAGGATGTATCTCGAACCCCACGGGTGACTGTATTGCTCGATGTGGTCTGCGTCTCGGACGGCAGTGACCAAAGTCGAAGGTGGTCGCCAGAAGTCGCTAGAAGATCTGTCGACTGTTTCTGAGATGAGGGAGGTTCCCACAGAAGCCTAGTGACCGGGTACGAATGTGTTGCCTCAGCCACTTTGGTGAACTCCAAACTATAACTCGACGTATCTAGGGTGTAAACGTCCTGTGCGGCAGAGGCAACTTGACTATCCAGAATTTGGATCTTTTCATGTCAGGATTGTTGGATATAACACTGGCAAAGGAAGAGCTAGATGGGGTATTAGAGGTACATACGAAATTATGGCCATCCTCGAGATAGCTTCCCACAGCTAATTTTCCCGCGCCATTCGCAAGGGGAGGCCATTTGCACCAGTCAAATGCATAGACTGCCCAAGGGGCCATGTAGTTACTAGGCCCAGGTTGTGTACTCGAAATATCCTGACCAGTGGCTCCGGGAACTCCGTCTGACATGCTAGAGTCGGCGCGGGGTCTTATATCGGCGAGGCCAAGCGGGGTATTGGAGAAATTTCGCTGCGATCCAGGAGCACTATACTTGTCAGCATCCGCAGGTGACATGAGTTGAGATGCTGGGCCGCTAGGCGTCGTTGGAGTATAGGCATGATAATTGGCTGAACCGTCATAGCCAGAGGAGGGACTAGAGAGGGAATATGTGTGAGGATGCGCCATTGAGAGGGATGGCTTCGGTGGTGTCTGATATTCGTGGGAGGCGGGCGAGCGTTGGTGCGGGTATTGGTTCTGTTGCGACGGGGGTGGGCCGGTTGAAGGAGGCGGCATCGCGCTGTGTGTGGAAAGAAGCGGCGCAGTATTAGAGGAAACTGTTGTTGAGCGGGCTGACAGGCCACCCGGTTGTAGGACGTTTGGTACGCCTGAACCAGCAGACGGTTGGTGGTGGTGATGGTGTCGAGGTTGGGTCTGGTCGGAGGAGTGGGCGTTTGGAGGCGGGTAGTCAACCTTGATTTGTGGCGTGTAGTCTTCTTTCTGTGATCCCATCTGATCATGGGTACTCGACGTCATGCCTTGCATATGCAATTCGTCTTGCTGGCCTCCGTGAGGCCCGTAAGAACCTGAGCTGACCTGCCTCCGCGCTGAAGGCAGCTGCTGGGATTGACTCATTGACGAGTTTTGCTTCCTGAGCAAGATTTTGGAATGCTTTGGATAAACAACCCTTTTGTCTCCAGAACTGCCAGCCACCAAGCCACCAACCGATGTTATGTGAAAGTATCAACCGATCGAAGTTGAGGGGAATGGTGATTGTAAGGCGTCTATAATGTGATGGACGTGTATCGACAGACTCAATTAAATTGATGGGGAATGGGTTGCAAGTGCTGAATTTCGTATCAAGACAGGGAGAAGGTGGCGTTCATGGTAGTTGATCTGCGCGATGGATTTGGCAAGGTGTTCGCAGGAGCCTGGGACAGGTGACCTTGGTGAACACTACTACAGCTGCCTCGAGTCAACTGATCTCATTGGGACTGAATCTCAAAACACGCCTAGTACGAGTAGATTGAGCCAGCCAAACTACCTGTCTACCTAGTAATAGAGAGTAAAATCCCTATAGCATGGGGTAGGTACTTCATAAGTAAGTAAGTACCTAGTTAGAGAGGCATCTGATAGGCCACGGAATTACTCCGTACTTGGGGACATGCTAAGGACTTGCGGAGTACAGTCGGTCTGTCTCTCCATTGTGTTTCCCACGGGGAAGAGTACAATTTAGACCTTTAGAAATGAGAACTTAGGCTGCTGAGGAAGATTTCTTTTGCCAGCAGGTATTAAAGTATTGCGTCAGCATCGGCCATAACTCATGTCGCAATCTCGGTCAGGTTTATCAGATTTATAATGCAGTTGGCGCCAGGCGCCCGCTGCCGAAGGATCATAATACTTAAGTAAGCAGGCAACTACTTAAAAGTAGTACTTGTTACCCACCTGCACTGCCCTTATCGCTTTCAATACTCCGTACTGCTGCCCGATTTGTCTCTCATGCTTGACGCCGAATTTTCGTTGCATTTCATGACAGTCTTTGCATGGGTTATCCTCATCCATGACTTCAGTATCCTCCCCCCTCAATAAGTGGTTGGCCATCGGAGATGGCAACGACGTCATCGCCTCTTATGGATCGATTGAACCATGTCGCTCTAAGGGCCTCGAATATGCCGTTGACATCGCCTGCTTCGCAAACTCCCATGGAATATCAGCTGGAATCCCTAGAACCTCGACCAGCATCTGACAAGGCTAGTATTTCCGAGCATGTATCCTCAACTGTCGAATTGCACGCTACAGAAGTGCCCGTACACTCTGCGAACCGACCAGATGACCCGGCTGGGTCCTACTCCAAGCGAAAGCCTAGACCTATGTTCGCCGGTCCCCCACCACCTATTACCTCGTCAATGCCTACCTCCTCGCGCCAATCTAGCCCGATGCCAATCAGCCGTGAACGAGGATGGAAAACCAACGGGATAGCGCGAACGCTGGGAAGAAGCATTGCTCAAGCTATGTTTGATCACAAGACAAGACGGGATACGCCATATAATCTACAGCCCGATAGCATCTGGCGTAGCCTTCGATACCGCAAGAGGGCTTTGGAAACTGATATTCAGCGACTGCTGGACTCCCAGGTTGCAGGATTAATGTCCGGGAGCCAATACGAAAACTCCTCATTGGCTGGCAGAGACTTTGGCGTACACAGAGATACAGGAAGCAGCACACCAACAGGCACATTTTACTCCACAACAACATCGAGTCGGACGTCGAGGAGCCTGTACATGCCTCTAACATCCACAGAAGAAGGCAATATCATACCAGTGCGGCAACCCGCCAACAATCGATCATTGGGGCTTAGGTCTGCTCGAAATGGCTTGCGTAGAGCAATACTATCTTTAGTTGAGCTTCATGAGGAAGAAATCGACAAAATTGACACAGCAATAGAGGAACGACAGAGCGCACTTGCACAACTGAACAGACTTGGAACAAGACGGCTGGGCATACAGGCAAAGCTGACGTCGGTAGATGATGATCCAAATGAGCCATTGGGGAGACAGTTACGGGAACTGGATGCAAGATACAAATCTGTGCAGGAAGAGATCGGCACGCTTGAAGAAAAGCTTATGAGCCTCCGAAATCAACGACGATGGCTTCGGGAGAAGATGGACGATGCCAAGGGCAAAAGAGACGCAGGCTTAAGCGGATACCGCGGTGCTTTGAGGGATGTAGATTCAGAACTTGCGCTTCTTGTGCGACGACCTGCATTCCTACCTCTCGATCCGGCTGTATTTGGTACGGATGGCGGCGCCTTATGTGAGGATATTGCTTTGTCGGGGGGCCTCGATTTCTTTTGTCTCATTCCTGAACGCCGCACACCAGAGATGGCCGAGTCATGGTGGGAAGCTGAACTCAGGATCCTAAAGAAGCAAAGAACACAAGTTTATAATGATCGTCAAGCGCTGGCGAAGGGCGCTGTTTTATGGGAACACGTTGTTGCTTTGGTCTCAGGTTTTGAAGACGAGTTACGAGGCGCGTTGAATGACGGCATTAGATCGACGGCGCTGACTTCTGTTAAGGGCAAAGAGAATGCAATTCCGGAAAGGGATCTCATACAGACCCAGTTGATAACTCTGAATAGAGTTCTTCAAGAACTAGAGGGGGCGATGAGACAAGCTGAGTCGCAAAGTTGGAATCTCCTTATTTGTGCTATTGGTGCCGAGTTGGAGGCATTCAGAGAGGGTCAAAGTGTCCTCGAGGGTCTGTTGACTTTGTCAAATATGGAGCCAGACGATGCGAACCAGAGCATACAAACTAGGCGGGCTTCCAGAGCCACTGACCACCATGGACAATTGGAGGGAGACAGTGACAATGCCGGCCGGCCTGATTTGCTCCCACCCAACGTCGAAGGTGCTGGCCAGTCCAGCACGAATAAATCACGTCAAGATAAATCTAGGTGTGCGGATACGAGTGTCGACAGGCCCCAGAGCCAGGACAGTGAAAATGAAGTACCGCTTGAGTTTCTGGCAGAGCATGATTGAAACCGAGGCATGACGAAACCCGACAGCGCCCGACGAATCTATCTGAATATGTCTTTAGGGTTGAAGCCATCAAATATTCGATGCGCTGCCCAGGTGTATCAAGTCGGAGCTGGCGTTGGACAATTCCTGATCGTAAATCTTTACAGGATAGTGCTTAGACTACATATTGGCTTCAAATATTTATACGCCGATTTTTGAAAGTATGGATAATACATTAATATTGACTGTCAGTCCGGAATCGTCACACGAGAAAAAGACCTTTCGCACATTCGATACTGCCATATTGCCAAATGAATATGATCAAGGGCTCGTTACGGGGCGTAGAGTATATGTATGTGTAGCTGACTATATACGTTAGATAACGGATTGAACCTCGAGCTTTAGCCTGTGAATTCCCATTTCATGCTTCTTTTTGCGCTTTGCGCCTAACTCTTGGGGAGTGATTACTCAAAGCTATCTATACCTGTCAACATGAAGTTTCAAGCCCGCTAAAAGAAGAACAAAACGAATGAAAGGACAGATTAATGACAAACGCCATAGCTTGAAATTGACATAACGACTCGTAAGTTGTTCTACGTAGAAGGTCAAGTTAATCTTGATCCATCCAGGTGGCAGACGTGCCCAGCTGAAACAGAATGACCCAATTGCAAAAAACATGCCTATCCTTCATACGTTGGCGAAGAATACCGGGAAGATTTATGTAAGAATCAGCTGGAGAGTCCACCAGTGGGCTCGGCAAACTTCATCGTCTTCGCTCGAAAAAGCCACTGGAACCTGCGAAGGCGACAGACTGATCCATAACCCACTCGCCTACTCCGAGATACTTGTTAATCCACTTCGAAACATCTTTGTTTTCGCCCGATATCTTTTCTGTCTTGAAACTGGGCCTGGGATATCCCGACGAGGGGCAGAAATAAGCCATTTGCAGAGGTACGGTTGAGAGGCCGGTGATATAGTACTCACGTCAACCCGGTCGACCGCTTCATGCCTGCCAGAAAAGCAGATACTTCGACCAAAATTGTTTAGCATCGTGGTACGAGTTATCCGCCATTGGATAAGTTGTGTCGTGGAGCCAACTTACTGAGGACGGCATCGAAGGCGTAGTGCGTTAAGCGTCCAACCTTTGACCACAGCCCAAACGTCAGCAGGTTGAGCAGCTGCAGGATACACATTCTTAGACAAATGGTGTCAAGAAAGGACGGGATGCGACTGAGCCGTCTTGGCAGATGGCCTTAATACCATCAAGCTTGCATCGTAAGGGGCGCTATGTACATACCACCATGACTATGATTTTTGAGATCAAGTAGAGAGCAGAGAGAAAGGATCGCCTTGTCCTGCTCGTTGTGGATCGAAGTCACTTGTATGTACCGAGATGAGCGGTTGGAGATGTGTAGTCCAAGCTGTTGCACCGCTGTTGTAACTTGTCACCCAGAGCGCTTGTCAGTTGCTGCTGTTAATGGCGGCTCACGTGAGACGGAGGAGCCTGCTGAGTCAGCTTTATTGAGTCCATCTTTGTCGCAGTATATACGGAGTAGGGGTACCCCAACTACCTAGTTCATGTGGCGTGGCCACGCCCTTTTTTTGGTGTGACAATCTTGCCAGCGACCAGAAGGGGCTCTTTAACATGCATTTCATGAGCTTGTTGTCTAGGGCTTCTTGCAGCCAACACTTGCCAGGAAATGTCAACTGGGTAACGCTTCATTATCAACGTGAAAGGCGTTGCAACATTAAACTTATGTAACAGGTATATGGAGCGAGGTTTTGGGAGCGCGCCTCACTGAAGAAGATGCAAGTATTTGCCGGTGAAGTGGAAGTATACAGGACAGAGAGCTGAAACGCATGAATGAGCTTTAGGGCTCTGTGTAGAGCTACTTACTTCCGACTGCTCTTAATTTTACTAACTATTACAAGGCAGCACTTGAGTTTGTCAGACTTTGATCCAGCTTATGACAATTTTTGAACTTCTGTGATAGCTCTGCTGTCCTTAGAAATAGCGGCCGCGCGACTATAGGTAATCCCACCACTCCGAAGTCTCCCAACTTTAACCGTCACATGGCGTTGTGTCGCATTGAATCATACTAATATGGCTAGCCGGCTTGGTAATCCAAGGAGTCGAATATTCTATGACCAAGGGGCGACAAGATGGGGTTCATGTCCTGCTGCAAGGGAGGTAGCTTATAATTTGGGTGTCAAGGCATCTATTGATGTTTCGTGCCTTAGCAACCTAGCCAGGGATGGCATTCAAGACTGCTTGCCTAAGTACTAGGTAGTAGTAGTTTTTTCTTCGCTGATTCATGTGGTTTTCCCCGAACCCGACTCAAACATCAAGTCTCTCTCAGAGAGTACACCCGGCTAGAAAATTACCTTCCCCTCGTGAGCCCAGCGTTGTGTCGATCGTGCGCCACTAACCACAAGCTACAAGTCAGGAGATAGTGTGTGTTGTCGGGCATTTATTGAAGGCATTTGCCGAAGATTAGAGAGCGTCCGTGCTCGTTGATTCTTTGGCCCTTATTACTCCGTATATGATTTTCACTCGGTTACCACCATTAGCCTCTTGGCATTATACGGTACTTCTTGATACGGAGACCTAATTTTAGGACAAACGTTTGCTCATTGCCGCCTCCATGTGGTAATGATATGGTGAAGCAACCAGTTATGTCACTACGAAAGTTTGGTCGCCAAAGGTCTCGAGGTCGTACCCCATACTAAGCCTGCATGATGGAGACCTAAGTACTACCTACTCGTCGACCTACCACCTCTATCTTTTTCCCCCTCTTCTACTTTATTTATATTGTTTCTGAGCCCTGTGGGAAGATAACAATAGGCGCCGCCGTGTTCTTCACCGCACGACACGGGGATTTTTGTAGACTCCTCGCAGCTCTGATGAGATTTTTTGAAAAGTGAAAAAGAGGAGGCGGGGCCATCACGTCAGTGGTACGTAGCAGCCACTGCCACGAACTACTGCATAAGTAGGTACCTAAGCGGGTAGCTTTCTCAGAGCTCCTCAAACGTCAACCGTCTTGTTCCCAACCAGTCAGGCCCAAGCTGCCTTTATCGCCTGCCCCTACCCACCTGATCTTTAAACTCTTTCTTTCCCTTCACATTTCCTGTGCACTCGTTCTTTTCCCCCACCACCAGCTACCCACACCTCGAGAAATCAGTTGGATTCACTGGAAGCTTTCTTGCCGTTGAGGAAGCCGATTCTTCTTAGCCGTACGTTCATTTTCTGCAGTTGCTGTCAACCCCACCACCCTTGCCACGGGGGTCCAGTGCCTGTCAAGCTTTGCGCGCTAATCCTCGATCAATGCTTCCCTGGGCGTCGCTACGAGGAAACCTTCGATGAAACAGAGCAAGCTCCTTACTATTTGAGAAACGTTCCTAACACGTCTTCCTTTAAATAGGCACCAGTCGCCGCCTGCAATGGCTTCAAGTCGCAGCCGCTCGTTTAGCATCATGGCTGCTGCTCAACAGGACCACCTCGACACGGGTGGCAGGGTCGCCTGGCTAGCTTCACTCGACACTGCTTACAGCCCCGAACACAACTACCGCCGTTCCTCCATCATTTGCACTATTGGTCCCAAGACCAACTCGGTCGAGGCTATCAACAAACTCCGTGACTCTGGCCTCAACGTCGTACGCATGAACTTTTCCCACGGCTCGTACGACTATCATCAGTCTGTCATTGACAATACGAGAGCTGCTGTTGCTTGTCATGCAGGCCGGCCGGTGGCCATTGCCCTTGACACCAAGGGCCCAGAGATCCGAACTGGCAATACCAAAAATGACGAAGATATTCCAATCTCTGTTGGCACAGTAATGCACTTCACCACCGATGAGAAATATGCTACGAGCTGCGACACCGAGAATATGTGAGTGCCGTAATTCCCCCTCCAGAATGCATGGATTTGGCCGCTAGTACGCTTCAAATCGCTCGACTTGGATTTACGTCTGAATTTGAAGGCCTCTTCCTACGAGTTTTTCATCCTTGAACATGACTAATAAGGCCTTGGTTTTCACACTTTGTAGGTACGTTGATTATAGAAACATTACAAAGGTCATTGAGCCTGGCCGTATTATTTATGTCGATGATGGAGTTCTGGCTTTCGACGTTTTGAGCATCAAGGACGAAAAGACTATCCAAGTCCGCGCTAGAAACAATGGCTTCATTTCATCCAGGAAGGGTGTAAACCTTCCCAACACCGATGTTGACCTTCCTGCTCTCTCTGAGAAAGACAAGGCCGACTTGAAATTCGGCGTCAAAAACAATGTGGACATGGTTTTTGCCTCCTTCATTCGCCGAGCCCAAGACATCAAGGATATTCGCGAAGTGCTCGGTGAGGAGGGCAAACAAATCCAAATCATTGCTAAGATTGAAAACCGCCAGGGCTTAAACAACTTCAGAGAGATTTTGGAAGAGACAGATGGTGTCATGGTTGCAAGAGGAGACCTTGGTATTGAGATTCCAGCTGCCGAGGTATTTGCGGCGCAGAAGAAGCTGATTGCCATGTGCAATATTGCTGGAAAGCCCGTTATTTGCGCGACCCAGATGCTGGAATCCATGATCAAGAATCCGCGACCCACCCGTGCCGAGATCAGCGACGTTGGCAATGCTATCACAGACGGAGCAGATTGTGTTATGCTGTCTGGTGAGACGGCGAAGGGAAACTACCCGTGCGAGGCTGTTCGTGAAATGCATGAGGCCTGCCTGAAAGCCGAAAATTCCATCCCGTACGTTTCTCATTTCGAGGAAATGTGCACTCTTGTGCAACGCCCAGTCAAGACTGTCGAGTCTTGTGCTATGGCAGCGGTGCGTGCTTCACTTGATTTAGCTGCTGGTGGGATCATTGTGCTGTCTACTTCGGGAGAGTCTGCAAGACTTCTCTCCAAGTACAGGCCTGTCTGTCCCATTTTCATGGTAACACGCAATGCCACGACTTCGCGATTCAGTCACCTGTATCGCGGAGTTTATCCATTCCTCTTCCCAGAGGCCAAGCCTGACTTCGACAAGGTCAATTGGCAGGAGGATGTTGATAAGCGAATCAAGTGGGCTGTCAATCATGCTCTGGAGCTCAATGTTTTGACACCAGGAGACACTGTGGTTGTCGTGCAGGGTTGGAAGGGAGGCATGGGTAACACCAACACGTTGCGAATTGTCCGCGCCGACCCCGAGCACCTTGGAATTGGCCAGGCTTGAGACAATAAAAGCAAAAACTAAATTTCGTGGCGGCATGTTAAATGGAATAGATCGGAAACGTCGAAATTGATATTCATTGGCATTAACGAACAAAGGACTTTGATAGATTTTACAGTACAATGATCCAGACTAGCGAGCTCAGAACGTCATGAGTTGGGATCTTCGGCGTGTTCCATCGGCACATTCACGTTTTTTGGGCTCTTTGATCCTCTGCGAACAGGTTAAAAAAAATCTAGGCGTACTCATACGCTGGTGCTCTGCGAATTCGAAGCATTGTGTATTTTATGAGGGGCCAAGCACCGAGTATCATGACCATTGCTGTGGATTCCAATAAACCTGTGTCACCAGGCTTCTATCGATTACCCGCTGAAAAGGGCGGGGGACCAATCACTTATACAGCTCATGACAATTTTGACCCGTCTTTTGATGACCTCAGAAACAGGGTCTGGGGGCTGCACTATGGCCATGACTTATAAGTACCCTAAGTACCTTGGTATTCGTCGGTCGACCAAAAGCAGCTGGGTTGTCGCATAAAAACCGGACGTGAGTGGTCACGCCACGCATTTTGCGTTGGGTTACTACCCTCTGTATACTCCATACTGCGACAACGGGTTGAACTGATGGCTTGACCGTGGTCGCCCCACCCTACAACCTCAGCTGTTGGTGGGGTGGTGGCTCATCTTGAAATGTCAACTGGTCTGGAAGCTCCATGTCCGTTCTGTACACCAAACTTCTACATTTCATTACCTACCTAGGTATATACTCACCAAACTAAATCGGTCCAACGAAAGCACCCGAGTGCTTCACATGTTGTGACTCAGCTCGCCCAGCGTACTGTTGGAAAGGGTTGACGAGCCAACACCCTCTCCGCCGCGTCCAATACTTGAACGTCATAGTTTGGAAGACCGACGACTTGCTCCAAGATTTGTCCACAACAAGAAGGAAATGCGCCCCTTCATCGAGTTGCCATGTCTCTGATACCCTACCACCCAAGGGAGGGCCGTGAGGTCGTGCTGTAGGTCCCGAACACAATTTCCTTGAGAGACATGACATCGTAGTGGCTTGGGAGTGCCAGAAACCGCTTCACCTAACAGATCCTACCCAAAACTAACGAGGTCCCTGCACAGGCGTCATCGCAATGCCGTTGTGGTTCGAGATCCTGAGTCTCAGCGACTAGAGATACGCGGATCCGAATGTCCCACGTGCCATCAGCCCTTGGGTCGAGCGTCATCCCCCGAAAGACCGTTTGAGCGACCATATGAAATGAATCAAGAATTTGTCGACCCGGAATACTTTCGCATGCTGAGAACAGGCAATCATCATTTCCGTGGGGGAAACGGTCCTCCCAGTCCCGTCCGCCGACTTGTTGAGCCAGCATCGGCAACCAGGTCTGCTACCCGCTCTACCTCTCCACAAGGATCCGTAACTGGTCAGGATGAGTCCCAGTATTTGTCCAGTAGCCTAGGAATCCCTAAAGCTGAAGGTAGCGGAATCAGGAAAGAAGCCTTCAGTCCAAACTACTTCAGGTCCTTTTTCGTGGAGGAACGCGTGCTTGGCAAAGGAGGCAAGGGTGTTGTGCTGTTGGTGCGACATGAGATTGATGGATGTCCTCTTGGGCACTTTGCATGCAAACGTGTTCCGGTCGGGGATGATCACTCATGGCTAGAAAAGGTCTTGGTTGAGGTTGAACTTTTAGCTAAACTCTCCCATCCTAACCTCGTCTCCTATCGCCACGTATGGCTAGAGGATGTCCGATTAACTAGGTTTGGACCCAGTGTTGCTTGCGCCTTTATTCTTCAGCAGTATTGCAATGGTGGTGACCTACACCAGCATGTCGTTGGCAGCGCTCCTAGGGAGCTTACAAAGGAAGAGCTGAAGGCACAAATGAGACGACGGTCAAAAGGCCAAGCGGATGTTCCACAAGATTCAACAAGGCCGCAATTATCATTTGAAGAGATATACTCACTATTCAGAGACATCACATCTGGCGTGGCATATCTCCACAACGCAAATTACATCCATCGGGATTTGAAGCCAAGTAACTGCCTCCTGCATCGCGAGGGAGGGAAGCTGACGTGCCTCATCAGTGACTTTGGCGAGGTTCAGCCAGAGAATGCTGTGCGTAAGTCCACCGGGTCAACTGGCACTATATCGTACTGCGCCCCCGAGGTTCTAAAAATGGACGTGGCCGGGCACTATGGAAACTTCACAACCAAGTCGGATGTCTTTTCACTTGGAATGATACTTTACTTCATGTGTTTTGGAAGACTTCCTTACCAAGGGGCCAATGCTATACAGGAAGAGCTAGAAGATATTGATCAACTTCGAGCCGAGATTACGGACTGGCAAGGTTTTCATGGCGAGCGGCAAGAGCGTCCGGATTTGCCGTCCAAGTTGTACAAACTCCTCAAGAAGCTGCTGGCTCTTGATCCGTCAGAACGCCCCAGTGCGAATGAAGTTTTGCTGGCAATGAGGAGTGAGACAAATTTCGATAACGTTACGAAAGGCGACTGGCCACCCCATCGAGTACAGAACTTGGACTCACCAGTCCCTCCTGGAACCCCTGTCCCAGGTAAGCAAGCCTGTTCCGTCACAGCGGTATAACTTGTACAATTGCAAAGAAATAACATCATGCTTCCTTAGATCCTGAAAAGGAGAAGATCCAGGGACTCAAAGGAAGTCGAAAAGGGAATGCTGCCCTGGGTGTATCACATCCAAGTTCTTTTGAGGTGGCCGAAGAAACTACTCAGGCATCACAGCCGGACGTCTTTGTGAATCATGATATGAACAACCATCGTCAACTGGAGTTCAGCCCAGAACGAGACCGAAAAGGCTCCGGTACAGTGAATGGAACACAAGAGCTAGATGCTGACGCGTCGAAAGTGCCTGCTCCACGTCTTTTAATGGCACCTCCTCGAACACGTGGGGGAGAGCTCACATACCAGATTTCGATCTTGAGCCATCACATATCTTCTGGACTTGGTCTTACTCCTGACACACTTAACTCTCTATTCCGGTTGTCCATTTTTTCCTTGAAAGTCGCTACCCTCATCCGGCCATGTTGGCCATATATTGTAAGTTTTGAAGTGGGAACACCTCTCATTCTTATAGCCGCTATAGAGCTTGGCTGGCCAACTTCTGCAGCCAATGGTAATTGGGGTGAGACAACTACTCGACATCGAGTGAGTATTAGCACCAGCGTAGCACTTTTTGGGGTTCATTTCTTTACTCTCTGGGTTGCCCATCGATGGAACATCCTCTGTACACCGCCGTTACAGGAAGAGTGGGCGGAATGGAAGGGGGATTCCAGAGCCATTACGTCATAGACAGTGCCTCGTTGCTCATCTTCGCTGGTCCGAGGGCTTCATAATCTGGTTGTACGCTGTGTCCATGGCGTTTGCTTGGATCATTGAGCTCTAGAATCACGACTGCACTGTTGGCATCTGGCAAGAAGAACAGGATTGTGAGATCCTGCCATAACCAGGGTTGTCTGTGGTTATTAGAATACAGTCGTAATTGCTCCATATATTCCGACCTGGTCCACTTACTTTCGAAAAGTGGTTCATCCCCCACGCTACGAGATCGTCTTTGCCGCGATATCACGACCCAGCAGAACAGAAATGTGAATCTGGGGACAGCGATCTCACTTAAGCATGGCCCTGAGTCCGAAACCTTTCCGTCTCTGCATCTCAGCAGCAGCTAAATCAAGGTTGTAACCCCCTGGATCGACCTTCCTGCCTTGCGTGATACTTCCAAACCCAAAGTCTGGGTCTCCACCTAGACTGCCAAAGATGTCGCCTATGTAATTAGTCGGCTCTATTCCTCGCTGGTATGAGCAGTTCCAATCGGAGACGATGCCGCGAACTATGTCGATGCCGACATTATACAGATTGTCAATGGCAATCATGAACCCATTCTTATCCGGCCGCCTGAGGTGTTCCCAATCCGAGAGACCAGGCGGCGGTCGGTCAAAATTCGACCCTATACTCATTACCGACTGGACGGGGAAATGATGTTTTCTTGAATGGCCTCGCGGCATGTGGAAATTGACTCACCAGCTCTTACAAGTATGATGCGCGCAAAATCAACGAGACCTTCGATTGCTGCCCTGACCATTACTTCCAGAGTGGCATTCTCTTCTTGAGCACTCATGCAATATATTCCAGAGCCGTTGGTCCACAATGCTGTTGTATTCTCGAAAGCGACGGCGAGTTTGGTCCCCGAGTAATAGACATCGCTAGTAGCGATGTCGCACTTGACAACACGGGGTGCCTTCGTAGCCATAGCTTCGCCAAATCCGCCACCGGTGTACTTTGACCAATATTCTTGAGGTCCCTTTTGGTCGTTGAGATTGGATTTAGATGCCAATAAAAATGCTGCTTGTTGAAGATTTTCATTGACTTCAAAAACCTCTGTCCCGTACACCACCGAGGGGTATTGAAGGGGATACTCACGCCCGTAGGAGATGTAGCCTGTTGGCCAATCTTGCGGCAACGATCGGGGGTCAATCTCGTATTGAAGAGCAACTTGGACTGCGTAGCGAGCAATTGCTACGCTGCCAACAGTGGCGTAGTGCGGGTTGACACCAGCAATGCCGGCAAAGAGAAAATACGTCTTGCGAAAATCAAATTGGGGCGACAAGACCAATGCCATCATCGACGCCGCTGCGTTTATTTCCCCCTCGCCAAGTGTAAGTTGACAAACGTTTCTCGTCTCGGTACAAAAGACACGGGGATATAGCATTGACAAGCCCAAAACAGCGGTTGACCACTCGCTCAGGTTCCCCAAGCTGGACTCGGTGAATCTGGAATACCAGACCTGGGCTTCGGGATGCCACTGTGATGGGAACGGAAAATTAGCCACGTCGGATTGAACAGGCAAGGCGACCCCTGGAAAGACGGACTGACCATAGACACCACAACAACTTTTGGTGCTACTTTGTAGTCGCTGCCATTCGCCGAGGAGGAGGGTCGGCATTGGACAAGCATCAGCCCTATTAAAAGGATAAGTTGGACTGCCGTCATGACGATAACTTGCATAAACAAAACAGTCAAACTGCGAATATGCGCTGGGGTCGATACGAGTGAGTGCCGGCGGTGGCCTAGGCTCTGGGCGATACTAGTTACAACTTCTTCAAATACGGCAACGGACGACGCTGGGTTATAACATCTGCGCAGGCCGAGGGCTTGCATAGAGAGAATACATCCCTCGAAACCCTCAGCAGTAGTTTCTTCATACAGGGTTCTACGAGCCAAGAACAACGAGCGATTCCCAAGCGAGGAATGAAGCGAGGCCACAAGCTATTCAGGCGAGACACGGACGAGTATTGTCGAAGGCTATGCCAGCTTGGGGCGTAGCAAACCAACAGACGACATGTCGAGGTAACTGAGCAGAAGGCTAAAAACAGCGTTGCCTCTGTTCCGTACTACGCGAAGAGTTTCAAAGACTTACTTTAGCTTCGAAGATTGCGTACTTGGGCAAAGAAGTGAAGGCACCCACCAAACGTACTTATTGCACATGGCAAGACGACAGCGAGTGTTTCATGTTTCATGCGAGAACCTAGTGTTCAAAAACAGTCCCTATCTCGCTTATTTCGCCAGGCCACGGCTAGTTACACCGTTTCGCCTGCAACAGAGAATTGGCCTCGGATATAGGATGTCCGGTCATCAGCCAGTGCTTCATCCCAGTGATAGGGTGTTGCTGCACTGCCGGCGTCTTGCGTCCCGCGCTCGCTCTTGGACTTGCTCCGCAGACGTTCGGGTAAATTGACAAAGAGGTGAGGTGCGTATACGTCTGGTTGAGTTTTCTGTGCCGACATTGACTTGAGAAGAGTTGGTTGGTTGACTTAGCTGGGACCTGAGCTTGCGCCACGCGGCGATGCCGACTCCACGGTGAAGTCTGGACTCTGAAGTCTGGATCAGGACAACCTCCTACCTACTTAAGTAGTCTCAATACAGGTGTTGGTGTGGCAAAGGCGCACCAGCACCAGGCTTAAGTGAGATGCATAAAAACAAGCCAAATACTCTACGTAGTGACTAGTCGTGATGACGTTGCAACTCGACGTCAAAAGCCCTTGTCGTTGGCCACTGTGCCCGCAGAAGAAGAGCCAAGCGTTTGGGCTAGTGGGAGCGGATGGCGCACTTGACAAGCTTCGCATGATGCAGAGCTTTTTTGCCGGGACGACTACTGGTCAACTAGTGAGGTAACTATAAAATAAAATAGACGAAACAAATAAAACCCGTCAGTCCCCTTGTCTCCCATCTGTGGTGCCACTCGTGTCTTTCGTCACCAATTGGCGTGTCGAGCCTTCAGGAAGACAAGCAGACGAGAGGAGGTACGTATTTAATCGACCCCAGCGCAGATCAGCAACGCGGCGTTTCGACTAGTAATTAGTATGTGGACAAGGTAATCGGTGAAAATGATAACCACCAACTCACAGTCCCCACAAAGAGTATCCGTAAACTTGCCTACTTAACTTAAGTACCTAAGTAGGTAGGTACGCACTTCAGTAGTCTGACCAAATGTTCCCTGTCATACAGTATACATACACCGTACTGGCTCAACTGGTGACAGGCGCCAAGGCTTTGGGGGAGGGTCGCACTTGCCAGCTGCGTTCCGTCTGGAGGGAGCCTTATCGTTTAAAAGTTCTGGGGTGGGGGACAGTCCAGCCCATTAGTGAACCCGGCATCTGGAGTAATTTGAGTACGCCGTACTTCTTCTACCTTGCGCTGCTAAGTGTCGTTTGCTTACCTTTTCTTTTCAGCTTATGCTTGCCCCCATATCGTCCCGCAAATCTCCAGATGGGATGTCAATTTCAAATAGTCGGCGCCGTCGATCCCCCCTCTGACCCTCGCTGACGAAGGCCATTCAGCATCACCCTCCCTCCGTCCCGAGTACATACATGCCCGTCACTGTTTCCAGGGCCAATCTCTTGCGCTCCTCTCTGGACATGCGCAGCCGCAACCCTGTTCATTCTACCACCTAAAGGACTGAGGAGAACCGGACTCGAGTATCTTCAGACCATCGAAAGGCTGCTGCCTGGGCGCTACCGTTTATGGATGCCGTTAAACCGACAAAGTGCCGTGAAAACCATGGCTTCGACCCAAGACCAGAATGTCAGATCTATAGAGGAATTGCGCGAAGAGTCGCCCATGGCTTTCAACAGCTTCGCCTTCACGCCGTCTCAGTTACACAAGTTGATGACGTTTCGCAGCCTCGAAGCTCTCGACTACTTTGGCGGCACTCGCGGTCTGGCCGCTGGTCTCCGTACTGACATCGCTGCCGGCCTCAGTGCCGACGAGACAAACCTCGAGGGATCCGTCTCGTTCGACGAGGCTGTGGCTGCTGGCAGGGAAGCGCGCCCCCCCGTATTGCAGAGCGTTCACTCGCCGTCGACACATCATGCATACCACGCTCTACGTCTCGGAGACGGGCCTGAGCCCCGTTTCGCGGATCGAAGACGAATATTCGGAGCCAATCGACTTCCGCGCCGCAAACAAAAATCCTTTTTCAAACTCATGTGGATCGCCTTTAACGACAAGCTGCTCATTCTCCTCACAATATCAGCCTGCATATCCTTGGCCATTGGCATCTACCAATCTGTCAGCGCCGAGGAGGGCATGTCCAACATTGAGTGGGTTGACGGCGTAACTGTTGTTGTTGCGATAGTCATTATTGTTCTTGCAAGCGCCGCCAACGACTGGCAGAAGAACCACAAGTTCGAAAAGTTAAATGAGCGCAAGAAACATCGAGAAGCCACCGTCTTCAGATCTGGGAGAGCGCAGCTCATACCTATACAAGAGGTCAATGTCGGAGATGTAATGCATATCGAAGCGGGCCAAGTCGTTGCTGTTGACGGTGTTCTTTTGCAAGCTTCTGGTCTCCATATTAACGAATCCTCAATGTCTGGTGAATCTGCAATGGTACGCAAGACCGTCCCCGGCGACCACGATGCCTCCCATGCCATGCTTGCCGATCCCTTCATTCTGAGCGGAACTACCGTCACCCGAGGCGTGGGACGCTACCTAGTCACCTCGGTTGGTTCCAACTCTACTTTTGGCCGAACTCTCATGACCCTGCGTGAAGACGTGGACGAGACGCCATTGCAAGCCAAACTGGGGCGGCTAGGCAAGCAGCTCATTGTGTTTGGAGTCATTATTGGCGCCATCTTCTTCGTCATTTTGTTCGTCCGATATTTGGTTCGACTGAAATCAATGGCAAGCAAAGGACCGTCCAATAAGGCCGAAGAATTCTTTCACATCCTCATTCTGTCTATAACCGTCGTCATTATAACCGTACCCGAGGGCTTGGCATTGAACGTCACGGTTGCGCTTGCGTTTGCTACTACACGCATGCTTCGTGACAACAATTTGGTTCGACTCATCCGTTCATGCGAAGTAATGGGAAATGCTACCTGCGTCTGCTCCGACAAGACCGGCACTCTTACGCAGAATAAAATGACAATCGTTGCTGGTCGCATTGGTCTTTCTGGTACTTTCGATGACACGGACTCCCCCATTGTTGGAGCTGGACAGCCTCAGCTGGACTCTGGTGTGACTGGGAGCGAAGGATCGACGAAGCTCGTCTCCTCAATGTCATACGAGGTCAAGGACCTTATCAAAGACAGCATTGCGCTGAACTCCACTGCTTTCGAGAGCGACGACTCCAAAGGTTCCGAGTATTTCGGTTCCAGCACAGAAACGGCAATGCTCAATTTCAGCCGGGACCATTTGGGATTGGGGCTCTTGAGAACTGAGCGGGCCAACAACCCGGTCCTGACTATGCTTCCGTTTGAATCGTCTCGAAAGTGGATGGCAGTGCTCATCCGGCTCCCCAATGGAAGGTATAGATTACTAGTCAAGGGTGCCGCTGAAATTGTTTTTGAGTTTTGCGCTTATATTTTGGAAGACCATACATACCAACTCACGGCTGCCCGCCTAACCGAACATGACAGAACTGGGTTCCGGGCAACAATTCAAGACTATGCGAGCAGTATGCTGCGCCCAGTAGCTATCGCATACAAAGATTTTGACGAATCGGAAGTTTTCGAAAGCCCTGATGATGACCCCGCTACCATTAATCTTGAGTGGCTTGCCTCAGGGCTGATTTTCATTGGATTTTTTGGCATCCGTGATCCTCTACGTGAGGAGGTCATTGACTCGGTCAAAAAATGCCAAGACGCCGGAGTGTTTGTTCGCATGGTTACCGGCGATAACTTCCTAACGGCCAAGGCTGTTGCCGCTGAATGTGGCATCTATTCGGGCGGCGGGATTGCGATGGATGGCCCAACTTTCAGAAAGCTTTCTGATGCTCAGCTGGATGAGGTGATTCCACGGCTTCAAGTCTTGGCTAGATCGAGTCCAGAAGACAAGCTCCTCCTCGTAACCCGCCTGCGCGAGATGAAGGAGACTGTAGCCGTCACCGGGGACGGCACGAACGACGCCCTTGCACTCAAGGCTGCAGATGTTGGATTTGCAATGGGAAGTCAGGGCACCGAGGTTGCCAAGGAAGCGGCCTCTATTATTCTTCTTGATGATAACTTTGCGTCCATTGTAAAATCCCTGAGCTGGGGTCGCACAATCAATGACGCCGTAAAAAAATTCTGTCAAGTAAGTGGCGAATCGCGCAGCAAAGACAGTGCACGCCTCCAACTCCTGTCGCACTTGGACTGACAGAACAATTAATGCAATACAGTTTCAGTTCACCATAAATATCACCGCTGGTATTCTCACCATTATTTCGAAGCTTTTCGGCGACTCTATCTTCACCGTGGTGCAGTTGCTCTGGATTAACTTGATAATGGACATATTTGCATCTTTGGGTCTCGCTAGTGATCTTCCCTCCCCCGACTTTCTAAAGCGCAAGCCAGAACCCCGAAATGCCCCTATCATCACTATTACAATGTGGAAAATGATCCTGGGGCAAGCCATCTATCAGCTTGCAGTTATCTTTACAGTACACTACGCTGCCTGGGAAATATTCGATCCGCATACAGAACCGGAGATTGAAAAGTTGCAAACCCTGGTGTTTAACATTTATGTCTGGATGCAGTTTTTCAACCAACAAAATTGCCGAAGGGTGGATAACAAGCTGGACATCTGGTATCAAGGAGTGCTACGTAATCCTTGGTTCATTGGCGTCCAAGTTCTCACTTTGGTTGGCCAGTTTATCATCATCTTCGAGGGTGGTGAGGCTTTTGACACTGTACCCCTGACAGGAGCGCAGTGGGGATGGAGTCTACTTTTTGGAGTACTTACCCTTCCCCTCGGCGCCCTGATACGCCAGGTGCCAGACAGATACGTTGCCTATTTTTTTAAACAAGTTGGGCGCCTTCTTCGATGGATTACCAAGCCATTCAAGGGCTGGTGCTCCTGCTTTTCTATTTTACACATTCGCAGCCGTGAAAAGCTCGATCAAGGGTCTCGGGAGATGAGTCCCTCTACCAAGGGTGTGAAGGCCGGCGGTGAAGATATTGCAGCCGCCAAGAGGCCTCTAAGTAGATCAACGCATAGTGAAGCATCTACTCACAGAAGGCACGCATCGGGAGCGGTTGCTGGAAGCGCCAGTGAGGTCTACGAAGATGTAGATCTCCAAGCATTAGTCGACGCAGCGAGATCGGGTCGTTCTGTAGGCAAGAATGTCTTGGAACTTCATCCCAAGACATTGGCAGACGACTCGGTCATTCGAAAGAGAACCAACCTTAGTCTGCCGCCGAGTCAAGATCCGGCAATTATGCAGTTCATGGATAGGACGCATGACGAAGAATCTGCTCCTGTGCCTCGAAGAAGACAACGAGCAAGAGTCGTTTGGGTTGAACCAGCTCGACCCAGGCCAGTTTCCACGCCACATGAGCCGGGGTGGACATTAGAGGGTTTCCTGCGGTCTAAGCGTCGATGAAAGTAGAGGTTTGTGCTTTATTTTATTTGCCAGGACAGATGCGTGGAGAAGCACTCGCAAAATTACAAAAAATTGCATATACCATTCTTGTCACGATGACATGGCATTTTTATATAGTACTCATAGAGAGACTCAATGCTACAGATACGTATGGATTGTAGCCTTTTTATCTTACCTGGCGCTGGCCGCATAATGAGAGGGATAATATACACAATTTTAGCTGGCACTCCATCCAACCTGTAAGCTCTGCTGGACACATCTATATTGACTGATCGAGATGGTCTCATTCTGCGCCATGATGGACAAGTCGCCACAGAGGCCCGCGATTTGCCATCAATGAACTGTATGTACCCTGTTCAACTTTTGTCCCTGCGTCAAGGACTATGATCTCGTCGGTAATCTCCATCATTCTCACACAGTGAGTAGCTACGACGACGGCCATGCAGTGTGTCTTCCCGCGCGGCGATCGAACAAGATTTAGTATTGCCGAACGAACTGTGGTTGCGCTGTCCACATCTAGCGAGCTCGTGGGTTCATCCAGAATAAGAAGTTTTGGTTTCCTTGCTAGGGCTCGCGCAATGTTCACCAATTGAGACTGGCCGCCTGATAGTGCTTGGCCTCCGTCTCCAATGGTGGTTTTGTAAGCGTTTGGAAGTGAAACAATGAACTCATGTATCCCTGCCGCTTTGGCAGCTAGGATGACTGACTGTTGTAAGGACTGAGGGGATTCCGAGTAAATCCCATAGGCAATATTTTCGGCAATGGTGGCTGGAAAAAGGAACGGTTTCTGCGGAACGTACGCCATTGTACGATGGAGGTGTTCCATGTCGATGCTGGGCAGGAATACGTTGCCGAAACTCAGCCCGAACTTGTCAACCTCTGCCTCATCATGTAACAACTGATTTTGCGTGTTTATTCCAAGAAGAAGCGACAGTGCCGTAGACTTTCCACTGCCTGACGCACCTACTATTGCCGTAACCTGTCCTGGATTGACCTTCAGGGATAGGCCATTCAATATGTTGGGAGAGAATTGGTCAGGTGCGAAATATAGATTACACATCTCAACTGGGAGCGGAAACGAAGGCTCATTCAGCAAATATGGCTGCGAATGAGCAGTCGTGGGCAATCGAACATACTGTAAGAAATCTGCCGCTGCTTCTTTAGATGCCGTCAATTCGGGGAGGTCATTCAGCAGCTCGAATGTCGTGCCAATGCAAAATAACAGGAGATTGATGACCTGAAGAACTTCGTCTACATCGGTGCTCGAGTCCGTTGATAAAATAAAGGTACCACAATAGAAGACGAGAGAAGTGAGCGGCATGATGATTGACTGATAGAGACCAAAAAGGGGACCTGTGTAAAGCGATTTCTTGAGGCCGGTGCGGAGAGCCTGGTCTGCTGCTGAGGCTTGCTTGTCACTAAAGTAGGGCTCAAGCGCAAAAGTTCTGACGAATTCAAAGTTAAGCAGTGCTTCTTTCAATATGGCGGAAGAGTTTGTGGCAGCGTCGTTGCACCTCTGCTCCCACATGGAACTGACGGAAGAGTAAGCCTTCACCGCGGCAATGATCAGTGGTAATGGTGACAGTGTGATCAATGTCAATCTCCAACAGATTTCCATGGCCCAGATGATCGATATAGATGTGCTTGCGAGACAAAGGATCACAACAGGAATGATCTTGCCAACGATAGTGCTCATCTCCTGAGCGTTTCTGTCAAAACATTGAATGATCTGCGCAGAGGTGACGTGGGTTTTCTGGAACCATGACCCTGGCTGCTTCAGGACATTCCGGAGGGCTTGCTTCCTGAGATTATCAACCCACATTTGGGAGACTGTATGAAACAGGTAATATCCTCCTGCCGTGGAGAGCCCGTCAACGACGGCAACTCCCACAAGATACAAAGCCCATTTCCCCCCCTCTACTTTTCCTGTCTGGGCCCACATTACACCGAGGAGCCGAGAAAGACAGTAAGAGAAAGCAGGTGTGGCGGCAGCGTTAATTAAACAGAGTGTGACGGCAAAGATGAGGGCTACGCGGTCTCGATATGCGATAGAGGGCCATACTGTGCTGATGATGGCCAGTAAGGAATCGACTTGACGATTGAGCGGACAACAAATCTTCTCTGCTGACATGTTGCTGTTGCTAGCCGGACTTTCGTCTTTCGTGTAGGCAGACTCAACATCGTCCCCGATATATTGCCTCGTGACACTTCTCTCTGTTGCCGGAGTCTGCCCACTACTTGAGCCAAACCTCCAACCTCGATGGAATAATTCCCTATTTATGACCGCTGGTTCGAAATGACGATCTAGGTAGTTTGAAAACTGTTGCCGTGCCGCTTCGCAATCCGAAGGTAGTTGCCAACCCATGGATAGCGGGCGTGACACACTTTTGCGGCAATGGATTTGCGAATGCCTTGAGCTCCTGTTGTGGCAACTGTCTGTTTCTGCGGATAAGGATAGGGAGAACATATTTTGTGACGAGACAGTGGGATACTGATTGAAGTCGGTACGGGGTGACGGAGTCAGTTCTTGCATCACACTCGAATTGGAAACGGAGCCATGGTGATTTAATAAAATCTGGCCCCCCTTGTTACGGGAGGCTGCCGCGACATCCCGCAACGCACTCATTTGACCCTGACGAAATACAGAGCCGTTTCTCAGGATGTAAACGAAGTCCTGGTCCTGAATGTTCGACAAATCATGAGTGACAATGATGGTCGTTCTATCTTGTCGCCATCTCCTGATGGCCGTCATGACTTTCATTTGACTCATCGGGTCCATGGCGCTCGTGGGCTCGTCCAGAATCAAGACTGCCGGATCTCGTAACCACGCCCGTGCTAGAGCAAGTTTCTGTCTCTGGCCACCACTGAGTAGTTGACCATCAGGTCTGATCACCGTAGATAATCCGCACTGCAGATCCGACAAAAGGCCTTGCAGCTGCGCAAATTCACATGCTTGTAAAACCTCAGATTCAGTAACCTCTGATGGACATGTGCTTCCAAGTGCCACATTGTTGAAGAATGTGTCATGGATGACAGGGCTGTCCTGTTGTACTAAAGCAACTTGCATTCGGAGACACCTCGGGCACAGCTGATGAACAGGATAGCCATCATATAATACTTTCCCATCAACAGGTGTTAGAAGATTGGAAATTAAAGCACAGACTGTGCTTTTCCCCGATCCACTGTCGCCTATCATAAAAGTCATGTTCTTTTCCGGAAAGTGCAACGACACCTCTCTCAGACAGCTGTTGTCAGCATTTGATTCGTAGGCAAAGTTGACCTGAGCAACCTGTTAGCCCAAGCGTCACTTAATAATCGTTCAAAAGACAAACAGACACACACTTACCTTCTCTAAGCGAACATCGCCAATGATTTCCCGGTGGTTTTTGGTACAAGGAGCTTCAAAGCTTCCCTCGAATTTGGTCAGGCTTGATAGGAAATGAACAGCGCTTTTGCCTTTGGACAAGACAAGCCAGTGACCAACGAGGGATTCGATACCTTGGAATGCCGTCACAATTGCATGAAACGTCGTAACAACGCTTCCGGGTGAAATGCCTTCCTCGACCAAAACCAGCCCGTACCAAAAGCCGAGGACAAAAACAGAAATCGACCAGAAGGCAATGTAGCCTGCTTGAATCGAGTTGCAGCGAGCTTGAATCAGGAAATGCCGAGCAGCAAGTTTGAGCGCCGAGGCATACCTTGATACTTCTCGATCATGGCCAGCATATACCGTGACAATATCAATCCCGTTGACGGCTGCGGCAGCGGATGTGGATGCTTTTTGTAGATGTTGCTTCTGTAGCCACATTTCCGTATCTACATTACGCGTGACGATGGAAAGAATGATGAAAGAAACCGGTAAAGTTGTCAAAAGGACCATCGCTAGCTTCCAAGAGTAGTAGAGAGCAATAGCGAGTGAAACAAACGATGTAATCATGTCAGTGATGACAAAACCGAGCACCTGAGATGTCGCCAGCTGAAAATCACGAATTTGTCTGGCAAAAGACATGTTAGCCAATGCCCAGGGGCGGCTTTGTTTTTGTGGCTCGGAGCTAGCTTACGTGTGTATTCGAATGTGAAGTCCCTCGATGCCGCCGTCCAGGGAGGCAAACCAATCTGGCCGCTTGGACAAGAGACTGGTAAAGACACGCCTGCGAGCCTCGCGCACTTGTAATTCACCAAAGACAACCCAAAAGCTCAAAAATGAGCTGCTTGCCATCAAGTTGCCGATCCCTAAGCCGACGAGCACAAGACACCAGGTAGAGACATCAGTAAGGGCGCTCCGTCCAGTTCTTGTGCCTTGGCCGAGCTGCGAAATCATGTCAAATATTCGACCCAAGATTACCGAAAGCAGCGTTCTCGAAACTGCAACCAAGGCTGCTGCCCCGATGGAGACAGAAAGAACAACAAAATGCCGTTTCTTTGCAAAGAAAAGGAGCAGTTTCCAGGAATGCCCTGTCCTAGGGCTGACATCCAAGTTTGGGCATTCTAGAGACGAGTTCAATCGAGGCTCGCACGTCGTCCGAGACAGTGGATTTGACGGCTCCATGGTGAAAATCATCGCCCAAACCGACTTCTCTCCATGATGAGCAAGGACCTCGACAGGCGCAAACCGTGGAAAGTTGAGGACCGATGGAGTGCGACGAAAGAGCTGTGTAAACAAAAGGCCATAGATGAGAGATGATGAGTCTCCTTATACGGTACGCGCAATGACACAATGGGCCAACTTTTGTGAATGCACTGACACGCTACTACAAGACGAGGTGAAAGTTGAATGAGATAAACGCATTGTCCCTCTGGAGTTGCCTACTATTGTTCACCACATGGTGCCCCTTGCGACGGGTCAAGCAAACAAAGAAAGGAACGACGCTTTGACACATGGCAAACAGACTATTGGAAAACCAAATGTCGACTTGTAACCGACCATGTGATACAAGCTCTCGAAACGATGCATCGCCGTTGCCGAACACCGACGGTCGGGACTGGTCACCTCTTTGAATGGATGCCCGCGGCGTAGTAGAACTGCAACAATGAGGCGAGGGTGTTGTCTGCCTCTAGTCTCTGAAACTCGTGTGTGGTACAAGACAAAGCATGAGTCGAAGGAGCCATGGCAGCTGCATAGGGAACTGAGGGTCGGATATATTTTGGCTGCCGTCGATCCATCGTGACTTGTGAGGAGCGAAGAAGTCAACCAACCCCGGAGCCACGGTGCAATCTTACAGTGCTAAATCGTCGCTGGCACGGTCACAGCTTCTCAACTGATGTCATGACCAGTCATGACCAAAAACATGCACCAAACAAAGAGTCAAGACAATGCCCCGCACACAAGAGGGCAAAAAAGTCCCAGTCCTAACCCCCACGTTGGCTTTTTCAACGACGGGAAGACATTGCATCTGCTCCAACAGTCCAACGACTTAACTATTGTTTCATGCAAAATCGAAGCAGAAAGCTAGCAAGACAACCCAATTTTCGTCTTCACAATGGATCCCATGGAGAGAATGTCCACTTCAGGGGGCCGCGTACCGGCCAACTTCGATGCGCAGGATGCCCAAAATATGGAGGATGTGCGTCAAAGTCACCACGCAACCCAGCTGTGATGAACCACGTTAATTCGAGGATCAGGCTCGCTGACCGTGTAGCCACGTGTACTGCTAGATGGAGAAGCAATTCGCTGTCAAAGGTAGGCATGCGCAAGCAGACCCCCTCTCCCCAGAGATGCAACGGCCGCTAACCCTCACTCTTGCAGTTGTCCAGCACATGCAAACCTATTGGTCGATCCTAGAAAAGGTCAAGGGCTCGACTCTGCGTTTGACAAAGATTGACGATGAAATCTATGACCATCTCAAAGAGGCATTTCCTGAATTCGACCCTGCCGCTACGGTCGACGAAGATGAGATGAAAAGCAAGGACGGCAAGGAACGCTGGAGGAACTTCATGATGGCCTACGAAAAGAAGATTGACGACTATAACTTTGGAACCATGGTGCGCAATAATGCCAAGGCCGAATATGAGGAAGACACTACCATTTTTGGTGAGGACGCACCAATCGTTTTCGCTCACCTTAGAGGTACGGGAAGGATGTAGGACTGACAGTGCTCTTTGTTCCAGTTCCGCGAATGCAGTTCTACGCTATCGAGATTGCAAGGTACGCGCTTGTATTTCATTGCTCCAGAGACATCCGGGAGTCACCGACTGATTCACCCTTGTGCAGAAACAAAAACGGCCTGAACGACTGGATTTTTGAGCAGGCTCAACGACAGAAGGCTAAATCGAAGTAAAAAAAAAAGGGGCGTTAGATTACGGCCATATAGGGTTCTGGCAAAGGTTCAAGGATAAAAACAACATGGAAGTCTTGTGCTGTTCCAAATTGAACGGATTGTGCTCTTTACCTGGAGGTATTTTCTCATACCAGTGGTTCTGAGAGGTCTCGGTCACAGATGACTCCCGGACTTGTCTAGACTGAGGTAACTCAAATTCATAAGCTCTAACAAGAATTTCTCTACAAGATCTACGTCTTTCTTAGTGGATCTGCTGCAATTTAGCAGGCGCAAGGGAGAACGAATGTATACATTTGCTTACGGTGCATTCGCGGACCGGCGATGCCCTTGGCTTGTGGACACCCGGGGAAGCTAGATGTTTCCGCCAACTAAACAGCTCATAATACTATGACGGCTTGACTAAGCTATGTTCCATAACGCGCTATGCAAAATCTGTGCCTCTCGTCTACGCCTTTCCAGATTGAGAGTTCTTCTATGCCCCAAGGTCTCGAATAGTTGAACAATGTCTATACCTGCGATTTCTTCACGACTATATGAGACCAGGATGATGTTATTTGACAAGAAATCTGCTCCAGGCTGCTGTACCTTGTTCTACTGGTGTTGGAGAGACTTGAGGCACGGTCGGTAAGTATGAAGCACCGAGATAAGAGTTTGGACTATGTGGCACTCGCAGTTGCAAGTTTACTCCGTGACCTAATCTTCTGACCAGAAAAAAGCAGGACCCAGGGGATGACGGACAACACCGTGGCAATACCACCTAGCATGACCCCTGCACCATTGACTCCCAAATTGGTAAACATTGCCTGTACAATGAGTGGGAATATGCCGCCGAGGACGTTGCGACAGAAATTCTGAGCCGCCAAGGCCGAGGATGCACAACTCTGGTATGAGTCGGCAAGATAGTTAAATGTCGCCAGATAGACGGAATAGATGCCCCAGACGGCAAAGCCGAGACCTACAGCTTCTGCGTAGCCATTCATATACTGTGGACATAGGAAGGCTCCAAACAAGCCCGCGGGCAGGAACAGCGCCGTAATACAGGCAAAGTAGAGCCTCGCCTCGGGCGAGTCAGATGGGAAGTGCTTTCTCATCAAGGCCCAGAAATTCGAGTCTGAATACTTGAAATCTTCTTCATGGACACGCCACTGCGGGTGCTTGAGCAGATGCTGCTGCAAGATGCTGAGTGCAGTTGCGATCACAGCGGCTGCCATGATGGCTCCATACACGCGACTAGAAAGGTTGAAGCTGGTTTCGTATAGAAAAGGCACGACAGAAAACGACATGTAGAGGATGGCCCAGGAGAACGCCGCCCAGAGAGAAAATGAAAAGACGACAGGCTCCGTAAAGAGCATGTGAAAGGGCCGTCTCACCGACATACTCATCAGCTTGAAGACTGGAGGACGTTGTTCACCTCCCTTCACGACCCAGCGAATGCGCAATTGTCGGTCCTGACTGCCGTGTCCTTGATTGGGAGCCTGGTCGAATGTATTTGCGCCGCAGGGCATGCACGTATTGCGGAACGACATACAGGGAGCAACTGCCGGCGGTGCAGAAGCGGCTTGGAGACACACGCCATATATTCCCTTTGATTCTAGCTCTTCATACCACTGATTGAGCTTGTCTGCTTTTCTGGCTAAGAGGACTGAGGCGCGACTTTCCTTGAAAAAGAGGATAAACAAGATAAGGAGCACGCCATCCAGTATCGCTTGATGCCAGACGGTCCATTTCCAGGCCAGCGTGGTTTGTCCAAACCGCTTGATAAAGGCTGTGCTGACAAGTGGTCCGGCTCCGGTTCCAACCAGAACAAAGCCACTGAACAGCGCCATGGGCGTGTTGCGCTCTGCCTTGTCCCAGAGATCTGCAATGACACCGCCAACAACGGAGCTGAACACAGAGGCGCCGGCGCCGACAAAGAAACGTGCGGCGAGAAGCCCTGAAATGTGAGGCGTGACGGCACAAGTGGCCTGAGAGACGACGAATACCACGCCGGCAACGATGAAGACCGGGAAGCGACCCCAGATCTCCGAGATGGGTGCCAATGCCATGGGTGCGAAGGCGAACCCTGTACAAAAGGTGACCATGCCGACCGTTGTGACGATACGGGTTGTTTGAAGGTCCCGGGCAACCACGGCAGCCGGAGGCAGATAGCAACCCGCCGTGTATGCGGTGAGAAACGTCGCCATGCACGAGAGCGCCAGGGAAACATTTTTTCGAGCTGCACTCCATCTGAGCGGAGACACGTACGGCCTCAAGTCAGGACATGGCGGGCAGACATCTCTTTGCGGCATTGGCACGGTTGGCAAGGCCGTGTCGAAGGAGAGGTAATAGTATGTGATTGGGCTGGTGCCATCAACGTTGGCGAAACCATCGATGGGCACGGTGGCCGCCTGCTTTTCACCCAAGCCAGGATTCAAGTTTCGATCTGTGGTGCAATCGGAAGAGCAACGATCTTGCTCGTCGATACTGTTGCCAGTCTCCATAACCGAGGAGCTGATGGAAGTAATGAATGTTTGGGGGGGGGGAGTAGGAGGAGGAGAGAGGAGAGAGGGAGATCCAACAAATGTTTGCTCGTCAGGTTGCGGCGATCCTCGGGCAAGCTGGCTGAAATCAAATCAGACGTAGACACAGACTTTGACGTTCGATATCAACCCGGGGACCGGTCGACGCCTGAGCCTCGACATGTAGTGAAAACGTCCATCCCTCGACTGGGAAGGCCAACGACGGGGCTCTCGGTTTATTCTGCATTTCGGAGGAACTGAAGCCCCGTTTTCGAGGAGCGATGACGGACATTAGAGGGAAATAAGAAGTGGTGCTTCAAGCTCCGCATTTAGACCCAATGAATCAAAATTGAGCTTCACATTGGACAGTAGGAAGCCCAAAGGATGATGTGCGTAGCGTAAATGGCGCCGGGAATAGTGCTCGGGAACAACGAGCTCCTCACAAACCCGCTCGGGGCATGCGGGGAACTTGTTCCACACCCCACTTCTTTGGGCTCGACGTCTGGCAAAATGCTAGCTCGGTGAGGAATAATTCAAGCCCGTCGTCACCTTCTAACTGTGTTTCACCTCAGAACCCGCCTAATGGCCAGAGTCGTTGGAACTACTGCGAGCTACATTCATCAGATCGGTGAGAATGCCTTTGTTCGTGATTTCTGCAAGGGGACGGTGATTTGGTTAATTCGTGAGTCTGTTGCACATCCCGCGATGCGGGCAACGAGGCATGCTTGGCACCGCCCCACCGGAAAACTGGAAGGAGTGCCGATTCTCGGATCTCACTGTCACACCGACTCCAACCTATCGTGCGTCTGTTATGCCCATGGCTGCCCCATCACTCATTATCTCTGGTAGCTGGTCTCCGACCACTCTTACCCGTGACGACTGTCGAAGGCAATCCTGAAGTAGTTAAGCAACGTCAATTGTATTCCCCGCCACGGCCTCTCCGTCGGTAGGTGAGAGTTATCTTACTGTGAAATTCATCTCACGGCATTCCTTTCTGCTAAATTGGCCACCCGACCCTGCGGTCCTGTCACTTTCATGCTTTGCGGTCAATATCCTTTGAAATATTGGCCAGAGGAATGAAAAGCTGCCATCCTGCCGCAGAGCCTATCACTGCCCAGGAACTCTGACGGCAAGATGGGCGTCTGCCCAGGAGACGCCTGGCATGTACGTCACCACTTTGGTCCCGCTTGAAAGCATTTGCTATTCAACTTGGCGGCGGAATTATATAGACTTTACTGTTGAGATTTCAAAGGTCTACTCTCCAATTTGTAGTGCGGCAGCGGATTCCTCCATGTTTAATAACCACGAGCTTCGTCGAGCCGTAATCCCGCTTGGCCCTCTACATTTTGTCGCTCCAACGTTGAGGAGAGGATCCGCCGCAGGTTATGACCCAGCTTCAATCGACTTCACCGTGAAATCGCGGCGCAGGTAAACCTATGCGTCCAAATTACCGGAATATGTAGATAGGTATGTGTTTATTCCAGGAACCCCGTCTAAGTGAGCATGTACCCGGCGGCTCTTAAACACCAATTCATATTACATGCATCTCCTCGAAAAAATAACAACGACACCATCATTCCCTGAGAGTCCCAACAAGACCCGTGAGGGATAGGTGGTCCTCCAAGATGCGTGCTCTATCTGATGGAAAGGGAAATTGTGGCTCAGTCAACATCATCTGCACATGTCTCCTCAACTACGCCACCAGGAGCCTGTTCCTCTGCTTGCTGTAAAACCTGCGTCTTAACAAGCCCTTCTTGTCTAGCGTCGTAATTGTCTGCCCTTTCAGCCACTCGATCAGCAGCGCCTTCCTTGAGCGTGCCATCCTCGTTAACATCGTCTTTGAGATGGATTGTGAATACGACGACGAGGTATGTCTCTCCTGTTTGCTTGTTACGTAAGACGTATCTGAGTTCGTGTGAGCGCCTACAGCCTCTGTTAAAGCAACGCAACGGCAACAATGCAGGAACAACAAACAAAAATGTGGACAGTCAGACAGCCAAGTACTGCCGACGGAGATTGACGGGCAGAGATATGCAGCCGGGTTATGGTGTGGGTGATGCGGAGCCGCTTCTTACCTCAGACCTTGTCCATCCCAGTACTTGACGATTGGCAGCTGAAAGCCAGGCAAATTTAGGGCCAAGTTGGCGAAATCGAGATACGGATTGAAGAAGTCTAATCCATATGATCTTCCATACTCGAATATCCACTTGCATTTGCTATCATCCTTCAAAGCCCACTTCATACGAGCTTTGCTGTCCTCGGGAGCACCGATGTAGCGACGAGCCTCCATACCTTCCTCATCGCCGCCTTCCTCGAACCAGAGGCCACCCTTCTCCTCTGCGCATTCTCCAGAACCAATGTGAATGGTGTTGAAAGAGCTCAAGGCAGGGCCATACAAGTAGGGTCTATCAGCGTAGGCATCTCCGTCCAAGCCGGGGTCGATCCACCACCGAACAATTCCCATGGCTGTGTTGAAGCCGGGAGGTAGCTTATCTCGAATAGGACGATCAAAGTCATTACCGAACTGGAGGTCGTGGCCGCTAATCCCCTCTTGCTTTGGCTCTGAGCTGGCGTTGGCCTCGTCAGTCTCGTCCCCGCCGGCGAGGGCGCCGTTCTCTACGGCGACAGGGGGCTTGAGAGGCTTGAATCTAAAGCATATGCTGTACTGGTCGTTGTTCTTGGCGTGCGGCGCCGTGTCAAAGTAAGGAGACGATGCGGGTGACCCCAGAGGTAAACCGCCATAGTTTCGGATTCTGATATTCAGCTCAATATCTGCGCCGGGACTCTGGATTCGGACTGGCTCGGGTCTATTCACCGGCACCTCAACGTGGGTGGCGGTATCGTAGCTTGGACCAGCCGTTGCACGCAAGATATATCTGTCGGCCATGGGTTGATTGTTACCCGAGCGAGCTCCGTTTGTGAAAGAGACAAATTTCTCAACATGGGAGGAGAATTTTCGCCTTCGGCTAAGGAACGAAAAGCTCTGGGTGGGAAAAGCTCTGGGTGGATGCTGGAGAATTCCTGGATGGCATGACGTCGACCAATGTTGGCTTGCAGTAAGACTGGCGCCAAAATTAAACCAGACCGTCCGGTTGCCGGGTTGCTATTGGACGGAAACAGAAGCCCTCAACGGCAAGCGAGAACCTAACTAAGTTGGTACGTCGCTACTGAGAGCGACGGATTCAGATAAGGCTGCGCAATAGCATTGACTCAGGGTTGTTATAATATATCGACTTCCAGTTTCTTTCTTGTCAAAGAGGCAACACTGGTTGCTATATCCGACACATATTGGCGTTTTGATAACGCCATGTTGTTTCGCACGAGACACGTTGCCATGTGCGATATGCGTTCTGCCTCAGGTGGACTTTTAAACCAGTCTGGTTAACATCACACGGTGTTAGTTAGTTCTGGAAAGAATTTTCGTCTCGAATAAATTTATATTGCGCTATAATGCCGCAGCACTCAACAATCCACGATCAAAAGAGGCCGTGTAGCTCAATGGCAGAGCGTCTGACTACGATAACGTCATCAGTCAAGATGACCTGTAATCAGAAGGTCGCAGGTTCGACCCCTGTCTCGGTCAAATATTTTCCATTAATGTCACGCCTCGCCAGTTCGTGCAACCAGCGAGTTTCCTACGAGTGTGGCAATTTTTTTGTCAAGTCTCGGCGCAGTAGTCATGCATATTCAATCCTTTGGGCCGGGACATCGAGGGTGAGCCAATCCCCAACATCTCTCGACCGGGGGCATCTCACTGCATACAAGAGCCACGATCTGAACACAGCCCTCGGTCAACTTTGAAGCGCTAGAATCAAACACAATGATCGGCACGTCTCTGAGCGAGCTGATACTTGTTCGCATTTCCATAATTTTATTTCGATATCTTCCAGTCTCATACGTCGCATGCCTTCTCTACAGGATTCTGAAAAGAGATTTCCCGTGGACCGACTTAACCACAGCAGTGGTGGCCTTGTTGCTAGCAGCAGAAAGCTTGTTCTTCTTCATGATATATACACCACATAGGCGGAGATTGCAGGAGGCGGCAAACCATCCTGCTCCGTTGTCGCATATTGAGCGGAGACGCTTATTCGACAGTTGTATGGCATGTACGCCTCATCTGGCCGAATACTTGCGCTGGTGGTTCCTTGGTGCCGACTTGGAAGATATTTGTCGGGACAATCTGCGCGACTTCTTCCTGTGGGCGTTCTTCGACACGGAAGTGAAAAATCACAACCCAGCAACCATTGATCGGGACATCTGGAATGAGGTCAACGAGTACGTCACGCTGACAGAAGCACGACTTGGTCACCCCCTGCGCGAGGGACGAGGTCCGGCCAAAAGTTTGCGTCTCACACTAGACGGCATATCTACGGCCTACAGATGTCTACTGTGGTATTTCATAGTGTTCCTGGTCGACCAAGCTACACACTTCGTATTGGTGTGGCACGGGTTTCGTTACTACGCCAGGTCATTTGATGTCGCTCAAAGGACCTTTCCTCCACGCCCGCAGGAGTTGTTTGCCAAACGTCGCTCGACCGCACCCGAGCTTGGCTACTGGTTTCTGCCGCATGCCACTCATAGCAGAAATAGGCAATCCGTTATTTTCTGGCACGGAATCGGAATAGGGCTATGGACATATGTCTGGTTCATAATGCAATTGCGCACTTCCTGGGCTCCAGACCACAGTACGAGCATACTTGTGCCAGAGATGCTTCCCATTTCCTTCCGACTTACGGACCCGCCTCCTCGAAAGGATGAGCTCTTGAACATGACGATGCAAATTCTGGACCATCACCAGGGCTGGGAGAGGTTCACGTTGGTGTGTCACTCATACGGGTCGGTTCCCACAACTCACATGCTGCGATCGCCGTCATTGAGAAGAAGGATCCAGTCCGTCGTGCTCATTGATCCCGTGACGATCCTTCTACACCTACCAAACATTGCCTACAACTTCACACGCCGGACGCCGAAGCGGGCGAACGAATGGCAGCTTTGGTACTTTGCTAGTACCGACTTGGGAGTAGCTCTGTGCCTCGGCCGGCATTTCTTCTGGCGGGAAAATATCACCTGGATGGAGGATCTAGTATTAGATTCCACCCAGCAGACTGCGCAGGATCATTGCAAGGGCGCACAGAGGGTCGCGGTGTGCTTGTCTGGACGAGACTTGATTGTAGACACGGCGGCAGTCACACGATATTTATCCAGCAGTCCACAAATCATGGGTGTCCCAGAAGGTTCCGAGGCCACCAAAGGCAGCAGCAGCAGCGGTGGGTGTGCTGTGGACGGTGTACGAGTTGTGGTGTTTCCCCATCTGGACCACGCCCAGGTCTTTGACCGAAGGCGCGAGCGCGAGAAAGTTGTCGAGCTTATTCGGACTACATGACTGACCTGTCAGTCTGAAGCAGCATGGAAGGACGATGTATCAAGGGAGACGGAGTAGGTCAAGCCGTAGCCAGCCTCGAATTTTACCTACCGAACATGCGAGAGACATGTCGACTACTCTATTTGCCCGACGTGGTTTCTTCGCCTCCCCAGCCGTCCAGAGTAGCACCCACTGGGCGCGGTCCGCCATGTATCACGACACAGACAAGATCTACATGGCTCTTGTTGACAAGCTGATGCTCAGTCCAGGCGGGGATGAAGGCAAAGTCTCCAGCACCCAAGTCATGATTTATCAGCTCCGACTGGAAGCCCTCATTTACAGTCAGACAAGCTGCCCCGGAGACAGTGTACATGATTGCATCTGCAGGCGTGTGTATTTCATGTTAGTAATGGAAACTTGGGCTATGCTGATATGCCAGGACGGGGAGCCAACGGTGGCACCAGTGTACATGCACGCCCCCAGGCCAGACAAGATGAGGGGGAAAGGGAAGGGGAAGGGGAAGAAGAGGGGGGAAAGGGATGCGAACCTTGTTCACTGTGATGGTGAACTGGTGTTTCGGAGTGTGGTCGAACGGTGAGAACTATGGTACACATGTACGAATGTTAGTACTGTGACAAGGCCGAGCATACAGCATGGACGTGAAACATGGCACGTCTGATGTCACTGACCTGTAGCAGACATTCTATCGCACTTGTTCAAAACAGCATGCCTGACGATGACGGGCCCTTGAACAGTAGGATACGTGGGCTCTAAATCTCTGGCCCGCGTCACATGTGTGGCGGCCGGCATGATCATGGGCAGGATCTCGGAAATGAGGGAGAAGAACGACGCCATTGATTGAACGATTGATTGATTGACTGATTGATTCGCGAAGCAAGCCAAACCTCGAGAGAAAAGAAACACATCAAGTCCCCACGGCACAAGGACACAGGAACGGTCACCGGCGTCCTCACATTCGAATCCTCGCCGTGTACGGAGTACGGAGCACGTAAGCGGGGGCATGCGCCATCTGCCAAAGGATTTCCGCGTCTGCCGTGTGCGCGCGTGTCTGGGTGTGTTTGTTGGGTTCTCGAGAATCGGGCCAGGCGAAGCAGCTAAACAAACGCCGGGAGCCGCGCCGGTTCTCTCGGCCCAACAAAAAAAAAAGCACGGCACACACTCACCTGCGGGCTGTGGCTGGCCGCGGGTGTCGGGATGCAAATGCCGCGCAACTATGAAACCATGAATTGATTGAATTGATGGGCACAGCCGTCGTCATCTGGCATCAGTTTTGGCCCCCCCCCGCGCTCCAAGAGGTCGGAATAGGAAGGCCGACCGCCAACACGGAACGCCGTGGCTGATGCTCACTCACAATGGCCCCAAGGCTGGCAAGTCTAGGGTGGGTGGTGGTGAGTGGTGACGCAGTTGAGGCGCAATCGGGATGCACACAACACCTAAACAAAGTCAACGAACGGGTCAACAAACGTCCATGTAGTTAGGTACTGACCTACGAGGCTACAACCCGAGCCGCAAGCTACAATACGGAGGACCTAGGGGTCAAAGTCGACGGTTACTTCGTCACCCACCAACGTTGTAGACTGTGTGCCCTGGCCAGGGACTTTTTTCCCCTACTCCGTACCATCCATCTCACGGATGCACCAGTTCAAGTTCAGTCTTGGCACGATGGCCTCGACAGTGGTAATATTGACGTGGACGTTATAACTACACGCAAAGACGTCAACTGCCATACTGGGCCGAGCTGTGAAGTAGCAACATCATCATTTCGCCACACCCGCGCAGGCCCCTGCCCGTGTTCGCCGTGACGAGCAGCCGGCTTGGCAACAACTGCACGACCTTGCATCAGCCAGACTTACTAGAACCAAGTTGGTGACAATCCGAGCGGACACTCCAAGGAAAATAAACCAAGTACGGACTGACGCTGGTTGTCCACTGCGTGCAAGACCGCCAGCCATGGCGCGAGTATTTCACACCACACAGGCGCAAGCTGCATCTGCAGGGAGAGGCAAAGAATACTTATTTGAACCGACCGGGTATAATGCTCGCTTGTCAAAGTTGAGCCGAGGCGGAGTTACAAGTAGTCTGCACCAGGAGCCCAACTACCCAGGCAGTTCAGATCTGCAGAAAGCGACTGGTACTCAAGCAGGGTCCCGGAAGGGTCCTGGAGCCACCGGCCTTCCTCATCCGACAAAAAGCATGGCAGTTGTTGGAAGAGGGACGGGCCACTGGTGTCTGGTATATTGCAAACGAAGCCTGGCAGACTCTCGCAGGTGGCGGCGTGGCTCTGCGAACCCTCGGAAACGCTCCCGTTATCTTGTTCTGCAATATCGATTACAAAGGAAGAAGAAGACGATTCAAGCGAGGGAGGGTGTCGCGTAGCGGGAATCGGACAGTTGCATGGTAAAGTCACATCTGTGAGTGGTGTTTTTCCCTTTGCTGACAGGAGCTCTGGATTCGGAGTGGAGAGGATTTCCATGGAACTCTCTGTACGGAGCACCTCGAGGTCACAAAACCCAACTGCGGCAAATGTATACATGCATATGTACGTACATGCATGCAGATGCACGCTTGGCGAGAGAGGATGCCCTTTGCATCCATATCACAAACCGACCTGCCCCTCGCGTGTTTTCTGCCTGTAGTTTGCCCGTAAATGTTGTAATATTGTAGTCATGTACGCTCACATACATGGCTGCGCGGACATGTGGCCATCATACATCAGACCAGGCTTTTTTTTCCGTCCAAAAAAAAGCTGCATCGGACCTTAGGTCGTCAAGCACTAATCGTGCCCGCCCCACTTTATGTGGTTCGGCTAGCAAAAGCCCTCACCACCAAAGGTGGTGCTCGACAGCAAGGCGGGCCGGACACCAAGGCGGGCCAATTTTCAACCTAATAACGCTATTAACCTCTTCGCCTATAATGTACACCCTTCTCGTCCCAAATTTCTAGTAGATCTAGTACAGAATCCAGACGCCATTTACGTGCCTTTTTAGCTGCTTCAAAAAACGTCCTCTTGGCGTGGTTGTGGCGCCTTTTGTCGGCATGCTCTTTATGCTTGCTGTTCGCCTGATGAACTCGAGAAAGGTCTTTGCAAAGGCGTGATTGGAAGGAGAAACGGCGAATGGTTGACGCGACAGGTATGCATTTGTTGGCGGTGACGGGAGGGGAGCCATATGAAGAGGTGCATTATCTGTTGACTGTTTTTCTAGACCGGGAAATAAAAATAGGACATGTATAGAAAACCAGATATTACAGCCCTTTTTAAAAAAAAAATCAAAAAAATCAAAGGTCGTCACTCATTCATTGGAAGCTTCAACGAAAAAAAAAACCCCGGATGTAATTACGCAGCTCATTAAAGATCCACCTGATCAATCGCCGGCCACCATTGAGACCAGGCCCCCTGCTCGTCGAGGTTATTGCTGACTTCCGCGAAAAGCTGGTTCAACAAGGTATTAGTGTCGAGCTCGTGCTCGTGCTCGTGCTCGTGCTCGTGCCCTTGAACCGGCCAAGTCGCCTGCGCCGAGGGCCGCTCCGCGCCCCGAATCTCCCGAGTATGCGCGTCGGATCTATCCACGACACGGAACTCGTGGACAGACTGGTGTAGAGTATCAAAGTCTGCTCGTGTGCGCCCCTGGTATCGTGTCCGGTCCTCGGTTGCTCGCTCGTAGAGCACGGATGCATGGTGTATCGTTTTGATCTTGCGCGTGCCGCCCTCTCAATGTTAGCGCAACGGTGGCCACGGTCGTGTCATGCTTGCGGGCGGCTTACCCATCCGTCGGCGATTTTCCAGACAAGTCGAAACTTTTCCAGGTAGTCGAGACACATTTTGAGACAGTCGCTTGCTCGCGGGCTGCGGCCCAGGTTCATTCGGGGGTATTTCGCCACGTAGAGGTTGAGGTAGCCGGCTGAGAATGCGCAGAACCCGGCAAAGGGCGTCATGAGATGCACGCCACACTCGGAGGCCTCGTGTAGAATGGCGGCGATGTGCTCTGCCGCGCCGAAGAGGAGTCGGGAGCTGTCGTCCCACCAGCCCTCGGGGGCGGGCGCCCCCAGCATGGGCTGGTCGACTGGACCCCGTGGCTCCGACTCCGGGGTCGGCAGGAAGGGGAAGTACTCGCGGTGAAGCATGAGGGTGCTGACAAGGCGTAAGCAGGGGCGGCGGCGGCAAGTTGGGAGCCCCGTCGACCGCTACCGCTGTGGGAAGGGGATTCTTACCTCACGTAGTACAGGAGATTGAGGTAGACGAACGTCTCGCCGAAGCCGAGCGTCATGTGGACGGCCACCGAGTTGCTGGGGTAATGGAGCTTCCGATGCTGGCCTGCCCTCCAGGCCTCGAGCTGGCTTCGGGATTGTGACCAGGGCGACGCCGGGACCCAGGGGCAGTTCTGGGGTGCGCACATGCCCGGTGCCCGGCGTCCGTCGTTGAAGATGAAGGTCATTACCTGGGCCCAGATGTCGAAACCGCCCACTTCCCTTGCAGAATGCTCCTCGTTCCGTACAGTGTAGTAGTGAGTCATGAGGAGGAGAAACCCACGACGCTGGAAAATGCACATTGCTCTTGATAGTTTGGAGCAATCGAGCAAGTCACACCCGGTGTGGTATGTTTGGTTAATACAATTGTTGCTGCTGCTGACTTGGGGAGCGTGGGCGCAATGGGCCGAAGTGACTTGACACCGAGTGCGTGACGGCTTTTTTTTTTTTTTTTTTTTTTTTTTTTTTAATGCCACGGGTTGAGGAGACGGGCTGGGCGAGGGGGTTTTGGACGTTTAAAGTTTGCTGTTTGCTGATGAAGCGAATGAATACCACCAAGTACCTAAGTAGCTTGGTTGCGGACGTGGATGCCCATGAGTTACTTCTTGACGAGGTACTGGAACTTTTTCGTACAAACTAAAGTATCCAAGGACGCTGGCTTGCACGTGGTGTCCATGGCTCGTAGTGGAACCGTAACCACTCCAGCCAGGTCTCCCGCATGTACGGAGTACTCCGTACCAATTTGACTTGCAGCCAAAACCAACAATCATAAAGCAAGCCTGCCCTGACCCACCCCCCCCTACTCCGTACTCGTCCACTCCCGGGCCTGGCCATTGCATCCAATGTCCCTCGTCACCAAGTGCTCGGTGCCCCCTTTTCTGCTGCCCGCTGCCGCCTCGACCTCGACTCCGTCAGTTTGCTGCTAGCCGCTGGCTCGACCCGGCGAATCGAACCACCCACCCGTCCACGCACGAATGCAACACCATCCATCTCGACGCAGCTCACCAACAACAGCCAGGCCGACCGACCGACCGACCGACCCCCTCGTGCCTGGTGCCTCGTGCCTCGCGCGGCTCTTGTCGCGCTCTCGAGTCTCTTGATTTGACCCCCCCTCCCCGCCCCCCACCGTCTCGGGCCATTATCCACGTTTGCGTCCTGCGTGCTTGAGCCAGCTCGATCCGATCCCACGACGACGACGGCGACGACCACGACGACCACGGCCACGACCACGACCACGACCACGACCACGACGGCGGCGACTGCTGCTGCTGCTGCTCTTCAAGTTCTGCCTACCGCATCCTGCACACGCCCCGTCCTACTCGCTTTGCTCTCTTTCCGGCCCCCTCTCCTCTCGCGCACTCCTGCAGCCGCGTCGTCGGTCGCATCCGTCCGTCTCCATCCAGACCTTCAAACTACTGCATGTACGTGCACATGTTCCTTGTTGTATTGCCTCGTCCCGCGCAGAGTCCTGCCCTCTCCCGTCGGCCCCTGCCGTCCCTTGTGTCGGAGGCTGCCTCTCTCTCTCCGCTTGACACGGCTTGGTTTGGTTTGCGCTCGCTGCCGCTGTCGCTGTCGCTGTCGTTGCCGTTGCCGTTGCCGCACCGTTGTCGCTTCCCTCTTCGCTTCCGCTCCCGCTTTGACTTTTGCCCTCCCTCGTCCGTTTCCTCCTCCGCTTCTTCCATTCATCTGCAAAGCCACCGTCGTGTCCGACGTGGTCCCCCCGGTCCCCTGCTCTGTTGCCGTGCTTCTTTCTCCCTCTGCTGGCCCCATTGTCTGATCCGTCATAAACCCAAACTACTCTATCTGATGCACAACCCCGGTCGCTCTCCTCTTTAATACCTCCGCCCGGCCTCTCCTTCATCCTGACAGCCTCGCCTCCCGCATTCGTCCCGTCACAGCTGCTTGCTTGGTTTGACAGGGCCAGCTAGCCAGCCGGGTTGCCTGCTCAACGCAAGCTCGACATCCTAGTTTTCATCTCGACTTTGCCGAGACTGCTGCCCTTGGCTCGCTGGCCTGATACTCTTCATCTCTCGGCCCAAGGGAAAGACATGGTTTGGCTTCTATCCCCCGAGCGGCCTTCCTGTGCCATGTGTCTGCTCTGTTGAGCACGCCTGGACGGTACCGATGCACAGTTCGACCATCTTGATCCATACACACATTGTGGCGGGAAACTGTTGCCGAGACTGGCCATGATACAGGACTCTCCCTCTTGCCTCCTCCTTGAAACGCAAACCTCACGTCACACAGCACGGCTCCGTCTCTCTTCGTTCGGCGTGCCCTGCTGCTCCGGCACATGTCGCAGAATGGCTCTAATCCCAGGACTAACCGTCTCCCAGAGACCCCCGCTGTCTCGTGCGAATAGCAACCCTTCTTCGGCATCCGAAGCCGAGCCAGACGATCGGCACGCAACGACCCCCCATCGTGCCAGCCCAGATAGCTCTAGAGTACATCGAGGTGCCCAGTCAAACTCCCCGGCGAGGAAGCTCAGCCGCAAGCGTTCTCTGCTCAACCTGACGACTCGAACTGCCTCCATCGTGTCTTCAACAGGCCAGCAGTCTCTGCCGGATGGCCCGGGGTCATCGTCGCCTTCGCCCACGTCCAGGCCGCAGCCTGCGAGGAAGCCGAGTCTCAAAGACAGCCTTGAAAAACCACTTCCCCAGACGCCACCCGAATCGGGCTCTGCCACGCCGCCGCCAGCCGGCAAAGACGACCCCGGGGAGAGCCCCCAGCTGCGAAGGATTGAGTCTCGAATAGACAGCCGCGCAAGCACAATGGGCTCGGCTAGCCCAGCGGCATCGGGCCTCCTCATGCATTCCGCCCACGACCAGTACAACCCGGACGTCGGTAGCAGCATGAGCAGCTTGGCGAGCTCCTTCAAGCATGATGCCAAGGACGACAACAGAGCCGGACTGACGCCTCGAAGTAATGGCCCTGCCTCGGGGACCCCGTCACCGGCTATTGGCCAGGCAGGGAGGCCGGCCGGAGCTGCCGCGGCCGCGCCCCCCGGCACCGCTGCCCAAGGGTCCTCGACGCATTTGTCGGGATTAATGTGCAACGTTCATCGCACCACGGGTCGGGAACCACCTCCGCTGGTCGGCGCCACCACTACAATCCTTGGAGACAAACTCTACGTGTTTGGCGGGCGGATTCTTTCTCGAAGTCGGCCTGCCCCTTTGACGGCGGACCTTTATGAGTTGGATCTCATCTCACGCCACTGGACGAGGCTGGAAACCGGGGGGGATGTGCCGCCGCCGCGATACTTTCATTCCATGTGCCTCCTGGGCGACACCAAGATGGTCTGCTACGGTGGCATGTCTCCTGCCTCCAACCCGACCCAGACCGCGTCGACGACGGACCAGCAACAGCAACCCGAGGTCTCCGTCATGTCTGACATATACATCTATGACGTCGAGACGCGCAGGTGGACCTATTTGCCAGCACAAGACGCACCCCAGGGTCGATATGCCCATTGCGCTTGCATTCTGCCCTCATCGGCCTCCTTCTCCTCGAGTCGAGCTCCGCTGGCCGCTCTGCAACACAACCCGTCATCTTCCAACCCCAACGAAGGCCGAATCGGCATCAACATCGACGGATCTGGTGGTGCAGAAATGGTCATTGTGGGCGGGCAGGACGGCGCGAATCATTACATCGAGCAGATTAGCGTCTTCAACCTACGGAGCCTCAAATGGACCTCTACGCAACCGTTGGGCAAGAGTTGCGGCGCATATCGCAGCGTCGCTGCCCCTCTCCTTCCGTCCGTCACCTCCAAGGTTGGCAAGACGTACCCGAATGGTGGCTCGCACCGAGGGGACGGGACAGGCGCAAGTGGCGAGGCCCGCGAGACTGGCTCGTCCATGCTCATTTACTCCAACTACAACTTTCTCGACGTCAAGCTCGAACTGCAGATTCGATCCTCGGATGGGACATTGGTGGAGAAGCCCATGTCTGGGACCTACTCACCCCCGGGTCTGCGATTTCCCAATGGCGGTGTAATCGACACGCACTTTGTCGTCAGCGGGACATATCTGACATCGTCAAAGCAGGAATATGCGCTCTGGGCCCTTGACCTGCGCACCCTGACGTGGAGCCGCATCGACGCTGGCGGCAGTGTTTTCAGCCAGGGGAGCTGGAACCGAGGTGTCCTGTGGAATCGACGCAACACGTTTGTCATTCTGGGGAACCGGAAACGAAGCCTGGTAGATGACTACAACCACCGCCGAATCAACTTCTCAAACGTGTGCATGGTCGAGCTGGAGGCCTTTGGGTTCTACGACAACCCTCGCAAGACGAGTCCCATGTCTGGTTTCATCTCGGCGAGCAGTCCGTATTCTGGACCCAATCTCAGCCTCACACGCAAAGCGGGCTACACCGCCGGTGGTCGATTGCACTCGAGAGCCAGCGAGGAGTTGGGAGAGAAGGCCCTGGCGATGCGCGAGCTGACGGATATGGACATTCTGTGCATCGGTGGCGAGCGGATACCAGTCAACTCCCGCATAGTGTCGCGCAGATGGGGGCCGTACTTTGTCCAGCTTCTGCGAGAAGGCACGGCCACGCGGGATGGAAGCGACGCCGTGACACTCCGATCGGGATTGTCGAGCAACCCTCTCCGCATGTCGGCCCTGACCATAACACCAAACTCCAGGGACGCAGCACAGCCTCCCAGCTCGTCGAGCGGTGGCAGCGTGCTGTCGGCGGGGACTGCTCTCTCGGGCTCGACCACGCTGGCCGGGTCCCCTGGCGGCGCGGCTGGACAAGGCGACGACATGAATCCTGCGGCCGTCAACGCTGCCCCAACTCCGCGGTCGCTGCCACCAGGCACGAGGCCACGGTGCCTCTATCTCCCGCACACTCATCTGACGGTGCAGGCACTTCTGCACTTCCTCTACACGAGCTCGTTGCCGCCACCGTCGTCACCGCTGTGTACTCCCCAGATCTTGTGCTCGCTCCTGCAGATTGCACGACCCTACCGCGTCGATGGTTTGCTCGAGGCCGTGGTGGAGCGTCTGCACGGATTGTTGGACAGCCGAAATGCTGCGGCGGTCTTCAATGCCACGGCCATGGCTGCCGGCGGCGGGCGTGGCATCGACGGGTCTCTGAACCCCAACTTCTCCGTGAGCGGCTCCGACCCAGTCGGATCGCCAATTTCCGTGACGGACTTTTCGCTCGGCGGCACGACCGCCAACGAGTCTGCGATGGACTTGGTTGCTGCCACATCTGGCCTCAGCATCAACACAGGCGTCCCGCAGTCTGTCCGGCCGTCGAGCGGGGAGATTTCGGCCTCGACAAGCGTGAGCGGGTCGGAATGGGGATCAGAGGTTGGCGGCAGCGACCGCGACCACGGCTTCATTTGGAACGGCGAGCTCAGCAGCGTCATCGGCCTGCAGAAGCGAGGTCTCCGAGGCTTGATGGAGGGCCGAAGAATGCGCGAGAGAACGGGCACCGGCGGCGCGACACCCTTGGCCCACGCTGCTGGGAATCCGGCCTACGGCGCAGCAGCCCAACCGGGTCCGAGCGGACAACGCGTAGGGCTGGGTATTGCGGGATCATAGGCGTGCGACCATCACGTCCCATGTTTATGCGCGATGAGCCTTTGTAGTCAGTCCTCTGGGATGCTTGATGGATGAAGAAGAAGGGAAAAGAAAAAAAAAACCACTCATAGAGGCAACGACTTGATGAGGGTGTGTTGAATCACGGTGTTTGTGAGGCTGGGTCGGGGAATAATTGTATCCATCATGTGCAGTAGTAGACTGGGGAGGAAATGGGGCAGAGGAGTGGGATGACTGTGTGTTATGTGTACATGTATGTGCGTGCGTATGTATGTAACCTTTTTTAGACGGACACGTAGAATTTGAGTGCCGCGTCTCAGTTAGTCTCGGCGTCTCATCGCGACAGCAAGGAAGCAAAGGGCAGCACAAACAAGCGTGACTCAACAGGGGTCATGATGTAGTCTAGAGTATGGTTCTGCAAAACACGCACTAGTAGCAAGTAGTCTATGCTATGTAGGATGAAGAATGATTCGAAAGAAAACTGATTGGCAAGAATTTGTCTTGCTCTGCCACACAAAAACAGACTGCCAACCGCACAACGCGCCTTTGGAGCTCACGCGGCCGAGAGATGCCACGCATCGAGCACAGAGACGGCGTGCACACTGCTCACTGAACCGGGATGCTTGCCTTTATTTACCTAGAGCTTGACTCGGCCGGCCTCGAGCTCTCGCCATTGGGCGTCCTGGAACGGGACGTACGTGTCCCCGTGGAGCCAGTACAGTTCGCCTTGGGCTGTGCTGTTGCCGGGCTTGACGCCGGCCAGGCGCAGGAGGTGCTTCTGCTGCTTCATGGTGCCCGTGGTTTGGGCCGCGCCGCCGACGTCGTCGAGGACGCGGAGGAACAGCGGCTGCGCGTAGCGCGGCAGCGAAGACTTGACGTGGGATGCCAGGCTGCGGAGGACGGTCTGGTCGGGCGTCTTGTCAAAGGCGATGGCGACGCAGCCGGCGCGGCCGTCGTGGTGTGGCAGCTCGACGCCGTAGACGTTGGCCTCGCGGACCGACGGGTGGCGGCCGACGGCTTCGCTGACCTCGGCCGTCGACACGTTCTCCGACTTCCAGCGGAACGTGTCGCCGATGCGGTCCACGAAGTAAATGCGGCCTTCTGCGTCCCACCGGGTCACGTCGCCTGTGCGGAACCAGGCGTCGCCCGGTTTGAACACGCCGCGGACGATCTTGGACGAGGTCGCACCCTCGTTGCCGTAGTATCCCTGGAACCGCTTCGAGACGTTGTCCGGGTCCAGTTTGCAAATGAGCTCGCCGGGCGCACCGGGCTTGACCTTGGTGCAGAAACCCGTCTCGGCATCGCGCTTGGGCAGGTCCGTCGCCCAGTCCACCTCCACGACCGAGAGGCTCAGCGACTGCAAGCCGCCATAGAGGAGGCCACTGCGGCCAATCGCACCCGCCGTGTGGTCGTTGCGGCTGAGATTCCACACGCCAAACGGCCCTTCCGTGGCGGCATAAAACTCGAGTATGGTGTCCACCCCAAATCGGTCCTTGAACTGGTTCCAGATGTCGGGGCGGAGACCGTTGCCAAACGCCGCTGTGACCTTGTGCTTCTTGTCCATGCATTCGCCGGTGCCGGCATCGTATTGGGGCGGTGCGGCAAGCAGGTAGCGCAACGTCTCGCCGACATACTGAATTATAGTGGCGTTGGATTCTCGCACTTCGGTCCAGAATACCTTGGTGGAAAATTTGCGCCCGATGGCCTGTGTGCTGCCTGCTAGCATGGTGGAACAAAACGACAGCACGGACGCTGCGGAGTGATAGAGTGGCATGGACTATACAATGACACAGCATTGATTTTTTTGCTCTTGTCAGTCAAGTGTCAAGACGGCAGCGCGTGAATGGCGGCAAAAAGAGACGAACCGTGTACATGATGTCTTTGCCTCCGCGAGCGAGAAGCGTCTCTACAATCGTGCCTCCCGCGATAATCTTTGCCCACGAGACTACGGCAGGTTTGGGTAAGCCCGTGGTTCCAGAGGTGTAAATCAGGATAGCCAGGTTGGACAAGTCATCCTCGACCAGATCCGAGTCCGGCACGCGAACGGGGGCCGTGGCGGACGCCTGGGCTTCCAGTTCGCGCGTAAAGAAGACAAATTTGACGTCACTGAGGGCGGACTGTACATCTTGCGTCAAGTTGGCGGCCACGTTGGGATCGACAAGACAAATCTTGGATCCGGACGCCTTGACGCAGTGCGCCAACGGTTTGCCCGTCAGGTTATAATTGATAAAGGCTGGCTTGGCACCAATGCTCCACAGTCCGAGCCATACGAAGATGAAGATATCCGAGTTCTCAAAGTTCATGGCCACCACATCTTTTGGCTTGATGCCGAAATTGCTTCGCAGCCAGGTTCCGTAGCGCAAAGCTTTGTCGTAAACTTGGGCATACGTGTGGTGGCGGCCTTCGAAAACGAGCAGGTCCTTGTTGGCTGTGGAAGAGTGCTTGGCCCGTTCCTCGAGGATGTGGAAGACGGATAGATTGCCGCGGTATTGGCGGAGGAAGACTCGGCTGGCTGACTTGAATGCTGATTTGAAAAGAAGGTAGTCGTACCAGAGAGAGGTTCTGGCATTGGCGTAGGCGAATGCTGCAGCTGTGGCCGGAACCGCCACAGCAAGAGGTACTGCAACATGCGGTTAGTACGTGACCAAGGGTCGGGACTGGTAGGTTCGATGTGAGATACTAACGGGGCATGGTGGACAAAATGACAAACTGCTATGTATCGCAGCGATGGCTTGTTGAGGGTGTAAAAGCAAAACAAAGGCGCCACAATCCACGGCTTCCCCCAAAAACTTCAAGTATCGAGGTGATTCGCTGACTTGATTCAGAAAACAAAAGCTTTGCAAGTCCGTCGAGTTGGCGGCATAGAGCAGAAAAGACCGAAATCCGGGCGACGTTGAGGAGAAGTTGAACCGAGGCTGTTTTGACTTATGTAGGTGCTTGAAGCGTGGGGCTACAGCATTCGGCTCTCTAGTTCATGCCGTTCATGGCGCATTGTGCTCTTGCCGATTCAGAGGGGGGGGTTTGCAGGGATTCTCCGACGATTAAGGCTGGTGGTAGCGACTGCAATGAATCTGATTTGACCAATACACAGTCGCTGCCTTGAGTAGGCTAGACAAGAAACGGAGGCGGGCGGTGCGGCTAAAAGGACAAGGCCGCAGCGGAAGAGATGGAGACTCCGGCGGCGCCGACAAAGCACTGGTCGGAGAGTTTTTCTTTTGTTCTGTGCGGATTTCGTGTGGTGAAAACGACGCGCAGCAAGAAACAAAGACACAGGCTGGGTCCCCGTGGTACCTGGTAATCGTCTTGATGATGTGTGCTTCTCTTTCCCCTCAAAGATGCGAGTTGAGAAAACAGGCTTCAGGCTAAACGTCGTTGAACGAAACGTTGACGTCTGGACGTAATATTGAACCCGGGTCTGGGGAAGGCGGCTCGAGAGGCGTGTGTAACCGTGTCCTGATGGGGCTGGCAGCGGGTTGACGAAACGGCCGAGAAAGAGAAATGGGGCTGCAGAGGTTGAAAATTAGAACCGAGGGTGAGAATCCTCGCCCGCGACTGCGACTTGTGTCCGGATTGCATACGTGCCAACGATGCATGGGATGAATTAAATGTGTTGTGTGTTGCGTCACTCACTTCATGCGGTGCTGCACCTTCGCTTCGCTGGGCAGTTCCATTTGCTCCGCGACCCCAAAGCACCGAACGAGTAGCAGCGACATGTTGACGACCGGGATGGACGAGCAAGGGACCCCAACTTAAATCCCGGCTAGGGTCTTGGTGCCATCGCGGGTGGCTCGGTGTGCTGTTGCCTCGGCTGGTGAATTGGAGTCGGACTTGAGCAAGCCCAAGATTGTGGGGAACAGAAAGGGGGGGAGCGAGCACGGGTCGACGGGTCGCAGTTGAGGGACTCAGGGGTAGGGTGAGAACGGGATTGACGGTGGACTCTGTTGTATGGAAGAGTGCAGAGGAATGCGGCGGTGATGAAGATGAGGAGTTGAAGCTCTGTGCTCGACAGTATGCCAGCTTGACATGCCAAACCGAGACGGACCTTGCCAGAAATGTTGATGCCTTGGAAGGAGCTGCCCGGCTGCGACTGCCTGCCTCACTGTCGGAACCCGACCCTCACTGATAACTATACAGGGTAGGCCCGACCTTGCACGTGATGGCGCGTGATTCGTTTACTCCACACTCCGTATGAGGACCAGTCGACGGCGAGGAGCCGACACGCCATCCATATTCCAGATCAAACTTGGACCTTTGTCCATGGCCGACTGTCAATTAATTGCTGGCGGCTACACAATCCGACAGCCATCATCGGACCTGACATGACACCGGTGCACTGAAATCGGCACCTCACCGAGAGGCAGGATCAATTCTCGACGACCCCACGTTCCCCATCGCCAAGCACTGGGTGTGCACGAGGACAAATTGTCCTCCCCTGCCACCACCTGCAGCCATCACCAACATTCTCGAGAAGCCTATACTCTTTCGCGAGCCAAGGCGGAGCCTCTTTTTTTTTTATTTTTTATTTTATTTTATTTTTTTTACGACCACAATGAGAGCAGACGTCCCAGCCTCTCCGCACCCAGCCGCAATGGCCTCAGAAAGAGCAGACACGCCCGCTCAGGAAACCGCCCAGCCCGCGCCCAGGCAGCCTCCTCCAGAGAAGCCCGCCGAAACCTGGCGTCGCACGCTTGTCATTCTCTCGTTCTGGCTCATCGTGCTCCTGCTGGGACTGCCTATATGGTGGAAGACCACGTCAATTTACCGCGCAGATTTGCCCCTGGAGAGAATGCTGCAATGGGCCGACGGCAAGGTACGCCTGCGTTTGTGTCTGGCCCTCGAATGCTTCCGGGCGCAACATTACAATGTAGCTGCATACGACGCTGCTTCTGACATGTTTGCAGGCCTGTCGTCCCGCATTTCCCTTGCACATTTCCGTTCGTGCCGATTTCGTCGCCGACCAAGAAGCTCAGCACCTCGTCCGGTTAACACAGCACGCCCTCGACGACCTCAACGATTTCGCCGGCCATCATTTGCGCCTCAAGCTGAGCCCCAAGGGTGACGGGAAAAACCCCCACCCGAGCGGGCAAGATGCAGATTCCGCCTTGACGGTAAACCTGACGCCGGGCGACGCCAATTCGGCTCGGCTAAGCCAGCACTCGACGGTGCTTGACATGACGTATGCTCCAAACTCGATGCCCTCCGTCAACTCAGCCTCGTCGCCCCTCGCCACATACATGGCCAATGAGCTCCGGTCGACTTTTTCCGAGGAGCAATCCATCATCTCCTATCTCTTGTCCACGTCTTTCATGTCGTCGACTGCGAGGCAACACGGCCCCAGCCAAGACGCCGCGGAATCCGTGAAGAAACGTACGACTCGGTCGCTGCGATACGCCCCCACCTATCACTTGAGCTTTTCTCTTTTCACCGACGGCGCGACTCCCAACACTTGGGACATCGATGCAGCCATGGACAAGTACATGAAGCCAATGCTGGATGTGCTGGGCCCGATTCACAACTTTACCATTGATACGCAGGTCCAACTGTACGCCACGCCGGGTGTGCAATCACAGACTCTCAACAAGGAGCACCTGGCGTCGTTTATAAACGCAGCCGAATGGCCGCTTTCACCGTCCATCGGCGGCGCGCCCACTGTCAACTTCATCGTGTTTGTTGGCAACCAGACGATTGCATCCGACAGTGCGCGGGTTGAAAAGTCACAGTCATGGATGATTCCTCAATGGGGCTCGGTCTATCTCCTGCATCTGCCCGCCACGGAGCAGCACGTTTCGGAAAACGCTCTGATGCAGCCTCTGCTCACGTTTGGCGGCCACCTGCTCACCCTACTTGGCACGCCACAGTCTGGATCTCTGCCGCTTCGACTCTCGACTCTGGCCAGGATCCGAACAACGGACCTGCTGCTCCGGGCTTCCTCGTCTCTGGGCTCTCTGGCCCGGCTCTCGCCCAGCCTGCCTTCGATATCGATTCCTCGCAGCGTTGCTGAAGGCGTTTCCAGCTCGCTGCTGCACCTGGAACAGGCCTGCGCCAACCTAGGCGGGCCAGAGGGGCTGTTGCACGCGCGGTTTGCCGAGGAGGAGGCGGAGAGGGCGTTTTTCGAGAAGAGCATGGTTGGGCAGTTGTATTTCCCAGACGAGCACAAAATCGCCGTATACCTGCCCCTGCTGGGGCCCGTAGGCGTGCCGCTGGTGTTGGGACTGCTCAACGAGGTGAAGAATTGGATCAAGAGACGGAAGCAAAAGGCGCACGTGGCAAGGGAGAAGAAGGGCCAGTAGGGGAAGAGGCAGAGAAGGAAAGCAAAAGAAGATGAATGAGATAAAACACCATGAAAACAAGACATGTCATCAAGACGGATGAATGTGGCACGCACAGCAATTTGAAACGTTGGCAGGGTTTGCGGTTGGCGCGCCGATGCGGACGGACACGAGGCATCATCACCCTGAGCCTCACGATCCACGGCACGTGTGTCAGGTGTTGGGAAAGGCACGCAAACGCCTCGAGGTGGTGGCGATGCTGCCTCGTGCTTCCTACCCGAGACTACCATGGTAGCGTGTGTGAAGAGCTCACCGGACTCCATGAGGAACGTGCACTCTGTTCTATTTCTTGTCACGCACGGTACGACCGAAGCTGCGCTGCTAGTTGATAGCACTTGGCGTCTCGCTGCGGTTTGCGACTCGACGCAACTACTCTTGTACTTTTTTTTTTGGGTGCTAGTTGATAGCGTTGTGCTGCTGTTTCCCCGCGTCTCGCATTTCATTCCCTCTGCGCTTGTCCCGCCAACACGACGTGTATGTTACTTGCTTGGTTTGCGGGTGCCGCCCGCCGCCCGCCGCCCGCCGCCCGCTCGACCCTCTGCCGTCCCTTCAAACAGAACGGACGACTGTGGCTCAAGGCCTAAACAATGTCAGACAGTAGTGGTTGCCCGCGACGGCCAGACACTTCTTTCCCCTGGGGCACCGGCCGCCTGGGCATGGAGACACAACTCTCTTGTCCAAGTTGCGAGCGATTTCGTTGTCTTGGTCAGCGCGCCCCCGATGACAGAGGGTTTGAGATGCTAGGATCACACAGAAACCATCGCACTTCTCTGGGTCGCATGTCGGTCCGTCGTCGATGGCGTGCGACAAGGGCGGGCCACAGAGTCCGTCATCGAGTTCAGCGTCGCCCTTGTAGAAAAAGCGACAGTGAAGTCCGGGCCCGCAGTTCTGCTTGTCACGGCTGCACGGCGCACCCGGTCGTAGGAATTCTTCGTTGCCAGCCGCCGGCGCGGCGAGGGACGCCGACGCAGACGCAGCGAGGAGCAGCACGGAGTACTTCATTCTTGTCGAGATTGCGAGTCCGTCTGTCGGACGAATGGCGAGGACGAAGGGAGACGGGGACGAGAGACGAGGTGCTAGGGTGACTTGACTTGTAAGCGTCCAAGATGAAGAACATTTCAACTTTTGGACACCGGACGAGACTCGATATTTAGCCTGCTTGTCGAGGTGCGCGTCCCGCGCCCAAAGACAAAGACACGGAGGACAGACAAGACGGTAGGCAGTGCCGAGCGTGCATCATGTCGAGTCTCCAACATTCGATCCGAACGACAGCAGTGGCCTAATGTCAAGTTTGCAGGGTCATCCTCTTCATGCTGCCAACCTTGCTTTTGCTTCGGTTGCGCTCCACCACCGCGTCGGCAGGAATCAGGATGCATGCCCAGGCACGTTGACACAGACGAGACCTCTTGGCGCAGCCGGCGAGACGCTGCAGCACCGGCATCGGCACGCGATTCGCCGTCGCGCATGGCAGAGTGGAAGGGCGTCGTCCCTTGCGGTGTGCTCATAGACTCGCGACTCGTCCGACAGCCCACTCGCCGCCCACCTCCGTTACGTGGCCTCGCGCACCAGTCGGCCGGCAAATGCCGCGATGCTCTCCGTCATCAGCAGCAGCACGCCGGCCTGTCCCCAGAAGTGGCCCGCCGTGGCCACCTCACGTCCTGCAAACTGCGAGCCCGGCCTGCCGCCCAGCCTGGCCGTCCACGCGCGCAGCCTCTCGACCCTCTGCCGTCCCTTCAAACAGAACGGACGACTGTGGCTCAAGGCCTAAACAATGTCAGACAGTAGTGGTTGCCCGCGACGGCCAGACACTTCTTTCCCCTGGGGCACCGGCCGCCTGGGCATGGAGACACAACTCTCTTGTCCAAGTTGCGAGCGATTTCGTTGTCTTGGTCAGCGCGCCCCCGATGACAGAGGGTTTGAGATGCTAGGATCACACAGAAACCATCGCACTTCTCTGGGTCGCATGTCGGTCCGTCGTCGATGGCGTGCGACAAGGGCGGGCCACAGAGTCCGTCATCGAGTTCAGCGTCGCCCTTGTAGAAAAAGCGACAGTGAAGTCCGGGCCCGCAGTTCTGCTTGTCACGGCTGCACGGCGCACCCGGTCGTAGGAATTCTTCGTTGCCAGCCGCCGGCGCGGCGAGGGACGCCGACGCAGACGCAGCGAGGAGCAGCACGGAGTACTTCATTCTTGTCGAGATTGCGAGTCCGTCTGTCGGACGAATGGCGAGGACGAAGGGAGACGGGGACGAGAGACGAGGTGCTAGGGTGACTTGACTTGTAAGCGTCCAAGATGAAGAACATTTCAACTTTTGGACACCGGACGAGACTCGATATTTAGCCTGCTTGTCGAGGTGCGCGTCCCGCGCCCAAAGACAAAGACACGGAGGACAGACAAGACGGTAGGCAGTGCCGAGCGTGCATCATGTCGAGTCTCCAACATTCGATCCGAACGACAGCAGTGGCCTAATGTCAAGTTTGCAGGGTCATCCTCTTCATGCTGCCAACCTTGCTTTTGCTTCGGTTGCGCTCCACCACCGCGTCGGCAGGAATCAGGATGCATGCCCAGGCACGTTGACACAGACGAGACCTCTTGGCGCAGCCGGCGAGACGCTGCAGCACCGGCATCGGCACGCGATTCGCCGTCGCGCATGGCAGAGTGGAAGGGCGTCGTCCCTTGCGGTGTGCTCATAGACTCGCGACTCGTCCGACAGCCCACTCGCCGCCCACCTCCGTTACGTGGCCTCGCGCACCAGTCGGCCGGCAAATGCCGCGATGCTCTCCGTCATCAGCAGCAGCACGCCGGCCTGTCCCCAGAAGTGGCCCGCCGTGGCCACCTCACGTCCTGCAAACTGCGAGCCCGGCCTGCCGCCCAGCCTGGCCGTCCACGCGCGCAGCCTGCCCACCGGCACGAGGCCATCCTTGTCGCCGAAGACGGCAAGCGTCGAGTTCAGGATGAGCTTGTCCTCGGCGGCCAGGGCGGCCGCGTCGTCGTCGTCGGCGGCGGCGGCGGCGTGCCGTAGGCGTCTCGTGCGCGACGGGAGCAGCGACATGGTCGCCAGGTGCGTGACGAGGCCTTGTAGCGGCGACACGAGCAGATAGGCCGGCCGGGGTCGCACCAGGCCCGCGATGACGGGCAGCTCTTCCTGCTCGCCGGCCTCGGCTGCCGTTTGTGCGTCGCCTGTCGGGCTCGTCGACGCTCGGGGCCGCGGGTGCTTGTCGCGCCGCCTGGCCACGAGCAGCTCGCGCGCTCCCCTGGGGAACCTGTCGTCGGCGTCGAGCGAGGAGCTCCTCGGTCCGAAGCTGCTGCTGTCGTGACTCTTGCGTGGCCGCGCGTCGCCCTCTTCGCCGCCCACGCGAACCCGCACCTGGCCGGGGTTCTGCCGCTCTGCGAGGTGCTGCGCCCGGAGTCGGATCTGCGCGGCGTGCGAGCCGCCGGCCGGGCGGGCAAACGGCTCGAGGAGCTGGTCCAGCGGGGGGATCTGCGCCGTGATCATGGCGCCGTACGAGTAGCCGCCCATGAGCAGGACGGGCGCGGGCGGCGCATTCGTGGGCGGCGCACGCGGGGACGCTTCGTCGACGACGTCTCGCGCGGCCTCGGCGGCCTCCGGCCCTGCAAAGGGATCCAGAAAGTGCACGTAATGCACCACCAAGCCCACCACGCTCGCGTAGTCGTCTCGTTCCGGCCTCGCCGTCCACGACGTCCGACCGGCGGAATGGCGCGCGCCTCTGCCTCAAGAGTCAGCGGCCTTGTCTCCCTCTCCCCATCTGTCCCTCGGTCTCTCGGCCTTGGTCCGGTCCGCCGCCCGCCCGTGGCGGCGCAACGGGTTGGCATTACCTGAAATTAAAGGTGCCCACGAGGTACCCCGTCCGCAGCAGGGTCGCGGCCACGCTGTCCAGGATCGGGTCGTCGTAACAGCCGCCCATGGGCGCGTACGGGTGCGCGACCACGGCCGCGTGTCTCTCCCACGGCGGCGCGCGAGGGTTGGCGGCGGCCAGCGACGCCGGGTGGTAGACGCGGCAGTCGAGCACCGTTCCGTCGTGCAGACTGGGCAGCGTGAAGCTCAGCGCCGGCTCGGGGAGCTGTTGTCCGACAGTCTCCCCCATGTGAGTCGTCGTCTGCGGGCGCGTGGTCGGGTTGCAGCGTCTCGATTCTCGACGAGGGGACGTGGTGAGGTCAATCTACCCTTGTTGTTTGTTGCCTGACGGCGAAGATCAACCGAGGGAGGGGACGGGGGTGCCCTGGCAGCCGACCTCGGAGCTGCTCCACCGCCGGCGGTGCTGTACTGTACTGGAATTTAATTGGTCAAGACAAGTCAAGCAGTCGAGCCGGGCACCTCTTGGCTCACAAGTCTCACGGCGCCTTTACCTAGTGCATTCGCTTTACAGGCAGGCACATTACAAAGAGAGGCTTCACAAGGATGGAGTAGATGTCCTTGTAGAGTGGACTGGGTAAGGGTAACGAATACTAGATGTCACAGTCTAGGCTGACGCCCGACCTGGCGAGCGGGACATGGCCTACCTTGACAAAAGGAAATGATGAGCCCGCCGTCAGCCCGTCACACTCCGTGCTCCGTCCTGGTCCATCATTGTTCATTGGTCGATTCTGCGGCCGGTCCGCTTTTGCCACGCGGCTGTGGGGACTCGACTTGCGCGGCACGGAGTACGGAGTACGAAGTGGTCTCGGGTTACATTACGGAGTGCGGAGCACCCGTTGGCAACTACGTGGGCCGGCCACTCAAGCGGCACGCGGCTCTGACGCTCAGTCACCGCCGGGCACAGTGCTGCCCGCGCGTCCCTGGGCTGTTCCATTTGCTCCAGTAGGCCCTGTCCAGGCTGCTCCCTGCCTGCCTGCCTGCCTGCCGAGCGGATGCCGTTGATTGACGGGGGCGTTTGTAGCCGACAAAACCAATCCCAGGGGAGGGCATGCCGCGCGTCTGCATGAACACGTGCCCCTTTAATATCCGAGCTGGATGTTGTCGGGATACCTGGGTATACTGCTTGAGCCTGGTTACTCGTGGGTTTCTTATTTATTCGTCCAGCGAGTCACTTCGTGGTCTCGTCTGCCGATCATCCCTTTGTTCATTCCTTTATTTGTTTGTTTCTCTGTCCATCCGGCCCTTGTTTACTTGTACCTTTCCTCAAACCGGCGATTTTGCGCTTCCACGACTGATTGTTCACATGTACTTTGCCTCGCTCCTCCATGTAAACCATCCATCGCCGTGACATGCTTTCCATCTTTCGCCTTGCCGCCGCCGCCGGCCTCGTCGCCTCAGCCGCGTGTGCTCGGGCGCTCAATGCGTCCAACTTGGACGGCATCCAGGCAGGGTGTGGCACCCCCAGTCCTGCACACGAGCTGTGGACACGCCCGAACGAGTCCCTGGCACAGGCGCCGAGGGCTACGAAGCGCGACCGGGGCCAATTGCACCGGATACCAGTACACATCACTGTTTTGGCCAAGGACAACACCGTCGAGGGGGGCTTCCTTTCTGTATGGCTCTGCGCGCCTCAGCTGCCCATGCGGGAGATGCATAAATAACAACTGCTTACGCGCTGACGTCTGAACCAGGACGCTCGTATCCAAACGGTACTAGATTCGTTTGACAAGTACTATTCCTTTGGCTTCTCCCTCGACGCCTCGGTCGACACTGTCCGTCGCTACGTACGCCCTGAGCTTTTCGATCCCACGTCAGGGGTATTCATCGGAGACGGCAGAGGCATCCGGCGAGAGTACCACCGGGGTGAAGGCGACTATACCTCAATGAACCTCATCTTCCTCTATCGCCTTAAAGACGTTTACCCCATCGACGGCAGCTCTTCAGGCTTCATGGGGGAGACAATTATGGCCTTTCCCGAACTCTGGCGTTTCTCAAACGCACGAGACCTCGAGGCGGAAGACAGCATCCTCCTCTCCGCTGCCATCGTCCCGAATATAGTTAGTTCGGGGCACAGGGGAAATTTGCATACATTTGCCCACGAGGCCGGCCACTTTTTCGGACTATACCACACGGACCGTTCGAAACAAGAGGGCGTCTGCGACCCGGAAAACGACGGCATCAGCGATACCCCTACTCACGTCGTGCCGAAGGATTGGCACCATTGGTTGCAGCAGTGTCCTCCAGTGGGCCAAGTCAATACCTGCGCGCAATTCGGTGATGGACCGGACCCTATCCGGAATCTCATGGTCTCGCTGCACTTGTGCGTATTCTTGTGGCCCCTTGAAATTGAACCGAGGTACTGACCCAGATGTGCTCCAGCGGCTGCGATATGGATGACTTGACACCGGGCCAGAGGCAAAAGGCGTTGGACACGTTCGAAAACAGCCGCCTGCCGTATAAAAGGAAGATGCAGGAGCTGGGGCATTGGGTGCAGCGGCAAGGCCAGCAGTCACAGGGCCAACAACGGCAAGACCAACAGGACGATTCGTGGGACGAGTTTCGCCAACCGCATGAGAAACATCAACAGTTACGGAATGAGGCTCAGAAAATCCTCGACCACTGTCTCCGCCAGGTGGAGCAAGAATACAACCACGAGAGCGCCAAGCTACGTCAGAAGAGGCGCCGCAAGGATGACGAATCGCAGCGTCATCTCCAGCGTATATGGGATTGGCTCAACGGCTACTGGTATCATCCGCAACATACTGACTGGGCTCTGCAAAAATGGGCTCAGCTGGAGGAGGATAACCGCCAAGTCCGGCAGCATTATGAGCAGGAAGAACGGCGGCTCCAGGCGGACCTGGTGCAAATCGTCGAGCAGAAGCGACAGGAGTGTACAAAGAGGGTACACGAGGAAGCCTAGAGAGTCTGAAGATGTGGGCGCGAAAACAAGGCAAAGGACGGCAGGCAGGACGCGTACGGAAGTGGTCGGCAGAAGCGGCAGCAGCAGCAGTACTGATATGCTTTCAAGTTCCATCTTGATCATCGTCCAAGTAGAAGGAAAGGGGACCGCGGAGTCGCTGTGGTTTCCGGTTCAAACAAGTCCCGCGATTTTGGTGGGATGTCGTTGAGGAAGAGAGCGCCTTCTCTCTGTGGACAAAGTGGTGGGTAGCAAGTAATGGGAAGCTCGATAAGAGTAGGAGCAGTCGCCTCGCCCAAAGAAGGCCACTTACTCGTCAACCTCGTACTCAACAAGCATCTGCTTCGCTTTCCGACTCGGTTTCCGACTTCGTTTGGGACAAGGTTCCCGGGGGAGCTCAGTCGATCGGCACGACGTCCTACCCTAGGATGGCTATTTTGAACCCAAAAGTCAACAATCCTATTCTATTCCCCTTGCTGCCATCGCCCATCGCGAAAGAGCATGTGGAGCCGGGGGCCAGGTCCTGGGACACATCTTTTTAATAACTTGTGGGTCCTAATTGCAGGAATAATTACAGAGCGTCTCCCTTTAATTACTGTAATAGCCCAGCAGTCGACTGTCTAGCACGTAGTTATTTAGCGAGGTGCCGACGTTTGTGCCGAGTCGTTGCCGAAATGAAAGATTAGAAGAGACAAGAAGTGCGCGAGGCAGTGAAATTTACAACCCAATATTCTCCGCCAGCACACGGTAGAACCAGCCCCATGACCAAGTTTTGCTATAGTCTTGAATCTGCCATCTAGTACCTCGGTACCTCACCGGGACGCGTAGGGTGGAAGCATCTCATCCGGTTGCCCGGTAGCAGCTCCTCATCGATGGGTTTGTTAATCATTTAAGGGGTCTATCCGAGTGAGAGATTAACATTTGACAAGGCCACGGAGAAAACAATCCCCGTGGCCTTGGCTGCCAGAGAGCTCGCGGATTCGTTTTGGACATGGTTGCTCGTCGTGCCGATGGACATGAATGGCTGGCGGATAATTATCGGTCCCTGAATAAATTTTATGCAAGTGCTCATGTCTTGGCGGGTGTGGTACAGGTCCCAGGACTTGTATTTATTCGTCTCGCCGGTTTGAAGTCGAGTAGAATCATCACTCATCCATAGTTCTCGAGGCTTTTCTTACTAGGCGTTAACTTACGGAGTACCCTGAGCAGGTTTCGTGCCGATAGAGGGAGAAAGCGTTGGCTGGCAACTATGCTGCTGCTTGCTCAACCAACTTTTCTTTGGCCTTGAATTTCGGGCACCCAGACCTAGTCAACCTTGGAAGTATGGATCACACGTCAATCCTCTTCCTTTTCTTCTCGTCACTCACCTCTCTTAGGCATCTGGGCGCAAAGGCCCCACATGTCTCGGCCCCTTGATACCTCAGTCATCTAGCCGGGCTACGCACTCAAGCATCTTTATATATAGCCTGGAAGACGGATAGCAGCTGGCCGATGATGTTGACTGACTGAGCTACGGAGTGTTGGGCGTTGGAAACGTACCTATTGGCCCGGCAACAGGCGTGAGTGGAGAAGCGTGGGCCGTCTGGACTGCCGCCCCCGGCGGATAAAGCGGGTCTCGTGTGCCGTGCAGCCCGGCGCCGGGATTCGCGGAGCCCGGAGTTGTGGGCCGTGGGCGGCCTCGCTTTTGCCTCCAACCTTGGTCGTCGGGACTTTGTCACGGCGTGCCACAAACCCGCTGCAAAGCCCAGCGATGAGAAGGTCACGAAATCCGGGGGGCAAGAATGACATGCGCCGGCCCCTCAAAACTGGGCATCTCGCGGCATCCCCCTCCCACGCTAAGAAGCGTGCCGAGACCTCCTCTCCTCCAGGCTCCTACACTCTTGTCGACATTCTACTTGGCCCTTTACTGCTGTCGAGTCCAGTAGCGTCGCGCATCGTGGCCCTCGAGGTGCAGCTCAAAGGCCCCAAAGGGGTGGAATTCACGCTTCCCCGGGGTTCTTCATCAACGACGAATTCGTCAAGTCGACGTCGTCGCAGGCCATGGCCAGCATCAACCCAAGGTAGGGAGAGCCCGGCAAGAAGCCCGCCGCCGCTGAAACCAGAGGCTAAAAGCCAAAGAAAGCCGACGCGGTCACGTCGCAGCACCGGCCTGGCCTCCGGGAGTGCTTGAGTCAACGTCGTCAACGGCCTCGGGCGCGACGCCGGCGCCGCCCTCGCCGCCCTCGCCGCCCACCCGGTCGGGGCATCGACAAGATAGCCTTGACGGGCTCGACACCTTTGCCGCCGCCACCACCCACGGGCCCCAGATCTCGCTGGCCCAGCACGACAGGGTGCTCTCGTACGCCGAGGGCGCCGAGCGCCAAGCGCCAGGGCGCCCGGCTCGAGACGGGCGGCGGCGGCGGCGGCTTCTCCGTCCAGCAGACTTTCTTCGACGCCACTCCCGGCATGGTCCTCTTCAGGGACGACGTGTTTGGGCCCCTGTCACCATCACGCCCTTTGACGACGAGGCCCACGCCGTCGCCCTCGCCAACGACTCCATCTACGGCCTGGCCGCCGCCGTCTTTACCCTCGACGCCGGCACGCTCTGGGTCAACTCGTCCAACGATTCCGAGGTCCACGTGCCCTTTGGGGGCGTCAAGCAGTCCGGAATTGGCCGCGAGTTGGGCGAGGCCGCTCTCGCCGCTCACACCGAGATCAAGGCTGTCCACGTCGACCTGGGCTCCAAGTTCAAGTTGTAAGTGTGAGTGAACCATCCAATCGATGCGACCGATCCGTGGGCGATTTTGTGAACAAACACCATGCATCCATCATGTGAAATAGTGGCCATGTCCCGGACGCAGCCAATATAACCAACGATTGCCATTATTCTTGAGGCCTTGTCAGTCATTACCATCATTGCCGTGGCTTGATCCGCCCAAGGTTGCACGCCAAGGACAACAGATACGAAGCATGTACTATGACAGTGTCTACCTAGCTATGTTCTCTGTAAACCTACTTCATGATTTGACATGTTCTGACCCTTGCCATGCCATGACTGACCGTCATGCTCTTTGCACGAACCGCATCCAAAAACTTGTGGTGGGACACCTTGCCAGCTAAACCTCGCAGCCCGTCTTGCCTCCATCTCCGCTATAATCACTCCCCCATGCCGTCGACTTCTGCTTTGCCATGGCTTCAGAGGAATAAAAAAAAAGAAAAAAAAAGGGAGAAGGGGAGGGAGGGAGAAGGGGAGATTAAGAGGCAGAGTCTCCATGGGACGTAATTCATGGGAGGCCCGTTCCCATCCTCGCCCTGTGCTCAGTTTCCAGGTAATGTACTTGTTGTCTGATGCTTGATGCTGCTGCCGTACACCTGAGGCTCCGCAATGGAGTTTTCATGGCGGCTCGACCCGCTGTTTTGCGCGTACAAGATGTCTTCGGTCACCTCCACTGATTGCATAAATGTTCTGTGGCCTTGAAGGAGCCAGAAACCAATGGAAACCACTAGCATGGCGCCGAATACAGCAATCGCAAAGTTCATCTCGCCGACCGAGGGGTTGGGTCTCGTTGGGAAAAAAAAGAAAATCGTCGTGACGGCGCAGTACATGACTGACACCCAGTTGACGACGGAACCGAGTCGGCCGAGCCCAAATTCTCCGCCGGGGGGCAGCTTATCGCGGCCAACCACCATGAGTGCAATGATGGGCATGGCATAAGAGATGGTCAACGAAATCGTGCTGACGCTGAGAATGGCCTGCAAGACGGTGCTGGCAAACAAGTAGAGAATTCCAACCAGACAGATGATGCCACACTGCAACCACAAGGCACGGCCAGGCACCAACCACGTCTCATCGATGTGCGAGAACCAGATTCCCCAGGGGAACCCGTTGTCTCGGGCAAAACTCCACGTCAGGCGGGAAGCAGACGTGAGTACGCTTGAGCCCTGGCCCAAGCCGTTGAAAATGAATAGTACAATCATGATGGCTCCACCATTTTGCCCAATGGTCGACTGGACGAGCTCAATGAAGGGGTTGCCTGATGCGGGATCCAAGACGCCATCGACGCTCTGGATACAAAAGAGACAGACCACCATAAATATGAAGCCGGAGAGCGCGCCGATGAGGACCGCCAGATACATGGTTCTCGGGGCGTTGCGTCGAGGTGCAGGGATCTCCTCCACCATGTGAATGACGGAATCAAACGCGGTCAGGCCGTAGGCACTCTGCACTAGGCCGAGGAACCAAACAACTCCGTTGCCCCAGCCGGTCCGGTTGATCCATTGCCCAAACACAAATGATGCCGACTGGTACGACAGGTCTGCCTTGGCGCCGACGGAAATGAGGAGAGCCAAGGAGAAGGCAACAAAGAGACTGGCAAAGCCAATGCCCACAAAGTTGTTGAAGGTTGGGAGGATCCATTCCTTGCGGCAAGAAACGTAGTTGATGGAGGTAAAGAAAACGGTAATGCCGACGTAGACAAGGAAGAGCAGCCATCCCTTCTTAGCGCCAGGCCACTCCGGATCAAAGATGAGCTTCATGGAGAGGAGAAACTCTGTCATGAAAGCAATCTGGGACGCCGTCAAGGTCCACCATCCAAAGGTGTTGATCCACGCACACATGTAAGACGCGAACCGGCCGGTTGGGGTGTTCCATAGACGCTGGATCCAATGCGCCTGGCCGAGTGCCGTAGGCATACTGCTGACGAGCTCGCCCATGGAAATGGCAACGCAAGTGTTGCATGTCGTCACGAGGACGAGGCCCCAAAGAATCCCTACAGGACCGCCGTTGACAAGCCCAGTGGCCAAATCCTGCGCCATGGTTGACCATGTTCCCAAGACGCTAAAGGCCAGAGCAAGCATGCTCCAAAGGCTAAACTTGCGAGTGAGTCTCTGGACATGGCCCAGTGCGGCAAGATCTTGAGCATCGCGAGTGGCCTGGACGTCTGAGTCGACAGTATCAGCTTGACACAGCTGGCTTGTTTGATCCATGCTATTTTCAACGAATGGACCGCTGTCATTCTCTGGTGATGGAATCTGAAAGAGATGTGTCGAAATGCCAACGTCTGATGATGATGCTCGGGAACAGAGCAAAATGAAAAAGAGAGATTTGCGTTTCGGCGAATAAAAACAACTTGGAGTGCCGAATAAAAGCGCTTTGATAATATGGGATTGCTCAGAGTAATAATTCCCTCAAGCTGACAAGTCTCAACTCGAGGTTAAGCTGGAGAGGTGCTCCGTACACAACTGTGGTAGGACTGGGGGGCGTGTCATTTGTGCGACGGCTGAAATGGAACAAGGCAAGCTGCCTGTATGTGTGCAATGCAGCGTACTCCGGACAGCAACGGCAACCATAGGTTGTTGAGACGGGAGCCTGTGTGTCTCTTGTCTCAACCATTCATGTCTTTAGCCGACCGGAGAGCTGCGAGCGGCAGCGGCACACGTCGCGACACTCCAAGCAAGGCAAGGCCAAGTCTGCCATCCACGATTTCCAATGAGAAGCGTAGAAGCGGCCGATCCCGGGGTGCGCCCTGCAGAATTTATTTTAGGGCGGTGCACCGGATCGCATGGGGTAGAGGCCGGGAACCAATTCGGAGAACATGAGGATGGACGCTAGGGGCGGAGTCGGCAGGGTGATGGCCAGCCTGGGCGAGACTTGGTTTGCAGATGGCGGCGCGGCTTGGAGTCGGGAGCCTAGCAAGCAGGAGGTGGCTTGGATATACGAAGGCCAAAGTTCGGCGAACACGACGACGGCGATTGTTGAGCGAGGAGGTGAGCGAGAGCCACGAAGGCGAGGTGCCGACCGACGGTAGGTCGTCAGGCAGTTGGCGACAGTGTAGGCCCCATGGGATGGGAAATCTGGAAGGTGCGAGCTTCATCCGACGGCGCAGATGCCGCAGATGCCTTGTCAAATTGGCGAGCGAAATTTCAAACGGAAGGTGCAGGTGCGTTCGCCGTGCGGACAAGCCCTTGGCGGGAAGGAGGAGACGAGTAAGCGGCAAGGGAACACTGAACCATGAAATGGAGAAACACAGACTGCAAAACTTGGGCACGCCGCCGAATCTGCACCTCGAAATTTTCGACGTCCGGCCAGGCGCAATGCCGAGTTGCAAAGATCGTGACAAGTTACAACGAGCCTCCTCACGACCACCGTGCTCCGATCCGCAAGCAACAAACAATGTGCGGAGCGGAGCGGCTTGCTTCAACTTGCAAGTGTCGCATCGAACCGCTCTTCAAATAAGCTCCTCCACCCCCTTCTGGCTCCCTACATGGAGTCTCCTGGCCATCTCTCTGGCCGTGCCCGGGTGGCGAACGCAATCAGGCTAGTAGCTGATAGAGACAGGTCCATTTCATCGCTGCTATCTATTATCGGCACCATATTCTGACCCTCGTTGTATCAAACAGCCCCCAAAGATAAACATGCCAGGGGCCATGACGCGGTTTATCTACGGTCTGTCTGGTCTCTTATCGGCTCGTCGGTGTGCACCAACAGCAGACAGCACTAAATAGTAACCTTGTCTCAGCTCTTTCCCCATGCAACAACATTCTGCAGTCGTGCGGATCAGTCACGCTATGGTCATATCCAGTCCTGATGCAACACCGGGCAAGTCCGCTGGTGCTAGCCGAAGAGGATCCTGGGGGAACCCGTTTGAGCACTGAACTCACTGAACTTGGAAGCTAATCTACGTAGATGGTTTGCCAGTTTCAGTAACGACAGATGGTCCAACCAGAGCATCCACGCATTGTTCCCCAGGTCTTGCATGCATAACCCCAGACCGAGACTCATCAAGATCTGTCAGGGCACAACAGGCAACGTCATCCAGCCACAACTTCATTGGTCTCCCAACTGTCATCCCCCTTGTCCCTACAGAGCCAGTCCACATGACTTGATTAACTAGCCCGGCCGCCCGCGGACGTCCGAAATGCACGGAAGACGTATGGTCTCGGGCTCCGTGTGTCATGGTTTGTGGGTCGGTTGCAACTCGTGGTCATCGCTGGCTTATCGGCGCCCCGAGCTTCACGATGCGTTTCCGAAACCCGGGCGCTGTGGAAAAGAAGTCGTTTCGGGACCGTGACATCGAAACCAGTCCTGGCCTTCTGGCCGTTCAGTCCGCCGCGAAGGTAATTGTCTCAGTGCTTGGCTACTATTTCTCTCGACATTTGCGTCAATCAATATTGCCAAGTCACAACAAAGAACGCGCCAAGCCGAAGCGGAGAGCACCCCGCTTATTCAGAAGCACAGAGTAATCAGAACGGAGACATCGCTTGACCAGTATTAAGATCGCGTACATGTCTCGATTCGTTGGCCGTCCTCCTGACACGTCTCGTGGGAATGTGGCTCGAGTCGAGATGCGACAAGTCTGCCAACCAATACTCGGTAGAAACGGAGTATATAACAATGAGTCAAAATATTGGCGTCGTGCTTTGGGTACGGACGCCTTCATGCAGTGGAGACGGGGACACCGACTCAGGCTGCCTCTCCTGCCCTCGGCTGGGCATCTCAGTGCGCCAGCCAAGAATTTATCGTTCCCACCGGGACCGAAACCCACCAGGAGTTGCGAGTTGGCGCTTACCGCCACCCGTATGGGCTGATATGGCCGGCGGCCGCGGGCCGGCTACATTATCACTCTTGGCTTCCAAACCTTTTGCTTAGGTATATATTATGTTTCCTTTTTGACCGATCAGGCTAAACAGTGGCCGGAATCCAGGTCGTCCAACACATCCTTCTCTAGACCTTCGAGAACAACGCAACACGGGCCGTATAAATAACACCTGCAGAAGTCCAGCACATCATGGCTGCACCCGCTTTGCAATTGCCCGAGGTAGATACAACCTCAATACCAGGTTATGTCATCTTCCCATCGCAAAACGACAAAACACCACCGGCCGCGACCGGACTTCGATCACAAGTCCACCCTCTAGGTATGCGGAAAAGGCCCAAGGTTTGTCCTAGTCGAAAATGGGACCCAGCGCTAACCTGTGTATGTCTGTCTACTGGACAAAATAGACCAGCTTTCGGTGCACGAAATCTCCACAACGGCAAAAATCATCCGCGACTATGCCAGCCCCAAGCAGATCAAGTTCAACTGCATCACTCTTCGAGAACCTAAGAAGAATGAGTATGCCGCGTTTCGGTCGAGAACAGGCCCTCGCCCGGAGAGGCGCGCTTTTGCAATCGTTCTCGAGCAAGGCACTGCTAATGTTGCCGAGGTCGTTGTCAACTTGATAAAGTCACAAGTCGAGGACTGGAAGCCTGTGCATGATGTGGCCCCGACACTGACTCTCGAAGATCTTGATGTCATGGAGCGCATTGCTCGCTCAGATCCCCGAGTTATCGAGACGTGCCGGGAGATTGGCATCACAGACATGTCCAAGGTCTATCTTGACGCCTGGGCCATTGGTGTTGACCGCCGATGGGGCTTTGAGCGTCGTCTCCAGCAGGGTCTTCCTTATTACAGAGCCTCCGAGCACGACAACCAGTACGCTCACCCGCTAGACTTCACCGTCATTGCGGATACTGAGACGGAAGAGGTCTTGAGCGTCGATGTTCGCCGCGTCAACGGCGAACGCACAAAGGTGCCACTCGAGCAGCACAACTATCTCCCCGAGTTTATTGGCGACGGCTACGAGCCACGCAAGCTCAAGCCCATCGAGATTACTCAGCCCGAAGGCGTATCTTTCCAAATGAAAGGCAACGAAATCCATTGGGCCAACTACAAGATGCACATTGGCTTCAACTATAGAGAGGGAATCGTTTTATCTGATGTTAGAATTCACGATCCTTATGAGAAACGTGAGAGAACTCTATTCAATCGCATCAGCGTTGTTGAGATGGTTGTTCCGTATGGTAACCCAGATCCCCCTCACCACAAGAAGCACGCCTTTGATGTTGGAGAATACGGTACTGGTCTGATGACGAACTCTCTCAAGCTTGGGTGTGACTGCAAGGGCGCCATCCACTACCTTGACGGCGTTGTTTCTACATCCAAGGGGCAGGCAGCGGTTATTCCCAATGCGGTGTGCATACATGAAGAAGACTCCGGGCTGCTGTACAAACATACGGATTTTCGAGACGGAAATGTCATCTCGGCTCGTGACCGCAAGCTGATTATTTCACAAATCATCACCGCTGCCAACTACGAGTACGGTTTCTACCACACCTTTACGCTTGATGGAACGTATAAGCTTGAGATGAAGCTTACTGGCATGCTCAACACGTACTGTATGCACCCGTCCGAGACCGCTGCTCCCTACGGCACAGAAGTCGCGCCCGGCGTAAACGCCCACAATCATCAGCACATTTTCTCTCTCCGCGTCGACCCCGAAATCGACGGAACCAACAACTCCATCCTCCAGAGCGATGCCGTTCCCTCCGACGCCCCAGTCGGATCTCCTGAAAACCCATACGGCAACGGCTTTTACTGCAAAAAGACGTTGCTGAGAAGGGCCAAAGAAGCTGCCGTCAACTATTGTCATGAAACCCAGCGTGCTTGGGACATTATCAATCCTAACAAGGTCAACGAGTCTTGCAAGAAGCCCGTTGGCTACAAGATTGTCAACAACAACTGCCCTCCGCTGCTTGCCAAGCCCGGCAGTGTGGTCTACAAGCGCGCCGCCTTTGCACGCAAGAGTCTCTGGGTTGTGCCGTACAAGGACTACGAGCTCTTCCCTGCAGGAGACTACGTTTGCCAGTCCACAGGCGAGGAGGACCACCCTTGCAACCAGAGCGTCCTCGACTGGTCGAACCGGGATGAGCCGATTGAGAACACGGACATCGTGTGCTACATACAGTTTGGACTCACGCACTTCCCCCGCTGTGAGGACTTCCCCATCATGCCCGCCGAGCCGGTTGGCATCATGATCCGTGCTAGCAATTTCTTCCAGAAGAACCCTGCCTTGTGGGTGCCCCCGTCACAAATCAAGAACGACACTTGTTCCCGGAATGCCTTTTCCGAACCGGGTGACTGTTGCAGCGGGGCCACGTCAAATCTTTCTTCTCGGCTGTGAAATACACCAAAGGGACCGGCACATGGCTCGTAAATCCATGCAAACATGGTGTTGGCGGCATTGAGTTTTGTTTACAGTTTTCTAGTGTAGAGCCGAGAAACTGAAACACTTACAAATCACCCTTGTGCAACATTTTGTGAAACTGTCGAACGAGTGAGATTAAGATGACCCGACACCCATGCTGCTGTACAGGCGCGTCGAGAATGTCCGGCATCCTGGAATGAGCACGGATCCCCGAGCTTTCCGTGTTGTGCCGGGTTCTCGTCAACCTGTATCACGGTGTAGTGGTGTATACTTGACTGCAGTGCTCGGTACTAGCCCGTGCTGGCTCTTTTGCTCTTGAAGCCTTGTTGTGATTGCACGGCGGTACCAGCCATGACAAAGACGTATTCGCCATGCAACTTGTGAAGGAGGCTCGCGGCATGAGGCCGTAGCATTCACATATAAGACAACGACACGGAGGCTGAGGAGAGCCCACGGGCAGCGAGCGATGCTTCATTGTACCGAACACGTCGAGAGGTTGTGGGTGCGCGCACAGGCTGGTTCACGACCACGGCGCCACTAGACGGCAAAGGCGGACGGACTGAACCAAGTCATCATGTTGCCCACTTGCCTACGTGAGTACTTGACTCTGTAGGTTGTAGGCGGCACAGTATACTGGGAGCACGACTCGGTTCCTACCATTCCGCAAAGGGGTCCCGTGTACCGGGCGGAAACCACGGTCTGTTGCATCAGCTCAGGATTGCCAAACGTCCCTGGCAATCACCAAGCCGATGGATGACGACCCGGGCGCAAGGGGACATGCTGAGTTGGGACAGGATACGCAGGAGCCGTCAAGGGATTAAGATGTAGTATTTACACTCCTATGCCAGCGCGGGCCAGCAGTTTTTTTTTGGTCCGAGACTTATTTTTTCTTTGTTTCTCTCCTGGCTATCCATGACGTACACTCAGACTAGTGTTGGCGAAACCGTACCGCCTTGCTCTTCCTCTTTTCCCCGTCTCGCAGAGGGAAAACTGAAAGCGGCACCGTCTGACTGGAAAGCTTCGATCCAGCCAGGGCAAGTCGCGTCGGATGGCGCCGTCGTGTCTACCCCGGCCGCAATCTTAGCACAGACGCGGGTCGACGCATCGCCAGGCGTTGTCGCCGCAGGCCACGCAGAGCCCGAGGCTTGGCAGCAGCGCGAGTATCCGTCTCATGTCGAGCCTGCGACTGGGCGCACGCAAGAGCTTGTACAGGTAGGGCTGATGCATGGTTCAGTTCGGCATGTGCATCCTGGACGGTCCATCAGCGGTCAGGATCCCGCCCATCTCGGGGGCCACGACTTGGCTGGCAGTCCCATGCCTTGAGTCTTGACAACTAGCTTCGGCTTTGTAGGCCCATCAGCAGATCAATGCGAGGCATCATATGCGATCCAATCAGGCGGCAAGTCAGTGGCCCTTGTACCGAGTACAGAGCAGCCACTTCCATTCTCACGAGTCGCTAGACCCGGATAGGCGTGATATACCTCCACGGCACGGGACTGCCACCCGGCCGAGATCGATCTTCGGAAGGGGAGCAGCAGAGCTTGAGCAGCAGAGCTTCAAGGTGGACGCGGCTCGGTATGCTGCTTCGCCAGGCCGTCTTGGAATAGGCGCGGCATTTCCTCCTCGTGTCACCTGTTTTGATTGCAGGCGTGTCCGTGGCCACCTCTTGAAGCTCGTGCGGGTGCTTTGTGCCGTGGCTCGTTCGTTCCTTTGTCGGCTCCAGCTGCGAGCAAGAGACACCACGCCCGTTGACGAGTGTGAATATTTTATCTCGCCTTGTTGTTCTGTGCACGTGCAGGCGTGCTGTTGGAATAAGCTTCCGGCCCTCAGCAAGCAGCCCACCAACCACGTCGAGATCAAAAGAAGCTGCACTCGTGTGCTGCCGGTATTGCAATCCAGGTATTCGTAAGCTGCTTCACGCTTGGCACCTGCGGATCGAATTGGGTCGTGCCTTCGGCCTTGCTTGCATCCATCTCGTCGCACATCTGGAGCATCCAACCTATCCTCACACTTTGGAACAATTCACGCATTCATAGGCGGGTATGAGTTGTGCGACTACGCAGCTTCAGAGTCCAATTAATTCTCTGGGCATCTTTCCCCGCGCCCGACAAACAATGTGCAAAAAGTCTGACTGCTACCACCGCACTAGAATTTAGGGGCGTTGAGGAACAGGCCCATGAGAACGCCTCCAATGGTGCCAGCAATGGGAATGGTCATGATCCAAGAGAACAGGAGAAGTCCCACTCGCTGAAAGTTGACAGCCTTGATGGTTCCGTTGCAGAGCCCAACGCCGACAGTAGCACCAGTGATGCACATGGACGTAGACACGGGGAGAGAGTACTGAGAAAAGACCAGGACGGTGATGGCAGCCCCCATTTCCATAGAGCTGCCACGGCTGGGGGAGTGGTACGTGATTTTGTTGCCCATGACTGTACCAAGCGTTAGAAATCAATATCGACGGTTGCTGGCTCTTAAAGGGGGCGCATGTGGATGCGATACTTTACTCACCTTTCATAATGTTGTAGCCGTAGGTTATAAGACCAAGAGAAATAGTGGCAGAGAGCACAGCGAGCTGCCAGACATCGACGGGAGCCTTGGCCTGAGCGGCGTTGCCCGTCCTCCAGGCACCGTAAATGACGGCCCAAGGACCGACAGAGTTGCCAATGTCGTTGGCGCCGTGGGCGAAGGAAGCAGTGCAGGCGGTGAGAACCTGAACAAAGGAATAAGTATGTTCAACCTCATCAGAGTACTTTTCAGCAGAAGCATAGACGCGCTTCATGCGCTCGCCTTCAGGCGTGCCCTCAATACCAGACTGGGCGGCATGGATATCATAATGAAGGCCGTACAGGAAGCCACAGACAACCATTGCAGGCATGCGCTTGGCAAGGATCTTGATGTTGTGCAGCTCGTACATCTGACCAGCACCCATGGGATTGTCGCGTAGGGTCCGCATGGCCCAGCCAAGGGGTCCGCGCTTCTTCATCAGCCGAGCGTTGAATCGAGCTTCACCCTCAGCAACCAGCTCCTTGTAAGACTTTTGCGTGCCCTCGAGGTTGGCAAGGCTATTCTCGCTGCCCTTGGGGGCCTCGGAGGCAGTAGACATGACGCCATGCTCCTTGGCAGAGTCATCCTCGGCCCTCAACTCGGGGGAGTGTGCGGCAGACTCGTCGAGGTCCTTGTCGTGTTGAACAACGGCATAATTCGGAACATTGGCGCGCTCGGCATGGTCGGGCGGAGGGCGCTTGAAGAGCAGAGGGCCAAAGATGAAGTGCCACCACCGAATCGAATGGTCCTTCTTGATGACCTTGGAGTGGACAAAAGGGACGAAAAAGATGGCCGCAAGAATAGCCACGCCGCCACCAGTTCCCATCGTCACGGCGGCGATATACCAACTGGGCTTCTTGCCAAGCCCTAAATTAGGTGAGCCCTTATAAACAATAGATAGGGTGCAGATAGTGGAAGCAATAAGGAAGAAGAAAGGCGACGTGTAGACGGCCCAGGGAACGGGGTTCTTGCGCATGTGGACAACCAACTTGACAAGCATGAAGATGGTAGCTGCAAATCCACCAGAGATGACTGGGGCCATGCCTAGGCCAGCAAATATGGCGCCGAGACCCTTCCCGTCATGCCAACCCCATTGAACCTTGGAGGCGCCAACAGTAGCAACACCAACGCCAGCAACAGCGGAGACCAAGGAGTAGGTGGAGGAGACGTGGGCAGAGTGGCGGGTGCACCACATCACCCAAGACGAAGCCGCGGCAAGGGCACAAGTAAAGGCAAGCATCTGCACACCGGCATTGTTCTGGAAGGCAGAGTTGGGAATAATGCCGTTTTTAATGGTTTCAGCAGTACGGGCACCGACGGTAATAGCGCCAAGCATTTCGAAGATGGTACCGAAGATCATGGCCTGTCTGTAAGAGATGGATCTGGAGGAAACGCTGGTAGCCCAAGAGTTGGCCACATCATCTGTCAAGAAGAGGACATTGTTAGTTGGCAAGGACCCCAACGGATGAGTGGCCACGGCCAAGACAGTAAAAGACAGAAACAGTGGTGCGAGCAGCGTGTCTCGGAACAGGAGGTGCGCCTGGCTCTGAACTCAGTTGCGCCATTGTTGAAGGCATCGAGCAGGGCAAAGAAGGTGCCAATGGCAAAGATGTAATCGTACTGATGGAGAGTCATCTTGGTGAGATGCCAGGAGAGTTCCTCGCAAGATCCTCTCGTACCGTCCTAGATGGTTGGACAAAGTTGGCAGCTCTCCGCAGACTCCCAGGCTTCCTTGAATCAGAGTATCAGCCCGGGTCTTGCTGGCACTTTATTCTTTATTGTGCCATGCGACCACGAGAAAAATCGACTGCAGGGTTGTCGGTGGTGGCAGCCAGGCTGACCACGCTTGGGCATGCCTCCCCAGCTTGTCCCCGGCTTCCTGGCCCAAGCGCCATGCGACCTGGACATGTACAAAATCATAACACCACGAGGCATATTCATGCGAATCGAGTACAATAACACGACTTGGTTTGACCAACATTCAGGCACGACAGCCACGGCTGTTAAGGTTGTTGTGTGGCGCGTAAGCGGCATCAAGGAAAAATGACAGGGGTTGAAAATGAATGCAGGTTGGATTCTGAGCAGGAAGGATCGCAGCAACTTCCTATCAGAATCTCCAAATCTCACACGTGGGAGACAATAGAAAGGCCATGGAAACCAACCAACTTGGAGAGCAGAAATGTACCTTGTCAGGTAGGGCGAATGAACGGGGCCTAAGACGCCACACGGGCCATGGGGGCTATGCGGCGTCCAATATGCCCAATAGATTGATTCCAAGTCCTGGCTGAGACCGCACCCTTTGCGATGAGCTAACCAGAGGAGGAGACCGAACAGTGGGGGGGGGGCATTTCCCGTGGTTGCAAGACACGGAAGTGCAGGTTAGACACGTGCGAACCTGCCCAAAAGCGAGTCGGGGCCGATGATGGTGCAATTTTGGCGTGATGTCTTTCCGGCGGTTCAAGTGGCCATGATAGTTGAACAGCATGGCCCACGCATCGTTGACAGAAAACGAAATTTGATGACTGCGCCAGGACTGGTCGAGGCCCAAGCTCGGCTGGGAGCAGATGTGCGTCTAGGTGTCCTCGTATCGTACAAAAGGACCGCTCCAGCATGTTCAGCACTTGATGGTGGCTCCAGATCTGAACTGTGTGCGTTACGAGATTGGTCGCCTACTCAGTCCCCAACACGGTGGCACCTCGTACGTATGCGGCGTCTGTGCCAATCGCAGAAAGTGAAACCAAATGTCTCCGTGACGGTACTGTGTTTGTAGCGGACCCAGGGCTTTGAGCGAGTAGTCCAGGCCAAAGGACTACTGGCAAGTGGCAAGAGCGACATCCTTGGTGCGGGACTCATCAACGCGTCCTTTGGCAAAGGATTATCGTGGTGGCCAACGAAGAAAAAGAAGAGGAGCCAGAAGCTCAGCGTCGGGATCTCAAGCACGTCTCCGATATTCCTATATCCACGGTTGCGCACGTGGGGTGGTGGTTGTGTCGCTGGGATCCACCTCGAGTCTGCGTGGAGGGTCCAACGACATTGTTGGGCTTGGTTCCAAGTCAAGCGAAGCTGGAGCGGACCATGGGCCGAAAGACGGGCGAAGGGGAAATGCGGCTCGGTCTAGACTAAGAACCGACGTTAATTTCAAGGATGTACAGAGTGGAGAGTGACCGGAGGAGGCAACTTTTATTTCCTCTGAACCAAGAAGCCAAAGGAGGAGGTTCCTAGCCTCAGACGGCGACGGGTGTGAAAACGTGCTTTCGACTCTAGCAAAATCCTTGTGCGACCCAGACGGTTGGTTGTGCACGTTCAGGGCCCAAGGTCCTGCTGCAGCAGACAGTCAGGCACGAACAAAGATTATGAGAAACTGTTGAGCTAGTCGCGAGCCAATGCTAAAAAAAAAAGAAGAGGAAGAAGAAGAGTTTCGATTCTTCCTTGGGGGGTTTTGTGGACTGTTGATTAAGTGCGCGGCGGAAATGACTGGCGCCTCGTGACTGGAAAATGGAGTGTACCTTCCTTCCAAATATGCGCTGGTGTTTGATGCTCCTTCCTCGTTGCTGCAAAATGAGCAGGTACTCCGTACCCACACCGGAATTCCATGACGTTGGCAATTTATCTCTGCCAAGTCGGACCCTAGGCTGCCAAATGTCGATGCCTTGGGCTCTTTTTCCTTTTTTTTTTTTTTTTCTTCCTGGAATTCCGTTCCTCGTCGTGCAGTATTAGTGTTCGTTCATGGCGATCGAGAGCCCACTGCCCTAAATATAGCCTCCATCCCCCATCCCCCTGGCAGCCGCGACAGGTAACAGCTGTGGGGCTGGCCAGCCGCACCAGCTGACGCTAGTCTGTCCTTTCGTCAGGGTCCTCGGCGGGTAACGATAAACGCGCGCTTGCAATTGTCGGCCAATCCCGCGTCCGCATCCTTCAAACACTTGCCATTTCTCCGTCAACGCTCCAACTCTGCAATATCCACATCCCGCAGTTTGACATGGCATACAATGGACACATTTACGCTTTTTGTCGGCTGCGCGCCTTTTACATAGAGACGGACCCGGCGCCAACTTGGCCCCCACCGCATCTGTCCGTCCCCGCTTCTATTCGCCGAGTCTCCCTCCCGAGGTCTTCACAGCCGTGCTCTCGCGTCATCATCGCCGGCCTTTAAGCGCCTTCCATATAGAGCCATGGCATGAGCATTTTATCTTGTACCTTTTCTCTTCATCTCATTTTTCTTTTACCATCCATGCTGCTTACGGCGACGAGGCGCCTGCTGTGAACCTGGACCGAGATATGCAGTCTTTCCAAAAAGGGGGCGTGCAAGTGATGCCATGGCCGCTCCTCCAATTTCCAGGCGCCCAACTTGCGATTCTATTTTAGCGAAACCTTGGTCAGTTGCTGTCCGGAATCGACAAAGCCCCCCCCACCCCCCTATCTTGGCTATCTGCGTCTAGAAACCGACCGTCCGGCTACGAGGTATACCATGTTGGGTGTCTTCCATGTCTCTTGATAGCCGCCACTACATCGCAACCTCCCAGGGAGAATAATTCACCGTACTTGCTTGCGCACTGTTGGCGTTGGTAGCCCGTGACGACATACCACAGTGTTCCAAATGTGTCTCGGGCAATTTGAGGGCCACAGTTTTTGGCCTGGGGTCGTAAACGCCACCTCCTCCATTCCGTAGCCGCCAGGCCGCGTCAAGAATTTCCCTTTCAGCCAATATTATCGACCCGTTTCTGAGCAAGTCGACGCTTTAGACACGGGAACGTCGTTTCACTTCCAAATTCGTCTTGCGGGTTTTGTTTCATCGCTAGAGCCGCTCGTGGTGGCATTGGCCTCCATCTTTTCCCAAGCAGGGTCATGAATGAGGCTTATCGTCGTCACAAGATCTTAAAGCTGCTTCATGTCCCGTCGCCGAGGCCAGGAAGATTTGCTTCGTTTCTCCCTCACTTCCACCAGCCTCCTTTACACGGCTCTCTTGTTGTTCTTGACTTTTTTTTTTTTCCCTTTCTGTCATTCTTATTTTTCTTTCTTTTCATAATCCTATTGCTTGAGTCGGTGTCCATCTCCACATTGACCGGTTCTTTCGCTTGATACCCGGTCTTCTTTGGGCTCTTTCTCTCTCGCTCCTTGACCGTTTTGGATCATTTCTCTTTCACGGTTCGGATTTCTTATAGAGAAGTTGCATGACGTGCCTCAGGGAAGCACATGTGCAACCGTACGGCTCCCTCGCTGCCTTGTCTTAATTGATAGTGTGTCGACGTCGAGTCGACCTTTGGTCATAATTCGCAGAGCTGGCCTCTTTCGTATCGTTGCAATCCCTCTGGACGTTGCGACTGACACCCCTCCCAATTTTTGTTCTCGCTCCATACCGAAACAGACAAAATTGAAATCCTTACACAGTCAACATAATGCCTAAACATCATCGCAGTGCCAGCGGATCTCACCACTATGCGAACCAACTCTCGACCGCCATGGCCACCTCTCCCATGTACGCACAGCAGACGCAGCGGCTTCAAGTACCTCCCAGCTATTACACGATCCCGCACGGTCCGGACTCGGCCTCGCTGCAAATGTCGACGGCTCAACAAGAGTCATACGACGCTTACACCGCAGAAGCAAGTGCCCTTCCACCAACCCAGCATCGAGCGTCGTCGGGGGCTTGGAGCACCGCTGATGACAGCAAACTCGTCCAAGCCAGAGCGCAGGGGCTCAACTGGGGGCAAATCAAAGACGGATACTTCCCAACCAAGAGCGCCAATGCCTGTCGCAAGCGCCACGAGCGTCTGATGGAGCGCAAGGGCGCGGATGACTGGGACACGCGAAAGTTCCAGCAGCTGGCGAAAGAGTACATGGCCATGCGAAAGGACATTTGGAGCGGCCTGGCCGCTCGAACCGGCGAGAAGTGGAACGTGGTCGAATCCAAGGTAAGGCCCACGACACGCAAACACACAGCGTGTCCGTCACGCCGTCGAACCCATCCCCGTCAACCACGCATTGCCGAGACTCCCGCGCTGACCACGCCGTCCTCTCTCCCCCCCCCCCCCCCCAAGAACCTCCAAGCGGCCGCCCGGCAGGCCTCGCGTCGCGAACGCCTCGAGACTGGCTCTCACATGACAGGGTATGACGACGACAGCGGCATTTCCGGCATCGGCCTGACCCCCGTTGATGAACTAGACGCATCCTACAGCAGCCCTGAGACGGGCTCCTCGATGGGCGCCGCGACGCGCTCCTTCTCCTCGAGCTCCGCGCCCGGCTACCAGCTCCGAGGCCACGCGGCCGCCCACCCGCACCTCCGCCCCGTCGGCGGCCCCGGCCCCGGCCCCGGCCCCGGCGACCAGACCTCGTACGGCCTCGGCGCCTACACCGCCTCCTACGCGGTGCCCCCCCACGGCTACTCGTCCAGCGTGAGCTCGTCGGCCAGCATGAGCCACCGCTACGCCTCCCGAGGAAACAGCCCCTACCTGGACACGCAGCGGCTCGCCCACGCCGCCGAAATGGGCATCGACAGCCTGATCAACCGCTCCGCCGCGCGGTAGAGCGTGCCTCTCTCATTTCGTCTCGCCCCGTCGCCATGCTGGGTTCATCGGCTGTGCGAGCCGCTAGGCTTTTTTCCATTCCCTCGCACCTTTTACTCCTCCTCCTCCTCCTCCTCTCCTTCCCTTTCTTCTTCTTCTTCTTCTCCTTCCTCTTCTTCTTTCCTCGTATTCGTCTTTTAACTCTCCTTTTTCTTTGAATCTGCGATTTCCCCAACCGTCAAACAGCAACATCGGCCGAGAACTACAAAAGGGGCGTTCCGGATACTTGTCTCGACTTATGCCGGTCTGGCTGTGATAAAGAGACGTGGAAGAAGGGGGTCATGAATGACGAGCGTCTACGTTTCCTCTGTCGGTCTGTGCTCCGGCGCAATTTCATTACTTGTGGCGCGGCATTTGCGCGCCGTGTCCACCATGTCACGAGCGTCTTGGTCTTGGTCTTGGTCTTGGTCTTGGTCTGTCTTGGTCCGCTGGGCGGGAGGGACGCAAAGTCAGGCGTGGGTGAGTGGGCGGGTGTATACTAGATAGATTTCCGGCTTTCCCTGGTTTCCAGCATCTCCGCGCCACGAAGAGGCCCGAGAGAAAAGATATTGATTGCATTACTGTCATCACGGCCGCGGCGCGGCGGGCACGCGCATGTGTGTGGTGGTCTGGTGCTGGGCCCAAGATTCACTCGTCACCGCTGCCCTGTTGAGAAGTGCATTCATGCCCGGCAGTAGTAATTAGTTGTACGAGGACTCGCGGCCTTGCCTCACACATCCCATCTCGAGCTGTTACACTTGTTTTTTGGTTCTTTCGCTACGCATCCACCCCGACTGTCCCGGGTATGCTGTGACTAAAGTACAAAAACGAGAGGTTCTCAGAAGCCCTTTGGCGTGTGGGCGAATGGTAACAGAGCAAGGGGAGGGGGGGGCGATTCACCTCGTGCCCGTGGTGGTGGCAGCCTTGTCGGCGACATTGGCCGCCGTCATGCTCGCCATGTCCTGCAGCTCGTCCTCCTCCCACTCGCCGTCGCCGTCGTCGCCAAAGACGCCTTTCCACGCACGGCTCCACATGGCCCTTTTGTGGAGGAGCGCCAGGATCATCACGCCGGGCAGGTGCCATACGCTTGCCCAGAAGAGGCCCCGCGCGCTGCCCTTGTGGCCCTCGAATCGCCAGAACTGCACGGCTTGGTGGATGAGCCAGCCGTTGACGGGCAGACTGGTTGCCGAAAACGACCACTCCGTCACGCCGGCAGCGCAGAGACCCAGGCACAGCGGGATGAAGGCGATGCTGTAGCGGAGCGCGACGCGCGAATTGCGCGCAGGGTTGGTCCACGCGAGCATGCGGAGGCCGGCCGCCTTGTATTCCTCGCGGATGGGCCAGCTGAGGGCCATGAAGTGGGGGAACTGCCAGGCGAAAAGGAGCCCGGCGAGGAGCCAGCCGCCTATCGAAGAACCGTCGCTGGCAAGGAGGAGCTCGCGCCATGAGCCGTCGTTGGTGGCTGCTTCGCCGGCCGCCGCCGCCCAGCCCATCAGGGGTGGAATGGCTCCTACAAGCGCGCCGACCCAGGTGTTGAATGCAGTGACGGCCTTTAGTGGTGTGTATATGCCCGCATATAGGACGATGTTGGACAGACCCAAGAAGGAAACGGTGGGATTGACACCAAAATACAAGGCCCCAACGCCAGCGGCACCGGCGAGCATGGCAAACAGCGCCGCAGTGCGCGGTGACACCAGTTTTCGGACAAGCGGCCTGTTCCTTGTTCGCGACATTTTTGCGTCGGTGGCTGGTTCGTAGAGCATATTGAGAGCATTTGCACTGGCTGAGCAGAGGGCCGTGCCGGTGGTGAGGAACAGGAGTGTCAACGGGCTCAGGCTTGGCGTTTCGGTCATGGTGGGCGTGAGCATCTCGGGCACGGGGTATAGCGCATACGGAGCCATGGCCGTGAGTACAACGAGAACGGTGAGCCGCGGTTTCGAAAGCGACAGGAACACGGAGAGGATTCGGCGGAGAGAACGCGCTGGCTGCGCGGCGGCAACGTTTGTGAGTATGGTGGATGCGTTTGCTGGCAGGGCGCCATTCGCCGCGGACTCGACTGCGCTTGCCGTCACGCTCGCTTGCTTTCGGGCTCGTCTTTGACGATGCGGAGATATGCACGAGCTCAACTGAGGTGTGTCTTGGATGTTGGCTGTGAAAGTGCCCGTGGGTTGGGTTCTGGCGAGGCGCGCCGAAGTGCATGTCGAGGTCGAGGATTTCCGGAACCAGTGGTCTGGGGCGATTGAGTCGAGGCACCTGGATCGGTCAAAGGTTCGATTCGACAGAAAGAAGCCTGCGGCCGTCAGGGGACCTGGCGAGGGTCTGACACTGCTCCGAGGAGCTCGTAGGCCGCTTGATGAAGAAAGCCATCGTGAGGGTTGGCGACGGCCCAGGGCAATGATGCTGCGAACCTCGCATGTGCGATTTACGATTCGCGGTGGCTGCATAGTCGCCTGCTCTGTGCGAGCATGGCCATCTCACGGGAGGCCCAATCCACTATACCTCGTCGCTGCGAGGAATTGCGTGGATGCCGCCTTGGGTGGCCAAGTCGCGGGCTTTTGGGGCGGGAGTTACAATGACAGTGATGAGCAGCAATTTGAACATTTTTGCCGTGATGGGATCCTGGGCCTCGCCTCGCATATGGGCCGTTGCGCCACGTGTGGAGTCATGTGACGGCCAGCTTGTGATTCCGTGCCGAAGATTGATGGTTGCTTGGACAGGCTCCTCGTTGGTGAATCAGGCTGGCAATTCTTGATTCCGTCATGAATTCAAGGTTTTAGCCGGTCCAAATGGCAGCGAGTGTTGCTGACCCGGAGGTGTTGCATCAAACACCACCTCACTCCTCGGTCCATGCCGATGGCAAAGTCCCCGACTTGGTACAGTAGGAGAGGTAACAAAGTACTCGACTTGAACAGGTACTACGATACTGTGTGCCATGCTATAACTATCATTTGGCGGCATATTAACGTGTAATCGAGAGTAGGCAAACATGTTATGCCACAGACCGTGCACGACCGGCTAGACCAAGCAGAGGGTGTGAAGATGAAAGGAAGAAACGCCTTTGGAATGCTATTAGATGTCGCGGCGAGCGACCCCTACTTTGCCCCGAGCATGTAACAACTTGCTCCATCGATGCTATGTATCGTCTGGCAGCGATCCGTAAAGTTTTCAGTCGACCGCCCTTCTCTCCATCTCAAGCCTGCAACGGCACTCGGACCCGAGGAAACCCAATCCTTACCGCGCCAGCCTCGAGAGGCACCAAGTAGATTTAAAACACACCAGATGTTGCAAATGTTGCCAAACTCCAAAGCCCGCAAATTCCCCCATGTCCCAATCATGGGCAGTGTAAAAGTGACTCCATTTTCATTCACAGGCATTCGATAGCTTGCAGAAGCACATCCACGCCCTTGTCGCCGATATCCCCCTTTCCTCCCAAGAGACTGCCAATGTCGCTCAGAATGCCCAGCGGAATGTAGCATCCCGTCTTTGCTTTCTCCAGGCTCTCCTTCAAGCGGCTAGTGTGCTCCCAATCTCGGGCGGCAATCTCTGCTCTTTCGATGACCCGATCGGAAATGCCACACATAGCCGCGCAGTGCATGCCAAAACTTCCTTCAGCCACACCGTCCTCGAGTTTATACAAGAATGTAACCTTTCGTTCTCTGTCGTCTACATGAATCTGCATTCGCTTTGGTCGAATTTCCGGATGATTCTCAAACTCGGTAGCCAGGGAGTGATAGTGGGTGGCGAAGAAGCCAACACACCCAATGTGAGTTGCGACGTGATGTAGCACCGCCTGGGCAACGGCGACACCATCGTACGAGCTTGTTCCTCTACCAAGTTCATCAAGGATGACGAGGGAGCGCGGCGTGGCTTCGGACAGGATCTTCTTGGTTTCCGAGAGCTCCACGAAAAACGTAGACTGGGCGGCGAAAATGTTGTCGTTGGCTCCCAAACGGGACATGATGCGGTCGACGGGCGTAAGGCGAGCAGACACCGCCGGAACGTGGCATCCAATCTGTGCCATGATCACAGCCACACAGGACTACGGGACAAGATTGTCAGCTACACAGTCTGCATCTCACGCACTCACCACCAGGCGACTCACCATTCGCAGTACAGTCGACTTTCCGGCTGCATTGGCCCCCGTCAGCAGGTTGATTTTGGCCTCATCGCCGCCAAGCTTGATATCGTTGGGGATGAAATCATCTACAGTGTTAATCATGCATGGATGACGCAACTCTTCAAACTCAACAAAGCTGCGCTCCTCATCGAAGAATTGGGGTCTGCAAGATGGCTGTCCCAGAGAACTCGAGGCCTTGGCCAAACTGACAAGACAATCCAACTGTGCAACAATCTTGATCGCGAGCAGCCAGGTGTTGTAGTCGACATCAAACTTCTTGAACAGTCGCGACGCGGTTTCTCGGACGAGTTGGGAATGAAGCTCTTCGGCTTCTTGAAGTTCCCTGACAAGCTGGGTGAGCTGCGGAAAGTACCACCGTTTGACATCCTTTGTTGCCGACATTTGTCGCCAGTTGGAGGGGACTTTTACGCTCTTGGGAGTTTCCATCTGATAGATCTCCTTGCCGACATCGGTGAACTTGAGCGCCCGGCACTTCAGCTCCCCTTTCTTTTCACCCAGCAAATCATTCAGCTGGTCCTTAATCTGTTCCATTCGATCCAGACTGTCGTCAAAGTCTCGCTCAATACCACGGGCGGGGATTAATATCTTTTCTTCTCTGGCCTTTCGACGATCAAACGCAGTCTTCCAGTACGTCAAAGGCTCTTCCAGGTCAGGCATTGACGAAGTGAGTCGGTCAACGAGGCCATTTCCTCCCTTGAACGCTTCGAGAAAGCTCATAGTGTATCCTATTTGCTCGAACCCTTCTAGTACTCGTACAAAGTCTTCCGGCTTGCAGGCCCCGGCGTGCACACGAGAGATGAGCCGCTCCAAGTCGGGCATCTTGACGAGCTGGGATGCAAACTGTTCGCGAACCGTGGGGTCGGCGTTCAGCATGTCCACCGCATCCAGCCGCTCATTGATCCGCCGAATGTCGCACAAAGGATGAGCTACCCATTGACGGAACAATCGTTTTCCAAAGGGGGTTATGCACTTGTTAAGTAAGCTGAACAAAGTTCCCTCGGAGCCACAGTTGGACGTATTTGAGAATATTTCGAGGTTCAACAGAGTCTGTCCGTCCAGAACCAAGGTTCCATTCTTTTGGATTGGGCTGTATTTCTCAAAGTGGCCCTGAGAAAGGAGTGGTCGCTCCAACTGCAGGAACCTGAGGTACGCCACCAACGCTCCTACAGCAGACATGACCAAGTCTTCGTCCTTGTACTGCTGCAGGACTTCTGGCCAGGCATCCTCTTCACCGTCTGGTGTGCGGAAATAGTTTCCACACTTGAGTTCTCGTCTGGAAGTATCTGCATCCCAAAACTCGGTCCCAGGCTTCAAGTGTGTCCAGATTGTGGTTGGGCCGGTATTGTTTTTGAGAATCCGCAACGCCTTAGTAGAAAGTTGAGACTTTTCAATCAACAGTTCACGGGGGGAGATTTGCGCGATAAAGGTCTCAAACCTTGTGAGATCGACGTCATCAACGAACCGAGACAGCTGGAAACGTCCGGTGGCGGTGTCCGCAAAAGCAATGCCGAATGCAGGCAAATCATCAATGATTGACTCCTTGATTGCCACACAGTAGGCAGCCATATCGTCTTGAAGCATGCTGCCATCGACAAGGGTGCCGGCAGTGAGGATGCAAGACAGTTCACGGGAAATGACCTTGTCGGCCTTCTTTCCGCTCTTATCCTGGCGCTCGCGCATTTCCTTCCCAAGGTTCGTCTCCATTTGATCGACTCTTGCAACCTTGTATTGCTTTGCGATAAATTGGTTGACCCAATGATCCAATGAGCTTTCCGGAACTCCAACCATTCGCATATTGACCCTGTCGGTCATCTTGAAGTCGAATTCTTGGTGCCCTATGGTAGCATCGTTCTCATATAGCTCGTAGAACTTGCCCTTTTTGAAGAATACAATTGTATCCCACAGATTCTGTTTGATCTCCCAGTACTGCTTCTCAAACGGCGAAAACTTGTTCCAGGCCATTGGCGGAATGAAGATGGATCTGGGATCATACTCTGGGTCTGTGGGAGCACGCCTTTCCTTGTCCCTGATATTTGCCAACCACGGGTAGCGATCCTCGGGCTCTTTTGTGTGCGCCTTCTCTTTACGTTTGGGGTCTTTGGCAGCAGCACGCTCAGCAGGTGTTGTGACGGGCCGCTTTTCGGCAGACTCGGGATCATAATTCCATTGCGAAGTGGTCGATGTTGTAGGAACGTCAGTCATTGGCTCGTCCTGTTCGTCGTGGATCAAAGATTGGTCTCTGGTGTCTGCGGGTGGTGAAACGTTGGATCGTTTTCGCGCTGTTGCAGCCTTTGCAGGGCGCTTCCGCTTCTTGGACCGTGGAAGATCTTCAGAGTCATCAGGAGCGATGAAATCTCCCATGTCTACGCAATAAGCATTAACAACAAGCACGAATATTTGAGCGAGTACGCAGTAGCCACAATCTGTCTCAACGTACCCTCATCTTCCGCTTCGGACGCTGCCTCGTCCTCGTCATAATCATCCTCGTCTTTTATGGTCCGACGAGTTCGGCCACGTCTATTTTGAGACCTGCTTGAGTAGTTGAAGGGCTTTTCATCGTCGGACGATTCGGCATAGCTGACCACCTTCTTGGTCTGTGTCAGGATGGTTCCTGTGTTAACGGACAAGTCGAGGTCTTGAGGATGGGAAATGCTCACCTTTCGAGTCGGCGTGCTGGTCGCCGCTGTTCTCGGATTCGCATCGTTTGAAGGCCTCGCGCGTGGAGCCATCGCAGCAGTCTCGGCCACAGAAACAGGATCAGTGTTCTCCTCCTGCGAACTCGGCTCAATGGCGTCGCTGCTAGGGACAGGCGTGCAAAGCTTCGTCGATGGCTTCGCCGGGGGCTTGGTCGACGGCTTCGGCTTGGGAAGAGAGTTGGCCTTGGTGGTCTCTTGCAGACAATGCTGGGGATGAACCTTTTCACTGGCGGCAGGCGAGGATCTGGCGACAGGCGATGACTTTTGGAAGAAGCTCATGATGGAGCGCTGCTTTGCCGATGCAGAGGCAGAGCCAGTTGGCTGGGGTGCCGGCTTCGCGGGGGTGCGAGCCGTGCTCGAGCCGGCCTTATCGCCCGCCATGTTGATTTTCGATTTCGCGGATCAGGTCAAACGCCGAGCATCTGGAGGCGGGTTGCGAGCGTGAGTCGAGGTGCACGAAAGACGATGGCGATCTAGTTCAGCACCAATTGGATACGCTTAGGGATCAGAAAGAATTCCAAATCAATGCAAAAACACGCAAACGAGAACAGGTAAGATGCCGGTAATTCTGAAGACGGGCAATTAGAGTCATATGGGGGGGGGAGGAGAAAAACAGGACGACGACAGGAGACAGCTGGGAGGCGTGGTTGGACAGAAAAGTGCCAATTACTGGAGTCCAAGTTAAGTAACTACTCGGTACCGCGTCGCGCGTGGCGCGTTGCGTGTAGAGTGCTCAAGTGGATAAGGGCAGCACGACTTGGCGGGTGCTCCGTGCTCCGCCGCATTCGAGGTACGTACTTGTACGGAGTAGTCGAGCTACCCTGTAGTGTTGCCAGAGCCCAGAGGGTCGCCGAGCTGTACGGACCAGTGCGCTATGCTACAGACTATTCCGTGCAGCAGTATGCTTTAATATCCAAGTACTTCAGTATACAGTGATGCCTGGGAGCTGACATGGGCGGCTTGAAACCAAAACTTGGCTCGTGGTCCTGGCGACCAAGCAAAAGAGAGCACAGTCCTGTATCCAGGTGCCGCTCTAGCAAACGTCTAGCTAGACCTTGACGCCCTTGATCATCACCAATCAAGTTGATCCTTGCTGCGTGACCTCATTGAGCATTGATCACAGGTGCATGGGGGCTGTTCAAGTCATCGTGTCCGGTGCTCCGTACTCCGTAGAACATGGTATGTTGTGCTCGGTGCTATCTGCTCAAGTCTTCCATACAACCCATAAATACGGATTTCTAGATCTGTTTTTTTTTTTTCGTTGAAATGATGACAAGACGCCGACAACGCGACAGGAAAAACCTGTTCTCGACTTCGTCAGCCCAACCCTGAGAACCAGCATGACGCCTCATCATTTGGGCTCGACGTTTGTCGTGGAGTGATTGGACCCTGTTGGCCGTCGTTAGCTTGTTAGCGCTGCAACCTGCACATGTGGCTCCTTTGGGCTAGCTTTGCTCGTCGCTTGCCTGGACGGACACCTGGAGCTTGGAACCAGCAACACCTACGGAGTAAAGCTTGTTGGAGCTCGCGGCATCAGATGAAATTTGACAGCTGAGGGACGCCGGCCACCACTCCGCAGCCGCCTATTTCAGTGACTGGAGCGTGCAGCCTCCACCAAAACGTCCAAACACCCCCCTTTTCACCACCCCCCAAACGGGGGTCAGTCGCAGTGTCGCATCCATCATCACTGGAACCATACCCGCGTTGAACAACTGGACAATTCGCCTCGTCACATCCGTGGACATGGGATACGGAGTACGTAACCGGGTACCTCGTGTCTACCCAGCTATAAGACCAGTTGGGCCCTCGCCGCATTGCCCTTTATTGCCCTCGCCTTGCTAGCCGCTGCATCCTGCCTTTGCCCAAGTTATCTGAACAGTCGCCAGCCGCCATTGATCCGCCGACGTCGTCCTTGTCTGCCGAGTACAGACATATTTGTTGTCACAGTTGCGTCGAACGCTTCATGTCACTTGAAACTTGCCTTTTCTCTTCCGGTAAATACCACGCAGTCCTTACCTGGAGATGCTCTTCCCCCCGCGGGCGACCGCAATAAAGCCCACATCATCTAATTTTTCTTCGCCCTCAGCTCAACCATAATCTGCACAGCAAGGCGCAATGGAAATCCCCGGTCCTGTCAAGCCGGCCCTTCTCGGCGCCATCGCTCTGCTCGATCTTGGCTCACTCGGCCTCCTGGCGTACGGTATGTAAATGCTCGCGGAAGCAAGTCTCGACCTCACTCAGCCGTTCTCAACCAACCTGCTCACTTGCGACAATCTCGGCACAGTTGTTTATTCGTGGAGCGGCGACATCTCCTACGGCTGGGGCTACACGCGCCATTTCGACTCCCCGTCTCAGGTCAACTTCATGCTCTTCAACACCATCTGGACCATCCTTGTCCTCGTCTATCTGGGCGTTTTCCCCCGCTTCCTGAAGTCCCTGTACAAGAGCATCGCAGCTCTAGCCCTGCTGGCTATCAGCACCGTCCTCTGGTTGGTTGGCTCTATTGTGCTTGCTGTCTTCCTCGGCGCCAGCAACTGCAACGTCAATGCTGTCTGTGGCCCCTACAGGTCCGCCCAAGCTGCCACGGCCTTTGGCTTCGCCATCTGGGCCATGTTCACGGTCCTCAGCGTCTTGGAGCTCCTCGCCCTCCTCAAAAGCGGCTTCAGCTTCAAGTTCAAGAAGGGCGCCAAACCCGGCAGCACGGGAAACCAAAGGACTAGCCAGACCGCTTAGACGTACCCCGAGCCGTAGCATGCCCGACGAAGCCCGTGGGGATACCGTGCACCGTACAGTATCTCCATCTCGACCGATGAACAAGGCAATTTGGTTAGTCATTGACAAGCCGAAGCGTCATCGATGAACAGTGTGGGCATGTTCGCATTTGCGTGTTGTTTTTTTTTTCTTTTCTGTCTCTTGCTGGATGTGGTCTGTACAAGGGCCGGTAGTTGTACTTGGCAGCTATGGTGGGAAGGAGTAGATTGATACCCTCGCTCGAATTCGTTTCGTGGCGGAAAAACAACAACAACAACATTGGGCGCGACAAGGTGGCATGGTGGGAGTTGCAAGTCTGGACATGCATTTCATGCCATGAGATGCATGCGAAACCGGATGGGGGGCCCTTGGCTTCATCACGGATGAGCGTGCTTCTCTTGTCGGGGTTTGAAATTTTCGATGTTTTAGGCTACTGAAAATGAATGCAAGGCAATTTTGCTGCCCCCCCCTCCTCCAGACATATCACTACCCCAAGAAATCAATGCTGAGCGTGAGACGGAGCACCTACTGTGGCGTCGTCGGCAGACGCAACGCTTATTTCCCGAGTCCTGCGCAATTTCTCAAGCATGGCCGGCCGGCTGATCAAACGTCGACCTTGCCAGCCCCAGAGTTTCATGGATATTTCCCTAGCTCCCCCCCTGATCTGGCTCAATAATAACGTTACCTTACCTAGCCGTTCGTGCTTGTGGCGTTCAGCTGCCTGACTGCCAACGCCAAGCTGCCAATAGGCCGCCCGTTGGCCTTGCAGTTTCAAAACGTGGATGATGCCCATCTGGAACAGCATCAGCTTATGGAGTACATACCACTCGTGACACGCAGAGTTACAATGCTGGCGGTACCGGACTAGACCGGACTATTTATTAACTGGAAGTGCAAGAGGCTCAAGTTGAAAACGTACTGCGGAGAAAATCGGCTGTTTTGGCCTCAGGGCATGGCCAACAGTCTTCTCTGTTGCCGTTTATTTATTTTTTTCGTCTGGACGTTTTGAGTGTTGTTATCTGCAAGGATGCTCGCCACTTTGGAGTTGGAACAATGGGGTGGAGAAGTAGATGATGGACGAACGGAAGGACGCAATATTCGTAACGACGACGAGCTAAGTGGGTAGCTATCATGAATGAGTCTGCGGGGCTTGCCGACGCTGAATGCCTGTCCGTACACCCAAGTAGTTCAAGATGAAGCTGAGCAGTAGTAACATTGCCAAGTTGCCGAGTACAGCATGCCGATGTGAGTTTTGCACCGCTCCGCTAACCGTTGAGAGGCTTGAAGCGCACCCCCACTTGTAGCTGTAGGAACCTGGCCCCCAAAATCCCCCTCCCGCATTTACATCATTCATCAATCACGTATAACCGCAACATGAGGCATCTGTAGCGCTCGCAGTGCCACACACGACCAAAAGACGAAAAAAAAAGGGACAAAAAGGAAGCAGAGACGAAACGAAAGCGCTCTGTCAATCCTCAAACGTCAGGTGTCCGATGACGCTCTTCAAGCCGCACTCCTCGTCGTCATGGCTTCCTCGGCCTCTGCAGACGCTCCTTCTCTTCTCCTCCTAGCCTCGCCTCCAGACCCCGCAACCCCAGATGCACTTCGAGCTGCGTACCGACGTCCCTTGGCCGCCGTCATTTCTCGACTCAGCCATGAGAATAGGCCAAACACTCCCCGAGACGTAGCACCCGTTCTAGTCGTCGCCGTCGCGTCACCAGTCCTCGCAAAATCCGATGCTGCCCCAGCAAGAGAAACCCATGGCCGATCCGTAGATTGGTCGCGTTCCCAATCCCTCCTGGCCGGTCTATACGCCCTCGTGGCAGTCATTTGCGCAGAAAGGTCCATCGCCACCGATTTGGCGGCCGACGATCCCGGTGCTGTTGATGTTCGGTTGCTTCTTATTGATCATGATCAATCGTCCGCTTCGGACTATCGGCCGGGCCCCAATGGATCCTACGAGCCGAATAACACGACTGTGTTGGACTTGGCTGCTTTTGCCACCTTGGTTCGTCCGTGGAGGTGCATTTTTCATCCTAGCAGTGAAGCGGGCCATCGGCTGCACGCTGCCTATCTCAAGTACGCGTCAGGAAAACAAAGGTTCCTCCAGAGTCAACTCGTAGCCGTCGATGGTGGCCTAACTCTGTCACAACAAATTGCAAACGACGAAGCTTCTGCCCGACAACGCAAGCGTCCCGCCAAGAGCTACACCTCGGTCTGCCTCGGCGGGACATTCGACCATCTACATCCTGGTCACAAATTGTTTCTCCATGCGGCCGTTCTCTTGTTAAACCTCGAAGAGGAGTCGTCTGCTGAGAAGCCGCGATGCGAACTGGTGATTGGCATATCTAGCGACGAGTTGCTCGCCAAGAAAAAATACGCCGACCAGCTTCAGTCATGGGACGTTCGTGCCCGTTTCGTCATCAACTTCCTCGCCACGCTACTGAATTGGTGCACCACGTCAACCACGGACACGAAGGCCGTGCAGGCTGAAACCAAGGAACTGCACGCCACTTTCCGGAACGGCGCCATTCTGGTGCGATGTGTAGACTTTCACGACCTCTATGGACCCACGGTCAAGCAACAGTCAATCCAGGCACTAGTCGTCTCCGGGGAGACTCGAAGTGGTGGCCAAGCCGTCAATGACAAGAGGCACAGCCAAGGGTGGCCGATTTTGGACATTTACGAAATTGACGTGCTCGATGCCGGCATTGATTCTGTCGAGGGTGGTGGCAGTGGCAATGGCAATGGCAACGCGACGTCGAGTGCCAACTTTGAAAGCAAAATCAGCAGCACCGAGATTCGTAAGCAAAAGGCGCAGAGGCTTGCAAGCTCTCGTGTTGAACCAAGTGAGGACGTGAAGCCATAGCCATCACTGCAACGTCCCGCTTCTCTTCTCCGCGTCCTTACACCACGACTAGGACGCCCGAAAAGTCTCCGAGTTTGTTGGCGGATCTGCCGCCATCAGAACGCAAAAAGACGTGAATCTTTCTCCATTGCAGCCCGCATTGCGAGCCAGTCTTGCAGACAGCGAAAAGCTCCGCAATAAGGCTCCCTTGGTAGCAAGTCCAAACCTCAAGTTCAAAGCCGTGCCGGCAAACATGGAGCAAGGCTTAGGTCACGAGTCAATGCGGATCTCACCGGCTCTTGTTTCTACAATGTCATGGAATTCGCGGACCCAGGTGTTTGAAAGTTGTTGGGTCTATTCTGAATATCTTTGCAGATAAAAACTCGTCGGCGCGGCTGAGAGTCCTCCATGGAGGGGAACCTTGGACTGTTTACACCTGTGGAACTAAAGAATTTTCAGAATTCTAAATACAGAATGCCTCAACTGATGAGATTTACCACAGCGAATACCTTTGCCAGAGATGGCAAGAAGGCTTACTTGCGTATGCGAGCAAGGGAGTTTTAAGCGGGAATTTCCAGCCAATGTATGACGACATGACGCTGCGTGGCCGGTGGCTGTGGCCTGGGAATGCGCAATTCAAGGAGGGCGCTCCGAGGAAGTTCTGCTACTATGAAGACTCTTGTACGGAGTAATCTGCCGCGACCTCGGGGACAATGGCGACAATGGCCATTGACGGGAGCGCGCTTGCGGTAGATGGCGTACCGGCAGCATTGTACCTTTGGGTTAGTGGGGGTTTCCGCAGTGCATTTGAGATGCATTTGACCGGGATTCACGAAGATTGACACGCAAATGGTAGAAACCAAAGCCGATGCTTTGCCAGAGAAACCTCGCGACGTGGATGCAAAAGAAAATTGCAGAGTACACAAGTGCGCACGTGGACGGATCAGGCCGCGTTCAAAGCAAGCCCCAGCACCGGCACCGGCACCGGCACCGGCACCAGGTGCAACAAATAAAAGCAACCGCTGACGAAGATGCAAAAACCTCGCCTTGCCAGAAGTATCCACGATTCGCCTGGTCCAAAGAAGCTGCGGGATGGGTTACGCGTTTCAGAATTCACGGCAGAAGCGGTGAGGACGGAGTGGTTTGAGCATCGATTGGCCACGGCGGCATCGCACATGAAGCGCGTAGCCGCCGTCTCGACAGGACAGTGTTTGGCATTCAGTCTTCAACAAACACGGCATGACTGATTGATTCGCATTCGCACACTCTTTCATAGCCGCGGGCTCGCAAAACGGTTGGCTGCGAATGCATTTCCAGTTTGCCCATGAGCGACCCTTTGTCGAAAACCAATGTCGAGTGGCAGTATTAAAGCGAACAGGGTCGTGGAGCACTGCCCCCAGCCGTCTTTTGCTTTCTCTCATTGTCTCTCATTGTCTCTGAACTAAGCTGCCGCTTGTGAGCATTTGCAGAATTCCTTTGACGCCTAATTGTTTCTGTTATATAACTGTACACGTCCCGCCGCGGGACAACCAGACACGCCATTCCGATTATCGACTTTTCCACGCCGGTGCCAGACAGCCAGACTCGTCTCGAACTATCAACCACATAACTTACATACCTTGACCGCACTGAATTCAACAGCACAAATTGTCTTTGCCGCACCCCTTTTTTCTTTCCCTCTCTCTCTCTCTCTCACTTTTTCCCACATTCAGAGCAAGCACACAGCACATTTATGATGAAAAAATTCTCCAGCGCCATCAAAGCAGGCAGGCAAGTAGCCGAGTTCGGCAGCAACGTAAAAAACATGCACGAAGCGGCGAGCAGTTTCCGGGCCGCGGACAAGAAACAACTGGCCCGCAGCGCGGGGGGTTTTGCATTCAGCCAGGGCGCGGCGCACGGAAAGGGAGTCGGCAAGGCGTATCTCAAGACGATTGAGATGATTCCGTGCCTGATACTACGCGGGGTACAGCTCGTCGCCGCACTCGTCGTCATTGGCTTCTACGGCAACCGCATCAGCAGCGAAAGGGCCGGCGGCAAGGGCATCGGCGTGGTGTGGCTCTACGGCGTCGTCGTCGGCGGGCTGTCTGCCCTGACGGCGATTTTGTTCGCGTTGGCAGGGGCGGCCGGCTCGATCCCCTTTGTCGGCGGGATGCTCAAGATGCTCAAGGTGTATCGTGCGTACCCGTGGGATGCGACGCTGTGCGTGGCGTGGCTCGTGGCGTTTGGCGTGTTTGGCGGCCTGTTCATGAAGAGGGCCGACAGTGACTCGTACAGGGGGAGCAACACGGCCGAGATGAAGGCGGCCATGTGGTTCGATCTCGTGAATGCCAATTTCTGGCTCGTCTCGGCTATCTACGGCTGTTTCAAGGCGTTTGTCGCGCGCAAGGCGGACCGGATGAGGAAGCGGGCGGCGCAGAAGATGTTTGGCGACGACCCGGCTGCTGTCTAGAGAGTGCAACCGGCTGTCTGGAAATGAATGACGGGCTCAGCTGGCATCTGTTGCGGGGTTTGCGTGGGCGTTGCAGACTGGGGAGAATGCCTTTTGGTCTGTTGTACTATCTCGACCGGAGGGGGAGACGGCACATCCGGTTGGCTACGTGTATTATTTATCATTGTAACGAATTGTAACGAGTACTTTTGGTGTGCAGGACTTTTTTTTTTTTTTTTTTTTTTTTCCCCAAGTAGCAGCGGCGGACGTGACTGAAGTGGCCGAGGCGCATCGGTGCCTAGACGTCATCCTGGGGACTCCATACTCGGTACGGAGTACGGAGTAGCATCATGTCGCAACGTCTTTATCGTACAGAGTAATAACAACAATGGCTTGCAGAGTCTAATGCTGCGTCGTTGATTCTGCCCCACAGAAGAAGATGGCGCCGGGCCTCTCCGTTGATGTCCCAGCCTCTCGGTTTTGGTGCGCCGGCCAACCAGCCAGCCGCCCCGCTGCAGCCTTGCAAGTTAGTGAGTACGTACTCCGTACTCCGTGCCTCGTCTGCCAGTCACGCCCCCCCGTCTGACGCGTGTGGGGGTGCGCATGTAGCAAGAGCACGCCGTTTTGTTTTGTTTTTGTTTCGCTTGGCTTGGCTTGGCCTTTGCCGCCCGGCAGCCCGTCCAATTGGCGGTGGCAGCCATTGTTGTCGTCGTCGTCGTCGTCGTCGTCGTCGTCGTCGTCGTCGTTGTTGTTTTCCCCCTTCTCGGGTCGGTCTGGCGTCTTTATAACTTGGTACATGCTTGCGCTGCACACCCCTGATTCCCGAACTCCCCCCCTTCTCTCTTTGCATTCCATTCCTTACATGCCACCACCTCGGCACGCTGTTTGTTGCGTCGTCGCCTTCCCTGGGCAGAGCCTCAAACACCCGCACACCGAGGGGCGTCGGTCGCCTCGGAGCCCGCGTTGCCCGTCATGATATTCGCACTCTTCTTCGTCTGCACGCGCATCTCCCAGATTGTCACACTGGTAAGCTCCGTCGGCGACGCCGCCCCGTCCACGTCCACGTCCACGTCCACGCCGCGCTGACGCGACGATGCGCCTCTCCAGATCCCGGCCATGGGCATGCTCGCCTGGTTCATCAACGTCTTCGTCGGCCACAACGCGCTGACGCCCGACCCCATCCTCATCCTCTTCATCCTCGTCGTCCTCGCGCTCGCCTGGGCCGTCTTCACCCTCCTCAGCTACCGCCGCTCGTCGGCCAGCGCGCGCTTCGTCTGCCTCGTCGACGCCTGCTTCATGGGCGCCCTCATCGCCGGCGTCTACGAGATGCGAGGCATCGCCGACGCGACGTGCTCCTCGAGCCCCGACGCCGGCTCCGTCTGGTTCGCGCCCGCCCACGTCCCCGTCCCCAACTGGGGCTGGGAGGCGGACAAGCCGTGCGCCATGCTCAAGGCCAGCTGGGCCTTTGCCATTATGAACATTGTCTTCTTTGCCGCCACGGCCCTTGCCGCCTACAGCCACGGCGACGAGCTGGCCTACGGCGGCGCCCGGCGCGAGATCGTCGTCGAGCGCCGCCGCCACCACCACCACCACCATTCCAGCCGTCACGGGCATCGTCGCCGCAGCCGCTCCGGCGGGTCTCGCCGCAGCAGCCACCGGAGCCCGCACTCTCATCGGAGGGTCTACGTCTGAGCCGACAGACGCACGTCTTGGTCTCGACCGCGAAACGCCCCTTGCGCCTGGGAGACGACGGTGGTTGGAGCCTGCAGGCCTGCGTACTGTGCCCCGAGCACATGTTTGCGATGCGCCTTGCCCTTGAAGGTTTATTACGCTGTGCTTTGTCCGGCTCGCGGATGGATACTTGGATACCTCACGGATGTACATGTCACCACGTCAGCGACATAAGCGTTGATGATGATGATGATGATGACGATGATGATGGAATGCTGACACTTCATGTACGCGATGAAAATGTACAACGTAATGTATACACATTGGATGTTGCGCACGTGCACCCACTCAGGTGCCAAAAACATGACTGGCATCGCAAACTACAGGCTGCCTAATGCCGTGATTCATCCTCGCCCACACGATAGCCCCTCGCGACACCGCCGCGACCTTGCTCCATGGCCGTGCTCGCCTCCTGGTCGAAGTCCGTCCCCAACCCCTGCCACGTCCTCTGGGACCGCAGATACTCGGCGCCGGGACTGGCAACGCCGTTGACGCTGGCCAGCTCGCCGACGACTCGCCTCGCCACGGCCCCCGTCGACCCGTCTCGACCGGGGCGGCGGTGGATCGGCAAAGCGAGCTGCATCGGTCGGCTGCGGCCGACGAGCCTGCCGGTCCGCAGGTCAAACAGCGGCGGGGGCGACTCCTGCGCCTCGACGCCGCCCTCCTCCGCGGGCTCCTCAGCCGGCGCGAGGTGCTGCAGGGCGGCGGCCTCGACGGGCTCGACGGGCTGCTCGAGCCGCTCGATGCCTCCCCACCAGTCGGCGCCCCAGGTCCTCTCCTCGGCACTCACGAGCGCCAGCTCCATCTCGAAGGGCGTGACGACGGGCCGCCAGTACCCGGCGTCCTCCTCGACCAGCCCGCTCTCCCAGCACCCGACCACGACCCAGCCCTCTATCTCGGCAAAGTTTGCCAGCTTTGCCGGGTTCAGCTTGCCGACGACGACGGTGTAGCTCTTCTTGCCGGCCAGCGCAATCTTGCGCCGCAGCAGGTCGATCGAGGACAGGTAGTTGGACACGGAGAGCGTGTTGACGAGGATGCCCACGACGCCGGCCGACGCCAGCGAGAGGACGCGCGCGAAGCGTCGGCGGAGGAGGCCCGCCGCCCTGGCCGTCGGGTTGTCGACGGCCGCCGCCGCCGCCGCCGCCTCCGCCTCGTCCGTGGAGAGCACGTGCAGCGAGGCGAAGCGCGTGTGCAGCGTGAGCAGCAGCGACGCCGGCGGGTCCGAGAGGTGGAAAAGGGCGTGCGAGCCGAGGGCGTCGCGCGTCATGGCCGGCCCCTCGATGCGGCGGTTGGGTATGGCGGCGTCGTCGCCGTCGGCGCCCGCGGCCAGGCTCGTCCCGCGGACGTTTGCGTACCCCGCCGCGCGGAGGGCGTCGACGACGCCGGCCACGTGCTCCTGGTACGTCACGTCGGCCGTGACCACGACGGCGGCGGCCCGGTCGGCGAAGGCGGCGCGGAAGCTGGCCACGACGGCGGCGCGGTCCAGGCTGCGCCGCGTGAAGACGTGCACGACGGGCAGCCGGCTCGTCGGGCTGAGGCACGCCCTGCCGTAGTGCACCACCGCCTCGGCGTCGACGTGCTCCGCCGCCACCTCGTCCACGCAGCACGCGCTGTAGCTCGTGTCGGCGAGGACGTGGACGCGCCGCGCGCCGCCGTCCGCGGGGAGCTGCGCCTCCAGCAGCTGCGCGATGCGCGGCGCGTCCACGAGCATGTGGTCTGGGAACTGGAGCGCGACGCGGCGCCATCCTCGCTCGCGCACCTCGCGGGCCGTGCGGCCGATTTCGTATCTCGACCGCAGCTCGTCGTCTGACAGGGTGGATTTCGCTGCCGGTGCCTGTCGGAGCATGCCGTCGTCGGGCGTGGACAGCACCGGCGCGGCGGTGAGCTCGGACGCCATGCTGACTTTTGGAGGGGGAGGCGAGAAAGGCTGTGTCGTCCCTTGCGCGCCCACGCGTTGAAGCCTTCACCGGGGGGGTTTCGACATTGGTGGCAGACTTGGGTATCGGGTGGTTTTGCGATGTTGAGGCGCTGATTTTTCCTCCTCTCCTCTTTTTTTTTTCCCCCCGAGGTGAGGGGCGTGCAAATGCGGGGTTGTGTGTGCGTGGCGCGTGCGGACTCGGGGCTGTGATCCCATGCACCTGATTGGCTCTGCCAGCCGCCAGCCGCTTGCAACACCTCGAGTCCCCGAGCTCGCAAGGAACAAAACGTCGCTTGCACCACAAACTCCTGAATAGAGAATCGAGTCAAGTCGTGGGCCTGTGCAGATGAGGCGTAGTTCTTGGTCGCGTGTGGTGGTGGAGCAAGGCCACGGTACAGCTTTGCGTTGCCTACGACGACGCCGGACGGGTTGCCGTCTTTTTCCAGATGACGCGGCACACGGGGGGCTGATTTGGGCATTCACGATTTTGCCGGCATATCAGACTAACGATGTATGATATTTTCTGCTTGGATAATGGTACATCTTACGCGGGTGTATCCGTGTGGCCTTGATACGCTCGAGACAAGCTATGTGGAAGTTGAAGTCGAGGCTACAGAGCTCCGGCGTCTCGACTACCCGTCAGCGCTTGCTGGACTCGTCTACCCCGTGTTGCTCTGTATCACCCAGTTGAGTATATGGCTTCCCACCCCTCACGCTTTGGATCTGTCAAGTGCCGTCGCTCCGTCGACCGCGGCTCGGCAGTATGGCATCCGGACCGTTTTTTTCCTGTTTGGGAAATGCCGCCGTTCCCCTGGCCGACTGCCGTCGGCTGTGGGCCGGGAGGGCACGGCACCACTGCGCTTCCCTGTCCCGGTGCAAAATCCGCGCTGCAAAACGCTGCTACTGGAGCAATGGTGCTACTTTGGGTGCGCTTTTCTCGTCGCCAGTAGTGTTCAGCTCGGGGATTGAAGAAAGGGACCGAATCGTTGTTTCTTCCGAGAAGAAATCCTCGGCGGGGATGGTGTAGCTGTCCGAGTCCATGCTCTGCGGCCTGCTTCGGTGGCATCCGAGTCGCAGTTACTGTCGGAGATTCTCGCTGGCGCCGTATCTGCGGTGTCGATTGCATGCGTTCTGGTGTACATCTGCGGTTGGTTGCGCATGTTTTTCTTCTTATAGTCCTCGGCTATGAATTGGGATAGAGGCGAAGATGAAGCTATAACAATGGTAGTGTTGATTGCATGGCCGCAACCGTATATCATCACCACCTTGGCGTCTTGTTCTGTTGCAAAAAGACAAACTTGTATAACAGTAACAACAATGTGATGAGCACATTGATAACTACCTATATACCATCGTCTTGGCGTTCTCGTGCAGCTGGGGAAGGTCATTTGTGTAGCGGTACGACACTACTGGTACCTGTAGTGACGAGTAACAGCCCAAACCGTGCTTCCATGATGCATCCAGCCCAACCGACCAACCGGACCGGGACCTGTCGTAGCTCGTCAGTGGGCGTTGGTCAGCACGTGGAGGTCTTGGAGACGCATTTTCCAGAACACTCTCGGCCTGCCTTTGGATTGCATGGGGGCTTCTGAGGCGAGCAGTTTTCGCCGCCGGGAGTGCCGTCACTGCCGCCGTTGCAGCACACGCCGCCCTGCCAAATGGAGGGTTTGGCGGCTGGGCACACGCCGAAGGCATCACCGTGACAGAAGTCGTGCTTGGAAACGCACTTGCCGAAGCATTCTTTGCCCAGTTCCGGATTGCACGGGAGGGTCTGAGGAATGCAGTTCTCCCCGCCCTGAGTGCCTTCGCGGCCGCCGTCGCAGCACATGCCGCCTTGCCAGACGGAGGGCTTGGCTGCCGGGCACGCGCCAAAAGCGGCGGGGTTGCAGAAGTCGTCTTGGGCAATGCATCCGTCGAAGCAACGTTTCTGTCCGCCGGAGCATTCGCCCTGGCAGAGGGCGTGGGGAGGAATGCACCTGTTGTGGTCGGTGCAATACTTGGCGAGGTCGAGGTCCCTGCACGGGTCGCTGTCGGAGCCGGCCAGTTCAAACTCGACGGGACCTGCAACGGGCAGTCCCTGCGAGAACAGAAAGGCCAAGTACTTGCCCGCGGCCAGGCCCGATGAGGAGCTTGCGGCGGTGATGCGCACCTCGCCCTCGACGCCGCGCGCGAAGTTCCTGGCCACGGCGCTGTCCTCCCGCGGCCGCGTCGCCGCGCGCGCATCCGCCTTCCACACGCCAATCCAGTTGCTGAACACCGCGTGAGCCGTCGTGTAGCGGAACGTCAACGCCGGGCTGCTGTTGATGTACAACAGAGAGTTGCCGCTGTCGCCCTTGCCGCCGTCGGCCCTCCTGTGAATGCTGTCACTCAAGTCGAGGCGTCTGTGCCCTGGCGCGACCGCAGCCGCAGCCGCAGCCGCAGCCGCAGACGCAGACGCCGCGTCTAGGAAACCCGCCAATAGCAGCGCCACTACCCGAGCCCAGCGCATTGTGAAACTTGGATCAACTTGTCGATTCTTCACAACATGCAGACGGGACTTTTCTTTGTCAAAAAATGGATGCCAGGTGCCAAATGGGCTCTGGCTTTTCCCTTTCTCACAAGGAGACAAGCCTATTTATTGGTAGAAGCAACAAGAACTCAGCCCTACTCCAGTTGTATTGTCGCCGAAAACCCTTCTGAAAGCCACTAATCAAGACTCCAAAGCACCAACCGCAACAAGCAATTTGGTGATGCGCCAATACCCTGAAAAAGATTCCTGTTCCCAAAGTCAAGGAAGTTTCATGTTGTGTCATATCTTGGCACAATCCTTCGGTGCCAGTAGCGGGCCTCGCAGCAAAACGAAAAAGCAGCTTTCCGCGCGGCGTGCTTTCCGATGGTCATATACCATGAAAAAGGATGATCGACATTGACTGTGGTGCTACTGTCGAATCAGGAAGAAGCTCACAGTGCAACGTTGGCCCATGAATCCTTCCATGATGAGAAGAAACCGGTCCACATAGTACGTCTTGGGGTTGAGTCGCAACGCATTACAGTAAAATAAACGATGCGGCGTGGCGACATGGTCGTAGGATGATCCGATTTTGGGGCCTTCATTTTCGTATGTGAGCTTCGTCGTCGATACGATTTGCTTCTGCTTCGAGCTGCTCCAGCTGCCGCTTTATCGTATCGCGGGTCCATCGAAGCTGTAAAAGGTGGCCTGCAGGCATCCAAAGGCGGGCGGTCGGACCATCAGAAACTACATGCGGCTGATTGAATATCACCACTGTCCTTGCTCATGTGAAGTCTGGTTCTTCATCTGGAATCACAGCTGTTCTTGTTTTCCACACCTGTATATGGCCTACAGCATCATTGTGTTTCAGCTGTCCTGGATCCCCATTCAAATTGGAGGATGGAACTGTGCGAGTTAATGGCCGCGTGAAAGCTGGCATGTAGGTTGCGCTCCAGCTAGCCGCTTCTTGAAGAACACGTCCGTGATGCGATATGGACATGGTATCAGACGCAGGAATATCATGAGAACATTCTTGTCGCCGTATGCGCTTTGGCTTTCCTTCAAAGTCGGTACCTACCTTCTAGTACAAACACGACCAAGGCAGCGGTGAGGACACAATTTGCCTCACGTGAAGGTTCGAACACATGACCGTAATATCGATTGTCCAACAAGGCCCATGCATGCCTGTCCTAGGATTCGATATGCTCCTTGTTGGCCCACGTGTGTCGCAACAGGGCGACCCCTTCCAGCTCTGTAAGAAATGCCGGCTGCTCAAACAGGATGGCTCTGCTGATCTCGAATGTCCTGGCACAGCTGACTGAACAAGGCCAATCCGCACCCAGGCCGGCATGAGGCAGGCCCCTGGACTTGATCGCCATGTATCTACCGTGGACAATGTGCTGTTGCCATCTATGACCGTGGCCTGGCTTATGAGCCGGGTGCGTCAATATCCGACAATTCTTTCGCTCCTTTTATCCAAGCCGCATACCGGTCAAACTGCTGACCCCAGAAAGGCCAAGAAATGGAATGTCGTCCACAAGATGCAAACATATTAGTTTTCGTTTCTTGGTAAACATGAACCTCTGACCAATTTCATGTCGCCAATCGCTTTTCGCAGGCCTTGGTCAATTCGACGGCGTCCATGGCGCCAAGAAATGATTTTCTTTGCGAGAGTGTAGTTCGGCGAGTTGCTTGACCTCGTCACCGGCGGCGCGGGAGTGGCCGGTAAAGTTGCTCGTCCCAATAAAAGTGTCGGTGAAGTTCATGTGATTGCACGTTTGCTCTGTGAGGCGTCCAGGCGGTGCCAAGGAGCTCTTTTGAGTTGATGTGTTTGCCGACAACTGCGTCTCGTTTCGCGGCCAGTTTGTTGCCGTCTTTTGCTTCCCTCTTCCTACGTTAAATCAGCTCGTCGGCACCACTCTGGATCTGGATGGACCTGGACGACAAAACGGATACGTCTTGTCGTCCGTTTGCTACACGGAGCATGGCCAGAACACGAGCCTTGTCAGATGCTTGCTGGTGCAAGACACAATTGCGGCTTGCTTGATGGCTTGCTTAGCAGGCAGAACATCGAGATTTGTTGGCGCAGGAGTCAAACGGATGCCGCAGCAGTCATGACGGCTAGCAGTCGTGGGCGTGTGTTCTGGATGCGCCAGCAATGGCAGTTATGAGGTTGATGAGGTTGACGAGGCGGAAGCAAGGCTCCAAGGGCATCCGTCGCCGCGTCAGATCCATTCACGCAGCCACATTACGCTCCAGGTCGCCATAGTTCATGGATGTGATGGCAAGCAGCGTGAAGTAGTCCATCTTCTTGTTTGAAGCTTCACCGACGAGTTGACATGCCACTCTTACACTGATACTAACCGGTGTATCCGTCGACAAAGATTCGCTCGCGCTGACGGGCGTTCGATCGCGCGCATGGGACCAGGGGAGAAACGAATCTATCCCAAAGAGACAGGAAAAGACTTTCAGAAGTCGTATCAAGGAAGACTTCACATTCCGCCTGTCGTGACTCTTTCTATTCATGCTGTATTGGGCGCACAGTCGTAGTCGTAACCCCAATCATGTGCAGCCCATTGACGAACCTGACTCAAGTTGCCGATAACAATAGATTCTCATTGAAAGGGCATCTGCAGCCCGCATACCGCTTTTTTGGATCTGTTTCAGTGCGAGGATTCGAGCCAGTTTTGTCCAATCATAACCTGCTCAGTGCTCGCATATACACACAGGCCGAGCAGTATCAAAACCCTGTGCCCAATTTGGTTTTTTTGGTTGGGTATGATTCATTGACATCTTCAATGATTTGTAAGAAATTGACCAAGAGGTGAACAGTGGCCTTTGAGGCACAGCCCGCCGCGACGGTGGTATACGACGCGAGGCAGTCATTATGTCTTGGGGTCGATGGACGTTTATTAACCCACTCTTCTTGGTCGTTTCTTGATTGTTCAATGAAACAATTGGTTCTCGGAATTTTGCAAGGCCAAATTGGGGCGATGAAATTATCTCGGGTTTGAGGCCCAGGTCACAAGGTGGTCAAAGAAGAGCCTGATTGCATGTTTAGACCACCCAGCTTGATAGCAACACCATGGCCATGCATGAGGCATGTGCAAAAAGACTCATGCAATTGAGCGGTTATGAGCCAGTTGCCGTTTGAAACCCTCAAAACATTCGTTGTTGGGACGAAGAGTGCCCCAACTCGGAAGCAAAGTGGCGATGTCATTGCGGCATTAGATATGGCTGAAGTATAAATTATGTCAAAATGTCGTCATGTCTCTCTGCTGCTTTCGAGTCTGCTTGAACTCTGGAGAAGCTTTGGTAGATTTTGCATTTCCCCCAAGTTGGTTTCGTTGTCCTTGTCGAGCCATGTTCGCTGCAAGGACTTTCCACAGAGCCTCTCACATACACCATGGCTCTAGGAGCTCCAGCACCAGACGACGAAATTCCTTGTCCTCCGCACGACAGTCAAGGTTGCCCGACTGGCCGTCGAACTCTGCTCCTACACCCCATGATATACTGGGGGTTGCTCCTGGCGCCCCATATTCCAAGGAGAGGTTCAACCAGCTTGTGAAGATGTATCACCCAGACATGTCGGGCGTAGATATGAGACTCCAGCAACTTCCGCAGTCGGTTCGCCTGGAGCGGTACCGGCTCATCATCGCAGCACACAATCTGCTCAGTCACCCTTCTAACCGACGTCTGTACGAGTCGCATGGTCGGGGCTGGGTGTATTCCAAACCATTCCCTGGTCGCCGAGGATTCAAGCGCGATGATTTCTCTTCGAAAGGTGGCTCAACTCAGAATTCGTCGAGTCCAATGCGACAACGGCCCATATATACTTCGAATGCGACTGTGGCGATACTCTTAGTTGCTCTCGGTATGCTGGGGGCTGCGCTTCAGTTCAAGCGACTAGCTTCAAGCAGACGCGATATACGGACAGTTGAGACGGTGTTGCAGGATGCCATTCAGGAAGAAATTCAGGCTTGGGCCTCGGTGCTTCAAGGACAGTCAAAGGAGGACCGTATTGTTGCATTTCTAGCTAGGCGGCATGGTGTGCCTCATCGATTGCAGAGCTAGGCAGTAGCTCATGTGAAGAAATAAGAATGCGAATATAGGAGAGTCACGGAAAAAAAAAATGTGGCATTGATCACAGGCCGCTGTTTGACCCTTTTACGTAGAGGTCTGTCCCAGTCGTCGTGCTGCGGCGGTTTCTCTTGGAGCTAAGGCGGCACTCCGAATAATGAAGCTTCAGGGATGAGCAAATGTCAGGTTTCGTGGGTACTTCGTTGCTTAATGAGACTGGAGACACATTAATTTACGGCCCTGTTAATCTCAGATTGTCTGGATCACAGACTATCATTGTGAACTCAAGAGGGGTCGTCGTCAGTCAGTTTCTCGACGACGTTATCCAGATTTCTGCCACACTCCAAGTCATGGCACAGTAGGCTTAGTTTCAAGCCACGGTTCTCTGTTTGGCTCATATCTCGACTTTGCGACTATGAAGGCGGTCAGCTTTCGGTATCCGCAATGTCTACAAAAAGGAAAAGAATAGAAAAGACACTCTCCATGTGGGGAGCATCCCGACAGGCCAATTATGCATGCTCTGCAATGTTCACAGTACCAAAAGAAATTCATACAATTTGAACATACGTAGTAGCAGGTTGCATTCGGGCTGCACCGTGCACGTACGTACAAGGACTGAAACGAGATGACAGAGTGCTGGGCGAAGCGATTCGTAAATGTTTAGGTGGAGTCGGGAATGAGAATAATAATGTACTTTGCAGCGAAAGCAGACACGTACGACCATGGTAGTAGAAAATTCGGGATCCCGTCACGCTTTTCTCTAGAGTATTCCCGCCTCCAGGCATAATGGAGGAGTGTGCCACCATCTCTGGAGAACGTGGTGTCCGTCTTGGGAGGACAGAGAAGAGCTGGTGTAGTTTCCCGACATGAGGCGATGTAGAGCTGGGACCCTTAATTTCAAGTCGAGCTCAATGACTAGAATACGTGGTGGCAGAGCTATCAGCTGCCCTAGCGAAGCGAAGCCCAAGCAAAACATACGGTTTCCCAATTTGGATAGAATACTGGATTGAATTTTGAATGATTGACTTTCGGCTGAGACCAGGTAGTCGAGTCTGGGAGTTGGTTTCATTTTGATCCGGTCTTGTTTTTATTCCCGTTTACCGACTTTAGTTCTGCTCTCCGTTAGCTAGTGGCCATGTAACGGTGCTCTAAAGACATTGATTGAGGCCTTGGGTTGGGAGCGGGTGTTTGAGGCAGCTGACTCGGTAAGTTGATGCCAGCGAAGAGGGCATATTGGATGATGAGAGGGCTGGATGGGCTCAATTCTGCTTGCCCTTGTCTATGTGACCTGTGACCCCACTACGGTTACGTAAGTACGGGAGCCAGGTGCCAGCGAAGAGGGGATATTGGATGATGAGAGGGGCTGGATGGGCTCAATTCTGCTTGCCCTTGTCTAATCGTGCCCGCCCCACTTTATCAAAGGTGGTGAGGGCTTTTGCTAGCCGAACCACATAAAGTGGGGCGGGCACGATTATACGACCCACATGGGGCCACTACGGTTACGTAAGTACGGGAGCTAGGTACCTAGCTAGCTCCGTACCTAATGGCGACAATTTTCGGCCTGCCCACTGTGATGGTTCTGGCAGACTTGATCCTAGTAACTACTCATGCTATGATGTATGCCCCTTGAGCTAGACCGCCTAAATGTTGGGTATCTCATCCGTCAAGGCAAATCGTTTCTCGTGTTTATAAACAGGTGCTCGCCAGTCAGATTTGTTGTTGGTTTATAGCCACGAGACACATGGTACGTGGTGCGCCATTGCAGCTGCAAGCTGCAAGCCAAGCTCGTCCACCTTCCTTTCCATTCGACGCATCTCTACTCGGTACTGCTTCGTGCTACTCCGTACACATGGCCGAGACGCCCCAAGCGTCCGGCCGTTCATGTGTCTGCTGCGGCGGGAATGAAGCAGACCAGCCAGCTCTCTACGGGGATGCTGCGACGCGGCAAAGATTCGTTGACCGCGGGGCCGACGTTTGTGCAACGGCCGGATCACGAGACTCGACCGCTCTTCATCTTGCTGTCGAATCCGGCGACGAGCCGAGTGTCCAACGCCTCGTCGACGCAGGCGCCAATGTATCGGCGCAGACCAGCGGTGGCGTGGCACCATTGCACACGGCGGCCGCCGGCGGACACTTCGCAATAGCTCAACTGCTTGTCGAGGCCGGCGCAGTCGTCGATGCGCGCAACCAGGACGGAAAGACGCCTTTACATGCAGCGGCTTCGTTCTGGCAACCAAAGATTGCCCGGCTCCTCATCGATGCTGGAGCAGATGTGCGGGCCGAGGATAGTCACGGACGGTCGCCACTCCACGAGGCTGCTCGTCGCGACTCTTTAGCCGTAGCCCGCTTACTGCTCGACGCCGATGCCGACGTGAATGCCATGGACAAGGCCGGGGACACGCCACTGCTTGCCGCGTTGCCCGACGGCCCAGGCGCCATCAAGCTTCTCCTTGGTCGTGGCGCCGACGTGCCCGTCGAACACGACAGACGTGAAGGCGGGAATACATTGCTGCACCTTGCGGCTCAGAGCTCTGCGGATCTACTCCAGGCCTTGCTCGCCACTGGCGCTGCTGACATTGAGGCGGTCAACGACGACGGCGAGACGCCATTGCATTATGCGGCTGCCTACGGACACACGCGACAGGTCCAACTCCTCATTGATGCCGGCGCCAATGTGCACGCGCTTACCAAGGACGGCGAGACGGCCCTGCACATGGTGGCGGGCGACCCGGCCGCCTCATATCTGGGCGAGGCGCCTGATGCTGCCGATACGACAAGACTGCTCATCAATGCTGGTGTAGACGTGAACGCGAGGACCAAGGGACATACAGCTCTGGCCCGAGCAGCCGAGTGCAGGCACGACGCCGTCGCAAGAGTACTCCGTGAAAGAGGTGCCGATGAATAGAATACACGGTCAATTGGCTTTCAACCCTACTTGCAGCCCGACCCCATGACTAAAGTACTTGTCGCGGAGCAGCCCGCAGGGTCATGCGGTCGCATAAGCCAAGCTGTTGTAACTTGTAGCTGCTCTGCGACGACATGCAACCTTCAAACATCCTTTAGCCGACCCAAGTCCCTCCGTACCACCGCCACGCTCGATTTGCAGCTCACGAATAGCATGCCCGTGCAATTCATCCGTGATCCGCCGTGGTGTTGTTCCAGCGGGGCCGAAAGTGTGGCTTGATCGAGCTACAACGAGACGGATCCGTGGCATGCCATGTTCCGAGGACTATCGCTACTCTCCCCAGAATATAGCCGTCTACGCCGTCTTCCTGAACACCAGTGCTGCAATTACAGTCTTGGAGTAATGAATAATCCCCAACCCAGGGCCAGGGGACTTGTTTATCTAACAAAGCGTGACACGAGGATGGTGGTGGTATACGCGCACTCGGAGGGCGAAGGCGCGGCCGCACTCGTAGCGAGACACGACAAGAGGGTTCTTGGGGGCGTCGACTTTGACGGGCACATCGTGGAGCCCATTCGAAGCCAGGACTTGGAGAGGCTGTTTCTCCTGGCTGGGAGGTATGGCACAGCGCTGAGGATTCTACAGACCCGACTTGGAACCAGTTTTGGTCTTCGTCCGAGGGGCCAGGGAACGCCGATGGAGAGGTTGCTGAAACACAGACATCCAGTTACCATGTTTGTCATATACAACAAAGCGGTTCAAATGAGATACTTTTTACGCCTCTCAATCAACTTTTTGTCCTTCTTTGGTCAAGTGTCTATCGTGGTTTACTTGCAAGGAAATACATATTTGGACATGACGTCACAACAAGGCCCCATTCTTACCCGCTTGGACTCCGTTTTACCAGCTCTTTGCAAGTGTATTTCAATCCAATAACAAAGCAAGTGGCGTGGTAGGTGACGGTGCCGCTCCAGTCAGGAGGAAACATGCCTGCCGCGTCAGTTTGTCTTACCAGGACATGAACGCAGTTGCACATGTCTCCTACCTTGGTCACAGCATCTTGAATGCGGGTGTAATAGTAGCCGCCCTTAGCGTGAACAGGAGCGGGAGGACCAGATCGCTCCAGACTCCAGGTAATCAGCCCAAGCTTAACCCAGTTCTGTGGCCTCGTTGGCGTACGCGCCGGGGACCACAGTGCCCTGCTTTGCATACAAGGTCGAGTTCTCATCAGCTTGCGGTATTTCTCCTGTCTTGTCGCCGGACTTGTCGAGAAGAATAGCATCCTTGCAGAGGGCGGGTTCGTGGTTGAGCCAGTATTGGAGAGTTCCGAGCTCGAGGCTCTAGGATATAACTTTTGAAGCAGATACTCCGGCATTCTTCTAGTTGCCAATCGTTTGCTCGGCGAGCATTCCCTGCGTACAGTCGCCTGCAAACTGCATGGAAACTTCGGGTGCCTTCAACTCGGGACTGTGCTCAAGCCCAAGATGCTCAACCATGGAAGTGTGTTCTTTATGGTCCAGCACTTTCCCGCAGGGCTCCGCCACGATGGCCAATTGAGAGAGTAGAGGGCCTCATGGTCATCTCCAAGCATGAACTCAGCTTGAATTTGAGAGGTTCATCCGTCATGTTGATGACCAGGTAATACGGCCTCGGTCCCAGATCGATATGCTTAGTAGGCTAGGGGCGGGTAGGGAAAGGAGACGCAGAAACTTGGCTCATCGCCACGAAGCCTGCCAGCAGCATTGAAGACACGGCTGGACACATTGTTGGTTCTTTGGGTATATATACTACAAAGACGGGTTGGGCCACGATGTGAGTCTGTAAGGTGTAGCGGTGCTGAATAAAGGTTCCTTCCCGAGACAAATACTGGTTGATATACTCCTTTTCAAGGGGAGGCGGTATATATGCCCGGCCATTTTGGGGCGGTTGCACGTCTCATGCTGCCGCGTGAGATGGCCCTAGTAGAAATCAGCCTTCAGACTGGGACCGTAACATCCCATGGGTGTGTGTGCGGGCGAAGGAAATCCGGCGGTCTGAAAAGCTGTTGGCTTGTGAACAATGAATGGCTGGACAACATTTAAACTCAACTCGAGGGCGGCCATGGATGAAACTAATGCGAGCACAAGGGCGAAACTGTTATAACCCACCGCCTAGATTCATAAAGAACTAAGCGACGACGGTCCGAAAGGGCGGACATGTGCAACTCTCTGGTCTTGTCAGTTCAACGCGGCGTCGCATTCCCGGCTCAGCGCCTATGAACATGAACACTCCCTCTCTCAACTTGCCAGCAAAAGAAAAGCCTCATCTGGAAATGTGGAGGCCGAAGGAAAGGTCGTAGCTCGTGAAAATGATTAATGTTGATAGCGATAGGGCGGCTTCGGCTGTTACAACTCGTCTTTATCTGCTGCTTCTCCTGTATTTGCCTTCTTCACGCCCCGGAGTCCATTCAATGTTGCTGATAGGTGAGAGAATTCCGGCGCATCCTCGCCTAGACCCCATGCAAAAACACCTCCAAGTCTCTTTCGTCGCACAATGTCCTTGAACTTGCGGTCAATGACGCACGGTGTGTCAAAGGTCCACCACCGGGTCTCATCAACGTCCCAGTAGCCAAAGCTGCCGTCGTCAAAGTACTCGCCATTTATCATGGCTCGGGAAAATGATTGTTCTAGCTCTTCTGGTATTTTGTCATGCCAGCTGAAGGCAGAAATCCTGCCCAGATCAGCACCCGTCTCTGGGTCTTCCAACAATTGCGTTGGACAGCCCAACAGATGGTCCGGATCACAATTCCCAGTCATGGCCCATTTGACATAATAAGCGAGCCCCAAGTTAAGCAAATGAGCTGGTGCTCCCCGTGCCATGTAAGACTCGACAGATTTCAACGACGCAGATACACCAGTATGGTGCTTAACCAAGACGTCACGCCTGTTCAGCAAATCATACGTCATGACATTGATAAAATCAACCTGGTTGACAATTCGGGGTATTGTCTCTTCCGTAAAGGCCATCATGTCTCGCTCAAGGCCCGGGACTGCAATAGAGAGTAGTTTCTCGTTCCCGATTGCGACGCGTAAATCGGTCAACAGCTGCACAAATGCTTCAATTTCCCACTTCCGCTTCTCATTTGGGATGATTTTGTAGTCATCACGATTGCCACTGGATTTTTTGGGCGTTTGTCAGTTGGGGGAACCACGGGGCAGTGTTCCCTCATGGAGAAAGAAGCTCACCCAGGGTATTCCCAGTCGATGTCGACACCATCCGCACCGGTCTGGTCGATCATCTTTTTGACGTTCTCGCACCATCTTCTCCTGGATTCGGCACCCTTGCTTGCTTCCTCAAATCCTTCAGAGTCTCCCCAACCACCAATAGCAACCATGACCTTGGTTCCCTGGTGAAATTTGTCTCGCACCGCTCCCACAGTCGTGAAAAGAACGAATTCTGGGGAGTGATGCACAGAGTTGAAGACACCAGATCTCATGAACGCGAGTGCCACGTGCGTAATATCTTTCAATAGTTCAGAATCTGACGGAATCACGTTGTGCTGACTGGAACCATCGTTAGCCTCTTGGGAACAAGCTTACGGCCGTACGGCTTACCCCGTAAGATACATGAGGCAGCGAGCGGCAAAAGGCTCAGATGTTGATGCCGCCATTGTGACCAGATTAAAGAGCCACGCTGCCGCCAATATTGAAAGAAGCTCCATTGTCCAGTTTTGATGCCAAAATGCAACAGGGTGGTCAACAAGGCTTCCGGCCTTCAACCACCATTTGCTTATCCCCAAAGGCTGTGAATCAATTGACAATTGCAAGAGTCGTCTTTCACGGTCAATTTCATGTCATGGAATGCTGAACCGTCATCAAACCATATAAAAAGAGCTACAAATACCGGGATAGTAAAAGAAGCGATACACGAGCCGAAGTTTGTCTCTTCCAGACTTGCTGTGCATGTGGCAGGTGGCAGGTTTTCCAGGTAGGAGCATCAGGTGTACTGTGCGAATACCTGACCAGTTCAATTCCTGAAACTGTACAACCATTGAAGTGGCTGCAACCTCTGACGTCGAGATAGCTTGAACTTGGGGTGTCTTTCTTTGTTTCTTTTTTTTTTTTTTTCGTTGGAAAAAATAATCCAATCCGGAAAACCTGGGAAGGGAAAAAGGTCAATTCCCCGATCGCAGCAGCAAATCTTCCGCGTCCACATAACGCCAATATTCCAGAGACTCTCTTTCGGAGGATACCGAAGGGATAATTCTCCCCAAATTTTCCTTCAACCCGCTTCCGCCGACCAATTCTAGTTGCGACGAAGCCATCCCTGCCGCCATGTTTGAGAACCTTTGCACGCTGCCGCTGCAATCGGATGTCTTCACGACAGCTCTGCACCCTACGGAACCGCTTCTCACGGTGGGTTTGTCTAGCGGCCACGTGGAAACGTTTCGACTGCCGCCGAGCAACGCGCCCGAGGACGATGCCGACGCGGACAGCAGCTTGTTGAGCGACGGAAAGGGCATGGTGGACACTGTTTGGAAGACGAAAAGACACAAAGGAAGCTGCAGGTGTTTGGCATATAGCCAGGACGGGCAGGGTATGTCTTCGTCTACAAAGCCCGGCAAGATGCTAACACAGTCTTCATCCAGCCATGTATTCTGCGGGAACCGACTCCCTAGTCAAATACTTCGAGCCAGGCACCGGAAGGGTTATTTCCAAAATCTCAATCCCAAGCTCCACCTCGGTGCCGGACGCGCCCACCCTGCTGCATGTTCTTAACCCCCAAAGTCTGCTACTAGCGACCGACTCCGGGGCTCTTCACATCGTCGATCTGCGCGAGGCGGCGCCGGGGAGGAAGCCGGCGCAGAGTCACTTTCCCCATTCTGACTACGTCTCGTCGATTACGCCTCTCCCGCCGTCAGAGGAAAGCACGAGTGGGTTCCCGAAACAATGGGTCAGCACGGGTGGCACAACGCTGGCAGTAACCGATGTTCGTCGTGGTGTCTTGATACGCAGCGAGGACCAAGAAGACGAGCTTCTTAGTGCATGCTTCATGCCGGGGATGGGGCCTAAGAGCAAGCGAAATAATGGTGTGGTAGCAATCGGCTCCGGGAGCGGCGTCCTTAGCATCTGGGACAAGGGGTCTTGGGACGACCAGCAAGAACGAATTATCGTTGACGGCGGAAAGGGGGGTGGTGAAAGCATCGATGCCATCGTCAGAGTACCCTCCGAAATATGTCTGGGGAAGAAAGTGATTTGTGGCGTTGGTGACGGCAGCCTACGCATCGTCGACTTGGTGAGGAGGGAAGTCGACAGATGCACAAACCTGCGGCACGACGACATGGAAGCCGTTATTTCGCTGGCTTTCGACTGCCGCAACCGGCTCATCAGCGCTGGCGGCAAGACCGTCAAAGTATGGGAGGAATTGTACGAACTGGAAGGCGGAGACAGCGGCCAAGACTTGGAAGCTGATAGTGATGAGGAGGACCAAGCGGATGAGCGCTGCAAGCGACCTGCCGCCGGTGATAGTGACGATGACAACGACAGCGGCGATGACAGTGAGGGTGACGGCATAGAGGAGATGAAGCGCCGTGCCAAGCGGCGCAAGGAGATTCAGAAGAGTAAACTCGGTCCCATGGGCGCCCATGGCATTATGGGCTTCGAGGGACTCGATTGATTAGCAAATGAAGGAACAACATGAGTTTTAGTTTGAGCAGCAGATGCAGTCAAACTGAATAGAGGTTCCAATGTACAGTATCAAGAACCAATAACAGCTATGGCAACAACCAGTTGGCATACGAAAGCAAAGCCATGCGAGCGAGCAAATACATTAAAGTTCATCCCGCCTCTTCTGTTAGGTGATTGGTATTGGACCAGGTTTGCCGTTTCGTAACCAGCTGCAATAATGCGGGCAAATCAGACAATGTTGCCATCTGGTGTTTGAGCACAAGACTAGAGGAAGCCAAAAAATGAATCCAGTACACCATCGTTACACATAAAGTTCACAATTTCCAAATCCACTATTCCTTGCCAACCTGGTATACTCGCTACTTCAGATATCAAAACATATTCGTAGATGATTTCCAACTCCAACCAAGGAATTGCAGTGTTGGTGTAAGCAGTCTCATCCGCCTGCGGGTACGTCGACAGGTGTTGAAACTGTTCAGTCCAAGATGCTGGTGGTGGCTTCTGCTACCTTAAAGGTTGGGATATCATGATCTTGCTCAGCCACCCAAATAGACTTAAGTCGACACCTTAAGTGCCTTTAATTGGCAGCATAAATAAGAACAAATCAAGCCAAGAGAGAGTGGAAGCGATTTCAGAATACCGACTTCGACTAGTGGCAGTTGGAAAAGAAAAAGTGGGCGTTTTTGGAGGCATGCGGTGAATTTTGTAACCGTCGTGAGGTCCGGACGAGTGTCGGATGCTGCTTCTGGGCGAACATTCTGCATTGAAGCGTATGCCGGGCGACTTGGAAATGAGGAAACCCAACCCCAGGGATTTGTTGTAAGGAGTCGGACTGAAGATGGGACACAAGCCCCATTTGACCCCTCATTTGCGATTTCGCCTCTTCAAATTCAACTCGGTCAGGTTGCAACGCTGACCGTACAGATGGAAGCGAAACAAGTGGCAGACTGATACGAGGCTTGTTTTCAGAGCCTAACTTGCTTCAAGAACCTGTGTGAGTTGGGGACGCAAGACTCTTACGTGCAAATTAAAAGAAGAAAAAGAAAATTTTTTTTTAGAACTGTCCTAATTTGACAATGGACGTGCAGACGATGGCTCCGTTAAACACCAGGGAGATGGATGTAGCTCCATTGTGCGGTTTCGTCCTCTTTCAACAGCTCCGTTGAGAGTGCCATGGCTGCCGCATCAGTTGGGGCAGATATGCGCTTGGGCAAGCTCGTTGCAAGATCCTCATCATATATAATGACTGAAGGCAAAACCTTGGGATCGCGGAAGGAAGTGGTGTGTGCTCCTTTGCGGCGGCACGAGGACGAGCCCTTCTCATACTCACGGCGACGGCGACCACCAGACTTATTGCCACTATCGGTGCTTCTACTGCCATCTTTCATGTTGCTGTGTCTTGCTGGATAGGCATCAAGCAGGAGAGGCATCATTTCGGATCCGCTATATGTTGTAGGAATGCAGACGTGAGGAATACCCTTGCGGCATCCGATTGCTTTGGCCAAGCCAACAGCCGAGGCCCCTCCGACGCTGATAACGACGTCCCGATCGTCTATGCGAGAAACAGCGTCGTCGACAACACGAGCTGGCACGTTGACAACGGCCGAGTCGAGGATTCTCGAGTTGAGGTTCGGGATGAGACTCTGAATGCGGCGGGCTAAAGCGACTCTCGATGGGCTGGAGACGATTAATGGCGAAGACGCATGCAAGCGGCCCAGCTCGGTGGGGAGACGTTCTATCGTGCCTCGGCCGTACACAATTCGGGGCGATCTGGGCTCTGAATGAGAACCTTCGGTCTGGGAAGATTTGGACGAGCCCGAGCCCGAGCTGCGGGCTGACGGGCGAGCTTTGGTAGCAGAGCCTGAACCAGCAGAGGAAATGGCACGGCGATGAGCAGCAACGCCTGTGCTGCTTCCGCCCGCGATAGCAACACTGTGAGACCGGCGGTGGCTCCCGGCGGCGGCGGCCAAAGGAGGCAAGTTGGTAGGCGAGGTCGTTGGGGCAATAGGGTCACCGGTCGTGGGTGAAATGTCGATGGTATTCATAACCCTGTTACTCGAAGGGGCTAGACGGCACGTCTCGCAACGACCAACCGGCTAACTGGGGTTCTGTTACGGCGTGTCAACGGGGTGTTCGGCGGTGAGTTGAAGAATGGACGGAGCCGAGTTGTGAGGTTTCGATCCTCGGAACTTGAAGGGACTCCCGGGGATCGAGCCCCATGACGTTTGGGATTCCGGCTCAGGAGTTCTTGGGCTTCCCCACGGACGGACATGCCCAAGTGCGACTATGATTCAGAAGGACTAGTTGACACATGTACGGAAATTCCATGAAGGAACCAGCAGCGGAAAGAGGGACAGATGGGGCGTGCATAATGGCACTAAGTCATAGGTTCACCCCATCATTTCGGAACCCACTCACATGTTCTCCGTACCTGGGTAGATGTGAGTGGGCGCAGGGCAGTCACCCATTGCAGGCATAGCCAGCGGAAATAAAAGGATGCTTCGTTTCCATGCCCCAAGCGCCGCCTCGCTTCCGCAAGTCTGTTGGCGGTGAAGTTATCTAGGTCTAGCTTGAAAGTCCTCAGTTTGCAGCCAAAGGCTTGGGCGTGTAATTAGATGGTGGTGATGGTGTGAAGAGAACGGCTGACACTGGATGGATGTATTACTGATCTGTCCAGGGCAGAGCAATCAGGGGCCGGCATTGCGCCTTGGCAGACACCAGTGGGGCAGGCCTCCCTGCACGGAGGTTCCTGTCCGGCGGCATGGCGATCAGCCCTGGCGCTGGCAATTCGGAGCGCAGGGTCCAAAACTCGGTCTTCGCCAATGCGAAATGACGAAATTGCCCATGTTTTTGCAAACAGTTTACTGCCGTCAAAACGCCACTTCCGCCGGCAGCTAGGGCATCGAGAATGGCGTCAAACTACTGGTTTGCGAAACATAATATTGCTGCCACATGACCTTTGACCCTCATTGTTTTGTCCTTGTTTTTCTTATTCTTTTTCTTTCTCGTCCTTTACCCCTCTACTGGGGGTGTCCTCGATTGGCCACCAACTAATGCCGTCTGGTGACACTTTAGCTTACTTTGGCGGAAGACCTTATGCACTAGGGAGTGCTTACGATGCGTGTGGCTCGCCGCACAGTGAGCTGTCAGAGACAGAAACAGTACAGCAGCTCTTTCCACTGCCACGACGATGTGTCGTCCAGATTAATCGCTTACTTGTAACTGGAGAAGCAACACAGACAGACCCGGTCCTAACATGACGTTAGCTTTGTTTTGGGCAACCGATCTTTTCAGGAGTGGGTAGTTACTCCGTATTACGGCTGCCATATGCCCTCTTCAGCCCTAGTGGAGAACTTGGTTGGGAATTGTCGTAGACCTGTTGGTCGCACTAAACGAAACTGCATGGTCAATGCTGGCCATGTCACCACTTCTTCATCTTCTCTCTCATCCTTCTTCTCGGGAACAGGCTTCTGCTAGGATGCTTTCTGCGCGACGCAGATTCACACACCCGACACTCTTGGACATGCTGCCATTATAAGACGCCACCTGGGTGTTCCCTTCCCTCAGCAACTCCGTCCTTCCCAAAGGGTGTATTCGCGCCAGCCGGCTCCACTGCCTGCACGTTGATGTCTTCGTCTTCCATCTCCTCAGGCAGCGCCAGGTTGAGTGCCATGCAGACCGCCGCAGCCACCGCGAATCCAGTCTCCATTATGAGAACAATGGCATCGAGGAAGCCCCTGAGAGCGTGGTTGTCGCCAGAATAGCTAAAAATCTTGTCAAAATAGGTGGGCACGAGGGTTGCGCCATAGCCAAGAGCCAACCCCGTCGTGAGGATGAAGCGAGTGCGTCGATTGAAGTCAGTTCCACAAGCAATGATGGCCATTCCGGACACTGCAACCGCCGTGAAAAGGAATGTCGTCATGCCACCCAAGACGGCGGAGGGTATTGCAACAAGCGCTGCGGCAAATTTTGCAAAAGTTCCCATGACAACGAGGAAGAAGCAGCAGGCAAGGCCGGCATTGCGATTGGCACATCTCGTCAGGGCAATGACACCGTTGTTTTGAGCAAATCGGCTCATTGGCGTCATGGTCATCATGGCAGCAATGATGGAGTTGATGCCATCTGTTAGCAGTCCACCCTGGATACGGGACTCGTAAATGCGACCCTCCCCCTCGATGTGGGAAACATCGCAAGTCGCCGTGATATCGCCAACGGCCTCGGTGGCGCATATAATGAACACCGCCATAATGGGCAGAACAAGCGGCCCATAAACAGTAAGAGGGAACGTGTGTACCCAGACGAACGACGCGACGGGGGCCGAGTCGATGCCGCTTCGGTCAAAATATCCGCATGATGCTGCAATGATACACCCTACGAGCAGTCCCCATATCACAGAAGTGGATTTCATGATTGGCGATCCAAATCGTTCGCACAGGATAATGGTGATGAAGGCTGAGAATCCCAGGCCGAGATACTCGGGGGATCCCCAGGGGAGAGCGTGTGGCGCATTGATATTCGGACAGAGCGCAAAAACGCTGGCTTGGTCGCCTACGGATGCTGGATTGGAGCATGGCCCACTGCCTCCCATCCAATTCTTGAAACCACTCTCAATGAGATGGACGCCAATCAACATAACCGTGGGGCCAGTAACAATCGGGGGAAAGATGCGCAGGAGAACCTTCGGCGGCAGAAAAGATATCAAGATCTCGGTCAACGCACAGATGGCAGAAGTGCCGATTAGGGCACCGTACCCTTTGGGACACGGTAAAGGAGCGCCGTCCTTATCAGACGGGCAGTAGCCGTTGGCGTACATCTGCTTAAAGGCGCCTTGGGCAATTGGAATCATGCTGAAGGATATGCCGACTACCGAAAGGACGCCAGTTCCAATGAAGTACCTAGGGTAGACCGAGTCAGGACTTTGCGTTGCATGGCAATTGTCTGTAAAGGAGAGGTGTCGGGATTCGTGTGACGGGAGACGGGGTCCGGAAATAACTTACGGCGTCTTGGGAACTCGGAAATGGTTGATTTGCACGGCTGACAAGATTCCAGAGACGATGAGGGCCGTGGAAACCAGATATTGTTGCTGGCTTTGGTCGAGATTCGCACCTCCACTGCCACTCAGGATGAGAGGAGGAGTAATGACACCAGCAAGCATGGCCAAAGCATGCTGCAAACCTAGAAGCAGCGCCAAACAGACGGGCATCTTGTCATCGAGACCGAAGAAAGGGCTGCGGTATGTGTTCTTGTTCATAAACGGAAGATTTGGTCTCAGCAGAAAAGCATAGTCGTAGTCGCCGACGAGTCCGTCACGAGTGGTGAAAGCATGCCGAAGGGTTCCCAGTCGAAACTTGATGCGCTGGCCAATTCTATTCTTTTGTGCTGCGTTTGCCGGGACTATGGTGTCTGGGCCATGACGTTCGTCCATGGTCATTGGCGATAGTGTGTGCGGTTGTATAAAACGGGGTTTGAACAAGTATATGAATCTGAGGATCCCGGAGAAAATAAGCTTGGTACACTAAAATGATATGGCCAAGAATCAAAATGAGCGGTTATTGTCAGGCGGACCGGCTGAATCCTGGCGGTTGTTGGGCGGAAACCTGCTGAAGCCGACAAAAGCTGCTGTTCTCGTGGGAAAACGGACCAGGACAAGTGATGGATGCAGTCGCTTTTCCTCGACTTGGGACAAAATTTGGGAGAAAAACCACGCATGGGTTCCTGGCCGTCAAGAGACTTGATGTTGCTTCAACTGCAACGCGAGGGGGAACACTGTAGATTGCTCAGTGTCAGTGAAGTTGATTGCAGATAGGGCGTGATGGGCGTGATGGTGGTGGTGTAAGCTGACAGCAACATGGACAGAATACGAGGTCGGATATCAAGTTCCTTTATCAAGTTGCAAGAGACGCGAAAAGCAGCGGTCCACGCTGGAACGTTGTTCATGACTTGCCAACGAGACATACAATGGGACAGAGGCTGTAAGAGGACTGGTCTGTGTCTGAGAAGGAGAAGAAAAAAAACTCCCTCGGAGGCAACTGCATGGCATGATTTCGGTAATGCTCTGTAGAGTAAGTCAGTAACTGATGATGCCACGGCCCTGTTTGAGCGTCGTTGTGTTCGCCGAAAGCGGAGACGGCCATCAGAAAAAACACTGGAGCGACCAACCACCACCACTGGACATCAGCGTGGTCTAGGGGTCCTGAGTGCTGGTGTGAGTGGATCGATGTCGTTGATTAGCTGGATAGCTGAATCAGAATTGAACCATTGACATGTGCGGACGGGTGCTGCCCAGTCGTGACGAGTGACGAGACCTAGACAAGATTGGCGTGAGACCAGTTGAGAGCAACTTTCCTACGTTGTCTGACTTGACCGCGAAATGCCAGCCCAGTCAGTGGTTGGGTGTCGGCCTGCCATGGCTTCGCTTCGAGGCAACCTCGGATGCAGGGCGAGCCGACTGGGAAAGATGGAAGGATGACGAGTTTTGAGCAGACTAGATAGAGGACGACCAACCACATGTGCGGGTTGAGTCATGGGAAACACGACGGGCTTTGCGGAACGGAGACTGCAGAAGCCGAAGTGCCGAGACAGTGATTGAGACGCAGTCGATAACGAAAGTCGAGGAGCTTGCTTGCCACGTACAGAGCAAAGCGCTCCGTACCTGCTTTAAGTACTTACTTAGTAGGTACCTACTTACTTGGGTACCTGCTTTACTTAGGTAAGTACTTGAATAAGTAAGTGCGTAACTACTTAACCTAACTTAGTCACGAGGTGGCCTTGTCAGCGGGGCCGAGACAACACTTCCATGTCCCTCGGCCTCCTCGACTTTATCATCAACTAATCCGATACGGCGGCTGCGAGATAAGCCAGCGCTCTTCTGCTCCCCCACTACATCACGCCTGGCTCCTAGGTACTTAAAAGTCGAAAGATGTAATCGTCTGGACTCTGCATTCGTCTACCCCGGATAGTGTAACCCTACGGCATGACAGACTTGCCCTTTGAGGAAATCCGCCTGAGCGACCGTCGGTCGCTCTGCTTAGATTGTGGAACCCAGACGCCGACTGGTCCTTTTAACAAACAACTGATATCACAACGAACCTGACTCTTGGGCTACGCAACTGCCCCTGCGCCCTTGCGTGGTGGACTTTGTTAAAGCATGCTTTCTTGACGTGGCCATACTCATGGCTCACATCTGGCACGCCTGGATGCATGTGGTTTATTACCACGTCCAGTCAATGAGCACGCACAACGCGGCACGTCTCAACTAAGCTCTCAGTTGCATAGGATGCGGAAAAAAGCAAGACAGAAAGGAACAAGTCAGAAGAGAATCAGTTAAGCGAAGAAATGAAACGAAAGATGATGCAATTTGTGCGCCGCGCCTACTATCCATCCTGCCAAAAAAAAATCACCGTGTCCTGCCCAAATCCCGTCTTGTTTTCGATATCAAGTACAACAGCACCCACGGCCTCCAATGGTTTTTTCTCTGTCGCTAAATACAACCAACTCCCTTCCCTCGTCCATCCTGCACTCTGAACAAAAAAAACTCGTCGTGTCGCTTCCACTGGTATAAACATGCAGTTACGGGGTATTAAACAGAAATGTGGTGCGACCATGTAATGGCTCCTGTGACCGTCATGTGGCATCCATCTTTTTCCATGCATATGCATGCTGGAGGGAGACGAATACGTGACCTGTCTCCTTTCATCACGGTCCAAAATCTCGTCCCTTTCGCGCTAGCACTCGTACATTGTCCAGGAAGCCCTCGATAAGTTCCTGGTAGCGGTTTGCCTCCCCGCCCATGGCCTTCGCACCCTGGTCAAGGACAATCGCCGACGCCAGTTCAATTTCGAGCTCATGCTCCTTTTCCATTTTTTGGGTGCTCTACAGACCTGTGTCAGCACGCATACAGCACTTGCGGAATGTTCAGCACTCTTACTGATGGACCTAATGTTGATAGTGTGACCTGTGTCAGGTCAATTTGGTAATGCCCTTGAGTGTAACTCAAGCGGTCTTTTTGCCTGTCTGATGTCTTGTCGTTTTGCGTAGGCCCCAGCCGCTCCAGCTCTTCCACCGGACCATCCCAGTTCATCTCTAGATTGATACTGAGTCTACAGTCCATGGGACTTGTCGGCATGTGGATATCAATGTCCGCTACTCTGGCCTTGATTATCTTGTTGAGCGCCTGGCCAGTCTTTTGATCATATGTGACCCTGGCCTTGACGTTTCTGGCGCGAGACCCTAGCCTGGACCGCACACACCCCGGCAGACGATTCTGCAGATCTTGAGGGAGTTCAAAGTACCGGTCGACTTCGCGCCGGTGCTTGTAGTGAACTTGAACACGACTGGTGCCGTTTGGGGCGCGTGGATCTGTCTGGATGACTATCTGGTTCAAGAAGTCGTTGAATGCTTTGTGATGCGCCTTTACCACGTTAGTCGACTGGACGGCTGCATCCGTCATCATGGAAGTGAGCCGACGCTTACCTCGGTCATGCTGCTTCTGAACGCGACTCTACCCGTGTCACGAAGAACGCACTCTGTGTCCAACAGTCTGTCCACACGAAAGTTGGTGTCCTTGTCAATGAGTGTACCAAGCTTCGCTTCGATCTCAAATTCAATGCCCCGGCTCGTGATCTCCTTGATGTCGGGGTTATTCACGACGTGGATGTAGACAAAATCAGCTACCGTTTTTGATATCTCGTCAATCGGCTTGACACCGGTTATGCTAGCTTCCCAAGGCCCTAAAATATCCTGTGGTCCTGTTTCTACGACGGCAGGAGCCGCCTTCGAAGCGGTGGATGTTGATGTACGTGCAGCCTCAGGGGAAGCATGTCGACTAGACCTATCAGCCTTACTACCTCCATCTACTTTCCCATTGATGTGTGAGTGCGCGCGCTTCTGGAGGACAAAGTTGCCATGATTGGGCATCTTTCCGCCGAGTGAGTGGACAGTCCGGGCCCAGACCGGTGACTGCGCTCGGGGAATGCGATTTTTCCTCGGTGCCGACTGCGATGATGGAGGTTGAGTACCGTCCGCGTGGTCGCCATTCGGTTCACCAGGCGGGGGGCGCGTTTCCTTGTGCTCCAGCTCCTTGGGACTGAGATTCCGGTCATCCAATTTGCGTTTCGCTGGGGTGACGGCGCGATCTGAGTCTATCACAGCGCTATGGGATATCGACAGTGATTTTTTCTCCATGTCCACGGGGGACGCCACCGCTCGGTCTGAAATGCTGGCAATGGAGGCTACTCGTGTCCTGGGGCTAATTGACAGGCTAGGCTCTCGAGACTGGAAAGACTTGGAACGTTGGTGAGGGTCCGCTGCTAGAGGTTCTTGATGGCCTGGGCCTGACACCCGACGCAAAGTTGCATTTGCTGACGCGGGTGACTGCGGTTGAGGCCCGTTCCCCATAGTCGTCAATCTTTGCTGGTATGGACTAGGCGGGTGTGGAAAACTCCCCGGTGGGGGAGGTGCTGGCCGAACACTGTTTGCTTGCGGCGGTCCGAGAGGTGTGGGAGGTTGTGAAGGTTGTCGATACTCAACGCTTGGGCGCGAAGTCTGAACAGGACTGCCGTGAGCATGTGGCGGGCCGAAATGTTGTTGACTATGGGCAGAGGTTGGTGTTGGCGTAGACTGTGCAGATTGTGATCGTTGGTGTAAAAATTGTTGTGACGAGACGGCAGTCGTGCTGATCGGGGGTGTTTGTGGGACTTGATGCTGTTGCACATAACTTCCAGACGAGTGTGCGCCGTCTCTTTGTGCATAGACGTCTTGGCTTTGCGATTGCTGGACATAGTGGCCGGGGGGGTAATGATGCCGCTGGTCGGGGCTGGTCATCTCTTGGACAACTTGGGAGGAAGGGAAAGGATATCCTGTAGAGCCTCCCGGAGCATTTGTCGCGGTAGGCGTAGGTCGGTACGGCGACTGCGCGAGCGCGGGCGCAGGCGCGGACATGCCTCCGGGAGGTCGCGCATCATGAAAAGGCCCCGAGTGATGAGGAAGAGACTGCGATGCACGCGGCGGATACTGTGCAGGTGAGGCCTGGTATGGCCCCGGCGGCGGGTACGCAGTGGGTGTTTGCTGGTGAGGAGGGTGTCGGGGATAGTCTTGACCTATCGACTTGCCGGGAGATAGATGAGGAGGTTGCTGGCCATAATCACGATATCCATACTGGGTAGGACTTTGGGCTGGGCGGCTTTGATGTTGTTGCTGAGGTGTCGGGGGGTCCTTCGGCCGGCCGCGTTCGCCATTGTCAGACGTGTTGAGCACAGAACGCAAATCCATCATTGGCAGTTTGTACTGTCTTGAAAGTCTTTGGTGTTTTGGTTCGGTTTGGCCGCGGACGGCGCTCAAGCGGAGAGATATCGGATGGTGTGAGCAGACTTATCGACGCAAGCTGCGGTCATCGGACAGAGTTTTTGCCAAAACGCACACCAGTCGACTGCGAAAGCGTATCGAGAGGAGACTAGAAGCTCATCGGGCGCGCAAACAATGCGATGGTGATCGGCGTATCGCATTCGCAAGTGGACATTGTAAGCTGTCGCAGGACGGGTAAGGTGTTCAGCCAATATCCAATGTGCGAAGGCCGTGGCGTGGACGCGGGGAGTAGAACAAAGCTGTAGTTCAAAGTTAAGGCAGAGGCAGAGCGCCGTTGCGTCGATAAGACGGTTGGATGGAAGGCAGGGCGATCTACTTAATCTCGGGCCGCACCATGGCGTCTGGCGAAGCTTTTCGATCAGAACGGTGTAGGTTTGGCCTGGTGCCGGATCTTAGTGATGGAAGTATGAATGGCATGAATCAAGTGAGGACACATGGAAGGAGTCAGGCAAATGCGTGAATGCGCCAGACGAGCCAGCCGGACACATTTTTTTTTGAGTTGTGCTATTCGACCAACGCCGACTGGAGCGGTGCATTGGGTCCCTCGACCCACTATTTGCCGAATTATCTACGTACGTACTTTGTACGGAGGACGGTGGGTTTATTGTGCTGCATCACGTGGCTTATCACGTTAGCAATTCTTGTCGACCTGCAGGTGGTCCGTGCGTCCTCAAGGCAGAGCTGTGCCTGACGTGGATCATTTTTGCTGCGATGCGGTTGCTTGCGCAAACGCTACTTGCTCGACGTCTGCGCCTTTCTCCCCATTCGCATCTGCTGCATCATCTCCTTTTACCCGCCTTAGATTCGAAATTTTGTCTCCGATTTAGGTGTCGTGACCTACGCGTCTCAGCTGTCTGTTTCTTCCGCGTCGTCACTCTCCCGACTCCTCTCCTACCAGTCCGAGAGCTCCCCAGTATCTCTAGCCTCGCGGAGCGAAATCATTATGCCCGGTCTCGTATCGGCCACTGGAGTGCTGGCCTTCCTCGCTGATGAGGAGCCTGAGCTCAAGGTTTTTGCGTTGCAGACTTTGAACGATGATATTGACACTGTTTGGACCGAGGTGGCTGGCGCCCTGAACCAAATGTAAGTGACCAACATTGGCATCCAACAAAGCATGAAGTTTGGCCCAAGCGTTACATCCATCGAAGACAGGGTCTAATACTTATTTAATTCGTCTTCAATAGCGAGGCACTCTATGAAGATGAGGCTTTCCCCGAACGACAACTCGCTGCTCTCGTTCTCGCCAAAGTATATTACCATCTCCAAGCATATAACGACAGCATGGCTTTCGCTTTGGCTGCTGGAGATCTCTTTAAGCTGGACTCCCCCGGCGAGTTTGAAGAGACCATCATCTCCAAGTGCGTCGATCAGTACATTGCTACCACCGCTGCAAAGAACTCCAAACCACGTACTTCGAAGAACACCGATCTTCCAGAACTCACAACAACCTTCTACCATGCCTCTGACAATGCTGTCATGTCCCCAACAACGCCGTTTTCCCACACAACGCTGCCTCCGAAGTCTCTCCTTTCGCGTACCTCACTCGACAACACTATACTTGATGCCACCTTCCAGCCTGTTATTAAGCAGGGCAGATCCGGTTCTATCGTCGAGCTGCCCAACCGAGATATTGCTGATTCTCTACAGCGCGTTATTGAGCGTCTGTTTTCAAGCTGCTTGAAGCAAGCCCGATATAGGCAAGTCGTCGGTATTGCCGTGGAGGCCAGGAATCTTGAAGTTTTACGGCGAGTAATCAAGCAGGCAAGCGAAGACGAAAAGAACGCCAAGTCCAAATCACAGGATGGACTTCAGGGCCCAGCCGAGGAACTCATGGAGTACACGCTTGGTATTTGCATGGACATCGTGCAAGAACGAAGCTTCCGCACCGAGATTTTGCAACTCATTCTTGATCTCCTGAACGACATCCCTAATCCCGATTACTTTGCCATTGCGAGATGCGTTGTTTACCTGAATTCAGACGACGAAGCCTCACGTATGCTTCGGACTCTAGTTTCAAATGGCGATCGTACCTCCATTGCCAACGCCTATCAAATAGCGTTCGACCTGCATGACAACGGCACACAGGAGTTCCTAGGCAGGGTACTCGCATCCCTGCCAGCTGCGAACTCTGCAAAGGATGATACTGAAGCCTCCGATCAAGCTGCAGAAAAGGAGCCTCTTTTGGACCAACAGAAAAACTCCGAGGAACAATTGCCGGAAGGTGAGACCAAGGTATATCGCAACATTCGGTCAATCCTTGACGGATCAAAGACTATTCGTCTAAATCTTGAGTTCCTGTATCGCAATAACCACACCGATCTTAGCATTTTGAACAAGGTACGGGATAGCCTTGAGGGGCGCAACTCTATTTTCCACACCGCTGTCACCTTCTGCAATGCATTTATGAACCAAGGGACAACAAACGATAATTTTTTCCGCGACAACTTAGAGTGGCTAGGTAAGGCTGTGAACTGGTCGAAATTCACTGCCACAGCAGCACTTGGAGTCATTCATCGAGGCAATTTGTCACAGTCTAGAAAGCTTCTTGAGCCTTATTTGCCCCGGCAGGGAGGACTTAGCAGCGGCTCAATCTTTAGCCAAGGTGGTGCCTTATACGCCTATGGTCTCATTCATGCCAATCATGGTGCCGATGCTTTGGACTACCTTAAAGCCCAGTTCAATCAGGCCGAGGAGGAAGTCGTTCAACATGGTGGCGCTCTTGGGCTTGGTATTGCCGGAATGGCCACAGGGGATAACGAGATCTTTGAGAAGCTCAGAAACATCCTTTTCCAAGACTCTGCGCTCAATGGTGAGGCTGTTGGCCTGGCAATGGGTCTCATCATGGTAGGAACAGGCAATGTGAAGGCGCTGGAGGACATGATCACTTATGCCCACGAGACAACACACGAGAAGATTGTTCGCGGCGTTGCTCTGGGTATGGCACTAATCATGTTTGGCCGACAAGAAGGGGCAGATGTTTTGATTGAAGGACTTCTCAACGACCCGGACCCCACGTTGCGATATGGTGGTATCATGACAGTTGCTTTGGCTTATTGCGGAACTGGGAGCAACAAAGCCATCCGAAAGCTCCTTCACACGGCGGTTAGCGATGTGAATGATGACGTTCGTCGAATCGCCGTCATGAGTTTGGGCTTCATCCTCTTCCGTAAGCCCAGCAGTGTTCCTCGAATGGTCGAGCTCCTCTCTGAGTCGTACAACCCTCATGTCCGCTATGGGTCCGCCATGGCACTGGGAATATCATGCGCCGGAACTGGCCTTGATGAGGCTATTGACCTCCTGGAGCCCATGATGAAGGACCCCACCGACTTTGTTCGTCAAGGAGCTCTCATCGCCCTCTCGATGATTATGGTCCAACAGAACGATGTCATGAATCCCAAGGTCTCCTCTATCCGCAAGACGCTTAAGAAGGTTGTTGGGGACCGCCACGAAGATGCCATGACCAAATTTGGCGCTGCACTTGCTCTCGGCATTATCGACGCTGGTGGGCGCAATTGCACCATCGGCCTCCAAACGCAGACTGGTAATCTCAACATGGCAGGAATAGTTGGAATGGCTGTCTTCACTCAGTACTGGTACTGGTTCCCCTTCACACACTTCCTGTCCCTGAGCTTTTCTCCGACGGCCATCATCGGCCTTGACCACGACCTAGAAATGCCCGACATTAAATTCCATTGCGCCACCCGCCAGAGCCTATTTGACTACCCGCCGGAGCAAGAAGTCAAGGTTGAGGAAGGTCCTGCCATGATTGCCACGGCGATCCTATCGACAACCGCCCAAGCTAAGCGCCGAGCTCAGAAAAAGGAGCGTGCTCAGCGGCGTGAGAGTATGGATGTTGATCCTGCACCTGCCAAGAGTGGTGATAAGATGGATGTTGATGACGAGAAGAAGGAAGATTCCAAGGACAAGAAGGACACTGATGATCAGGATATTGCTTCCGCCGAAACTAAGAAAAAGCCCGAAAAGGAGAAGGTGGGCTACGACATCGAGAATATGAGTCGTGTTTTGCCGGGACAATTGAAGTACGTCAGCTTCCAAGCTGGGCGATACAAGCCAGTCAAAAAGGTAAATGATAGCCTCATCCCCTGATTCGATATTAAATTTGGTCGGCTTGACTGACGTCAGATGCAGCCTACCGGCGGCCCGCTGCTCCTCGACGATACCCAACCAGACGAGCCAAAATCACTCATTGAAGAGAAACTCAAGAAGGCCACAACAGAGCGCGCTCCGGTAGCAGGGCAGAGCCGAGGCGGCGCTGCCGGTCGATCCGGTGGGCAGGCCAGGTCCTTGCTGGAAGGGCTTGTTGACCCGGCACGTGGTACTGGCAGTAGTCAGGTGATGGGCCAGCTTCTCCGTGGCACAGGGTCATTTTTGGGTGACCCCCAAACGCCTAGCGGAAACATCGGAACCGGCGGCGGAGCCGCCGCTGCAGCCGGTGTCCTGACTGCTGTCGATGAGGATGCTGAAGGAGATGAGGAGGCGCAGACACCAGGTGAATTTGACTATTTCACCGAGGGCGAGGACAACGAGGAATAGAAGAGCGACACTGCATGGCAGTTATGTCCCATTGAGTGCAACTTGGTATAATAGTGTATTTAATATGTACCAATACGGACAGAGGCGCCGGACAGACTACTGTTGTGCTCTTGGGCACATGTGGCTGAACAAGGAGCTACCAGGGAAGTATTTGAACGGATAGACGTGATAAATTCATGGGTTTCCTGCTTATCCTACTCTCCTTTGCAACATGTCTGGAGATCTGGTACCAATTGATGTAGAGGAAGTCATGAGAAGAACTTGGCAGAAGTCTGCAGCGCGGATGCCAACGAAGTGTGCGATGCTAACACTATCTAGCGATATTAAGAGGCCACGATTCCAGAACCCAAAGGGGCAAATTCACGAAGCAACTATATAGCACACTAACATTGTGCGAAGCCCAATGAAACCGCTTCCAAAGACTAATTAATGCATGACGCTAACACGCATTTGTAGAATGCCACCGTATGAGACGTATGCAACTATAGTTTCCAAGTGAATGCAAATTTATCCACGAATGCCCGCCACTTTCAACAAACAAGAAAAAAAAAAAGAGTTGCATCGTCTGCAAAATCAATCACTAGACTTCTTTCGTGTGTTGTTATTACTGGTAGCTGCGCGAGAGCAATCAGTGCACACCTGTACTCTGTGCCAAGCCGTGGCTAGATTGCCACGGAAGTTCCAAGTTGCGGCATGGCTTTCTGGCTGCGTATTGTAAGCATCATCGGTTGCCTTGACCAATACCGTAGTACACCGCTTTTGGCCGCTGTCCGGAATCTTTGCATTTGCAGCAGCCGCCACCGGATCGTCGGGTCTGCCTCCGTGCTTGTGCTTGTGCTTGAATGCATCCAGCGGCACACCTCCTTTAAATACCCAACGCTTCCAGTACCAAGCCCCATGGCCTTGGCAGGGCGATGGCATACCATTTTTGGAAACGCAGTCAGGCAGAAGACAGGCTTGAGTCCACGAGTTTCCACCATCCAGAGAAACATCTACGCGAATGATGGATCTACCACCTCCGGAGAATGCGTATCCACTCATGCTAATTTCTTGCTGGGGAGGGGGAGGGCTCTGCGATGAGACCGTCTGATCTTGGTCGTTTTTCAACACGTTGGGTTCCGTTTTGGAGTTGAGCCATTCACCTAGCTTCAAAGTAGTGATGGCGCTTTGGACTGGCAATTCTTGAATGGCAGGAGCTGCGTCCCAGTCGACCTTGGTCTGGTTGGGACCGAAGCACTTATAGTCCTTGCGCTGCCATTGGCTTGTACTCTCTTCGTCACTGAGGGTAATATGATTCAGCCACTTAACAGATCTAGCAGCGACATGGCCGGGGACAATGGCTCTTAGGGGAAATCCGTGATCTGGCGGCAACGGTTTATCATTCATGCTGTATGCCAGCAGGACATCCCCCTGTGGATCAATAGCCTTCTTGATGGGAATGGATGCACCATAGGCTTCCAGACCCGTGAATTGAACGTGCTGTGTTTCGCTCGAACCACTCATCGCTTCCGAAACGTCAAATCCGGCATCGGCCAGTACGTGTGAAAGAAGAACACCTTCCCACGAGGCGTTGGAAATAGCGCCAGATGTCCATGGCAGACCGTTCGTTTGTCGTCCAGAGTCATCACTCATATGCTTGCGGCGATTACCAGAGCATTGCAAAGCGGCAGTGACCTTGCGGCTGGGGAACCTTGTCTTGAGTTCCCGCAGAGTGTATTCCCTCATTGTTCCATCAAGCAACTCGACGGTCAATCGGTGGTCGTCTGACTTGGAGTCTTGGATAGTGGGGACCCACATATGGTTACGAACGTAAAAGAGCTCGTTTGGTGTCAAGAATTGTGCAGTAAGCAGTTCGCCTGGCGTTTCCGCGTTTCGAGGCTTATCTGTCCGCGTAATAAGCGACGGGTGCCGCTCCGGGTCATTTTCGAAAGGATCTTCGATTTGCTCTTGCGCAGGTTTGCCATTGACAAGATCGGCTTGGTCAACATAACCAATTAAATATTGGGACAGGATTTCGTAGACATATTGATTCTTGTGAATCGTAAAAATATCCCAATAGGGGTCTATCGGTCCTCCAGCAGCGCGCAGAATAACTTGGCCACCAGGATGAGCGGGTACCCAATCCGTGATGTCATATACCTTGTTACCATGTATGACCCACGGATGTTCAGAGTCGGCTCCATGTTTACGAACTTCGGCTATCCGGAAGCGAGGCAGATCGGGGTCCCGGTTGTCGGGGGAGTTGTCCGGAGATGGGGCAGGCTGGGGCTTGAAAGAAGAGGGTGACGATGCATAGTGAGCATCCAATGTAGTGGGGGGCGTAGGAAAGACGTAGAGAGCGAGAGAAAGCAAACCGAGACTGGCTGTGAGAGCCGCGACCCGAGAACGCGTCTGAACCAAATGCCGTTGCACCGACACCCGTGAGGCCGGGCCGTGGTGGCGGCGCCCGACCTCCGCTCTTCTCGGGCTAGAATAGGAGAAGGGGCGTCGACAAGGCGTAGTTGGAAAGAAGTCTGACGCTGGCCGTGGTTGGGAAACGCGAAGACGCAAGAGCTGTCGAGATATACAGCTTGAGTGCCATGAGTTCATGGCGGGAACCTCGGGTCCAGGCTGGCTGCAATGCTGATGCGACGAAATGGCGCCCAAAAATCCTGTTTCGTCAAAAAGTAGGCGCTTGGATGAAGACCCAAGGACGTTTCGTAGGGACAGGCTCGTCTGGGCCCTGGGGTGTCTGGGAAGAAGCCAACTGCAACTGCAGCAATTTGAGAGTGCTTGGTCCCAGCACAAGCCGTGGTGGCCAGCTCCGAAAGACGGCAAGGACCAGCCAGCAGGTTATGGGGCAAGAGCAGCTTCCAGGAGCAGCACTCCCGTCCAAGTAGGAATCGATGCTCAAAAGCCGATCAACTCCATAGATGGAGGGCGCACAAGGTTGAATGTCTTGAACCTCCAACGTCTTGTTGAAATGTCAGGAGACGGGGATGCGCGAGGAATGGCAGTGACGGAGTTGAGTGTGCGCGCCTCCCGAGTCACGACGGTGTCGTAGAGAGGCAGTTTGCAGTATGCGGTCCGTTTGTCGTAAGTCTGGTTGAGGTGAGGGCATCTGAACAAAACAAAACAAAGGGTTGAAGAAAGGGGGACTCTAGATTGCCGTTCAAATGACTGGGGGTGGCACAAACCGAAGAGGTGGGCAAGGGTGAGTGAGTGAGGATGGCCAGACAACACTCGACTCGACGAACTTGCGATGTACAGACATTGGAAGGCACGATGGATGGACCCAGGCCCTGGTCGGCCCAAGTGTACTTTGTGTACCCCGGACTCGGCAACGTGTACGGGCGTCGGGCTCTACCGCGAGTGGACGTTGGGGCATGAATAAAGCCAGCTCTGCCACGCACGCGCATGCACTCGCTCTCGCCCAAGCACAACGGCTACGCACATGTTAACGTTATATCTCCAACACGAATGAGAATTTTGCCTGGTCATATCAGATAGACGCCGCAGTTGTATGAATTCAGTGTGGCTTACGGAGTACGGAGTACGTCTGTTGGATTTTTGCAGCCTTGTGGGGCGTTGGACTGCCGCTCCTGCCACTTTAGTTATACTACTTTATTTCATCAAGGTCATGCTTAAGTAGGTAAGTACTTAGGTGTGCATCCTTGGAATGCCTGCCACTCGCCTTAACACTATAAAAAAAAAATCCCCTGCTAGGTTGCACGGCGTTAAACACTCAAGGCTCGTTAGAGCCTCTTCCACTCTTGCTACCCGTGCCACCGTGGGCCTTGGCCCTGGTGCCTGGTTTAACCTGGCTTTTCTCGTGTGGTGCTAGGCAGCAGCAACCTCGTCGCTATAAAGAAAAATTAGCCAGTAGTATTCTTATGGAGTACTTGGACGGCAAAAGAAATACACAGCAGTACTTGACTCAAAATTTAGGTATAGTACTCAAGTTCCAGGTGGAGTTGCCCTAGTTGCCGACCCTGGCGAATACTCCGTGCTGAGAGAGGTCAGGTGGACGCCGTGTCGGTTAGCTACGGGGTAAAACCTCAGAGTACTTGCTACCTAAGTACTTACTCGGGTGGCAAAAAAGGCCCTGACAGAATGGAATGCATGGGCATCGCAGCCGATTGGACAGACTTCAATTTTTTGGAGGGTTCAAGCTGCCTTTTGCGGGTACGTAAGTAACCAAGGTCCAAGGTCGTCGGTCTGGGGGTTGGGGTGTGCCGGCTTGTGTACCAAGGTACCCACACTTGTCTCGCCCGCCGCCACGATCATGGAGCCACAATGGACAAAAAACGGCCCATCTTGGATCAACTGGCATTAAAAAAGCCTCAGTCGCCCCAACGGGCACTGAAACAAGAACTTATTAGCACGTCAACCTGACACTTGCCAACCTTTGATTTTGGGTCAGCACGAAACTAAACCTACAGAACCTGCCACTTGACTACACTGCCCGACACCAACTCTCTCCTCTAAATATTTCCCCCAGGGACCCACTGTTAAGGATTCCTACCTAACTACTTATTTGGCCTAACACTATAGGCGAACCTATAGATATAGAACTAGACCTTAGCTTGCCTAAGAGTGCAAGCCTGCCAGAAGCTATTAGCAAAGTCTGCTTTATTACCCCCAACCTATTGCTATTGCCTATTGCCCCTTTAGCCTAGAAATTAAACTGCAAGAAGGGAGTTTCTCTACTTAATAGAGATAATAACTACGTCCCCTTAGGCCTTAGAACTTAGCTCCTTAGTTCTAAGCTTAAGACATAGAAGGACTTGCTATAACACTAACTTTCTAAAAGAATTAGTGCCTTCTAATTAATCTCTACTGCTCTTAAAGAAGCTGTTAGAAAACTACTAACTAAGATGTTGGCGGAAAATCGCAAGGTCAACTGCACCACGCAAAAGTGGAACGCGCTCCAGCAATTAGAGACGCAAACTGACCTTATATTACTGCGCAATTGCTACAGCGCATGCACCCCCCTAGATTGTTGTTTTTTCTGGCTGACACACCCCCCCAGCTTTCAGCGCTCTCAGCAGTTGTAAGCTGTATAAGTTGTAAATATAGTTGAGCAAATATGCTATGCTGTTATTAGGTAGGAAATTTTTTGTCGCCTATAATAGTTGTAGTAATAGTTGTTGTTATAGAAGGCCCTTATAAAATTGCAAATATAACGGGGTTCGAACATGCGACCGTGCAGCGCAGGGCCTGCGGCGACCGGGCTCATAACTGTTGGCGGAAAATCGCAAGGTCAACTGCACCACGCAAAAGTGGAACGCGCTCCAGCAATTAGAGACGCAAACTGACCTTATATTACTGCGCAATTGCTACAGCGCATGCACCCCCCTAGATTGTTGTTTTTTCTGGCTGACATAAGACCTAGAAGGTCCTAGGCTAGGAGGTTATCTAAGGCTTTCTTAAAACTATAGAACAATAACTGCTTAAGAACCCTAAAAAACCTCTTCCTAAAGAAGTCTAGGACCTAAGCCCCCTAATTGCTATAATACAATATAAAGAGGCTTTACTCTCTACGCAAATATATACTAAAGCTGCAGCAATGCCCCCTAGTAAAGCTGCCTAGACCCTAGCCGCAAAACCTACACGCCCTCTTAAAGAAGACATAAGGGTCCTCTTTCAGCTAGATAACGCAAGCCCAGCTTAGAGTTACACTCTATTCTATATTAAGAACCTAGTTACTAAGGTCCTAGGAATAGACTTAACGCACATCCTTATAACAAAACAGACTGCTACAGGCTGGTTAGTGCTTGCTAAGGACTAAACAATAAGGGATAAACTTCTATCCAGCTAAACAGCTATTCTTAGCTAGATTAGCAGGATCTCAGCCGCTAGGATTGCATCCTAGCATACCTATATAGTATCTAAGTGCCTACGCACTCTCTACTTCTTTAAGAGCACTGCTGTTAACCTTAAAGACGCAATCACCTAGGAGGCTACTACCTAGACTAAGCAGACTCTAGTCTTAGTTAGAGCCTCTAGGCATAACAACAACAACTAACTAATAGTTACATTCCTAGTTTCCTTTAAGAAGCTAGTCCAGAAGAAATAGCGCTTGTAGAGCGCCTCTAAACTAGCTAGACTAGTTAAGAAGAAGACTCTGCTATTTTAATATAAGATCTGCTAGGACTTCTACGCCTAGAAGAGTTGCAAACAGAAACCTTAATGCAAAAACTACAGCAGCCTCTTCTATAAGACTAGCAGCTGCACTATAAAGACCTAATATATTAACTGTCTTAGCCTCTATCTTCTAGATTATAAAGAGTGCCTAGCTAGGCTAAAGCAGATAGACAGAAAGTAGCAGCAGCTTACAAAGGCCCAGAGGGGCAGTGCAAAAGCTGCAGAGGCAGAGCTATTATCCAGACATTAGGCCTGCTTAGCAAGCGCCTCTGTCGCAGAGACCTCATCCCTACAGACTAAACCACGCCCTCTAATGCCAGAGACCCCTGCCCCCCCTGCCCCTCTAGTCACGCTAGCTCCCCCAGCTCCTGCTGCAAAGATTGCGCCTACAACTAAGACACCTGTCCCTATCCCTACCCCTAGGTTGGCCTCTAAACCGACTAAGAACACTAACTCTAAGAAACGTAAGTAATATGCCTTAGAGAAGACCTCTATAAGTTATTAGCTTAAACACTTAGAACTTAGGACTAATAATAGACGCTATTCTTAGCTTATTAGCTACAAAGAAAATTAATATAGTTCTTATCTAAGAACTATATACTATGTCAGCGGCAGATACTGCCTACTATAAAAAACACCTATCAAAACAAGGGAAACAACTGCAGCACACAAATTGCCTACAAGGAACGTTTGCATGCATTTTACATGCAAGGATTTAATATGCTTTACGCCTACATTCCTTTGCATATATAATTAAGGTTAAGAGAGGAATGCTGGCTGGAATTCAACAAAAACACTAATAAGCTATAAAGGCTAATCTACCCTATAGCAGGAAAGCAGCTACAAGAGTTATTTTTAGCCTCTAAGGTTATTTTAAGCTACTATCTATGCCTAATCCGGCAGCCCTACTATAGGATTTACCTATAAATAACCCTCCTTCCCCCCAACTAGATAGAGAGGAAATTAAGCCTCTACAACTACATTCTTTAATACATACTATTACATACAATTTTATACTATATCTAAAGT